CGTGCGTCGAGGAATCTTTGAGACACGATGATCGCGGCCGCGGCGCCGTCGGATGTAGGCGAGCATTGGAGCTTGGTGAGCGGGTAGTAGATCATAGGCGATTTCTGGATCTCTTCTAAAGAGTAGACGTTTCGAAACTGGGCGTATGGGTTGCGCGAAGAGTGTTCGTGTGAGATGCGAGCGATCTCTGCGAAGTCTTCGGGTGAAGCGCCGTACCTGTCATCAGTTAGAAACAAGACTCAATGCCCGTTAAGGATCCTAGCGATGAGGCACACAGTATACTCACTTTTCCATATACTCCCTCCCAGCATTCCCAAACATCTGCGGATTCCTCGGCGCATCATTCTTCCCCCAAGTCGATTGCATCAAATCAACACTCAAATCCAACGGCGTCGGTCGGTCGGTGACATTGCTAACCAAGGGGCCAGCATTCATCTGTTCAAACCCGACAACCATGACACAGTCATGGGCACCAGATTTGACAAATGTGCGAGCAAGATGCAGACCGGTTGAGCCGGTCGCGCAGGCATTGTTGGTATTGTAGATCGGGATGTCGGTCATGCCAAACTGATAGAACACTCGCTGGCCGCTGCACGTCGACCCGGATGTATAGCAGGCAACACCGGCCTCGACGTCGTCGTATGTGATGTGGCCGTCGAGCATGGCTTTGATGCCCGCTTCGAAGGCCAGCTCCGTGTACATTCGTGTGGCGCGGGGCTTGAGGAAGGCGGCCATGCCCACGCCTAAGACGTAGGCGTTCCCCTGGTTGTCTGAAGTCATGGTTTTCGATGAGATAGGAGCTGATCGATTGTGAATGCTCAGCGATATGCGACCGAGCTGTTTTTGAAGCAGATCGAGGGTTCTCAGGATAACCTGTGCTCCGAGGCTCGGTCGGTAAGAAGGAGGCTTCACCGAGGTAGAACAAGATGTAAGGAGCTAGTACGAGGAATATCCCCGCATTTTCCTGGTGGAGCTTACCGACTGGGCGGCTATTTCGATTCAACTCTATCTGGAACATCTCTGTGAACACCATTTTCATTATTGTTACACCCATTCAGACACGGGGCCTCCGTTACAATTCATTAACCTTTCCTAGAAATGGAATGGGAGGATGGTAGTCTTGTCGACGGGCATATCAGTTAAGCTAACATCATTAATGCGGAATCCTCGGAACGTCAAACACTCTTCATGATGATGTGTGAATTATAGTTCTGCGGAATTCGTGATTATATAAATATGCCTTGTTGCCTACCTTCACATCGCCAATCCATGCAGTTGGCGCGTGATGGCCTATGTAGGTGCCTAGCACTCACCAACAGTGAGGCCCCATCAGTCCTCACGCCAAAGTGATGATCGCGCTAGCTTGTACCGCCTTAAGCAAACCAAGATGATTTTCAAAATCACAGAAGCCACACTGCCCCGCTCAAGATTCATCATCAACCACTCAACTCCGTCTTCAAGGACCCCAAGAAGAGGCGCAAAATCAACTAGTGCTGCATATGACGAGCTCAACGCCAGCTCCCAGCCTTGCGGAGTCTAGAACCGCCCGACCCAAAGGTCTAGAACGACAGGCTATGCGGTGAGGCTCGAAGGATAGAACGTTCTGGGCCAGATATACTAGCTACCTTACCAACAACTTGAATTTCATCTCGTCTCACTGGCCGAGGAGATACTGGCGAGTGCTGCTTAGAGCTGTAGCTGCGGCAATCGCAGTTCTAGATCTCGCTGCCCGACGATGTCTTCATGGGTTTGCTTTTTCTTGGTGTTTGTTATGGTCTGGCTTGAGCGATGAGGACAGGGAGATATAACGGCCGTAGAGACGCCGGAGTCCAGGGAGCATACCCGTTCATATCGTGTCTTCAATCCATCGGATACTATGCCGGAAACCAATGAATCCACTTCGTATGTGCTTTTGGGGCCCTTTGATCACTCAGGACTAATGAAATTGATGCAATCAGATCGACCCAAACTGTTCACTCCGACCACACAAGTCCCCCGAAGCCCCGGAATACAGAGAATATCTGTCGATATTGCGAATCACCGACAGTATCAGACCCTTATTGTTTTGAGATGAGCAAGGAAAGTCAGGAAACCCGACAGCGATACATCAGTGAGGAGCTTCGCAAGCTTGATCAGGTCCTCGGGGCTTGATCGCGACTAGAAGATGCGGTTTTGTATAGACGAATTGGTCTGACTAGCCTGGGGGATTCACTATTCTGATCAACAATGATATGGACAATGTGGTCTCGAGCTCGATATATCTCATACTAGTTTTATTTCGTTTCTTTTGTTGGTGGTTCATGTATAAAGCTCTGTTTGATGGGTAAGGGTTTCAGGAAAGTTTCCATAACGAAAACTTGGCATCTTTTAGCAGTCAGTACTAGAAAACGCGTTGGTTTAGAGATCGGATAGTAACCAGCTCATCTACAACCCTTGCTGTGGAGCACTTGATTTTCTTACCCAGAATGGATCTAGGGAGCGTCCGTATATTAAGACTTGTTTTTATTTGCGCTTTTGCATCCCAGTTCCAGTTTCTGCCACTAGCCTGCTGGCAGTAGGTATACCGTCAATGGGAGGTGCAAGTGTAGGCTGAGTGAGATTAAACATGTTCTCAACTACCGTTGCCGTTGTTCACGTCGCTTTAAGGCCAGTTATGAATTCCTTGATAGAAGCCCAATGTATCATCCAAGTTTTAATCTAATCTTAGTGCGGTTGGTTTCCGTCGAAACTCTTGTAATCTGGAGTCGTGTGTTGAGAGATGCAGTGGTAAGTTTAATTTTTCAAGACACACCAAAGGAACCTGAGCCTTGGTTTCTCGAATGAATGAATGTTTGGTTTCAATGTTCATATGCTCATCCTTTTTCGTTGAGTCGGAGGCCAAGATTAGCCAGGTTAATACCGGGACTGTTCGTTCGTGCGATCAGTATGAAGGCATATAGGTACTCATGTACATCAACGACACAATTTCGGATGGCTCTAGCAAAAGAAGAACAACAGTGACGTAGGTGGAGCTGGAAGCACAGTATGCAAGGGAAGTCGTGGGCACGAGGAAGCCCCGCAAAGCGATGCTGTGCCATCTGAGACGAGGGTTCATTCGCTTCGGGTATTAAAGGCTACCTGCGATAGTCCTCGAATAACTCACAACTGGAATACATGGAGTTGTCTAAAAAGGTGATTAACATGATAGTTGTCATCAACCACACCGGATTATACTACCAAGCAGCATGGTTTTTGGCGAGAGTGATCTCGAGTCCCATTTCAGTCCGACTCGGAAACAGTGCTCATTGTCTTTATATGTTTTAAGCGATCGGCAAGAGATACCAGTAGTAGGGGAGGGTGACATGAATTCAGTCTCTTTCACCACAATGAAGGTGAGCGTGGGAGGAATTCTCAGGTCGCATCCCATGCGTGTTCCAAGAAATTGGAGATACGGGCTGCTGGACAAGCACAAGCTGGAGGTAAGACAAGGCCAAACCAAGAATAGAAGGTGCCAAAGTGATAGTTCTTCGGTTGTTCACTAGCTCCAGCCAAGTCCGGAATACGGCAGCCTATTGCCCCACCGACACACTATCCAGGCGAAACTACGGAGGAATAACGGAGCAGTGGCTTTTTGCAACAACGCTGCCGAACATTATCAACGATAAGTCTAACGGTGACAAACCCCCCGGAAGGATGCGTGCGGAGATTCATCCTCCGAATCCTTCTGGGAGCGGGTTGTAATCAAAATTAATTAATTCATCATTTGACGCAATTCGGGTCCGAGGTTGCATTGATGCCTCATTTTGAATCGATCCTTCGCGGCACGTTCTTAGAACTGGTTCCATGCAGACTGTTGATTCAACTCGCAAGCGATGGAGGTCATACAAGTAAGGGTGTATAACCCCCGCATCTATCGCAACCCCTGCGTCGTCGTACAGGGGATCTAGTCGAGTCACCAAGTTACAGTTGTGCAAGGGCTGTATCGACACCTTCTTCAATAAAGATGCGGATCCTTAATTCAATATCGAATAAACTCGTAAGTCATAATTGAGGGGTACGATGTCCATTACCTAACAGGAACCGGATTCCGGACGATAGAAACGCCACAATCATCCAACCATTGACAATTGAAATGGAAATAGATTAATGATAAGACCTTGGCGCAGGGTGAAGCCTCGGTTAAGACATGCTTGTATAGAACAAGCTTAGTCTTGGACTGGCCTTAGGCTTATCGGTGGCCGGGCGGACTGCGCGACCATCCGGGGTTGGGCGAATGAGCGCGGGGCAGATGGGGAGAGATTGTGTTAGTATCGAGCGGTGACGGAGGAGGGTTACATTGCACTATTCTGTGCCTGTGCCATGATTGAAGAGAAAGTAAATAAACAAGCGGATGGACCCCTGGCATCAAGGCAGCCAATCAGCACGTGACGTGTCCCTGGAATGGGGATCGGCCTTGGCGTCCGAATGAAGGCAAATAATAAACAAATGCCATCCTGACAGACAGTGTGTCTTGCAAAGGTTTCAGGAGACAGACTACGCAGTACGCACACATGCTGAATATCTCTTGGTCTCAAGGCTACCTGTCCAAATGACACCACACGCCCGAATGCTGAGCAACTGCCCTAGTCCGACTAAATATTCCCGGTTGGGCCATTATTGCAAGTGGAGTCTCTCCTGACGATCCACCATGATAAGCCCCCTCAAATTCAATGTGACGTCGAATGGGATTCCCTAGAACAGATCCAATCATGCTCGCCTCGATCGGCAGGAACCCGTCGGTTCTCCGGTCTGTGAATGGATCAAGTAAAAGTATGCACATCACTGTCTGGCAGTTTCCGCTAAGTTGAGCTAGTTCCTGTGCAGTGACTGAGTGCAGTGTCTCCATCCAGATCACGCGATGGCTGGGGATCGTTACTATTAAAAACCCTCCCCCTTCTTCTCCCTGCACCTTTTGATCGCTTCTCTCGCCCATCCCTCTCTCACCGTCCCTTCTTCTCTCCCCTGGGCGGACCATTTTCATCATGCGGTCCTTCATCCGTCGCGGAGCTCTGTCGCTTGCGGCTCTCACTTTGCTTTCTTCCTCTGTGGCTGCCGAAGTGTTCGAGAAGCTTTCTTCTGTCCCCAATGGTATGAGCCACTTCCGCTTGAAATGAAAAATTCAATATCCCCTATTTGTCGGAGAATGCTGACACATCCTAAGGCTGGGTTTACTCTGGCACTCCTAGCGGTGACCAGGCCATCCGCCTGAAGATCGCTTTGCAACAGGGCGACGCCGATGCCTTCGAGAAAGCTGTCCTTGATATGTCGACACCCGATCATGCCGACTATGGAAAGCATTTCGAGACCCATGAAGATATGAAGCGCATGCTTTTGCCGCGAGGTGAATCCGTCAGCTCCGTCCAGGAGTGGTTGGAATCTGCCGGCATCACCGACTACGAGCAGGACGCCGATTGGATCAACTTCCAAACCACCGTGGAAAAGGCCAATGCCCTGCTGGAGACCAAATTCCTCTGGTACAACAACAAGGAGAAGGATATCAAGCGTCTGCGAACCCTCCAGTACTCGATTCCCGACTCGGTCGCGGGCCACGTCAACGTCATTCAGCCGACGACCCGCTTCGGCCAGATCCAGCCCGACCGCGCGACGCTGCGCTCCAAGCCCAAGCACATCGACGAGAACTGGCTGTCTAAGGTCTCGCAGAACTCCTCGCACTGCGATTCTGTCATCACCCCCGAATGCTTGCGGGATCTGTACAACATCGACTACGAGGCCGATGCCAAGTCCGGTAGCAAGGTCGGTTTCGCCAGTTACCTGGAGGAATATGCGCGTTATGCGGATTTGGAAAAGTTCGAGGATCGTCTCGCTCCTTGGGCCAATGGCGAGAACTTCAGCGTTGTTCTGTTCAACGGTGGCCTGAATGACCAGAATGCCGCTAGCGACAGTGGCGAGGCCAACTTGGACTTGCAGTACATCGTGGGTCTGGGTGCCCCGCTGCCCGTCACCGAGTATAGCACTGGTGGTCGTGGACCGCTCATTCCCGACCTGAGCTCGCCCGATCCCAACGACAACAGCAACGAGCCGTACCTGGAGTTCTTGCAGGGCATTCTGAAGCTAGACAAGGACGAGCTGCCTCAGGTTCTTTCCACCTCCTACGGTGAAGACGAGCAGGTGAGTTGTCCACAGCCTTTCGCATTCTTGCGTAATGCAGAGCTAATCGTTTCAATTTAGACCATTCCCGAGAAGTATGCTCGCACCGTGTGCAACCTGTATGCACAGCTCGGCAGCCGTGGCGTGTCCGTGCTGTTCTCGTCCGGCGACTCGGGAGTCGGCGCTTCTTGCCAGACCAACGACGGCAAGAACTCGACCCACTTCCCGCCTCAATTCCCGGCCTCCTGCCCTTGGGTCACCGCCGTCGGTGCCACCACCAAGACCAACCCCGAGCGTGCCGTCTTCTTCTCGTCGGGCGGTTTCTCCGACTACTGGCCTCGTCCTGAGTGGCAAGGAGAGGCCGTCGACAGCTACTTGGGCACCATTGGCGACAAGTTCAAGGGTCTGTACAACAAGCAAGGTCGTGCCTTCCCTGATGTCGCCTTCCAGGGCCAGAACTTTGCTATCTATGACAAGGGCGCCCTGGGCACCGTCAGCGGTACCTCCTGCTCTTCTCCCGCCTTCGGTGCTGTCATCGGTCTTCTGAACGATGCCCGTCTGCGTCACGACAAGCCCGTTCTCGGCTTCCTCAACCCTTGGCTATACAGCAAGGCCAAGGACAGCCTCAACGACATTGTCCACGGCGGCAGCACCGGCTGTGACGGCCGCAACCGCTTCGGCGGTACTCCTAATGGCAGCCCAGTCGTGCCCTTCGCCAGCTGGAATGCCACCGCCGGCTGGGATCCCGTTACTGGACTGGGAACCCCCGACTTCACCAAGTTGCTGGAGGTTGCTCTGGCCCACTGAAGGGGTCAATTTAGATTGAAAATTCATATTATTGCCAATACATACTTAACTAGATGAATAGCATGAATACATAACGAATATTCCAAGCTCCTTATCTGTCCTATATCCCACCATTGCTGCAGCCAACTTATCAATAGTATGCAGGATCATAGATCCTCGCTTTGTAAAATTCCGCATCCCCCCATCCCCTCTTATCCTCTTCCACCTCCGGATCCCCCTCCTCACTGAACGACACATACTGTCCCATCTCATTCTTCGCACCGCGCACCCACACATACTCCCCCGACTCATCCTGCACCAACGACTTCAGCTTCGTCATGTTCATCAGCATCTCAAACTCCCCACTCGTCTTGTTATAACTATACGCCGCGCTCGTATGCGTCAACAACAAGAGCTCCTCATGCGCATAGCTCGCCGACAAATCATGACCATTCCGCGCCCCAGTCCCAGGCAACTCAATCTTCCCTTCCTTCCCAGCCAGCCTTTCCAACCTCAAATCCTCCCCCTTCCCCACCACCCTATACTTATACAGATACCCTTTCCCAATCGCCCACAGAAACCCATCCCGGGGATCCTCACCCCCATTCGGATCCCACAACACTCCATGCGCACCCTCCACCTCATACGTCGCCACCTTCCTCACCCTCGCATAATCACTAACACCCCCGTCCCCAACAGGCGCATACAACGTAAGTGCATGACTCTGCGAACTCGCCACCACGAGTCCCCCCACGTACGGAATCCGCTCGATCGCATGCGGATTTCCCCCCGTGTACGCCGACCACAGCACATCCTGCACCCCCGTCCGGGGCCGTCCTTTCTGGATATCCACGATGCCGACCATTCCGCGCGACGCGGCGACCAGTGCGACCCATCCGTGTTTTGCGGTTTTGCGGATCCGCACGTCGGATACGTCGTGCCAGGGGTTGGTGCTGGTGAAGAGGCTGTTGGCTCCTGAGGGGTCGAATTCCCAGTGGATGGTCGATTGGGTCCAGCTGGGTGCGGAGCGGGGGAAGACACGGATGGTTTGGGATTTTTGGTCGGCGATGGCGAGGTGGGAGGCGTGTGTTTGGGGGAGGAAGAGGAGGGGAGTTAGGGGGAGGATTAGGTTGGTGAGTGTTGAGAAGTGCATTTGGTGGGTGTGAACGTGAGTCGTAGGTAGTTATGTTTCAAGGATGAATTGATGAGAGGGGGGATTGAGAAAATGGTGACGGGGTTTATATAGAGTGAACAAGTATTGCATTACAATGGCTTGATTAAGTGCAAAGGGGCGTACATACAGATGCCAAGTTCGTATTCTACATTTCGCCCTCGCATTTCCATCTTTATACTTCTGCACTTCTACTTTCAGATCTGCATGGCACGCGAGTTGCTTCCTATAAGGGATACTATGTTTGGGGCCGGCTCGTATACGGGCCGTCGACTAGCCCCGATAGGAAGAGCTGATGGCTGATCAATCTGGGGATTAGACTTTGACTGCTTAAAGATTGGCTCGTGTCTGTCAGGTACGAGGTCCATTGTGGGGGCGGGGCCGGTTACTATTCATACTTTGGCTGGCATGAACAAAGGATATGATATTCGTCTTGGCTGTGGAAAATTGATGATGGCCAATCCAGGGTTGTATGTTGCTACAAGGACGTGCATACTCAGGAATGGCATCGTCCTGTCCATTGAACCCGCTATACTCGTTGTATTTTCGCTTGCCATTCCTTGGTATAAGAATTCGGAAGGCGTTTGTGAAAGCCTGGCTCGTTCCTGACTAATATAAAGCTTGTGCATTTCTGCCTTCGTTACTAATGGCCTTTTCTGACCAGTGGGGTAAATGTGTGTTCTGATGGCCAGAGATTATATTTCAACAGGCCCAGCACTCTTTCGTGGTAAACAAACCGGAGCTTGACAAGTAACTCTTTTCAACAATGTTCTCTTCATTTGACCATGGCCGTGTTCAAATGCCATATAGCTCTTATCTTGGCCCAAATACAGAGTGGAATTTGACAAGACAACAAAGGCCAATTATAATGGTCACTCAAGCGCTAAATATCCACAGAGTGGGTATCTACAGCAGCTACCCTAGATTGTCAGTTTCTATTGGCAAGATACATATCTAACCATGCCACAACAACAAGGATATTCAACTCTAGCCCTCCACTGTTCGTTAGACCGTCAAACCCAATGCGGAGTAATCGAGGGTAGTTTATCTCTCCCAAGACCCCCTCTTTCTCAAACCATCATCCACCTCGAAACATCCATCTCCCATCCCACCATCCTCTAACCCACCATCTCAACCCCAAAACATAGCCCCACCAAAATGAACACCATCCCCAACCCCCTCAAATACCGCCTCATCTTCAACGCCCCTCCCTCCGCCGTCGCCGCCTGCAAAGCAGCCATCTTCGCCGCCGGCGCAGGCAAATACCCCGGTCCCGGCGACTACACGGAGTGTTGCTGGACAACAACGGGAACCGGTCAGTTTCGCCCGGGGGACGCAGCAAACCCTCATCTGGGTAAGGTCGGGCAACTGGAAGAGACGCCCGAGGTGCGGGTGGAGACGATCTGTGTGGGTGAGGATATCGCGAGGAAGGCGGTTGATGCGTTGAAGAAGTAGGCGTTTTCCCCTCTTGGTTGGGTGTTTCTTGTGATTTTTGGGATGGTTGGTGGCTAATGGCTGTTCGTTGCTTCTATCAAGGGCTCATCCGTATGAGGAGCCGTCGTATAGTGTGTTTCGGATGGAGGACTTTTAGTTCAACCTTCGTTCGTGTGGGTATGGTTGAGGGAGTTGTATGTATCGTGTGAGCTATCGACGATCGGAGGGATTCAAGCAACTTCGAAAGATTCCAACATGTGGTCCATGAGTGGGGCCAGATAAAAATGCGCTTTCAATGGGAACCCCTTTAGTCAACAGTGGACATCGGACTGTTCCCATGCTAACTATGCATCTAATTTGGCTATATCAGTTGTTAATGTAACAAGACTATTAATTTAAGTGTGCGCGATGAGAGTGAGTTGTGCAACGCCGCTAGAAAGGCTCCTATTTAGCAAGGTTATTTACTTGTCAAAAGCTCCAGCAAATACGAGAATCTTGTCGCTGCCACTGATCTAATTGACACGGTGCCTAATGCCGCTCTCCACAGGTAGTAACTTTCAATCTCTCAATTGTCTAATCCAAGTGCCCTATCAGGATAAGTATATTAAACTAGATATATGCTAGTTTGCCAGCAGATGCTTCCAATTGGTTCAGGGCGAAGGTGTTTTCTGTATCTTATGTATCCTACAACATGTTCGTTTAATATCTTACTTTCTTGGCTAGCTTATGGAGCTGTCGTCTTGCTTTGTAACATCCAGGGTTGAGACTTATGGTCATTTTTCACGGTTGGCGAGGCATAGTAATGACGGTCATTGGAGCTGACATAAAGAATTATGAGATTTTTAAGTTGCTCAAGTATCTAAACTTCTGAGGGTTTCTTTTTTCTCCTCTAAAGATATTCTCGTGTGAAATATGACACAACACAGTGTTGTGCTTTCGCATTGGCTGGGAAGTTTAAGCACGATTCTATATCCCTGACACAGTATACATCCGTACGACGTTTGAAATGATGATAGTCGCTTCCAGTTTTCGAAATTAGGTTTAGCAGTTGAACGCGCCTATAAACAGCGAAGCATATTATCCGGAAACCAATTCCGTCTGCAAGTGAACCTTCTCTTGACGCTGCCTTATGAACAATGGCTTAAGTTGATGGTTTATGCCTGAGGCATAAGGGTACTGCCAGGTACCGAGTGACCGGCTTAACTGAGCCACTGTTGATGCCTGACGGAGCGGACAAACATATCACCGGCGTGTCTTTTGGCGGCCGTTCTCACACGGGCCGGGGGGCTATTGTCCATCAGCCCACCAAGAAAGCCCAGCATCTAGATCACCAAGACTCTGCCATAGATCGATCCCTTCTAGAGTATCTACAGGCGGTAAGCCATCGTCGTCGAACGTCATGACTTCCGACCCAAGACCCTGTACACTATCATCCGATTCACTCGACCGGATTGGCTCCGGGGGAGGAGGCTTCTTGCCTTCCAGTCCAAGTACATAGCGGGCGATCAGCTGGATTTCATGCACGTTCCTCCGTGTTCGGGGCCATATCTCCGCCAGTGCCTTGAGACATCCGATGATCATGCGAATCTGGTCTCTTGCGATGGCCAGCTCTTTTCCCTTGAAGAGAAAGTTGCACGCGGATAGAAGCGCAAGGGTGCCTTCGCTGATCATGCAGGTAAGAAACGGAGTGTGGTTGAAGGCCCGGATTGGTAGGGCCAAGAGGCGGATTTGTGATTCCACCGAGCGCAGTACTCGTGCTGTGTGCACGTTGACGAGCTCGGGCGTCGGAGTCTCCGCAGGAAGGTCCCCTGCGCAGCTGGAGACGTGCTCTACGGGGTTGAAGCGAAGATCGGATAAGGGTCGGTGCATCCCGACAATTGATCTGGGTAAGTCAGTAAAGCTTTTGATGACGTTGAAAACAGTGAGTAATCTGGGTCTTACACGTGAATTAGCAGATGAGCTTGGAATATGAGCTCGTCAATCTCTCCTGTTTTCGCCAGGACCTGTTTATGTTCCTTTGGTAGCAAAAGCAGCCACCCGTCGACAGTGGCATCTGCAGCTTGGATGATGTCCAAAGAAGCCCTCTTTCCGGAGCATCGAGGCACGGCCGATAATGCAGCTGCCGCGGATCTAACCGCCCCGATCAGATACGCGAATGATGAAAACGGCGTGTCGCTGATGTCGAACTCGCGAGAGTCAAATTCTTCAAGTGTCCGCGGTTGCGGAATCTGCTGTAGAATGTATTAGTGGTCACAGAAGAACATGTGTTAATGGCAACGAGCAAAATTGGTTAAAAATTATGGGCAAGAAATAGCGAAAGCGTAAGAGATACTCACACCTGATTCATACTCTGTTTCCTGACAGGGTAGGTCAACATTGGCATCGACATTGATAACTTTGAAATCTATCGTTCCTAGCGTGCCGGCATAGTAGCAGTCTACCACGTAAAGCGACCACCAGGTCCGTCTCCATGATTCGATCATTACCGGATCCCCGTATCCATGCTCAGTTGCGAATTCGCGACGAAACATCCGAAGTCCCAGAGCGGTGTTGACGGCATGGTCCATTTCCCGTTTCGACTCAGTCTTGTAGTCGTACCAGAAGAGAGCAGTAGAATATAAAAGTCGACACTGAACCATGATGGGGTCCGTTGGCGAGGTTTCGACGAAGGATGCTTCGACCAAGTCCTTTAGCGAATCAGACCATTCTCTGGAGCGATAGAGATGGCCAATGCAGCGCATCACGGCAACCAGAGGTCTTAGATTGATCGGCTTGCTTGTGTCCTCGTAGAGCCTGGCTAGGTGCCTGCGAGGTAACACCACGGGGTGAAACTTGTGGAAATTTTCATAGTACGCGTCGATGAGGGTGTCATCATCTACATCGAGGGTACCCGTATTTGATAATACTGGAGCTGCCGAGCTCGACGGCGTGTCAGCAACGTCAACGCCACCAAAAAAGTCAACTTGGTGGGGTTGTTGAGTGACATCCGGGATTCTTGGGCTTTTCGGAAGGGAAGAATGGCCATTATCCGCTGATGATGCTGCAGCGAGGCGTCGGCGTCTTTCGGCAAGAGCCTGTCGCGTTTGACCACCCCGGCGCGACTGAGTGTAAGCACATTGCTGTTCAGCTTGGATGCACCGCCTACACTTTGGCTGTTCACCGTCGCATTTGATATGACGAGAGCGGCAGGGCAAACAGGCTAATGAAGAACGGGTGGCTTTGCGTCGTTCGGACGCCGTTGGATGAGCGGGAGCCATCGAGACAACTGTGAGGGTCTATCGGATGTAGGGCGAGGTAAGACGATGGAAAAAGAGCGGGTATTCGATTTCGTGAATACCCTAAGCCCACGCTTTCCACGCACTCGTGTAGCGCCCCACATCAATGGATTCCACATTGTGCGGTTCCATGGGTTGTGGCGAAGAGAGCTGGACGTGGCAATTGCGAACTCGGGGACTCGTTGATGGACTGCCCGGGAATGCCAAAAGGATGGAAAGAATGAGAAGCGAATATAAAAACAGACCAAAATCCCAGATGCTCCGACCCGTAATAACATCCTTACTCATTATCTACTTTGTTTATCACTCTGCAACATCTCAAAATTCATCCGGTTCTATCCACATCAAAATGCAAACCAGAATCGTCATCGCAGGGGCAGGCTTCGCCGGCGTGTGGAGCGCTCTCTCCGCCAAACGTCTCATTGGGCTTCAAGGCAAAGAAGACGATATCGAAGTCGTTGTCGTTGCTCCGGAGCCAACCCTGGTCCTTCGCCCACGGCTTTACGAGGCAAATGCTTCCGGCATGACGCATCCTCTTGGTGCCCTTTTCAACGATGCCGGTATCAACTTCATCAGGGGCACTGTCGAGAGCATCCATACCGAGGAGCAAACCGTCAATGTACGACATGTGTCTGGCCCAGCGTCCACGATCAAGTACGATAGGTTGATTTTAGCTGCCGGAAGTACTGTTTCGCGCCCCAGTAAGGTTGCTGGTGTACAGGAACATACCTTCGACATTGATGCTCTCGATTCGGCAACCAAACTCGAATCCCATCTCCACAGTTTGGCCTCTCTTGCTGCAAGCCCAGGCCGTGACACGATCGTCGTTTGCGGAGGGGGCTTTACTGGCATTGAGATAGCGACTGAGCTACCTAAGCGCTTTCCTAACGCTCATATTGTTCTTGTTGAAAATGGGACCGAAATTGCCTCAGGGTTTGCTCCCAGCTCTCGAGCCATCATCAAGAAGGCCCTTCAAGATCTTAAGGTGGATGTTAAACTGGGATCGGCAGTTACATCCATTGATAGTGAGGGAATATTGCTTGCCTCGGGCGAGCGCATCGAGACAAAAACGCCTATATGGACTGCCGGAGTGAGGGCAAGTCCGTTAACACAGCAAATCTCGGGAGCAAAAGATGGACTTTCTCGCCTACACGTGAATCAGAACCTGCGAGTTCTGACTGACCCCCACGTCTTTGCTACGGGTGACGCGGCTTGTGCTGTCGCAGACACCAACGGTCACCATGCGTTGATGTCCTGCCAGCACGCCCTCGTTCTGGGCCGGTTTGCTGGTCACAACGCGGCTGCAGACCTGCTTGGTGAACCCATGATGCCGTACTCACAAGCGGCATATATTTGTTGTCTTGATCTGGGTGGGTCCGGTGCGGTGATTGCTCAGGGCTGGGAAAAGGAGTTGAAGCTCCAGGGTGACGTGGCGAAGGGAGTGAAGACCCTTATCAACCAGCAGCTGATCTACCCTCCGCAGAATGTCGAAGAGGCTATGGCTGCGGCGGACCCTATTGGCCCTGATTCTGATCAGCTACTTGAGCAGTTGATTCAAGTTGTGGGATGAATTCAAAAAAGGCCTGGGGCCCGACAGTAACTGGCAAGGGTGTAATGAGGTTGGTAGATGGCGATAAGCGTTGCTATAATTTCCTAATTCATCGGTAAAGATCAGTCTTTGTTTGAATGTGTATTGTCAGTGATTAGTTCTAGTTGAAGACAAATATCATACCTGCTGTTCAGTGCTTGAGTAATGAAATTTAATACAGAAGCGAAATGGTTATTCCCTAGACCACGTGGGCCTCGATGTTAATGTGGGCCTAAACAGGCAGGTACCACCGGGTTACCTGCGTTGCCTGGTGACAGTTCCATTCGGCGTCAAGTCACATTTACAACCGTCTATCATTCTACAGCCGCTCAGCAATCAATTCCAGTAGTCAAGATGGCCTGGAATCTGAATCTATGCATTGACTCTTACGGGAGAGAAATTGTTCCCTTCTGTTACTTTGTCTCACCTCAGCCTGACCTCGTATCGTCGGACTTGCCCTTCGATGGCTTCCTGTCTTTGCCGGTAGAGATCCAACTGATGGTCTTCCAATATTGCGACCCGCCAACAATTTTTCACTTGATGCACACATCTTCCCACATGCGCCAAGAATGCTCGAAACTGTTCTGGGACTCTATGCCAAACGTCTGGTATCAGATCGAGCCGATGGACTCTGTGTGGGACGGCAAAATGAAGCCGCTCTTTTACTGTCCTCTGTTTGCCTCTCGCGTTACGCAAGTGGAGATCGACGTAAAAATCTCGGAGGCGATATGGACACCTTACAATGGAAAGGAATTCTGGGAAAGGATCGAAGAACTGTTTCCTTCAGTGAAGAGCGTTGTCCTGACCTGCAGAGATCTTAGCGACCTTCTGTTCGATACAGACTGGAATACTCCTCATCACTCCGCCGCAATGAGAATGGTTGTAGGATGCGCCCCGACGAATATTACCCCTCTCATAGCGCATGGCAAATCGAACCATTTCGCTCTTTATCAAATGCAAACCGAATGTGGAGCAGGACCATGGCATCTCGTACAGAAACCTAGGACCCGTACGCGAGTTATGCCCCCTCCCAGCAAGTGGCACACGGGGTTCTAGCGGACTTGATATCCTCGTGGCAGATCTCATGGCTTATCAGTAGGGAACAGATAGAACTACATTGGCTGATGTGGGAAACGGAGAAGCACTTCCTCGAGAACGGAGCACTGATATGTCCACATCTGGATTGTGAGCGCTGGTTTCGAGATGGCGAGACGTGGTTGGTTCATGTTTCCAAATACTGTTTTGGTCGGGTCAGTCTTGGGCAGCACCGTCTCCCGTGGCGCCGAAATACCGCAGCAGAGGTGAAGGCCATGCTCGATGATCGGCAACACCGGATCAATCAGATGAACAAGGAATTCGGGACTTTAATGAAAGCGCTTCAGCTACAGCCTTCAATATTGGCCAAAGGTCGAGGTCGAAATTGGAGCATATGGGATTATCTGGAGGACGCCACGATAGCGCAAGGATATTCTCTTCAGGAAATGGAATTAGAAAGTTCAGAGCTGTGGTTTTGGGCCTTCAAAGTATTTTGCACTGATGGATTCGACTTTGGGGTGTTGAACGAGAGCAACAACGCTGATGATTTCCACGGGGACAAGTTCTTTGTGAGGAACATTTCGAGGAGACTGACCTTCAGATGAGAGATAGAGGGCCGATGCACAATGCTGCATCATTCATCATTAGCAAGGATTTAATTTACAAATCTCGATCGCATCTACTGAGGCATGACAACAATGACTTAGGAACATACAAATTGACAAAAGGAATGCTGTGATGAGACGTGTTCTTAAGCCTATAGTGGAAGACTTTGCCAAACCAATTCGGATGCTCTTCCTACCGTCCTTCCTACTTCTACTTAGCAGAGCCAGAAGAAAGCTTAAAGGCACCAACCGGATCACAGGAAGCGTGTAAGCCGAAGCAGATAGGTGTCCTAAGACCAATTACGTTAATAACTCCCTCCCGATGGTGCAGAGGCTCAGTTGCTGGAGAGGGCGCTTTTTCTTTCCACATCCCGGTTTCTGTATTAAATTTCGTTTTCAAAATCTTACTTCTCTCTTCTATCTATTTCTTTCCAGAATGTTTTTCCTATTCGGTGAGGGTGTTACATTGGTTTCTGAACTCAGTTGTCTGTACGAGAGGGACGCCTGCCATCGTAAGACCGTACTGCCTCACCCTCTCAGAGTCGCAGAAATCGATGACATGATGATATCATCATGATGATCCTAAAGCTCAGCGACCTATGATATCCATAATTGTAGGTAGAGCTACATTTCCGCAGCGCCCTGGCCTAACGTGTCGTATATCTAAGACGTCTTATCAATGCCCTACACCGCCAGAAAAAACGACCTTTCTCGTAGTTGTGGTAGAGGACGCCGACCGCCGAATAGAGAGGCTTGGATCAAAGGCCTGCGCCGTCTGCTATGCTACAGAGGTACAAAAAGGAGGATTTGGTGGGCCGCAGCGAGAATGATGAAGCCTGAAGTGCTGAAGAAAAGTTGAGGATTCAGGTGTGACGTGTTAGACACCTGCTTCTGAGAGATGTCGTGATGAATTGATGACGGAAAACTCTCTATGTTTTGTCTATTCCTAGCTGAAACATATTTTCTCTTCTTTCCGTATTCCTTTTTCTTCTTTCTTTTCTAATAATTCTTTGAGGTCCGTCAGTTACTCCGTACGATCATGGAATGTGCATAGGCCCAAAATGAGGCGGGGAGAGATTGCAAGACATAGACAGACATTCCCTGCCCCGCTGCCTCATTCTAGACACCGGCAGTCCGACAGAAGTGACCAAACCTAAAACAAAAAGCAGCCTGTTTCACCCACTATACGAGATGTCCAGAATTAGAACGAGAAGGCATGGGGGAGGCTTGTGGTCGGAGTGTAGGACGAGTTCCATCATACGGAGATGATCGGCCTTTCAACAGAGAGCTAAAGGCGTTCTGAAACTCAATGAAAGACCGCAACAAAATTTTGAATACCACAGATAAGTTCAAGAAAACAATAATCCATTGTTTTCTTTATACGCGGTAGAGGATTCGTGGCTCCCTTTCATACTCTTGACCCTTGGTCCTGTTCTGGACTAGGAAAAACGAAGTCTGTAGCGAGAGAAAATGGCAGTCCTCATTACAGAAAATGCGGGGAGCTGACAAAGTCGCGCAAGCATCGACAGGGAAGCAAAGATGGGAAGAATGGGACTCACAGTGCGTAGTATTCAAGGCATGAGCCCTTGTTGTCTTTTCACCGTTGCTTCTTTGTCGGCTGAAGAGCGCTTGGAACATCCACAACATTGATGACAGTTCCCGCTCCAACCACATCTAGTATTGTACTTGTTGTTTGATCGAGATCAATGCAAAAGATAATGAGCGCTTTCTTATCGTTGATTGCACCATTTTGAGGGCGACGCGGCTTTTTGGTCGGGGTGGAAAACAAGAGCTTTTGGATATGCCTTCTCGGGTATACGTAAAGGACATTGAAGGGGCGATGGAATTACCCGACACTTGATCCGTGTACATCACTCGTCTGAACGCCTATAAAAGCCTGGTCATATCCCCAGGGAAGAGATGTGCAGTAAACATAACACAACAGAAACCGAAAAACATCAAACACTACCGACATCATGTTCCCGCAAAGAGATCTCTCTCTGATGGCAAGCGTTCTGGACGAGCACCAGATACCACATGTGGCGGGATGGGATGCGAGTCGCGTGCTATGGGGGGTCCCTATCTATGTAGACGTGAGTACACATGCATCAAACCTATTTACGCCGAGAAGACCTTACAAATAACAATATGCTGATTCAATATATAGGCAACCCAGCTCATCATCAACGACGAGCATTTCTCCACGGCCATGGATCTGATTACCAATGCCGGATATACACCATGCACTGATGACAAGTGCTGGATCGTTCAAAAGACACATTACGTTCAATTCCCCGACGGCCATTTCCATGTTAAGTGGGTCGGGGAAGGGGGCCACGCGATCGGGCTGTACAAGAAATCGCTTGTCTACTGGGGCTTGCCCGATTTCCCAACCGAGCCTCCTGCCGTCGACGACCGCAATTTCATCCTCTCCAACGATTCGCGACTGCGCACACCCTGGGACCCCAAAATCACTCCGATCAAGATTCTCACCAAGGTGGCTCTTGCCGAGACATTGATATCCCTGGAAGCACGAGATGTGGATCACATCAATTGGTTGGCACACACCTGGCACTGGTACATGAATGAGAGCATGCTTCACGGCGGCCAGGACTGGATCGAAAAGAAAGACCTTCTCCCTCATTTCCATGAGTATTGGGAGCTTTTCACAACACCCGAGCGACCTGGAATTGGGTTCGCCATGCAGGATGCTCTGCGAGACCTTCATCAGAGGATGCTGGCAGAGGGGAATATGCCCGCTCCCCCAGACAATTGCGGCTTGACCGATCCGAAGGTCATAGAGATTTTCAAGAAGTACGGCTATGGAACCTTGAGAGGATAGCTTAGCTGTCGCCAGTGGTTTTGATCCAGGCTATTCTCCTCCCCCCTTCAACTTTGTGTAAAATGGAGTGTTCTAGAAAAGAGTTCCCTGGCTGTTGCCAGTACAGAGATACCGGAATAGCAGAGACCCCCTCAAACGATCGAAAAGCCAAAAAAAAGAAACAAATAAAGAGAAAAAAAGTGATAGTCAAAAGATGAGATGCAAGAATGAAAGATTGATGGTTATGTTTTAAAGTGAGTTCATACTATAATTAGTGGATTGAACACAACACGAAATGTGGTGCAGTAGAGAGCTGGAGTAGGTACCAGACTGAGACAAGGGTCCAAGGCAGGCGGCCCAAGACAGGTAATAGGCAAGAGAGAAAGTAAATCGGTGGCAAGAATGCCAAACTGATCCAATTATTTGTGGTGAATCTCCGAGCCTAGAACTTTCCACCCCATGGTTTCTGTTGAATAGGATACTTGGCGTTAGGCATGATATGCTAGATCCGTACACTGCCAGACTGTGGGGACAAGTATGCTACCTGCGCGTACAAAGAGATGCGAAACAGAGGGAATGGAGGTTTTAGTGAGTGGTCAGAGGCCGGAAAAAGTGATTCTGATAGGCGTTTATACTTTTGCTCACCTGACAGACAGAGTCAAGCAGGATACATATACGCGGGCATGCCCCCTCCTGCCCATATCTCTTCACAGCCCTTCGGTATCTTAACCGAGCAGAATATCGAAATGTTATTCTTGAATCAGGAATCGGCCGCGCTGAACGTCATTCGGGATGTGAAGCAGATTCCATACCTCCAACAAGCACGTGTTGGAATCATTGGGGGATTCGCCGTTCGGGCGCACAACAGCCGAAGAGATACACTAGTACCGTGGCCAACTTTCCAAAACTATCTTGGAGACTTGAATCTGATCATGCTGACATGCGCTGAAAGGATGTCGACTTCATAGTCGACATGAGGGAGGGTTTAGTAAACCGTATCAACCGTGCACTTGAACAACAGAACGATGGGAACCCGATCCCAGAGGGGCCTTCCGGCGTCCCGGAATTTTTCAAGAGCCGACTTTTCCGCCTGAACCCGGTGTTGTTTCGCTACCGTGCGGACTATTTCGAGACGTGGGTTACACACCCAGATGGAACAGACAGGCACAGGAGTGCGGTGTCTGGGTTAAGATCGATTTCACTCCTGGAGAACTGGTAAGTGTAACACCTTTCAATTGTCATCTTGAACTGAAGGAAACTGATGTCTTTATTGTCTCCTTTTCTTCCTGCTTGTGCTCTCCCGGTGGAACTTATCCCTAACAACCGGCTGCCGATTGCAACGCCCGCCGAGCTCGCTGTCCTGAAAATCTGTTGTTGGTCGGCCAGAAAAAGAAAACAAGACAGGGATGACGCCAAGACTATGCTGGTTGCTGCCAACTCGAACGGCCGTTCTCATCTACCCCCCGCCCAGAGGAACGTGGTTCTCCAATATTTGAAAGAATTCGCCAAAGATGACAAACACCCGCTAGATTGGTGGAAGGAGATGTTGCAGGTGTGATCGACTACCGGATCAATTGGGGCCCGAATGGGGATGTATGTATGCCAGGGCCTGTGGGTTTGGGGATGAGCAGGTTGTAAATGGACGGCATCACTGATTGATGGACAAATTGTTGTTAGCGAATGATGTAGCCATTGGGGGGAGTGGTGGGAGAGTGGTGGGAGAAGGGTGGGGGTTGTAATGTGATTGGATGTCACCTTGAATCTGTTAGTTGTGGGAATGCATAGATTAGAAGCAAGCGTCAAGCGATGGATAATATGACAGCGTCGCGTCAAGGACCTCCGAATCTCCTATCATGAAGAGTAGGGGTAGTCAATCGCGTGGGTTAGGAGCGGCCCGCCGTGGGTCACATGGCCAGTAGGTAACTGTTTAACTAGTTGTGGCCTAGCTCGACCCAGCTGGAAGATCCATTCTGGCATCCTGCCCATTTGAGCTGAGCAACCCGACAGACGCGTCGAACAAGAAACATGAACACATGCAAGATTGTTAACCGATTCCTATCTACATGTTTTCTCAAATGCCTTTATCGACCGCCAACCTACTTATGCTGTCAATCGAGCCCCTGATCCAGCGACTCGGGTACTGTTGCCGTTGAAGACGTATCCCACTTTTCCTCGGACTGCATCTCCTGTTCCCTAAGATAATCCTGACTCTTCTCAAGCAAGCCAAGTATCTCCCATTGAGACGTCATCCCTGCAGCGTACTCTGCAAACTTGAGCGACTCGCAAAGATTCCTGACTTCTTCCGCAGATTGGAGAAAGGGCAGAAGAATCTCAAAGTTATCCTTGTCGCGACCGGGTAAAGAAACTTTCCTCCTGTTGCCGTTGCCACACCCTCCATAATCTTCGAGAAGAGCCTGCAGAATTCGGAGATGGCCATGTGCAGCTGCCTGGCTTAATGCGACATCTTCACGACCCGCATTTTCGTCGTTACTTGGACACATCTTGTCTACCGCTCGAATTTCCAGGTATTTCCCGATCGGCGTTGGGTCATTGCCCTCCTTCACGGTCGCATTCAGCCTTTTCACCAGTTCACGTAACAACGCCGTTCGGAGCAGCGAATCGAGAGACTCTTCTCGGTAATCCATGACGTACAGCCCGGGGATAAGGCTCCAATCGCGACACGAGTAGAGTAGCTCTTGCAACGCCAGTTCCAATTGCTCTTCTTCCACAGGCCTGAAGGAGAAATATGTGTGCATACTGAGCGTATCCTGCAAGCGAGAATGTGACTTCCGAGCCTCGCACCAAAAGTTCCGCGTTATCTCCCAAAGCACAGCAACCAGGTTAGCAGCACCAATAGCTAATACAAGTATCTGACCCACTGACCCGGGGATAGGATTGGTTTGCAATCTATTAGCCAGGATCATTCGCTCGACGGATACGATCGCGATAACCGAACAACCAAGATGCATCGCCGACCAATATATCAGTCGCAGCGCGAAAAGTAACAACCTTTTCGGAAGTTTCTTTGGTTTGCTGCTATACGCACGTGATACTTTCGCGGCGGTCGGAAGCTTTGGTCGCAGAATCGGTCCGAAAAGATCAACTTTGTTTTCGAAGGGGAAAAAGTTGGGACAAGCATGTTTCTTTGACAGAAAGTACTGCCGCTGTCGCTTGACGGGTCCTTTGGCGAAGTATAAGCCCATTTGATGGAAGCCGCACAGTACCAAAAAGAAGATCGCCACCATGATCGCGAAAGCTGCGGCGAATCTGCGCCAAGATGTGCCATACAGTACAGGCTGAACGTTCCCAACAGCGCCCCTTTGCTGTCATTTCTTTCCCTTGGGACATGGTTGATTCCATCGATCCAGTACCAAGCAGAGACAGCATTCGCAGCCAGACAGAACACGTTCTGCGACAAAAGGACGACATCCGGCTGTAACTCATACCGAAATCCTGTGTTCGGCTCATTGCGCCTTTCGTAGAGATTATACGAGTCCTGGAGAAAGAGCACGACCATCAAGTAATACACAATAAGGAAGTCCGGAGGAATATATTCAACCAGGAACTTGGCCGAAACTGCACAGCAGATCAGAAGGCAGCTGGTGCGTACACGACGAAGAGAGGCCCATGATCGTAGCAGGTCACCCGCAACAGAAGCAATGATGCCCAATGCAGATACAAACCAAGGCGAATACCCAAGCCATATATCTCTCCTGAGGAGCCTGAGCTGGTGCTGGAGATAGAAGTCATGATGATAGCAGTGTCTATGCATGGTGGGGCAAAAAGGTAGAAAGTGAATACATCATGTTCACGTTGACTCCTCGCCCTGGGTCAATGCGCTGTGACATTGTTGGTTCAACACCATCCAGCCAACTGCGCCAAGCCCCTTTGAACGAATATCATTTATTCATTGCCTGCTTTGTTCACATAGGATTGTGGGAAAGAGAACCCAACTTCGAAAATATCTCTATTGGTATCTTGAAAATTTATATTACGGCGGGACACGGGGCTATAAACACGTAAAGTCACCGATACAAATGTATTAATAATGATGGTTGATCTATTGGAGTCGCTTTGAGAGGTAGCAAGGAGGCAGGACTTATCCGGTTGATAAAAGCATATCGAGCAAGCGGTATCCGGAACCTTCCACAACCACGTCTGTCCATGAGGCTTCTCTCGAGAGAACACCTTTGGTGTCTCGCCCTTCCTATTCTTCCTCCTCCCCCTCCTCCTCTAGTTCTTCCTCGGAATCCTCCGTTTCCTCTTGATATACCGAGGTAAGCCCCAAATGCATATCTGAGTCGGGATTAAGTTCTTCGTCAGTCGTGTCGGCAGCACCGCTAAGGGCAAGGACTCGATGAAGGACCCACTGCATGTCTAGCAGCTCCATGGATGGAAGGGGGTGGTCGACTGGGTCATCGGTTTTGAAGGTGAGAATGTCTCCGGAACTTATTTTTGACTCGGTGTCAATGCGAAACAGCGTTGCGGAGGGTTGGCCGTCCACTATGATGGAGGAGAGACTGCGAGGGAAAGGGCTGGGAGCCTTGATCGCGGGCATCTGATGAGAGTATGAATGATGAGGCAGCCAAAAGAATTGCACTGTAAGAACACTCTGGTCCTCGCTTAGGGACAGAGGTTTCAAGGCAAACCGCGCCATTTCCCACAACTTATGGGCAAGGTTGACCAGGCACATCAAATTTGAACAGGTCTCCGTTCCATCTGGGCCTAAGACCTGTCTCTTCCAGGCCTCGATCTTTTCTGGAGCCCAGAAAAGCTGCAATCCTATCCAGAATTCTTTTTGTTCCTTTTGCCCCTTCTGACCGAGGCTCAACGGATAAATGTGTGCAATTTCGATCGCTTGACTAAACCCGGTGAGAAGACAAGTCCCATTATCCCGTTGCTTGCACTTGATCCAGTTAGTGAGAGGGAATTGGGTTGGTGGTGTAGTGCGTATGACTTACCAGCTTTTGGGGGGCTACCTTACAGCCAGTCGACCTTTTCGGCGACATAGAAGTGGCCTTTTCTTCAGGCCCTGTCGTCGCAGAGGGGCTCCTCTCCGAGGGGTGTTCAGCTTGCTTGCTGGAATATCGAGGGATTTTATAAGGCTTTCGTGATATTGAAGCAAGCCGGCGCTTCTTAGTTGGGGTTTCTTCGACGTCCGGATCTTCTAGGTTCTCGCAGGGTAAGCCTTCGTCGACCAGCACAGTAGTTTGTTGCTTTCTAGGTTATTTTGTAGGGGTAAGGGTCGACATCGCGGGAATTGAACTGGTAGGTACCAGCTACTGCTGCTTACCACAAAGGTTTTTAAACGAAAAGGCTAGAGGGAGGTGTTTAGACGATAGAACTGGCACCAGCATCAGCTGTTTACCACAAATGTATTTTGATGAACGAAACGCGTTCATCAACATAAGCGAAGGGAGGGAACTGAGTCATGGAGGGTGATGAGAAGATGGGCATATGCGTGCCGCGAACCCACGTATTTATGACGCGTCTACCTGCATATTGAGAATTTTCTGACTTCACTATGCAGCCTTCCAAAATGGTCTGAAGTGCATATAAAGGGCCTAGCTTTCATCCTACCCACAGGCGATATTCCCTACCCGCAGGTGAAGTTTAGCTAAGTAATAATGAATAATACCCTGGGGGGGGGGGCTAAATAATTACAGGTTATTTTCTAGTTTCTACTCCATACTGCCGAATGGGATGCAATGCGGATGGCATCTACACCAGGCTCCCTTGAGCAAGCTACAAAGCGTAGTAATCTAGGGAAGTGTAAGTAATCTTCTGGAATATACGGATGTTCAGAATGGGAAAGGCAGAGTTTCGATAAGGCTAAATTATTAGATGAATTCGGCTAGCTGCATTTGTTGTTAACATATTCACTATTTTTAATCTTCTGTCTCTTCTCCTTCACTTCATCTTTCTTCTTTCACTCTAACTCTTCTTCCACCACCGCCATCACTGCCTATGTTTTATAAATCTCCAATCAGCTCCTAGTCTTTCTCCCCAGGGGTCGTCGCCAGTCACAAATCCACTGACGGCCCAAATCATGTTCGCAGTGGGTTGTGCACAACTTGCTTCGGTCGGTATCCAGGTCCATAGCGCGACAATACACGCGACGCCCACCGTTGACTTGTTCATTGCAACCGCAATACCTACCATAGCTCTTGCAGACCCTTTGCAGGTAACTCACGCCGTCGAGGGAAGAAGCGAGAATCAGACAGCTATATTTTTTGGCATACGCACCCCCGGGGAAAATGCTAATCGCAAGAAAGCCGGCCCCGGTCAAAATTCCCAAAAACATGATGAGTGCCTGCGTTGAAGTGGCTCGCAGACCATACCTACTAGGCCCATCAATGTCACATACTCAACTGTCCACAGAAACGCGGCGGTTAAGTGGACTGTGATTGGATGAAAGTGACGACTAGCAAGTTGAATTCTCACGATTACATGTAAAAGACTAACATATTGTGAAAAACAAAAGATGAATAATCAAAATACTCAAAGGTAGTTAAGCTTTCTGGGAGCAGCGGGAATCACTTGGGATTAATTGACAAGTATATTAGGGCAGCGCGGGGACTAAATATCTGCCTACGCGGTCCCTAGGAACCATGCCCCAAATGCTAACAACGTTCCCATTCCCATTCCGCTGAAAGTTTTACTAACTCCTCCGCTTGAGGGGGTGGTTTCATCATCGGAGACGCTGTCGCTTGCAGTTGCTTCTGGCCCGGCAGCTGAGCTTGCCTCCGAACCTAAGTCATTTGAGATCGTGCTGGCATCGCTTGAAGTGGTCTCGGAGGTCGACAGATTAATCTCGCTAGATGTAGCCGTCGAGGACTCAACCGCAGTGGTGGTGAAAATTTCCTCATTTGAAGAGGTTGATGTCGATGTGGTCCTAGTTGAAGCGACAGTCGCCGTCCTCAAACCAGAATCTACATGCGTAGATACCCCAGACACGCTCGACACGTCCGTCGTGGGGATGGCCGGGGCGTAGGTAGTTGAATCGTCATCGCCACTTCGAAGCGTCACAGTCCTGTAAGGTGTGTGGATCGTAACCATGGTGGGGGTTCCAGTACATCCTCTACAAAATCAGTAACTGATCAACACAGAGTTAGAGCAAGGCCAGGAAACAAACCCGATAAGGTTGGCACAGCATCCGATGAATACGTTGCCATCAAATTGGCATCGCTGAGCAATACCACAACCAACTGCATAAACATGTTAGCATTATGTTGCTGATGGGTCGTCTGGCGCATAACATTCATACCACCGCCTTCATCATGTCCGCAACAATTTTGCGCACATCCGTCACCACAACATGTCCCTATGATGCATCGCCCACCCCCAGGACATGTGTCTCTCTTCTCGAGGGCGCCGTACTCAACAGTGGAGAACTCCTGCTTTAGGAGTATTGGCAGTTCGTTGGCCCCAGCTTCCTCGTTCGCGGCGCATTGGTGGATGGTGACACTGGCCACCAGCAGTGATAGGGCTGTATTGAACAACATCTTGACCGTTATGAATGCAGAGCGGATGAACTTTGAAAACGTTGCTTCTGTTCATGGAGATACTTATATTTTCAGAGATTAATCGGACAAGTGGGCCAACACTCGTATTTCTTCTCTTGGCAAGGTCAGATCCCCATCGCTATCCCACGCTATCACACTCGGCTTGATAAAGTCGAACGAACTCCTAGTCTCCTATACTATTTCTGGGCCGCCGGTTGACTTGGCGCGCAGCCGTGCCTCGTGTTTGGGGCCTGAGCATCCACTCATCTTCGGGTTGTGTGATTGTGGTCGCGTGGACGGGAAGTCTATTGAGCCTGAATGGGTGGCTTTACCTAATGCTCGCTTGGAAGGGCATGAGCTCGGTCTTGATGCGTTGTCCTGGTAGACCACAGTGTAAGAGCCTCATGAGGTGGAACTATTTGGGTTTCGGGCCTTCATCACATGTAGCCCCAATTGTTGGATCCATGAGGTTGCATGCTGACCCTGGGGTCCAGGACTGGGTGGAAGATGCTCCAACGTGGGGCGTGATCGACATCGCCTCGGGTTCGCGTTTTGATACCTAAAGAAGCGATCCTGTGATGCTGAAAATAAACACCATCCCACAAGAATATATAGCGCGACTTACGGGCTAGACCACAGTCTCCTTGCCCTCAATCAAATCAAACGTCGGAACAGTCTCCATATCAAAGAACCCTTTCCCATCAAATCGATGCTCATCTCTTTTCGTCTGACAATACCTCATCGCTGCATCCCGAACGACACCCCAGTCCAATACACATCTCCCCAGCACCTTGCCGTCCGCATTTACCCTGTCCAACGCCTCCTTCACCCATGCCACGCAATTCCAGCCCGGCGTGTTCTGCTTCACAGGCGTCTTCCTGATCAAGCTCATCAAGCGGCCTTTATCAGTTACCTTAGCCACTATGATTCGAACCAACAGCATATTCGTCGGACCGACCGAGCGGGTCGACTCTTCGAAGTACCACTCCCCGGTGCCGTCTGCTTTCAGGCGCTCTTTAGCGTCATAGTGGAGGCATACGCTGGATTTGATTTCGTTCTTCGGTGCAATGAATAACGCCCAGTGGTAGCTAATTCGTTTAGAATCATCAGAGCGAGATACAAACCAAGCGCTTGAGGTTTAGGTATGCGGTACTTGGCGCGGATAGCGAAGTAGCCACTTGTAGTGTCATAGGAATTTACGTATCTTCCTTCCCGGGCATGGTAGGGCCCCCTGCACGCGCGTGTAAGCCGATATAGAGTCGATCTTTGTTGGAGGGCATTGTGGCAGAGAAGATGTGAAGCTCGAGAGAAAGTAGGCAACCTGCCACGTGATAGCGCCGTTAGTCTCCACGGCGTTCTCTCCTACCCAATGGAATTTCATCATTTCCATCATCCCTCATCTCCCTTGGTCATCATGTTTATATATTTGACACTGGCTCCTACATGGTTGAGCCACATTCTGACATGTTTCTCAATGAAAGGGTTGATGATATAGTCAGAAAAAGCCTCCGAAGGAAGCAAGTAAGCAATTATCAGGAATGAGACATCATGAGACGGTGCCTCTCTCCTCCGTATATACAATGTCCTAATTTCTCTGCTATGCTCCTTGCCTAGGTTTTCTTGGCGCCTGCTGCCACTTCCCCGTCTGCCTCGTTTTCCAGCCTCTGCGCCAGAATCATCTGCGCGATCGCATCCTCCGTCTTCAGATACGTGCGACTTCCCTGCAGAAACCAGAATCCGACCGAGACAACCAACATCACCCCAAACACAGCAATTGCGTAATTCATATCACCAGGGGGCGGGTTTGGCGACTCCGGAAAGAAGAAGAACACGGTTGTGATGGCGCAGTAGATCAAACTGACCCAGTTCACAGGCTTACCCCATCGTCCCAGCTGAAATGGGCCCGGGGGGAGCTTCTCGCGCCCGACGACTAGCAGCGCCGCAATGGGTAGACCGTACGAGATGGTGAGAGCAATGGTGCTGACACTCAGTATGGCGTCAAGGACGGTGTTGGCGAACAGGTAGAGAATACCGACTAGGGCGATCAGAACGCCTTGGAACCAAAGGGCCCGCGCGGGAACCTTCCAAGTACGATCCACATGCATGAGATACGAGCTCCAGGGTAGACCACCGTCGCGCGCGAAGCCCCACGTTAGCCGGGAGGCTGTGGTCAAGATACTTATCCCCTGACCGAGGCCATTGAAGATGAAGAGTGCGATTAACGTTGCGCCGCCTTTCAGACCTATGGTCTCTAGCATCAATTCGATGAAAGGGAGCCCGCTGGGCGAATCAACGACTCGGTCGACGTTCTGAATGCTGAAGAGACAGACAATCATGAAGATGAATCCGGTGACGGCGCCCAGCAGCACAGCCAGCCAGATAACCTTGGGGGCGTTTTTACGCGGCGCAGGAATCTCTTCGACCATGTGGATGACGGCATCGAACGCTGTCAGGCCGTAGGCGGCTTGGACCAGACCAGTGAACCAGACGACGCCGTCACTCCAGCCGGTCTGATTCATCCATTGACCGAAGACGAACGAGGCGGGCTGGAAAGAAAGATCGCTTTTGACGCCAACGGAGATGAGCAGAGCAAGCGATAGAACGACAAACAGCCCAGTGAACCACACCCCGACAAAATTGTTCAGCCAGGGTAAAAATCTTTCGCTGCGACATCCGACCACGTTGATCACAGTCAAAACAAGTACACAGCCAATGTACACGACGAACTCCAACCATCCGGTGCCCGTGCCTTCCCAATCAGGTTTGAACATGACTTTCATACCCAGGAGAAACTCGGTCATAAAGGCGACCTGGGACGCGGTGAGAGTCCACCATCCGAACGTGTTAATCCAGGCGCACATGTATGATGCGAACCGGCCCGTCGGCGTGTCCCACAGTCGAAAGACCCAGTAGGCTTGGCCCAGCGCGGTCGGCATGCTACTGGCAAGCTCACCCAACGACACAGCCACGCAGAGGTTACACACGGTGACCAGACATAGACCCCAGAGAATGGTGATAGGGCCTCCATTGGTCAGTCCGCTGTTGAGATCCTGCGCGAAAGTGGAATAGGTCCCTTGTTTCGGTCAATAAAACAAATGTCGCGTCAATCAGGTAAGTAGGGGGCATACCGAGAACACAGAACGCGAGCGCCAACATGCTCCAGAGGTCAAATTTGCGCGTCAGGGCCTGGTCATGGCCCATAGCCGCGAGATCGCGAGCATCTTGCACACTCTGATCGACCGATTGCACCGGTTTGATAGATTGGGGGTTTGTTTCCAGGTCCATCCGGAGAGAAACAGGAATTGAGCAATTCAGCCGACAGGGGGGAAAATCAAATCGATGGACAAGAAGTGAACCCAACTGTCCATTTTCTGCTGTCAATTGGCTTGACTGTAAGAGAGCTGTTCGCGCAGGAGGGGGCGCGAGTTCTTATGAATGCCGGTGTCCTACCAAGCCAGCCTGCACGGCGTCGCAGCAACGGGGGTATTTCGGTTCCCCTCACGAGAAGCGCATGGATGGATTGGTTGTTTATCAATGGGGGAAGTTAATCACCGACATTGGTCATGAATGATAGTCCGGTGATAGGCGTGAGATACTCGATGAGGGTTAGCAAATAATTTGTTCGGATTTTTCCGCGCGGAACACGGTCGGTGGGAATTGTTTTGCGGGGAGGAAATTGGGCTGTTTGTGTTGGCTCGGTAGGACTTCCTAAGTGGGGATGGTTGATGTCACCTCCTTCCTCGCCTTATGAACATGGACTTTTTTGACGCGGGAATAGGAATGCGCCACACAACCCGCCTACCTCCCACCTTAGGCGACAGCATTACATCCATCGCCAAACCCTCGCTCTACCTAGTATCTCCCAGGCCTTTCCCTGCCATCCACTCGCCACCCCCAATTGGGCAGGTCTATGCGGCCCTGATAAACCCCGTGTTGATGATTGTCGATCGGATGCATGACCGCATCCTTTAGATAACGACCTGCCTATCATCTGCAGGATTTTAAAGCGATACGACGCGATAACAGCCGCTGACTGGACTATGGGACCCGGAAACGAAAGATGGGCGCGGTAAATGACCGGGGGGACGCATATCCATCTGGCGTCCCCTTCATCTAGACGTCCCGTATTCAGCCAGACAACGGGATAAGACAGGCCCAGATCTTTTATCAAGCCTATGAAACTAGCTCAAACTCTGCTTCTAGCCGAACTGTTACCGGAAAACAAGGTGGGAAAACGCGGGGAAGGTGCTGTTGGCAGTGTCGATCTCTGAGTCAGCCCTTGGTCGGCTCTGGTCTTGACTTCACGGGTGGCCAGCGGTAGACTGCCACAGGAGGCTTATACAATCATGTTAGTCCATGGCGTGCTTATAGTCCATAACGATGCCTGGTCCACCTATGAGTTCTGCCGACATTGCTCATTCAGAACTCAATGTCACCGAACAATCGGGGTATGAATTTTTCGGTTCAACTCAGGTACCGGCGGGCTTTGCAGCCCCGAGATGCACAATACAGTTATCTATGTGGGTACATCGCGAACAAGTTTTGCCAATTGGGCTGCATATACACTAGCTCGTTTGCTCCACGATATAGTTATCTCCTGGACTTTCCCAATCAGGAGAACGGCAGATCAGGAGGCTTAGCATGTGCTATCAGCGCGACGAGAGAAAATGACTCGTTTGACGCTTTTTTGGGGGGGGGGGGGAGGGGGGATTCGATGGACAATTATCTCAACAGTGGAGTTGATTCCATTATATTTTTCTCTTGCCCGAAAGTAGTCGTTATGCTAAAACCTAGCCAGTTTTCCAGACAAGAATCCCTTCGATCTGAAAAGGAAAGCAAAGAGAGAACGCAAGAAAAGGAGGGATGGGGTCAAAGGGGATTGTAAAGGTATTAGAAGAGTCCGTCCATGAACCATGTCTTCCACCTGAAAAATCAATCTACCTCCATTTCCTCCGAGTCTTCCCAAGGCTCCAAAGGATAAGGGTTTTCCATCAGTCTCCTATGTCCCTCATCCATTTCGACATACCACTGTGCAAACTCAAAGAGCTTCCCTTCCAAACACGCCTCATGAAGATCAAGTGGATCTGCCTTCAGAAGCAGGCTCTTGTAGATGTCCATCAGAGTACGCATCTCCTTCATGGTCTGGCAGTTTTCAAAGCCATAGTCAATTCCAACCGGCCTGCTAACGGGAAACTTTGCCGGGTCGTCGATAGCAAGAAACTTCTTAAGTGACCAAATGGTCGGGCGTGGTTCGTCATCGGGGCGGGAGAGAAAGGCTTCAAGACAAGAAATCTCTTTTCTTTCGGATGCGAGTCCTCTTGCGTCCATGAGTTCTATTAACTTGCCAGACTCATATGCATACCAAAAGTTAGAGAAAGTAGCCGTGTCCGACTGAGAACCGCATGCTATGCCAGGAGCTTCAACGTCATCGAGCAAACCGCTTCCGAAAAGTAGTCGGCTGTAGAGTCTCACCAGCAAATTTTCCTCTTCTTCATCGCTACAGGCACAAAATCCAAAGTCAAACCAGGCATTCTCTCTTGGCTTGGGGCGAGCCAAGCGGCAAAGTAAGACTAGAAGGTGAAAAGATTTCATCTTTGCTTGCGGCTGAAGGTCTGCTAGTTCTTTTTTCTGATCTTCCTTTTCTAGGAAGAGATGTGCTCTGTCGAAGGAGGTACGTGCAACATTTTCGTCTTTCTGGAGTACGTCGACCTTTTCCAAAAACCACGAAAAATAGCCTCCGCGGGGGCCTTTAGGAGCTCCGAGGAACTGGCTCTTGATGTTTGCAACTAGCGATCCTTCGACTTGCCATTTGTGAATAGCCTCTGCCGGTACACCTAGCCGGTATAGACCTTGGTACAGCCCCAGTAGATTGCTCCTGTCCTCGAATGACCAAAAATGGTTGAAACCAAAATCGACTACCACATCCTGCCGTTCTGGTATGGTGTTCATCATGAGGCATTCGAAAAGATGATGTGCTGATATCAGAGAGGACTCGGTGCAGGTGACGCGGTGACCTTTGGATCTTTCTTTTTCGCATTCAAGACTGCAGTAGTTTCCTTTGTTGCACACACTGCATGTTCGTGTCGTCAGGCGAGAGCAACTGTTGCATTCACGTAGCGGTTCCTCGTGGTGCATGCCTTCCAAGGCCGGATTCTCATTGTCAATCTGGGCCATTGTGGCTCCCTGTTCCAGCGAGATACTAATTCATCATTAGTTTGAGGTTTTGTCAATATTATCTATAACTTACCTCTCCAATGCCTTCGTAACATTCCCTTGTTCGGTGTGCAGTTCCGTGTTCATGAGGTCAGACATTTCGTGGAGACCATGGCGTTCCTCATCCCTGCTGCTGGTTTCATTCGCAACCCAAGCATCCAAGGGCATTGACTTTCTGTCGAGCCTGCGCTTCAAAATGCTTATGACACAGTCCTCCAACCACCTCAAGGTCGTGGGAACACATTGTATGCCCCCTGGTGTTAGTTCAGTGAGCTCCGGTACTGACCATGGCTGCAAAAGGGCCACATCACACCCTCTAGTTGGGATCCTGCTGTAGCTGAAGAACTCGAGGAAGTTCGTGCACATGAAGCAGCTGAGCTGATTGCATCCAAGGTAGGGAAACAGATCACGAAGCAACCGCCCATGCGTACTGAAATACAACATCATTTGCATCTCCGCATGAACCGAAGGAACCTGTTTCTGCAGCAAATCAAACTGCTCCTGAGCCTTAGAGATGAGGCACTTGCCCCGAGTTATTTTCGCGATGGTTGAGGAGTCTAATTGTAATCCCAGTAACTGAAGAGTCTGCTCCAAGTTGAGAGGTTTTTCAATAGGTCTCTCTAATGCTTTGTCGTAAGGTATGGGGTTTATGGTGACTGCTTTGAAGCCCGGGACTGTCTGACAGATATTCTTGAAGACACGAAAGATTGCTTGCAGCCCACCAAGCAAGGAGATAATGCTCCATAGGCTTCTGGTGCGCGCATTCGCATCAGCGGAGTCCATGAGTAGCTGACAAACGCTTTCGTCTTCCCTCAACGCGTAAGCCTTCTCCACCAACAGGCGGTGTCTCTCCATCGCTTTCAGATGAGGGTCGCTGTTCTCGAAGACTACCTTGTTGAGTGTCTCGATCCTTTCACGTATTACCGAGAATGAGGCATCTGCGCTGGCACGAAAAGCTTCCTTGCACTCCTCGAGACTGTATTTCAAATCAGGAATGAATTGGCTTTCGATTTCGTGCGCATAATGACCCAGTATAGCTGTCCAAAGATCGTCTGCTTTTTTCTCATCTAGGCCAGTTTAGTATCCTTTGCTCAATTGCGATTGCCCAGAATGCATGCACACACCTTTGTTTGCGGATGCAAGGCAGCCCAACAAATTGGCCAGTCCGTTCAAAAAGACGATATCTCGTTCCTTGAATCCTCCGGCTTTTGTGGCCCAGATTGTTACTCCCTTCTCCCTGTCATCCATACTGGTACAAGTACTTGGTCTAGATTCCACGTTGCCCACCAGCTCGGCCAAGCAGTCCAAGAACTGGATCTTGAGTTCGCCATGGTCGTGTGATGTAGCTGAGTGACATTCATAGCTTTCCGAATAGGCCGCGATACTTATACTGTCAGTATCGTAACCCTCGTTTTCGTGGGATAGAGATTTCTCTCCAGCTATCTTGTTGAATAGAAAGGCGAGGAGATTGGCGAGGGCTGTGAATTTCTTCTTGTCCAGACCGGACGAATCCCAGTCGAACTTCTCAGCCATGATGGTGAGCAGTCAGAGTCTTTGGCTCTGACGCGTTTCAGAGGAGAAACAAAACAAGGTAAATCCGTCTGCTCGGTAAGTGAGATAACGACTGGATATCCCAGTCCTGTGTATTGGTCTATGCTCACTTGACAAAATGATGCCAAAGTACAGAGAATGAAAACTGGGAAGAGGGCAAGGAAGAGTAAGGGGGGTGAATATAGATGGTTGGGATGTAAAAGAAAGAGGTGAAAAGGGGTGGGATATCAAATTCCATGAAATTGGAAGGGGGTGAGGTCTTGGATGTAACCAGGAAAATCCCTGTTCTTTCGTCCTTTTCTGGGAGTGAATGTCAAAGCCAGGTTGGACCTTTCGGTAGTTCCATTCACATGAGACGTATCTATCAGACCCAGGAACAGTTCTCTCGGATTCCAGATGTTCTTTGTTCTTTCACTGTTCCCTAAATCTCGTACATCTTTTAGGCCAGTCTTATGTTGGAGAGCCTGGCCAGGTGATAAAGATGCATATCATTGTTGTAGATCCCCTCCTTAGTGAACTAATTCTAGTGAAGCTACCAGTGAGAACAGGGTAGACAATTCATTCAAAAGAGCATCTCATCCTAGATCTCTTCCTAAATCACATCCAGGGGGGTCTAGGCAAACGACAAGATGCTTGATTTATTCCGTTCCGGGTACATACAATATCCGCGCGTGTTATACAATATTAACAAGAGATACTCCCTGGTAGCTTACATGACTTGCTGTTCTATAAAGGGCCTGCTGCTGTCGCTTCTAGTTCTATCCACAGCTTTGAGCCTACCCACCGGCAGAATTACAAGATAATGATAATGAATGATTCCAGCTCATTTTTTCACTTTTCTACAATGCGGATGGCAGTAGCCCTAATCGGGCCTGCCTTCTATACCAGACTCCCTCGAGAGAGCTCACCCGATGAAGGACCACCAAGTGAAGAGATCTAGAGAAGTGTAGTTAATCGTCTGGGGTGTACGTATATTCAGGACTGGGAAGACAGAGTTTCTGGAGTTGTCAGGTACCACCGGACCTTGGAACAAGCCTATACCATGACATGAACTCGGCTGCCTGGGGGTTTGTTGTTGACCTATTCACCGTTATAAGCTATTCACGGTTGAGTAAGAAGGCCGTTGACGCGTGAATCCGTTTTGATATTCTTTCCTCCCCCCAACTTCGTTCTCTTCCTCGACTTCATCTTTCTTCCTCACTCTAACCCTTCCACCACCATCATCATCATCATCACCACCCACTGCCTACCCTGCCTCACGTCTATTATAACGTGATAGACGATGACTCCAGTCTCTTATCCTAAGACGGAGAAGGGCTCTGCCTCGCGCAAGAGGGAGAAAGCAGATGCTGATCCCACTGCAGCGTCGGGGAAGGGGTCTCAACCGCTTTTCACCAAGATGAGTTCGACCGTCAAGTTCCCGGTCAAATCCATCAAGTATCACGGGTTGGAAGAAGACATTTCGGTGGCTCGAGAGATTTCAATGGAGCCTGCGGTCACTTTGTTTCTGTCTTCAGCATTCCTGAAGCTCAGACAGGGTGTCTCTACCGACGAGGGGCGAAGTCGCTCTTCCTGGAACATCACGTTCCACATTCACAATATCACGGTTGTCTCGCTTGGCGTGAAGAAGGATGAGCTCATCTACACGTTCAACTCCGCCTTCGATCTCAAAGGCGATGCGGATACTGAAAAACAAGAGGATCTCCCGATGCCATCAAGCTATCCACTCGCAACAACACACTTGAAAAACCAGGTTGTTGTGATTACCTTGGGTTTGCCCAACCCTAAGCTGTGGGAAAGGCAATCCGAAATTGTTTGCCAGGTTCTTCGCGCTGGTAGATTGACCATTTCCGAGGCCTTGCAGGCATATATCACTACCAACCGCGAGGCTATCAATAAAGAGGCCGAGGAAGAACACGAAACCCTCGCCATTTGCGGCTGCCAAGTCAAGGGCGTTGCGGTTGGAGAGCGAATTCTCTTGGGAATATGGCCCAAGGAAGAACGCCCATTCCGTCTTTATAGAGGCTGCAACCTAGTGCTCCGCGGTGAGCAGTTCTTCCAAAAGGAAGATGCCAAGGGCAATCGCATTCGTGGTCAGAAGGACGTCTCCGAAGACTTGATGGCCGAGGTAACCGAGGACTCTCCCAAGGGCTATCGCATTCGTGGTCAGAAGGACGTCTCCGAAGACTGGATGGCCGAGGTAACCGAGGACTCTCCCAAGTGGACGGCCTTGATCGATGCCCCCGTGCATGCGGTCCTCCTAAATCAAGTGAGCGTCACGCTTGTTGACAAGGTCAAAGAGGACAACGTCAAGGTCCACCCGGTCTCCAACCCCATTGTGCAGATGACAATGCTGACGGCCACAAAAAAGCTCTCTGAGCACTGGGGGGACGAAAGCTTCGACGCAATATGCAGAGAGTTTGAGGATCACGAGGCCAAACTTCCCGACGACCACAAGAATACCCTCACGCTCTCCTCAATGTTCCTGCCCTCCGCTCCCCGGGTGAATACCCACAACCCATTGGACGCCTCCCTGGATCTCACCAAACTGGTGCCGCAAAACTGGAAGCTCACCGAGGCGCAGACCAAAGCAGCTACTCAGTTGCTGACGCACACTTTCTCCCTTGTGGTTGGACCTCCCGGAACAGGGAAGACTCAAACGGTTGCCGCAGCCACGATGCTCATCACGCAGATCCTGCACCTGCGTGGGTCGGTAGGAAAGGCCAGATTGGCCGTCCTATTGCCGACCCACGCAGCAGCTCACGCGGTGTTGCAGCAATTGTCCGCGGCGTTTACACGCTATGAATACGGAGCCAAAAAAGTCATACGTCTCCGGAGCAGGGCGGATTCCCACTCGCGCCTCTTCGCCAACACGACCCATCCGTACGATGATATCGAGAGAATGATCGCTCTTGCCAGGGAGAGCCCTAGGGAGTACAGCCAATTTCTTAAGGGCATCGACAGCCTCCGCGCCTCCGGCTGGGTGAAGAACGAGAAGGAATTCAATAGGGAGCGGTCCAGGCTCATGCAATCCGTGATGGAGGAAGCTCAGGTTGTGGTGACCCTGCCACTAAACCTCAAAGCGATGCTTCAGCGAAAGTTTAACCCTCAATTCGTCATCTTTGACGAAGCAAGTTTCTTTCGTGACCCGGAGCTCTTTTCTATCCTGGGCCAGCTGAGGGCCGATGTCCGTGTGCTCTTCACCGGCGACCCCAAGCAGTTGTCGCCGCCTGTCTTTACTGATGAAGGAAGGACAGCGTGGGGTATCTCGGCCTTTGAGCGCATGTGCGACAAGAAATACACCCACACGCTCCTTGACATCTCATTCCGGTCTCACAAGGTCATCTACCAGCCAACCTCGGTGGCCTACTACGAGGGCAAGGTCAAGCCATTCCATGACAAGCCCCCCAGGAATGCCAGACTCAACCAGGCGAGCCCCCTTGTGGTCCAAATTGGGAACCACACCTGGACCATTCCGGGGGTTTCCCATTTCCTCCACCTTGAGCACACCCAAGGCGACACGGAAAAAGATCCCTCGGGATCTTTGCGCCACCCCCGAGAGGCTGAGCTTGGGGTCACACTGGCCAAACGCCTTCAGGAATCTGGCGCCCGGGATATCCTCATCATATCGCCATACCGGGCTCAAGTGGCCCAGATTAAAAAGATCTGGGACCAGAAATATCCCCAAAGCCCGATCCGCCCCAGGGTCCAGACCGTCGACGCATCCCCAGGCTCCGAGGCTGACGGAGTTATTGTGCTAATCACGCGCAACACCGGCGGCCCCGGGTTCCTCCAATCTACCAAGAGGACCAACGTGATGCTGTCGAGGGCCAGAATGGCCCAGTACATCGTCGGCAACTGGAACTGGGTTGGGGGCAAGAGCTTCACGAAGGACGCGGGAAAATGCTATGCCTACCTTGAGGAGGCCGAGCGTGTCTTGCGCGAGGAGATTAACATAGAGTATGTCGTCTGTCCATTAGTGGAGGAGGGAACGTTGGGGAGGGACCGGAGCGGGTGAAATGTACTGTATTCCAAAGAAACTTAACCGACGGGGCTTTCTACACCATGAATAACGATCCAACTCCTACTCTGTCGATGTAGATACTTCTCTACTCTTCGCCTTCCATCCCATTGTAGTCAATTTCCAACTGGGCTGGAGTCGCGTTAAGGCAGGCGCACGACGTGAGACACTGAGCTACACTTCTGAGGCCGCCTTCAGAGCAGGAAAGCTTATCTTGTATTCGGCAAAAAAAAAAAAAAGAGCAACTGAGATGCCGTGGATGCTGCATTTCCTAGAGTATCTAAGCTTCAAGTCACAAAGCTTTACGCGAATTATCCGATTATAACTGTTCAAATTAAGGTTTCCCTTTCCACGATGAACCGCGGTTGTTGCTAAGATTTAAAAAAGAAATCTTGATATTCTGGCGAGAATTTGATACGGCTTGTACGGAGAACGATTAGTTACAAGATGCTTGACTTGTTCTGTGCCGGGCATATACAACATCCGCGTGTTATACGAATATAACAAGACATTCATGGGAACTCTCTGGTAACGTACATGACTCATGATCAAAAGACGAGTGGCGCGATGCTATTTATGCTCTTGCAGATCTTCAGTCCCAAAGAGGGAATTTCCCGGCACTCAATCGGATAATCGGTTAATGACCCCTTGGCAGCACAAATGACGTTGAAGCAGGGGTATATCTCATCCTGTTCCCTCGAATGAAGCTATTCTCCGAGACAGTTTCCCGATATTTTCTCCGGAGTTTGTTGCAATACCCCAGAAAAAAAAATTCCAAGCGATGATGCGGGGAACCTCCGATGGAGTTTCGGCCATGACCTATTTATTTCCACTCTGCTCCCCGAAGCTATGGACACCATGGAGCTAGTGGGCGTGAAACATCTCTCATCATGACCTCCTTATTTGTTTGGTCTTTGATATTACCTGCCGCTGTGGGTACTCTCCACCCTCGACCGCAGGATGGCCTTGCGCGAACTCCGCCTATGGGGTATGTTTCCTACCTGCCTAACAATGCCAAGCTAACTGTACAAGATGGAACACCTATAACAAATATAATTGCAAGCCAAACGAGTCTATTGTACGATCGAATGCCAAGGCCTTGGTCGACTTAGGGCTTGCGTCTGCTGGATATCACTACGTTACGGTGGACTGCGGCTGGACCGTCTCGGAACGACCCGAGGATGGTCTCCTTACCTGGAATGAGACCCTCTTTCCTGAAGGCTTCCAAGCCCTGGGCCAGTATATACACGACCTAGGACTTTTGTTTGGGGCTTACGGTGATTCGGGCATCAAGCTGTGCGGCAGTCCGCCCGATAATATTGGGAATTTGTGTGCGTTCGATCATTCTGTTGGTTGACTTTCTCTAATTGTCGGATATAGACCATGAAGAGGAAGATGCAAAAGCGTACGCTTCCTGGGGAGTCGACGCATTGAAGTGTATGGTTGACTGTAATGAGCCCTGGCAGGGACCAGAGATACTAACCAACTCTGCAGATGACAATTGCTTCTCCGATGCCGAAACGGGATACCCAAATGTAAACTATGCGCCCAAGACATCGCCTCATCCTCGATTTGTCAAGATGGCAAACGCTCTCGCTCAGACAAATCGCTCAATCTTGTTTCAAGTCTGCGAATGGGGAATCGACTTTCCTGCACTCTGGGCTCCGTCCATCGGTCACACTTGGAGAATCGGCAACGACATCCTCCCCGCCTGGCGAAGCATCTTCCGGACGTTGAACCAGGCGGTCCCACAAACGAGCTTTGCCGGGCCAGGTCAATGGCCAGATCTAGACATGCTAGAAGTGGGTAACGGGGTCTTGACGGTTCCGGAAGAACAAACGCATTTCTCGCTGTGGGCGATTTTGAAGAGCCCGTTGACAATCGGCGCTGCTTTGAAGGATGACAAAACTAGTATTGACGATGAGTCTCTGGCTATTCTGAAGAACTCCGATGTGATTGGATATAACCAGGATAAGCTAGCTGTCAGCGCTAGCTTTCGTCGAAGATGGGCAGACGAGGGCTATGAGGTTTGGAGTGGGCCGTTGTCGGGTGGCCGGACTGTGGCAGCGTTGATCAACTGGAACGACGAGGCTAGAGATTTAACCTTGAATCTGCCCGACGCTGGCTTACAATCTGCTGGCATCTTGAAGAACATCTGGGAAGGTTCAACTGCTCGTGATGTCAAGACATCGTACACTGCCAGGGTTGAGGCCCATGGCACCATACTAGTTGAATTGCAGGACACGGTTGCGTCCGGTCGTTACCCGACAAAGAAGTTCGCATCCTCGAAGGGGTATGAGGGCCTATTACTTGATGGTTCTAAAACTGACCTTTTCGAAGGGCATCTACGATCTTCAAATCGATATACGCCAACACTACAAGCAGCAAACATACCCTGACGATCCATTTCTCCGAACCCGTCTCTACACCCTCCAATGTAACAATTACAACGTCTGCAGGAAGTCGGAAGATATTCAAGGTCGTTCCTCCTTCCAGTGAAGAGGTATCCCTCAGCATTCCTCTCCTTTCAGGTTCAAACAACTCCATCACCATCAGGAATTCACCATCAATCGATTCCATCACCATTCAATCACCTCGTGGAACCTATCACCCCAGCACAGAATTTACCCTCAGCGGAAGTGCTCGAAAAGACTCTTGTGGCTCGGGATTTTGTGAACCCGTCGGTTCCCGAATCAGGTATATTAGCCCTAATGTTACTGCTCGTGCTGTTGTCCCCGCCACGGCTGGCTCTAAATACATCGAGATCGACTATACCAACAACGACGTTGCCTTTGATTCCGCCTGGGACTGGGGTAGAAACACACGAAACCTAACCGTGGCCATTAACGGCGGAAAGCCAGTTCGCGTGGAAACCCCGTTGAGCGGTAAGCACAGTGAGCTCTTTGGGCCAGGCTTAGGATGGTGGGATACTGCGACTATGGGAGTCCTAACGGATGGATGGAAGGACGGAGAGAATGACATCGTTATCGGGAATGTTGGCGGGGAACAGGGAGTTGAGTCGTATGGGGCGGATTTTGTGGGGTTGACCGTCTATAGCTGAGCCTCGTGTATGGCTTTGGTATCAGGCACAACACGATGTTCGGAACTATCCGAATTATCTTTGAGTCTGACGTCCTGATCAGCTGAATAGAGCTCAAGCACCGAATTATATTGTCATACGGGCGTTTCGCTGTCTTGAAGACGGTTACAGTTCCTCAACGCTTCTATCTCGAAGCCATGCACCTGTGATGTGTCTAACGAACGTTCCAAGCCAAATTCGTATTCAACTCAAACTGTACTGCCCAGCTCATTTACTCCGTATTCGCTTACCTTGGCATGATATCCAACCCCACCAATCCTCGTGGCGCTTCTGGTGTTGAGACTTGGTGCTTATTAGATATGTGATGCTAACATTTAAGGCACGGCGTTGCCCGCGGTTTACAACTAGACTGCTAAAACTCATATTTTGAAGCATAATCTTGAACAATGTCCGAAAGCTCTGACACAGAGTCATACAAGGGAAGTTGTCACGGTAGACATGTGAAATACTCGGCTTCTCTTCCTCCTCTCGAGGAGCAGGATGTTGTTCAATGCAACTGTCCGTTATTCTCCTTTTGAATCAGTTATGAACCGCTACTGAGCTCTTTTGAAAGGCTCGATCTGTCAAATCAATGGCTAATTGTTTGTATACTCCACGACAGCCGACATCCAGCTGGAACATAGCGACGATGCTGTGACGGTTAGTTCATATCCTTTCGGATATTGGAGCTCTGCATATCTTCCGGGCACGTTAACGCCGTCCAGGAATATACCTTTGCGTCTAAAAATTACCCTCACTATTTCTGCAACAAATGCGGGACGAGCATGTATGCAAAGTGTGCTGTTCCAGAAAATAGCCATGTTATGGCCTTGAATGTCAGTCCCCTGAAAGCCCAAAAGAACAATTTCTAACAATTCTAGGTCCGCGCTATTCAAGATGCCGACATCAAGGGGCTGAAATTGGAACACCTCGATGGTCGCAGCGTTTAATTATCGGGGCTGTTCGGCTTTCTGCAGACGATTGTCGGAAACTCAATTGAGGGATAAAAGGACCTTGTGCTACAGCGTTTTCAGTTTTCAGTGAGGCAGATATGATCCGGGCATTCTTGTACGGAACAAACTTTTTTGCTGAGTACATGTGACCACTTAATGACTTTAGTCTAGATGAATGGTTCTAGGTCTTTGTTGTTGCATGAACTATCCGAGGCTGGCAATGGGGCGAGAACCACTCTATGGCCTTATCGGTTATTTTTGAGGATAATAATCCATGCACCACATTCTCTCACCCAAATCTTGTCATTTATGTATGTAAAGCCAGTCAATGAATGGCTGAAAACTCTGCTTCCCTGCTGGTTGCCACAGGCTCATGAGCTACGCTTCCTAGGACATTCTGCCCTTGCTTCTTTATGCAAGGGCAATTGATCTTCCGTACATCCGGGTGAAATTCCGACCACTGATGGAGATAGTGAAGCTTGTGTTTATTCTCTGCTCGATCAATATTCCATATCTCCAAGGGGGGTCTGTGTTGTTGGGACGGCATTTTAATCCGCCCTACAAGGTACCCTTCCCAACCAACTGGATTATACTCCACTCTAGCCATCATACACCCAGCCAGACCTCGACAATCACAGCAATCCTGGGCCCATCACAGTCTGATGCACATTCCTTGCCCTTGCTTTGTCTCAGTGTAACAACTTTCGCTGGCTCGTCATCAGCATGTGACATATTGAATAAGTAGCACTTCTGGGATTTTTATATTTATCCCCGGGCATTTTACCACTCTCGCCAACTCATGAAACCTGGTGCTGGCTGAACAATGTCGCTTGATATCAAACCCACTGAACGGTCCACGGAGGTGGAAAAAATTCCCGATGTGCCCCTATCTTCTGACGATGCCGTTCTTCGAGCCCAAGGCCACCGGGCCGAGCTGAACCGGTCCTTTTCATGGGTAGGGGCGATTGGATTTGCCTTCAGGTAATTTTGCTTCTTACTATATGTGAGCGCCACTGACCCTGGTAGCATTTCCAACGCCTGGCTGGGTTATGCCGCAACTGTGGGGTCCGCCTTGCTATATGGCGGCGGTCAAACAGCTCTATTTGGCCCTGTTGTTGCGGCAGTGGCGACTACAATCGTCTTTCAGGGTCTTGTGGAGTTATCTTCCGCATTTCCGTCTTCGGGGGTGAGTGGTCATTGTACCAGTATTTAAGGCTTCACTAAGGCATGGCAGGGCCAATATCACTACACCTACATCATGGCCCCTAGTTCTATCCGGAACTTCCTGGCCTACTTGGTAGGTATTTGTAGTATCCTGGGATGGTGGATGGCCCTGGCGTCAGGAACCATCATCGTGGCAACCTCGACATTTGGCGTTGTAGCGTTCTGGTATCCAGACTTTGAACGTCAGCAATGGCAGGTTTATCTCTGCTATGTACTGACCATTGTGTTGAGCTGTAAGCATCTCCATTGTCTACTTTGCGAGCACATCTAATAATCATTTAGTAATCCCTGTATTTGTCATCCCCCAGAAACGCGTAGACCATATGGTCAACACGGCCATGGCCTTGTCTATCTTTGGCTTCGTCGCTGTCATTATCACTTGCTTGGCTATGGGCAAGGGTAATTACCACCCCGAGATGATGACCCAGTATGACGGTGCCAGTGGATGGTCAAGAACCCCTGCCTGGCTGTTAAGCATTAACCTCGGTCAGTATGCCTTTATGGGCAATGGGGCTGTCACTCATATTGCTGAGGAGATGCCGCGACCTGGACGAAACCTCCCTTTAGTATTGTGAGTACTCAAGACTGGGTCCGAGAGACAAAGCTGACACTTTCAATTTAGAAACATGGCCCAACTCATAGGCGTCATCACTGCCATTCCGTGGACAATGGTCGTGCTCTGTGGAGTCCAGGATATGCATGCTGTGCAGAACTCGTTTTTTGCTTCGATGGAGATGTTTTACCAGTCTACTGGAAGCAAGACGGCGGCTACGGTATTGCAATCCTATCTGATCCTTCTTTATTACTGTTGGTCCTCTCCTTTCCGGAATATGCTGCTTCATGCTAATAGATTCAGCTTGTCTCCCCAGTCAATGGATAACAAGTAGTCGAATCGCCTGGGCGTTCTCACGCGACGTATGCAGACCTCATTATGAATTCAGCTCCGTTCCTCCTGTGAAAGACACTAACCAGAATCAAAGGCCGGCCTCCCCGTTTCCTCCTACTGGAGCCATATCTCCCCAAAATACAAGATTCCCGTGCGCACCACATTCCTGACCGCCGTCTTCTGTCTTATCTACGGCCTCCTCTACATCGCCAGCACCGACGCTTTCAACTCCATCATCAACATGTCCTTCATGTTTCTGACCTTCACGTATGTTGCTCCGCAGACGATTCTGCTCTTCGGGCGGAGGGAGAGTCTGCCCAAAAGGCCGTTTGATCTGGGGAGGTGGGGCTATGCGGTTAATGCGTTTTCTACCGCGTGGTTTGGCTTCACATTGGTGTTGGTGTGCTTTCCGACGCAAATTCCTACCACGAAGGGATCTATGAACTAGTATGGTTTTCCCCTTTTCAGTCATTTCCATCTTCAATCTGTTCCCCTGCTCGTAGCAAAGGGAGAGGCTAACCAAACTCAACAGTGGGGCAGCTGTCGCAGTCGGTGTGTTCGTGTTGGTGATGATCCTGTGGGTAGAAAGGAGGAAGAAGTTCGCTGGGCCGAACATCGATTGGGATATGTTGAAGAGGGCATTGGAGTAGGACCTGGCCATGATGTAGTGGATATCGTGGCTGACATTAAAGATTGGCTTTATAAAACCCGACTTGAACCCGTCTTAGGAGCTTATACTAAAGAAGGATAGCTTAATCGATCAAAGCTCAGTCCCGTCTTCTTGTCTTTTGCGATCTCGATTGTCCTGTCCTTCGCGAGTCCAGATGTCAGGTGTAAGATGTATTGCCACTCTCTGCTATACCCAAATAGGCAGGTCAGCCAACTTCATCTTGGCAGCTCTCCTCGCCGCTTTTTATTGCTTTTGATACTTACGGCTTGGACCCTCTATTATGCAATTAATGCCTATCCCTTCAACTTTCAATTTTGTAAATCACCCCCTGCTTTCGCTGTCCACATTACTACACTCACGCCATTACTCCCACCACCCGAGCCCGCCTCTTACTTCTTGATTATCGGCAGCCCTAACCACAGCAGTAGAATCCCACCGGACAACCCAGTTATAAACGGCTGCAATACCTGCACGCCCTTCGCCTTGGCAATAGCGCCCACGGCAAACGGCAACACAGCTGCCCCACCGCCTCCAAATGCAGCTGCAAAGCCAATCGCGCTGACATGCAACACTCTAGGAAGGAGCTTTGTAGCGACGACCACAACGCCGGGGAAGGATGGACCAAAAAAGAAGCCCTGCAAGGACACTGCTATTACGGGGGCGTAGAAGTTTGGCACGAGCCAGAGAATCAGACCGAGTGCGATGGCGAGGTGGGAGTAGACCTGCATATGACGACACATGTTAGATCTGTGTGGTACGTGGGGGTTAATAGATGGGGCCGGGAACACGAACAATGATTCCCAGCTTCTCGCCAATTCTCGGCGTCACGAATCCTAACAGGACTCGCCCGAATGCGATCCCTAGCCAGAACCCCGTCACGGCCATCCCCCTGGCGAAGGCCTCGCCGTTCCGCACGCGCATCATGAATGTGACGATCCAGCCGCCTAGGGCTACTTCGATTCCTACGTGGCCGAGCAGAAAGAAGGCGTAGATCCAAGTGGCTCTGGCGTATGGGTACTTGAATAAAGCTTGTCGTAGACCTGCCTGGGAGTAGTCGTCGTCTTCGATGGTTCCGCTAAGGAATTCAGCTGCAGTGGAGTCCCAGAAGAAGAAGACGCAGGTGATGAGCTCGATTGCTGCGCAGGCAATCTAATATCTCCATTAACCACGGATCTGCTGGGTAGGGTTTGAGGGCTTACCATCGAATAGTAAAATTAATACCATCCCACCTCGGCCTTCGTGATTAACAACGTGGCGACTAGAGGGCTCAGCACCGCTCCTACGCCGTACAATCCATGGAGGAGACCTAGTAGTTGATTCGCATTTTCCATGTTCCCGATCCATGCGTTCCATGCTGAATCCGCAAGGCCGTTATCGAAACCTGCGAATACGAATGAAATCACGAGCACTGGATAGGGCGGGTGCAGGCAATTCACGATGTAGGCGATTAGATGACAGCCTGGGGAGATCCAGGCCACACCGCGACGACCGAACGTAATATAAATTTTGTGGTTCAACACCGCAGCTAGTGCATATCCCGCTAACGGTGAAAGAAATACGAGGGAGACAATAGTGTAGGAAAGATCATAGTATGTCTCTAACTGGAAGTATACTCGTTTAGTCGATGTTGTAGGCGAGGGATGGTCGACTCACGTATGGAATCAAGGGCGGTTCATGTTAGCTGGTATGCAAGGTTTGAATAAAAAGCTGGAATATACACCATAAGCTGCATCATTTGCACCCATCACCAGGAAGCTCCAGAAGGTAGCGAACACTTTGCAGACATTGGAACGCGGATAGTTCCACTTTTCTGCCCTGAAGGTGGCATTGGGTGCTTCTTGGGGAGATTTCTGCTCGAGGTCAGTTGTGTCGCCTTATGAATTAGAAATAAACATTTCGTGACGGAACTGCAGTGTAGAGATGCTTGAATTGTATGAAGCTCTCGCGGTGCAGCGAGGCCTTCTAGCTACGGCCGATCCACTGTGGGTCAGCTGACATGCAGACTAACTACAATAGGCAGGTGCAAGGCCATACAAGCGAGGCTCCAACATTTCGTGATCTCGCTGTCCAAAGCATGCTGAGCATGACAGATTTTGGTCCTCGTCATCGAAAGATGGCCAGCTCTTAGGGTTGCTGCTGGGTAAACTGCCTATTTTGGCCTAGCCTCCTAGGTCCTTCAAGGAAAGATCATTTAGGCTAAAGACTAAAGCGTTCAACAGATGTCGTAATCATCCATGCCATCATGAATCTTGGGTTCCCCAGATCTGCTGGGATACAATCAAACAGGTTGATAGGTATGTCGGACCTCCGTTGATGCCTCAGGTGTTTAGCTGCCTATTATGCCGATCTCAGCACGTGACCCACAAGGCTGCGGCAATCGCGACCTCGCTTCCCTATGCCATTTCAGTACCCACCGGCCTTTGGTACGACATGACACCGTTCATCCTTCGTTGCTGACGGTGGGTATTGGTTGTTAATTGCAAATCCTTTCAATTAATATCCAATGCCACCGAATCGTGCAAGCGCAGAGCCTGATACACTCCAACGGAAACACATGGAAGAGAAATATTGAAGAAACGCGGGAGTTGTTCCTGAGCCACGAAGGCCATCATCAGGCCCCAGAGATAATTGTGGATGTTTGGATCCCTCAGGTGCAACCTGCCATGCCAGTTCGCCGCTTCCTTGTCATTTTATGCTGGCGCAATTATTTCATATATGTAAAATGTACAGTTATTTCGTCATATACAGCCTTCATAGTCAGTTTGAATTGTTGACTTCAGCTTCTTTTTGTTAAAGCCCACCGCTACAACGGAATCGCTTACGATTTATGATGCTTATTGGCCTAATCCGGCTAAGCCTAAACGAAAGCTTCAATCCCCAGTACCATACCAATTATAGCTAGGCATATGCGAGAACCAGGCCCCCTTCATCTAAATTGCAATGTTGTATATCCGCAGCAGGGCTTTGTCCAATAAGCATGGTGTTGGAAGTTATATTTAGCTTTGAGTATCCCATTGGCCATCATCTGAATCCAAGAGCACCTGCTAGGATGCTCCAGGATCGACCCCAACATATACTCCAACAGTCCTATTCTTGTTCCGGTTAGAGCCAGACGATCCTTATGAGTAGCTCATAGTTGGACATGATTGGATTTTTATTGTCTTCGCGACTCAGTATGGGGTAATAGCTTTCACTGCAATGTAGTCTATATTGGACTACCCGTGCCACCATTTCCTTAAAGTATATAAGCTGCTACGCCCTCTTCCGTTGGAAAGAAAGTAAAAGAAACTCATTCTTGTTCAATCAAAGCAACATGGCGGCCCTAGTCTCACTAGTTTTATTTTCCTTGTGTTCTTTTGCGTTCGCTCAGTATTTCCCTGCCACTCCAGAAGGCCTCAAACACATCACCTCACATGTGCCTGGAGCCTCGCTGTCCTACAAACAGGTACTAATCCCAAGTCCCCTTCTTACAATTTCACAAACCTCCCACTAATATCCCAGACACACATCTGTAACTCAACTACCTCCTACAGCGGCTACATCCACTTCCCCCCAAACCCTACCGATGCCTCCCCCCACCCCAGCAACATCTACTTCTTCTATTCCGAGTCTCGCCACGACCCTTCATCCGCCCCGTTAACCGTCTACCTAGGCGGCGGCCCCGGCGCCAGCTCCGTCGACTCCATGTTCACCGAGGTCGGGGCCTGCATGGTCAGCGAGGATTCCAACAGCACGGTCCCGAACCCCTGGGCGTGGAATAATGCCTCCAATATGCTCTTTCTGGATCAACCGGTGCAGACGGGCTTTTCGTATGACTATCTGACTAATTCGACAGTCGATTATTCTACGTCGACTGTGTCTCCAGCGGAGATGGAAGCACATGTGCCTGCTGTCAATGCTACGTTTGGCGTCGGGGTGTTTGGAAGTGGCGAGTTGAATGGAACGGTTAATTCGACGACGACGGGGGCGAGGGTGTTTTGGGATGTGTTGCAGGTTTGGATGGTTGAGTATGTTTTTTTTTTTTTTCTTTTTTCTCCCCCTCTCTTCTCTCTCCCTTGTTCGGTTGTGTGAAAGCATGCCGTTTCTGGATGCTAAGTCATGACGCGCACAGATTCCCCGAATATAATTCCACCGATAATCATATCAACATTTGGACTGAATCAGTACGTTTCTCCCTTTCTCCACTTTCACCGCCCACACTGCACATTTGCATACTCACGGACCAAAGTTCGGCGGCCGCTACGGTCCATCCTACACCTCCTACATCCTCGAACAGAACAAGCGCATCAAAGCCGGCGAGCTCTCCGCCCAGGAAATCCACGTTGACACGCTCGGCATCCACAACGGTTGCAGCGACGTCGAGACCCAGGCATCGTTCTACCCTGAATTCGCGTACCGGAATACTTACGGCGTAGAGGTCATCACCGAGGATGTTTACAAGGCTTCGAAGCATAACCTCACGAAATCAGGCGGGTGTCTGGATCTGGCGATGCAGTGTAAAGAGCTAGGCGACAAGCTTGATCCGCTGAATTTGGGGGATAATAGCCAGGTTAATGACCTGTGTGTTGCGGCAAATCAGTATTGTTATGTGAATGTGTTGGGGGGGTATGTGGCTTCTGGGGTGAGTTTCCGTTTTCTTTTGGTCTGGGTTGTTTGTGCTTGCGTTGCAATTGTGCTGACGATGTGACTCAGCGCGATATTCATGATATGGCTGCCGTCTCGACTGTGACGGTTCCGGCTCGGTATAGTGATGGATTCTTGAACCGAGCTTGGGTGCAGGAGGAGTTGGGGGTGCCGGTTAACTATACTGCGAATTCGAATACCGTATACTCTGGTGTGTTCTTATCTGGTTTCGAGATGAATCCTACCCCAGTGCTTTCCCTGCCGTTAGATAGGTTGTACAGTGAAGCTAATGTCAATCTACAGCCTTCGGCTCCACCGGCAACGCCCTCATTCTCCGCGGAAACGCGATGGACGAGTTCGCATCTATCCTGGCCCACGGCGTCAAGGTGAACCTGGTCTACGGTGATCGGGATTATCTCTGCAATTGTATGTCGTTACCCCTTCATTCCACGCTTGCAATTGAACGGAAAAAAAGTTTAGGGACACTGACATGCTCCAGGGATGGGCGGCGAAAACATCAGTCTCTCAATCAAGCACGAACAATCTCGCGCCTTCCGAGACAGCGGCTATCAATCTCTCATCACCAATGCCTCCTACACAGGCGGCGTTGTCCGTCAGCATGGAAATCTCTCGTTTACCAGGGTCTTTGATGCCGGTCATTCTGGTATGTTTACGCATACCCCCTGCGCCGCGGGAACGAGTGTTCCTACTTCATGACATGAACAAAGAGCGCATAGCTAACTGAATGGATGATGTAGCCGTCGCCTACCAGCCCGAAACCCTCTATCGCATCTTCTCTCGCATCATGGCCTCCAAGGACATCGCCACTGGCGAGGAATGGCTCATTGATGACTATCCGAGTAGGTATCAGACCCGGGGCCCGCATTCGACCTTTGAGATTAAGAATGTGATGCCGGATCCTGCCGAGCCGGTGTGCTATACGCTGGATATGTCGACTACTTGTACTGAGGGGCAGAAGGAGGCGTTGGCGAATGGGACGGCCGTGGTGAGGGATTTTGTGGTCGTTAAGCCTAAATATTGAATGGGCTTAAGGGTGTGTCAACAGACCTGAGCCCTTGATTTGTATTATCAATGAGATTCGATCTTTTCCGACGAGGGGTGTACTCTCATTTACAAATAGCAGCCTCAAGTCGTCAATGCTATTGAAACAGGATTCTTGCGCCGTTCTCATCGTCTAGAATGGCCGTTAAAGTTCTCACCCTCATATTAGTCTGTTGCTCGGTTTCTGCATGAGATGCCGCGGCCTCTTCGATCTCCATTATCCGCTGTGCAGCCTCCGCGGCTAGCGTAGAGTCCCAAAAGATTTCCCTCCTCTCACAGGTTGAAAGCAGATGAATTGCTTGACGGCGGATGCACGCATTCCGACATCGCTGCGCGGTGATAAACAGAGGTGGGACGACGCCGAGTGAGAAGGAAAATGTGTGGTTTCTGGAAGCATATTTCCTACTCATAGTTAGACATTTCCATTATGGAACGTATAAATGAGGCCAAACCTTCTAGACTCAGAGATATAGGTCTCGCAAAGCGAGAGTATGGTTTCAAAATCACCGGAGAACCGGTCCCAAACGCTTTCGGGATCGGATGGTCGAATAGTCAGATACATCTTACCTATTAGATACCATATGCGAAGAATGAAATCGTCGCCATCTGTCCTGGATGACCAGCTCTTTGAGTCGCAGTCCAAGTTACCGAATTGTGAATACCACGTATTCAACGCAGACAGTAAAGTGCTCGACGTGGACGCGGCAGCTGACCCCTGCGGATCCATTACACTATCCATCTTCTCCCTTAAGATCGCGTTCAACAGCCCATCCAGCGATCCATGCATACCCACCCATTCAGAGCCCGCATCAGCATCACTAGCAGAACTAGTCTGCACAATTGCCTCCGGCGCGCGAATCCCATCCTGTTCAAGCGTCTCACCAACCCCGATCCCCAAGATCTCAACAAGCTGGCTATCCAGCCTCGTGAACAACCCCCTAATCGTCCTTCGCGACACAATCGCCCAAGGATCCGTCCCGGCCGTCTCCTCAACCTGGCGCAGCAAATTCAGTCCCGACGCGATATGAATTATCGCCGCGCGGCGACATCCGCGAAGACACTCAAAGCAGGCAAACAGCACGCTGCATATCAACGCCACGTCGTACGTTTGGTCTCTTGCGCGCAACTGCAACATCCGAAGTGCCTTGCCGTACTGCTGCGTTGCGAATTGCATAGCCTCACTCCCCGTCCCGACTTCTGCGAATTCAAATACCCGCTGCAACGCCCCAAACGATATGATCGCCGAGGCTAGTACCGGCTCTTGGTGCGCCGCGCGCAACACCGCATGCGAGAAACCAGGTGGAAACCGACCGCGCGACTCGTAGACAAAGAAGTCCAGCGCTTCTCGCTCTTGCGGGGACGTCGCGAACGAGAGAGTCAGCGATGGCGACGGCGACGACATGGGCGCCGTGTAGATGACCATGCGGAGACCCGGGCGGGGTGGCTTCTTGTTAGTAGGTGTGTATGTGCAAGTCCGATTGCTGGATCTGCAGCGCCTGCAGGACGGTTTGTTCTCGTCGCATTTGATGCGACGGGTTCTGTTGGTCGATGTTAGTTTTTGGTCCTCCGAATTGTTTCGTGTTTGTTGTGAGAGGGGAGGGAGGATGACTTACTTGCATGTTGTGCATCCTGTTCGTGATCTGCTACCGCAGGCTCGGGTGTTTCTGATGTTGCGCATTATACGGACGGTATTTGGGAGGGCTGGTGAGGTCGAGGAATCAGTTTGCAGCTAACATCGCATTGAGATGATGGATTATGTGGCCTACTAGCGGACTGGTTTGGGCTAGACTGAAGAGATGGGTGGTTCGTTGCGCTAAGTAGTCTAGAGAAGGAACTTTTCTTGCTTGGTGCCTAAACTTTAGGTAGCTACTTCGTCTTTGCTGTCTATTGTCTTGTGCCGGGTTAATTTTGTTTTGTTGCATGTTTCACTCGTCATACTTTGCTGATGATGGCCAAGGCCAATCTTGTTCGGATGGGACTATATTTTGTCGAGAGTTAACCTATCGATGATTTAAGAAAAAGGCATAGTAAAGAAAAGTTTTTCGAAAAACTAGAAGACGAATATTCATTACATATGAATTAAAAGGCTTAGTTGGATTTATCCAGATTAGCCTACCAACACTGTCAAGTCAAGATCACTTATACTAATCGCGACCACCCTAGTAACCTTTCTTTTCTACCTCTTATCCATTATCTCTCTTTAGAAGGTACAAAAGGTAAAAGTATGACTATCTATCGTTCGGTTCAACATGAGATCCACATGCGCAACTAAAACCGCGAAAAGTAAACCACAAGGCTGTCAGATTTCGCCCACCAAGCTGACAGTGACAGTCAGCCTCGTCTCAGGGGCTGCCTACTAACACCACCACCACCAAAACTACCTCCAACCACAAAATCCCCAATACCTCTACCTATCTACCAAACAAACAATCCATATCCTCCGATCCCAATTTCAGGAATTATAAACCATGCCCACGGACAAAACCAACACGAACACCCCGCCATCACCACCACCAGCAGGACCACCAACGCGCCGCACGCCCCGCCGCATCACCAAAAAAGGCCGCGAACTGCAGCGCAGACACCTGCGCGAGAACCAGACTGTCGTGCGATGGGAGCCGAACGGGCTCGTGGTGTCCAAGGTCGTGCGGGTGGGGTTTCTGGGGGATCGAGTGGTGACGGTGACGGTGCCGGTGTCGTGGAAGGGGTTCTTGGGGGTTGTGGGTGCGGTGGCGGTTGGTGGGTTGGGGTGGGTTTTGAGGGGGTTGGGGAATTAATTATTGAGGTTGAAATTGAAGTTGAAGTTGATGGTGATGGTAATGTCGATGTTCATGGGCAGAAGGGATGGAATTTGTTTTATGGACGTTGTATATCTACGATGTACTAGAATAGGGATTCTACCGTACTGTAATAAAAATGATATCGATATTCATTCCCATATTAAATAGACCAGCGTGAACCATTGACCTTGAAACCGGAACGATAAAGAAATATAGTACATTCAATTCCAAAACGCAGGCCATTCTCATGAGGGTATTAACATATTAAATAGATAAAAGTAAGCCACTGTACATCTCCCCTTTTTTCCATTGTTGTCTCCATTATCCGTGCTTTCTTCCGATCTTCCGATCTAAGCAACAACACCCATCAGGGCGGAGCAGACCAGCATGGCCAACAAGCCCAGGCCGCTCTTGGAGACGGGCTGGCTCAGGGCAATGGCGGCGGAGTCGCTGGAGGTGGAGCTGGCGGAGCTGCCGGTGGAGGTACCGGTGGAGGAGGAATCGGAGTCGGAGTCGCCGGTCTTGGAGGGCACGGCGGCGGTGGCCGTCAGGGACGAGTTGCCACCGCTGCAGAAGAACTGGCCGTCCTTGGCGCCCTCGTCGCGGAAGCAGTCGGTCAGGTCCTTGGCCGACTGCTCCTGGGCCAGACAGTAGATGCCGCAGCCGTCGTTGTAGTCAGAGACCTTGGCGTGCTTGCAGCACTTGTCAAGGATGTCGGTGGCGTTGCCGGACTTGGGGAGTGCGCAGGCGATGTCCTTGGTGGGGAGCTCCCACATGGAACCGGTGCAGGTGGCCGACGCGGAGGTCGAGGCGGAGGTGGTGGTAGACATTGTGAGGTTTTTTTGATCGATTGATCGGTTGATTGAAGATAAAGCGATCGATTAGAGGATTATGATTATTGTATGTAGAGCGCGAAAGGTAGATAGAATAGACCCGAACGAAGGACTGAGAATGGATAAGAATCGACAGAGGAAGAGAGCAAGAATGAAAGAAGAAAAAAAAGGAGGCAAGGAAGAGGCTTAATATACGGCGATGGGCTGATACGAGAAACAGAAAAAGCGAGAAAAGAAATCCTGCGGGCTCCACTCTATATTTATCCCGCACCAGATTGGCCCTGTCCTCCCCGCCGATCGGCACTTCTTGTCTCATTTCAAGGTTTTTGCTTTGGACGGTGGCACCTGACCTTGCTTTTCTTGTGCTGAACTGGCCTGGCTGACTACCTGTCTGTACTCTGTGCTCTGTACTCTGTACTCTGTACTCTGTACTCTGTATAGAGTCTATTAATAGCCTTGTTGAGTTGTTCGTTGTTCGTTGTTCCTGTCCTGGACCTTGGAGTCTGGTGGACTGAGTCGACACTTTCCGATTGGCGGATCGGACCCATCCTGCCGAGTGGGAAGGTTCCTAAATGAATAAATATTAAATAAGTAAAATTGATAACAAACGAAATGAAAGGAATTCAGTCGGGATGACGACCCTGTTTCATTGTCTGTTAACCCGTGATCCACTTTCCACGCCACCGGCTTCCCGCTGCATAACGCTGCATTAGCCGGTCGCACTGCCAACCTCGGATATATCAGATTCAGATCAAAGGCAGAAACATATCACATCCCTCATGCAATTCTCGTCGACTTGCGTAGACAAAAAGGAAAGAAAAAGCATCCCAAAGCAAGGAGAATAGACTAGCTACCGTCTGCCCCTGATCATCCTTTCCAACAACTTCCTCGCCTTGTCATCTCCCTTGGCAAACGCCCATTTGGCCACCCCCTGCGCCGCATTTGCATGCTTCTGCGAGAATATCGGCTCTCCCCATCCCTTCGCCTGACAGACCTTCACCGCCCGCTCCAACAGCTCCCGTCCGACGCCTTCCCCGCGATATCGTCGCTGCACCGTCCACGCGCGGATCACGCCCACGGGGAAGTACATGTCCTGGCCGCGCACGAAGTGTCTCGCCCCGCGGATATGGGGCTCGATCCCCGCCGACGTGTAAACCGGTCGCAGGACCAGCACCCCGATCACTTCGGGACCCAGCTTCGTGATGAGAATGTAATCGCGGGTGTCGGCGATGCGGGCCCCCGCTGCGTGTCCTGCGCCTTCATAGAGCCATTTCCACGTTCCTGTCTGCTCGGCTTGTGAAAGGTATGAGGCGGTTAGGTAGCGCACTGCTACGAGGCCCGTCATGACGCACCCGGTCCATGTCAGGGCGATGGCGGGCCAATCGCTGTGGTGGAGGCGGAGGACGTGGTAGCTCATGGCGAGGCAGAGGACGACTGTCGCCAGCCAGAGAGGATGCAGGATCAGCGCTTTGGCGGCCGTCTGGCGTTGCTGGGCGATGCTGTCGGCGATCAAGCGCAGAGAGGCGATCTTGTCTTTCTCGGTCTCGGCAACGTCGATTGTGAGAGGACGAGGGTCTTTTTGGGTAGAACCCATTTTGATGGCTGTTTCAAGCGAATGTGGAGGTCGAAGATGCTTGTGATTGTGGGTAGGTAAATAGATAGGTGGGTTGGTTGGGGGACGCGCTGTGGTCGGCCTGAGGAAGTTGGCGTCGACATCAGTTGTCTTCCGGCAGACTCCGTTTCCTCGACGATGGTACCTGGCGACTACCCTCACTTGTTCACCATCATGATCCCACAACCTATAGGGCTGAGAGGGGTAGGACCAAGTTACTCAGGCTGGTAATGTTCTGCACCCAGCGGGTACGCTTATCTTAGTGCCTGCCAATCCTGTCAATCGTGACAATCTTGACGATCGGTGCTCGATTCGACATTGGATGTTCGCCAACCGTTGAACATGTTCCCTTTGGACGATCTGATTTTTCGTCCGTGGTTCATCGGAATGGACCCCCGCCCAATGGAGTAATCTCCCCGCTTGAAAAACCAATTTGGTGGATGTGGACGTTGATAATGGCAGTCAGTCTCTGCTTCATGTCATAACTTCACTTTGTTTTTGATTACCTATCGACTACCCCATCGGCTCCACTGACATGTGGCAGGGCCCTTCTGAGCAAGTATGGCATGTGATTCTGCGTCTATACTTCCACTGCCAGCATCCTACGTTCTCCAGGTTGATGTCACTGTTATCCCGCCGCTCCAGGAAGATGAACCCACTCCACAATCTCTGCAGGGCTGGTACACGTGGGGAATTGACGGGTCCATGTCGTTCTCCAGACGAAACCTCCTTCCTCTCCCCAGACAGAACTGCCCGCCCATTGACCTTCCTGCGTACGGGCATGTGACTCGACAAAACCCACCGATTGGTCTCTTTCCGTCTGTCGGGGTGTCGGTGGCTGCTCAACCGTCGATGAAACGCCGGGTTCAAGGGTGAAAAGCTTGGTAAAGCTTACCTACCTAGCGAGCTCGCGACGAGCATTCTCCGCATGACGATGACATGTCCAGCCCATCATCTGCCCTTCGTGGGGTTCTTATTTGAACCTCTCCCACCTTTTCAGTTTCTTGATATTACCTCCATGTCAAATCGTTCCCACTGATAAGGCAGTCATCATTCAGAAAAGAACTCCTCGATGGCCGTGACCCTCACCTCGGGCGGCAACGCCGTCTTTCCCAACTACAACAATGAGTTCGGCCACATCAAGGACCCCAATGAGCGCCGCCGTCTCGCTCTCGCGGAGATCGACAACGCGTCCTTCGGATGGCGCCATGCTCGCGCAGTCGTCGTGGCCGGCGTCGGCTTCTTCACTGACTCCTACGATATCTTCGCGATCAACCTCTGCTCCGCCATGCTGGGCGTTGTCTACTGGCAGGATGCGACCTCGCGTCCCGGCAAAATCCCATACAGTTCCGATACCGCCATCAAGGTCTCTACTTCGGGCGGCACCGTCTTGGGCCAGTTGTTCTTCGGGTGGTTGGCTGATATGATCGGACGGAAGCGCATGTATGGCTTCGAACTGATCATCATCATGCTGGCTACTTTGGCGCAGTCGCTGGCCTCGGACTCACCTGCTTTGTCTATCACCGGTATCCTGGTCTTCTGGCGCGTTCTGATGGGGATCGGTATCGGTGGTGATTATCCGCTTTCGTCGATCATTACTTCTGAGTAAGTCATCCCTCTTATACTGCGAGGACCGTTGTCGAATGCGTCTAGATTCGCAACCACCAAACACAGAGGATCGATGATGGCCGCCGTGTTTGCCATGCAGGGATTCGGTCAGTTCGGCGCTGCGATCGTCGCTTTGATTGTGACGGCTGGATTCAAAGATTCTCTTGAATCTGCCGCTTCTGTCGGTAAGTGCTCTGGGGCGTGTCAATTGGCGGTTGATAAGATGTGGCGCGTGGTGATTGGATTCGGTGCCGTGCCCGCCTGCATCGCGCTCTACTATCGCTTGACGATTCCCGAAACCCCTCGCTATACCTTCGACGTTGCCCGCGACATCATCAAAGCCAACGCGGACGTGCGTGCGTACATGGAGGGCCGGCATGAAGGACACCCGGACGAGGTGAAGCGCATTGCGGTGTTGCAGGACGAGAATATCGAACTGGTCACTCCGAAGGCAAGCTGGCCGGACTTCTGGTCTCACTACTCGCAATGGAAGAATGGGAAGGTTCTTCTGGGCACAGCGGGGTCTTGGTTCTTTCTTGACGTGGGTGAGTTGGCCTTAACTCTGTGTACAACGGCAGTCCACTAAAAAGTTAGCCTTCTACGGCCTCGGTCTCAACAACTCCATCATCCTCAGCGCAATCGGCTGGACCGGAGGCAGCAACGTCTACGAATACTTCTACCGCAACGCCGTCGGCAATCTGATCCTGATCTGCGCCGGCGCGATCCCAGGATACTGGATGACCGTGGCGACAGTGGACCTGATCGGGCGGAAACCCATCCAATTGGGCGGATTCGCTATTCTGACGATCGTCTTCATCGTGATCGGCTTCGCCTACGAGCCTCTGAAACAGTCCAACAACGGCCTCCTAGGTCTGTACATCGTCGCGCAGTTCTTCTTCAACTTCGGCCCCAATGCAACCACCTTCATCGTTCCGGGCGAGTGCTTCCCCACGCGCTACCGCTCCACATCTCACGGCATCAGCGCCGCCGCTGGAAAGGTCGGCGCTATCATCGCGCAGTGCGTGTTTGGTCCGCTGGCCCATCGTGGAGCGGCGCAGGGTAAGACGTCCACCGATACGCCGTGGCTGGACCATGTGATGCAGATCTTTGCGTTGTTTATGCTCTGTGGCGGACTCACTTCTCTGCTTATTCCGGAGACGAAACGCAAGACGTTGGAGTTTATGGCTGGCGAGAGCCTTGGGTCGGGGTCTGATTCGCATCGTAGTGATGGAGAGGTGTAAGCGATGCTTTTTCAGCTTCTCGACGAGGTCTACCTAATACCCTGGTTTGTTGTTTCAATGGTCATGGTAGCGTGTTTGTGTTGCTTGCATATTTCGTTGCGATTCTCGCTTCTTTCATCGATTTTCGGGCTTTATATAGCTGTAATACATGCATCTCAGGCCTTAGGTGGTCAAGTCTGCTTGTGAATCCATGATACTGGTTCTCCGATGTCGAAGAATAGATGAGACACTCCAGCTGACAGGCCCTTGCCCAATTGCTCCATTCATGAGCAATACGTTGACTGGGAACCACGGCAGAAATGGCTGGAAGAATAACTGGTAGTTGGTTAGGCACTGTTGAGTGGATAGACTGGAACCAGCCACAAGGATAATTGAGTTACTTCAAGACTTATAGAATCCAAACACAAGATTGGCAGCTGGTTTAGCAAAAGCAGACTGACCGGAGTACCTCGTCTCACAACTATTAATGTAAATTAGGGCTTTTAAGGTCAGCTGTGAAAATAAACTCCTCTCGAACTTCCATTCCATGTCTTCCTGTCCATCCGTATGCACATAATAGAAAAGAGACAGAAAACACCAAAACCCAATTCCCCCTTCCCTCACCACCACCACCAACACCGTATACAAGATCAACAAACCACCTACCCGCCCACCCGCTAACCCCCCAAACCCAACTATCTAAACAACCCTCCCCCCACCCACCATCGGCGCCATCTCCTCCTCCTCCGGCCCCAACGGATCCAACCCCATCTTCATCCTCTTCAACTGCACCAACCGAAACACATTTCGATTCAACGACCTCAGCAACCGATTCGCCTCGTTCTCGCTCTTCCGGCAGTGCCGCTCAAACGTCTCCGCTTCCACCGTCAACTCGTGACACGCCTTGATGCGCTCTTCTTTGTCCTCGATCCCGCGGAGAGCCTCGACCCGGCCTTGCAGGAACACGGGGACGGGCCTGCACTGCGCTTTGAGTGTTTCGCAGCGCTCGCAGGCTTTGAAGGCGTGGGTCCGCACGCATTCGTTTTCCGGGTTGGTGCCGAGTTGCTCGGCGCAGCGGAGGCAGCAGGAGGCGATGGGGGAGGATTCCGGGAGTTGGATCGAGGCAGGGCAGTACCGGTATGTCCAGGGCATCTTGATGAATGGGTCGGAGAATTCGGACGGTAGGATTGCCTAGATCAGGTTAGGAACTGGAGGTATGGTGGGCGGGAGTAGTGTAGCTGGTTAAGGGGTCTGTACTAGGCACACTTGGGTTTGTTTGCTGTAGATGAAAGAACTTCGCCTGCCGGAACGCCTGCAGTGCGGTTGTAGATAAATGATGTTTGCAAAGGATAGGATGTGAAGGAAGGAAGGGATGGTGGGGAGTTTCAGAGAACGGATTGGGTGCCGCTCCCCTTCAGGGCGATCGACGAGTTCAATGAAGTGAATGTTCCCTCCGCTTCCGTGCAATCAATAAGCAGATAAAGTGAATGCGATTGTCTATACGCGCCGCACAGTGGAGACAGCCAGGCAATCAAAATTGGTCTTCTCCTCTCCCAATGGGTGCCCCGCAGTCCGCCAGCGCATCAATATTTGTGAGCGCTCTTAATGTTATTTGGGATCATCAAAATACTTGGCTTCAACTGGCTGATATGATATGGTGCTGGCGCGTAAATGAAACGTCAGTAACCGCTATGTGCCTTGGCAGGTTGCACCCAAGGCATGTAGAGCGGCTATGCAAGTGACATGGAGGTCCAGATGTTCGTATACCTAGATTGTAATAGAGGTAATAGTATATGCCACAAGACGAAAAAAGAACAGACATTATATATAAATCTAGTATATAGCTTCTATCGCCACCAATGCACCGCTCAAAAGAAATAAAAGTAACATGACCACACACGAACAAGAAATCTGTAGTATCAGGTAATTCTATCGTGTATGCGTATATGCAAGTCTAACTTTTGTGCTATATCCGTAACCAAAAAAGCAATTATGTATCTCGTCGAATGTATATGGCAACAGATGGGTATATAAGTCGGAAAAGAAGATGGCGAATTTACCACCCGCGCTTCATCTTCCAGCGCATGATGAATGCGGCGACCGGGTAGAAGCAAATGGACACGGCGATCCAGGTGAAAAGAACCCCAAAGTCGAGGCCGATGCGCGAGTGTTTGCCGAAGAGGATGGTGCGAAGTGCTTCCACAACTGTAAAGCAATTTGTTAGCATTCTCCGGTATAAAGGGCAGGGAGGAAAGACATACTCCGATGCAGAGGCCAAGCATATCCCCATCTAAAGAATCCCGGGGCCAGATCCAACGGGTAAAAGCCCGTCGCCACGTTGGTGATGACCCAGAAGATCAGGAACAACGAGCTCCAAGGGAATCCCAGCACCATGGCCATGTTCTCGCAAGGGAAGCCGAGCGCCGTCATGCCGACCCAGTTCAGCATCCAGAAGACGACAAAGGAGCCGCGGCCGTAGGCGTTCGGGTTAGCGGCCGAGACGGTATCCGGGGCGGGGTCGTTCGAGAAGGGGATCTGGAAAGCCAGCGAGACGAGGGAGTAGAAGAGCGAGAGGAAGAAGTAGGCGGCAATGTTGGAGATGATGCGCCACGCGAGCCATTGGCCGATTTTCAGCGGCGGGTGGTTGCCCTTCATGAATTGCATGTGGAACGGCATGAGGAACGGGAAATTGAAGAAGGCGATAATGATCAGATAGATCAGGCCAATCGTCACAGCGGGAGTTGCCACGGCGGGCGCGAATGGGCGTAGATCGAGCGTGCTGAATCCGATGGCCGGGTTGACAGCTTGCGGGACTCGCGAGATGTTGCGCGACTCCTGCGCGACCGTCTGCACCCAGCGAGGGCCAAAGTCGGCCAAGACAGCGCGTTCCAGCGAGTCCAGAGCCGGGGTGATGTAGGCCATGTAAGTGGTCTCATCGCGGGCGCTGATGATGACGAATTCCACGGCGCCGGTCGGATCGTACGAGGAGTTTCCGTTCGAGATGGCGGAGCGTAGAAGAGCGGATGCGCCAGCGTTCACGATGACGGCGGCGTAGGCGTGCTCGTCGTACACTCCCTGTCGGACAGCCACGGGGTCATAGTCAAACTCGGAGGGCGATTTAATGGCGAATCCCACGGTCTGGGTGCTGGCGTTGAGCATGGAGGACACCATGTCGGTCACGGCGGGGCCCACGATCGGATCCTGGGATTGATTCTGGTAGGGATCAAGTTGGCCATCGAAGTCGACCACCCAGACGGGCAAATTCGGAAGATGTTCCTGGACCTTGAACTGTGACGACCAGAAAAGCGACAGGACGCAGAGGACGAAGACACATAGGATCAGGACTATCCATGTTGTTAGTTCTCGATAAACCCCCGAAATTCCTGTGGCGGTCTGATCATACCCATTCGCGCCCATCCCAACGCCACTGACCGGCGGACATCTTTCAGGGCCGGATCGAAGAACGAGACGGGGGCGGGAGACGCATCGACCTTCTTGCCTTCCTCGGCGGCGCTGACTTGGGTCTTCTCGCTCGTGTCGCTCATGGTGTTTGGGTTTAAGCTTCGGGATCGGCAGCGAACCGCGACTGAGAGGCGGACAGAGTGACACGACACCAGGCACAGGGAGTCCAGGAGGTATTAAATATTCTGCGATTGGGGACCGTTCAAGGGATGGTCATGGCGCAATTAGTCACATAAATGAGGGAGCGGAAAGCCGTGGCCAGAAGAAGAAACGAGAGGAAACCAAAGCGGAATCAACGCAATGAGATCAGACAAATAAGAATCAAAAAGTCTGCGATCGGATGCGACTCTCGGCCTATTCCGACTCTTAACTCCGCTCGGCCTTCGCGGCCTTGGGGCCTTACCAAGCAGCCCTAACGAGCGCCCGGGATTCCGCCGTCGGTCGCGGCGGCCGACAGACCATGCAATCTGATTCGTGAACCAATGTGGGATTCCATTAGTTTCTCACGATGTGGTCAGGGCTCCACCGCCCATCGTCATTCTTTTTATTAATTCAATCTTTGATTTTCTTGAAGGCGATCCGAAACCACGGTCACGTGGATGTTGCTTCCGATTTACCCGTCTTTCCCGGCTTGGATCTTATCTGATCTCCCGCTTTCGTCAACAATAATAAAGAAGAATAAAATCCTACAAGTAAATCAGCAACGCCTCGGACGCTCGCACTTCAACTTCAGCCCGACCACTTTTCACCGCGATCGTTTCGTCATCCTCCTCTCCCGCTAGCTCACAGGTTCCGTCGCCAAAGCTCCGGCCCCCAATGCTGATTCCTTCCCGCCCGACAACTGTCGCTGCGGCCGCCGTCAGTCGCTTGGCCGACACACTCGAGTCCGACAATAGTCCAGTCAAGGTGACTGTGATGCTGCTACGTGTTCCGGACGTATGGTAGTCCGAATTGTACAGCAGGATGCGGGTGGGGGTGCCGTCCGTGTCGTAGATCGCGTATCCGGCATAGCGACTATCTCCGTCGTCGAGCTGAGTGATCTGCGATGCGCCAGACAGCGCCAAGGCCGCGGTGTAAGCCCCGTAGAACGGGGCGTTCACCGAGTCCTGCCACCAACAGTATTGGCCTATTTTCTATGTTTAACCGTCTGATTCGTGGGTAGAAGGCGGGACGACTTACAGTTTCCGATCGTGCCTTGGTGGAAGAAGAGTTGCTATGTGGGGTAAGTATGTCTGACAGCTAGGAAGGTATAGTGTCGGGAAACCAACCTGGATTCCTTTCATGGTGGACTGCATAATGTAGTCTAGAATCCAAAGTCCTGCGCCGTATGTCGGGCTGATGCCGCCGCCTCCTTGCGTGGCTAAAGATCCGAGTGTCAGCGTTATCGATAAAATAAAATAAAACATAGCTCACCTGAGTTGGTCTCGCCCATGATGAAATCGAGATTTAACTGCTGCGCTGCCGCGACCTGGGAATCAAAGCTAGCGACCCCATCCACAATATCCGCGTGGTCGATTAATCGACTCAGGTTGGCATTCGAGGAGGACTGTGGGTAGAAGTGATGGCAGAACGAGCGCACGTATCCCGTTGAACCGGTTTCTTCCTCTTTAGCTGCAAGGTTCTCCGCTGTAAATGACTCAGTATCGAAGAAGACACCGGCCTGGACGAAGGATTCCTCGTTGCCCAGACCTTCACTTACGGATGCCTGCCAGGAGACCTGTGATGCGGCGTCCGCTGCGGCAGTCCAGGATTCTCCGTGGGCGATAGGGTCACTTGATTTGAAGACTGGCACCTTAGTATCTGTGCAGAATTGATATAGTTGACCTTACAGTTTGGTTCGTTTCCCAACTCAATCGCATACAAGTTGGTCACTTCGGACTTGACTACCTTGGCCGCTGCTATGGTGTTGTCGACGTCATCCAGGCGTCGGTTCAGCCCTACAGCGACTCGTCAGTGTTCGAACTTCTCGTTGAATGAATTTCTGGATGATAAATACCGATGGTAACCTTGCCCTCATACGAGCCTGCCAACTCCATGAATCGGTCCCCGAAAGTAAGCGACTCGGGTGCATCGTCGGGCGAAGCAACCGTGTAGTTCACTGCTGTCTGCAGAGAAGCGTCATATAACGCACGATCCCTTGTAAGGTAAGTATGTAGGAGAAAGGAATCAAAGATGTGAGGCATTCTCACTGCGTCGTCCCCCCAATCCGGATCGGAGGTTTTGCTCCCAGTACGCCTTCGAGAGTGGCGAGGCATGAAGTTGTCAGTGGGAGTTTTTCGATATAATCCGGGAAGGCGAAGAATTCAATCCTAATCCGTCAGTGGTTAAACTTGACTACTTTCCGGTTTTACCTACGAAACCCCAACTGGAGTCGGGTCGATCTTATTTGCACCCGCAGGAAGGGATGAGGGTATTTCGAAGGTGAGACCGTTGGCCCATTTGGCAGCTATGAAGAGCAAGGGATTCCTGAAGGAACGCATACTGAATACTGTTGGTCTGACTGATTCGGCATCACAATTTCCTGCTGATATAGCCCGCACTATTTATAAAGTGTCTACAGCCTCGAACCCCGCATGGTTCGTAATTATCAGAGTATGGGGAGAACCATTCTCTCTGTCGGCTAGTCAAAGGCCGAGACATTCTCGTTTGACTTTGACATTCTAACAGGTTCACCGACGTCATCAGAGACCGAGATCCTGTCTATACCAATGAACGAGCAGGAATCTCTTCTACAGATCTTGTTTGTCTACAGGCGAAACCTATATCCCATCAGTCGAGGTGGACTGTCTAGCGCCGACGATCAAGCGGGGATCGACCGGCGGGGGATGCGGAGAGTCCGACGCAAAGATGCAAAGTTATTCCACCAAACATTACTTTAGGAAATCGAGAAAAATATAGGAATACCCTGGGTCTGATATGTGGCAAATAGATGAATTGCCCGAGTTCGCGACATTCCACCCTACGGCCATTGTTCTGTAAATCACATGGGATGATGATACTTCCACCTTCAACATGGCCTCCCCAACGATTCACATCCTAGGAGATGACCCCAATACCACCCATCGGCTGAACGCATGCGCTTACCAGCAGTCCGCCATCACCACATTCAATGGATGGCAGTATGCAGCCTTCTACACGTCTGTGTCTCGACCACACTCGGCCGCACGGCGCGTCACCCTTGCTCGACGAGCCATCCATACCTCCTCCTGGCAATATCTCATCTTCGAAGACTACGAGCAAACCACAGACGATGGACATAATACGATCTCAATCGGGATCTGTGCCGGAGATGCAACAATCCATCTTTCATTCGACCATCACTGCGATATACTCAAATATCGCATCTCTCGACCCGGTCTCGCCACCGACACAGATGAATCGAGCTGGATAGCAGGCTATTTCAGCCCCATTCAAAGCCACCTCCCAGGTCAAGGTCCCAACTCTCTGAAAGATGTCACGTATCCCCGTTTTATCCCAGCCGGTGATGATATTTATTTTGAATGTCGGATTGGAAAGTAGGTTCACATCTACCCAGCCGGTGAATATGCATTGATAGAAGCAAAACTAGAGCTGGAGCTGGCTCAGACATACTTCATCGCTACAGCCACCAGACCGCGAAGTTCACGCCCCTCGGTGCCTACTTAGTAGGGCATAAGTGCAATCCATACCCGAATGGAGTGTCATATCATCCAGAAAGCAACAATCTCCATGTCACCTGGACAAACCGCCATTTCATCGACTATGAAGGCTCGCATGACCAGACATCTACAGCGCATAAAGCACAAGCTGGGCCAAATGGGCCCGAAAATAATGAGGGCCTCTATCACTCGTACAGCCCTGATGATGGGGTTACCTGGGTCAGTTCGAATGGGGGGTTAGTGACATCGCTGTCCACCGACAATGCAACTGGCTTGGGCTCTCAGGATACTAGACTTCGAGTGAAAGATATCCCGCGAGATAGCGGGATCATGAACCAAGAAGCTCAGTATGTTGATGTCCATGGCGGTGTTCATGTCCTAAACCGGGAGAATACCAGCGGCCAGGAGAAGTGGGTTCATTATTATCGTGAGCCAAGGACGGGTGGATGGTCAATCTATGAGATTCCAAGTGTCTTTCCGACTGCTACGGGGCCTAGAGGGAAGGTAGTTTATTGTGGACGGACAAATGCGGTGTATCTTGTCCTTCCGTCAAATACGGCGCATGAATTGATCATCGCTCGAATTAAGGGAGACATGCAGTCCTCAGAGCGAGATTTTGAGATTCTATGGAAAGAGGAAGGGTACGTTGGAGAGCCTCTGGTAGATGAAGAAGCTTTCCTACAGTTCGGGATACTGTCTATATTCATCCTGCTGGAGAAACTCCCCACGGAGAGAAAAATTGCCGTTTTGCAGTTCAACGTGGATGACCTAGCTAGATTGTGAATCATTGTAATGCCAAAATCAGTCATATTTGCGCCTTGGCAAGCTCTGTACATCATATCGCACATCCACTAAATACAGTTCTTATCCAAGAAAGCCAAATTCTTCAATCGTGCTCATTTTCCCGCTGAATAGCCACATCAGCCCTAGCTAGGATTTTCCACCAACAGGAATCGAGGTCGATCAGTCTCCCAAACATCCATGTCTGGTTGATCATTAGCCTCGGATTATACTGGCCCGAATGGCTTTGGACGTAGGGATCCCTCTATACCCCACATTACCCCGGCTTTGGGAGTGGTGGTACTTTGGTCTGCCCTTGATGAACGATCGTCGCTCTCACCGATGGTCTGGCCATGATAAAGGGACATGCACCCAACTGAAGGTGCATCTTCTTCATTTCTCTAAACCACGTCCGCCAATTCCAGAAACGGCCCATCATGCCCGCCATGGCAGAGAAAAAGGTCGATCGAAGAGCGCTGGAGAACACCACGCTGACAACTAACAAGGAAGGGCCGTGGTGGAAAGATGCCGGTCTCCGCAAATTGAACTTTTTGCTTTTCTTTCTCATGTTCAGCGAGTTTACCCAGGGCTACGATGCATCGTTGATCAATAATGTTCAGCAGTTGAAGGTTTGGCAGAATGGTATACTACCTTCTCTTTACTCTTGATATCGACTCAGCCTCTAATCCAACCAGATTTCAACCACCCTCACGGGAGTCTCCTCGGCGCTATGAGCGCCATGTACTGGATCGGTAAGCTATCCAATACAACTCTGATCTACCTAATCTGGTTCTAAAAGCAGCAGGAAACATCGTCGGCGTGGTATTCATCTCCACAATCTCAGACAGGCTCGGTCGACGGTGGTGTCTGCTCTTCGGCGCCCTTCTCTGTCTCGCGGGAACTGGTCTCGCAACGGGAGCTTCGAACGCTGGTCTGTTCATCGCTGGTCGGCTGCTTCTTGGTCTCGGTGGCGTCGTTGTCGCTGCCATCGGGCCCGTGTGGATGGGAGAGCTGGCCTATCCTGATCACCGAGCGACGGCCACGGCTATGTCGAATACGACCTATAGCGCGGGTGCTATTCTCTCGGCCTGGGTAACATTTGGATCTTTTCGGATGCCAAATGCATGGTCAGTCTCAATCAATGAGATGTCGCTTGCGGTATATTGACCAAAATGTACAGGGCATGGCGAATCCCAACGGTCTTCCAGGCTCTTCCGTCGGTGATTCAAGTCATCGGATCCTTCGTTCTCCCTGAGTAAGATATCCGTTTTCTAAGTAGGTTGAGAGGGCAAGCATCTCTAACGGAAACAGATCCCCCCGTTGGCTCATTAGTAAAGGCCGCGAAGACGCAGCTCTCCAAATCCTTGTGAAGTACCACGGCAACGGCGACCCCGATGATCCCGTCGTCCAGTTCGAGTTCCAGGAAATGAAAGAAACCATCGAGCTCGAGATCGTGGCCAACAAGACCTCGTGGAGCACGCTGGTCAACACACGCGGTAATCGCTGGCGATCATTCATTCTTGTCTGGTGCGGTAGGTGACACTCCATCAATTCCCTTTCACACATGCACATCAACACCACATCGACAATACCTAACCCAACACACAACCATCCACAGGAGTCTGCAAACAATGGTCCGGCAACGGCCTCGTCAGCTACTACCTCGGCAGCATGTTAAAATCCGCCGGCATCACCAAAGAAATCGAAACGACGCTCATCACCGCCACCAGCCAAATGTTCAGCTTCGCCTGCTCTCTCGCCTTCGCCTTTCTCCCCGGCCGGGTGGGTCGTCGTCCGCTGTTGCTCTGGTCCATGGCGCTGATCTGGCTCGTCTTTGCGTTGATCACGGCCTGCACGGGCGTCTACGTCGAGACGGGGAGTCAGCCTGCCTCGTATGCCACTGTCGCGTTTATTTATCTGTACAGTGGTGTGCATAATCTGGGTTGGACGGGGGCGATGATGTTATATGGTATGTTCTTCTTCCTGCCCCGCTGTCCATGGTTTTCCTGTCTGGCGCATCTTGGTTAAATGGGATATGCTGACCGCGTACAGTGGTTGAGATCCTCCCCTACTCGATGCGATCCAAGGGCATTGCGCTCTTCTGGCTCGTGACCGGCGCAACGGGCGCGTTTAACACGTATGTGAATCCCATCGGGATCGATGCGTTTGCGTGGAAGTATTATTTCTTCTATGTGGGGTGGATTATCGTGCAGTTTGTCGTGGTGTATTTGTTTTTCATTGAGGTGAGTGCACAACCCTCTTTCCTTCCGTGGTCGATCTTCTACAGGTCTTAAGACAAGGTGGAATTCTCTTGCTGATTTGTGTAGACCAAAGGGCCGAGTCTGGAGCAGATTGCGCTGCTCTTTGATGGGAGGGATGCTGTCGTGGGTCATGTTAATCCTGTGGCGGAGGAGTTTTTGGATGAGAAGAGGGGAGGAGAGGAGAAGGTGGAGACGAGGGAGATTGAAGTTGCGAGGGGGTGAAGGATGGAATGGTTCGCTGTTAGTGGTTAGTTGTGTGAGCTTAGGGTGATTCTAATCTGAATAGCATTGCGTCTTGAGGTCTAGTATTTGTAAGTTGTATATTATGGCGCGTTATGTTATCTCATGGGCTATTCTCTGCGACACCCACGACAAGATCAATCAATTCGTCTGCCCTACTGAGAAACGGACAATGCCCTGAATCCATCTCCATCGTCACCACTTGTCCTCCACTCTCCAACACATCGTTAACCATGCTCTTCTGCAGCCCCGTCATGATCACCAGCTCCTTCAAGCAATGCACATACATGCAGCGGGTATCCTTCCACGGAGCATGCGTCATTTCTCCCATCGCAGCACCGTATTTGTGCGTCACGTTGTCCTTTGCTAAGCTCTCTGCTTACTCCGCATGAATGTCATTGTAGAACGAGTGCGGTGCGTTCTTCGCGAAAACGGTGCCGTCTTCGTTAACGCCGAGATCGACCTGGCACTTAAATCCGTACTTTTCGATCACGAACGGCACCGAGGACCCAGGTGGGACAAGCCAGGCGGGTATATAGATGATGGACGAAATCCCTTTGGAACTTGTCTTGCTGGCGTCGCTGTATAGGTCTGGGGAGGTAGCTTCCGAGGCCACGATGCCGCCATAGGAGTGAGCTAAGAAGAGAATTGTGTGGTTGTTGGCTGTGATCAACTCCGTCGCTGCTGCTCGTACGGCCGCAAGGCCGGCCTATAGTGCCCGTGGGGGCCGAAGATCGCCGCAGGTGGGAAGGCGGGGACATAGCACTGCAAACCCACGCTGGGATAGCTGGTCATTGAAAGCATCCGAGGCCGAGGGAAGGAAGTAGGCTCCGTGAACAATGATGGCGGTAGTTTTGGGGGTTGACATCTTGAGACAGGGGCCTGGCGCCTGGTTGATCCCGGGGGCGAGTCTGAGTTATGTGGAGCTAAGTGGAGCTTAAGCTCTGTGCCGCGCGAGGCTGTGGGTTCAAACGCAATGCTTCGTTTTTCGTGGTCTGGATGGTGATATAATTGTCTATGGTCTCCGGGAGGGTTGGGAGGACACACTGCAGACATGTCTTGTACCCGGTGCCCCAAACTGTCACTACTGTCCGTAACTTCCGCCAACCGCTGGCCCAAATACTTCCTGTTTTTCTTCGCGGCGACTTCCTTGGCAGCAGGGCTATACCGTTCCATATTGACCCCAAGACCTTCCAGAAGGCGTATCACAGATACGTCGTTTTTCCGCATTGCTTCACTTGCAACAATGGTTAGATGAGAGCACTCCCCATCTTTTAGGAGACACCGGACCATGCCGCGTTGGCCCTTTTGGCACGCTATTCTAAGAGGGCATAGACCGAATTTGCATTTGGCCCCCCCTACAAGTAGGATATCCACAAGCTCCTCACGGTCATTCGCAACGGCGAGATATAACGGAGTAAACCTCCTATAGGTAAAGTTCACATCGACATTTGATTCAATGAGCAGTTGGACAACCTCCATTTGGCCATGGATCACTGCATCGTTGAGAGCATCCTGAATTAGGAGAATGTCGTCCGCTTCGTACCCAGACCGCCACAGTTTGTTCCCCCTGCGGAGCATTCGAAACTGGCCAATAATCATCAGTTCTTTTTCAGTGAACGTAGCCGTGGGGTCCATAGGCCTATAGTAGGGTTGGTCTGAGAGCGAGTGGTCTTTAATGCGCGCCGCCAGCATGTCTTTCAACATACTTGACACGATTGATACCTTTCCACTGCTTGCCGCGCAAGAAAGAATCGAGGCATGACGCTCCTCGGGGATATCGTATAATTGAAATAAGTCCTTTAGCAGGTTGTACATATGACGATTTGTGGTCATGAATGACGTGATGTCCTGGCGACAGCATAATTTTTTGGCAATTAAGATGAGTATTTCATTGGGTAACTGAAGGAGAGGCATCCTGATGAATTGCGCGCTGTGGCTCTGAGAGGGGAGGTGAAGAGAGAAAACGGCTGCTCCGCGCGGGAATGGCAGGTTTCGTCGGCGCCAAGACCCGCTTGTCCTCTGTGGTCGAAGCCACATCACACCACCTAGTCCCGTGGATGCACGTGATTGGGGCAGCCTGGCGTTCCTCCTTTGAAGACTGATGGAAGTTTTTAATAGGATAGGCCTCTTGGATATGGCCGCAAACGTACTTTTGGCATGATGAACTTCGTTGAGTGGAAGGATGCATACTCCGTTCCCGTTGAGACCATGACAAGGCAATGAAACACTCAACCTACTCTGTCTGATCATTCAGCCATGGATCCTGGAGTAGATCTTTTGCTGTCTTTCTGTCTTCAGGTCGCCACTGAAGCATTCCTCTCATGAAACTCATAAACAGTTCCTTATTTCTTCCTTCAAGGAACTCTTCCGACAGTTCTAGGCTAACCCCTGTGGGGATCTCTATGTCTGCTTCCAGTTCCCTGTAACGACGCTCTTTTTAGCCATTGCAAAGTCCATATATCGAGAAACAAATACTTACCATCATTGGTAAAGAACTCATGGCTTCGCTTTCCACGCTGGAGCATATCTAAAGGGGGCGGCCCAAGAATACTGATGACTTCGGCAAGATGCGCCCGGGTCGAATACCCTTTGCCATCAGGGTCATTTCCATAGAAAAGGTGCCTGCCCTCGAACAGATCCCACACCTATTACACCCGACTCGTTAGTAGATGATATTGGGAGTAGACAGCCAGAGCATACCATAACACCGACATTCCACATGTCGACTGAGTAACTCCAATCAGTTTTCAACATCACTTCCGGCGATCTATAAACGTTTGGCTGTGCATCATGATTCCTCTTCTCATCTCCCTGCACGGCAGAGCCAAAATCACTCAACACTACTTGGCCAAATACTTTTGGCAAGTCGAAACATCGTGAAGCATACACCGGCAAACCGTTGACTATTTTGCGGGGTGAGGGGTTCTTCAGTTCAGCTTGGGTAAAGCTTTCTAGGATAGACGTATCTTCTATGTCTTGGAGGATGTTATCGCTTTTGATGTCTATCAAAATACATGTTAGGGCAACGCTGCTTGGCAGAACCAGACGGACACGTCTCACCGGTGTGAACAAGTTTGCATTCAGTGTGCAGATAGTCTAGTGCAAGAAAGATCTGCATAAGTCCAGCTTTGAGTAGGTCTTCGGTCAATCGATGGCTGGGATTACGATATAAAAGATCCCTGAAGCTCTCCCACATTGGTTTCTGAACAAGACACGAATGGTCGCCGCCCAAACGGGGAATCCTAAAGATGTCGAGTGTTTTCCCTATGTGAGCACGGCCAGGGTGCCATGGACTCCCCTGATTTAGATGCTTATAGATCTGAAATTCTTCCTGGTTACCTTCTTCGCGCGTGTAGATTTTGAGTGTCACATATTGATGACCTCTGGTCATGTTAGCTGGTCGGTGTTGAGAGAAAAGGAGTAGATCTGCCTTAACTTACTTGAGATCGTGAGCGAGCCATGCTGTAGAGGTAGTCCCAAAACCAAGTTTGCCAATGATCTGGTATCTCGAGCTCAGCACGTCGCCAATGTTAGCGGGGTAATATTGCCCTTGGTTGAACTGCTCAAATCGTTCCTCCTCAAGAACATCTGAACGGCGAACAGTTTCGAAGCCGCTGGTGGGGAAACAAATGGGAGGGGACGGGGCCCTGCGTAGCGCTTTTGTGGCCCATTGAATCAGTCCAGCCATTATGCGCGGGTTGGAAGATTTTGACATAGGAAGAGTGAAGAATGCAGGCGATGAGAGTAAAACAACTAGTTAACTAGTGAAGTTATCGATGAGAATGGTGACTCATCATAGTGACGCCTGGCGTGTGGCAGTCACTTTGGTTGTGTTTACTTTTAGATTTGTCTACTGCGTTTGAGAGTCTATATGAGATACGGACACGAGGTTCTGCTTCGATCGGCGAGGTGCCTGCCTACGACCCAACCGCAATGACCATTGTACTCACTTGCCTGAGCCACCAGATCTCACTAACCATGTTGAGGCTTGTGTTCAACGATCGCAAGAAGCTACCTAGTTTACTCAAACTTGGAGACATACTCTTGGTTGACGGCAAACAATGCAAATTCAAACTCTGAAACTGCCATACAATCAATTTGGTTTGAAACATCAGACTACGTACAGGTCAAGTCCAGCCAGATATACTATTCGCATAGGGAGGAAACAAATGGGAAAAAGTAAAGCACTCATGCCGATTCAGATCACATACCCGATATGTTGGGCTGATGAACGGATGCGTGCGAGGGCCATATCAAATAAATCGCCTCCTCTCCAGACCAGCAAAGCCGATCCACCAACAGTGGCAGCAACAATCCCCAGCCATTTGAGAACCTCGATACGCAACCCTTCGTGGAATGATTTCTCCAGCGACTCGCGGTCGTTAATTTGTGGAAACGGTTCGTCTGGAACTGGCTTTCCTAGGAACTCGCATAGTGGCTCCCAGCCACTGCCCAATTCATATTCCAGCAGTTGCTCGGGCGGCGTGATTCTCCTGACATGGTCATAATGTTCCAGATACACTTTTATCGCGTTGTCATTGAGATGCTTCGTCGAGGTACCGCCAAAGAGTCCTCCTATTGACGATTTTAAGACCTGCCTGAACGGGCCAAATCGCCAGCGGTCAACCCTAGATGGCATACATTAGGAGTGATAACAACACGGAAGGCGACTCTAATGCTGAAGTGCAGTCTGTCTGACTTACCATGCTAGCCATACCATCTTTCTGTCATTCATTACAGTCCCCACAATTCTCGTGAAGCTCTGCCTCCATGACTCCAAGTCGCGCGAGACTAGGATCACCTTGGCGTCTGGATAAGCTTCATGCAACTCCTCTGCGAAAGCGATACATGGAATATCAGACACGGCGTTGAAGCTGCCAAGAATGCGATCCCAATTTTGCCGCTGATGATGTGACATGTCATTTTCTTTGTCGGAGAATTTGGCTCGGATTAATTGAAGCCATAGCTTGAAATCACCAGGTGCGGAAAGGTACATGTTCGCTCCATGGTAGCAGTTGATCCCGAGGATTCCAAGTGCTTTTTGCATTGCTAGGGTTGGAGGTATTCGGTCAGTTATTCCATGAATCTTATGTAGAGTTGTGGCGTTCATAGTCCGGCAGTTTTGATTTTCCTAAGGCTTGAAGTGGGAACTACTCACACATTGTGCCAGTACGGGACATGGAGAGATTGAGAACTTCCATCGGTGCAGTCCCTTCTTTTTTGCTCGTGCCCGGATCCTATAAATCCAGGTCAATCCAGTGGCTCTGGTGTTTTAATGGGGACAACGCACACTGCCAAGGACCTTCCCCTCCACATTGTCCTTTGAGAGGGTAGAACTATCCATTTGTGACATGTCCACAAGAGACTATGGTTGATTAAGCATAGCAGGATCGCTATATCCAGATCAGAGGGAGCTGCACATCGAAATAAAGGGGGGTGCAGAAGTGCATTCCAACTCACATTCACCGCCTCATGTTTAGGTCGGTCCCGCATAATGATGCAAGGGGCGTAAGCCATAGATCCCTATTAGTGATAGTGCGGAGTTCAGGTATGGTCTTTTCTTTTTCCATGTTTACACTGATTCTTTGTAGAGGGCGTGGGGGGGTGGTCTTGTAGCGGGTGATTCCGCTTGTTTGTATAACCTCATTGGGTCATCTGATAGCTCCTATTCCGGCTCATCTCTTTTTTCCCACATAAATTTCCATCATACTTTCTACTCAATCTGCCGCCTGGTGACAGTCTCTTTACTCTGAGATTGGTGGGAACATTCAAGGCCTGGAGCTATGTCTCTCATATTCGAAGCCTCTGGCTATTCGCCAATAATCGTTTCGATCCTCTGTCTCGTCTTTCCCTTCTTGGGTGTCTATCTTTATGCTCGAGTTTATTATTATCGCTTTAAACAGCATGCATCCTGGCCACAGCCACAGCCTTCCCTTCTCTGGGGTCACATGAAAGTAATGCATCAGGCTATTCAAGAGTGTCCTCCAGGTGCACATAGTGGTATGTCAGATAATACTCCCATTGGTTCAGACGAAACGCTAATCTAAGCCAAACAGACGCCGCACTCGCAAGGATCTGGGAGAAATTGGGAAAGCCGTCCGCATTCATATTGGATCTTCGGCCAGCTGAACGCGTCTTATGCGTGATAGCCAATCATGAAGTTGCCGAGCATTGCGTTCAACCGTCAAAGCAATTTCCATATGGGATGGGGAAATCGCCGACCATGCAGCGCTTTACAGAGATACTTGGTGAAGGTGCAATCATTACGCGCGAGGAAATGGAGTGGAAGATGCTTCGTAAAAGGTTCAATCCTGGGTTTGCCTTTCCTCATCTCATCGGCTTGCTGCCGGTTATACTGGACAGAGTCTGGAGATTTATGGACAATCTCGACCGCCACGCTCAGTCTGGCGAAGAACTCAAATTCGGGAATCTGTGCAATTCTGTCACATACGAAATCATATGTACGTCTTAGCGTTCTGTTCATCGAGTACAAGCTAACGCTATGCCATTCAGGTGCGGTGACTTTGGGGGTCGATCTGAACAATGAGTTAGATATGGCCAGACAAAGCGAAATAGGACATCTTTACTGGAAGCTTCTGTCAAGTTACAATCAGGATGATGACTCCATTTTTTGGGTTAGTCCACGGGTCAAACGGCATCGGCAAGCCCTTTCTGCAGAACTGAATCCTCTGATCAAAACATATATCGAAGAGAAATTCTTCGACTCCCACGGCAACCCTCTGACCAGTGAGACGGATAGGATTTCAAATACCATCGTCGGACTCAGCCTGCGAGGAACCGAGAGGTTAACGTCTGACATCTTAGAGTCGACATGTGACCAAGTCAAGGTTTTCCTCTTCGCAGGACAAGATACCACGAGTACCTTACTGCAATGGGCGACGTACGAACTGAGCCGTACTCCACATGCCCTCCGGGCTCTGAACGCAGAGCTCGACAAAATCTTCGGGTCCGATGCTGGTCCTGATACCATCCGCCAGAAGCTGATGTCTCAAGGTGCCATTGCCCTTGGACAAATGTCGTATCTTTCTGCAATCATCAAAGAGACGCTCCGGCTGCATCCACCAGGTGCAACTGCACGGATGGCCGCTCCCGGATCCGCGGAATTTGTTCGACTAGCGGATGGTCAAGAGCATTGCATTGACGGCATCATCATGTATAACTGCCTTTCTCTGATCCAACGCGATCCTCTCATCTATGGTGAATCCAGTGACGATTTCGTACCAGAGCGCTGGTTGAACAAGGGAGAAACGGGCTCCTTTCCACCCACTGCTTGGCGTCCATTTGAGCGTGGCCCCAGGAGTTGTATTGGTCAAGAGTTGGCTAATATTGAAGCGCGTGTCATCTTAGCCTGCATCGTGCGACGATATGATTTCTCTAAAGTAGGCCTTGGGGTGACTGATTATGCGCGAAATGGTGAGCCGGTTTTGGACTGCAACGGACAGTACAAGGTGCTCTCTGAGCTTTATGATGTGGGTTTCGATGATTCGCCTGATATTTTGATTCTGTAGATGCTAACAGAGTGCACAACAGACCCGAGAGATAACTCTAAAACCGGTAGATGGAATGAGAATGCGGGTCAAATTCAAGCCGAAAGTATGCGTGGCATCTGCTTAGTGCTGGCTGAATCGCGATTCGGATCGATACACAAGTTCATTTAGAGAGAAGCTACCTTGAGCCAAAGCATATTAGACTAGTTCGATACTCACTTAGTTCTCCATGCATGTATTTAAATCCTAGATGATCAGAGGTAACGGCAGCCCTTGTGCCCCTCCTATCCACATGGCTGGAAAGGTAAGGAGTTTCTTGAGCTTATTAAAGTGATTGCCTTTGAGAGTAATTGGTTGATAAGCACAATTACAGCGATTAATGTGAAAGTTGGTGAATGATGCCGTAGAAAAGAAAAAGAAAGCAACGTGGTTTCCTGATTAGGAAAGCGTGGAGCACGGATGACTCAGTCACGCTAGCTGATCACGTGCGGACTGGCCTTGCTAAAGTTTGCACTGTCTGTCCATTCTTCAAACGACGCAAACAGCGTCATATCAAACTATTGGATTGATCGACTTATCGCGACTTGCGCGACTCGACCTCGACAGGCTTTCGGAGGCGCTTAGCTTCCCTCTTCGTGTCGGCTCCTTTGCGCCACGGGTTTGAGCGTCGCGTTTCTTGTTCGAATCATTCGGCCGACTAAGAAGCTGCGTCTTGTCTGCGGCCTAGCAAGGGGACAAGGGCTTCGAGAAACGCGCGACTCCGGTAAAAGCTATCTATGACCATTTCTCCACGGGCCGTGGCGCTTAAAACGCTGGATATTCCCGTGTTCTTATTAAGAATTGCGTTGCTTAAAGCACCTATCGCAATTGTGACTGGTTCAACTTTTTGAAACTCCCTACTCCATACTAAGCTTCCTCCGCGGCCCCATTAGGATATCTACTTCTCGAACAGGCACGCGCTCCTCTCTGTCAGTCGCCTTCAAACAACCAAAGCTCATCTATAGTCGCGCCAATCGATATATCCGGTCGTCAAGCTACCAACGACACCACCGCGTCTCCTAGATCGCGACCATGACGTCCACGTCTGCTCAAAATCACCCTCCGACAACGTCGGCTTCCGAGTTCCCCCAAAATCAGACGGCCCCAACTACTGGGATCGATCCCAATTCGAACCTCCCGACAAGTGGATATGCGCCGAACGAGAATCAACTGGCTGGGCTCGTGGAGGCGGCAACCGCCGCAGCCGGTCAGGACGTGTCAGAGTGGGCGGCCGCAGCTGCAGTCGCCGCGGCAGCTGGTGCAACAGGGCATCAGCACCATTTGGATGGGTATGGGCCTGAAATTCATATCGACGACGAGGGGTTTGGAGATACGGGCTTTGGGACCGGCATGGGAAGTGGGAGGCATTTGCGAGTGCCGGGGTCAGGTGCCTCGAACGACCAGGGCCAATCTTCGGGGTTGTCCCGAACTGTGTCGAAGAAGAGGAAAAGAGGCGATGAGACTTTAGACCCGGCATTAGCAGCATCTGGAGCTGGCATTGGCGCATCTGGTGGGCATGGTCAGCAGTCACATCACCATCATCCTCATAGTTACGGCGGAGATAACCTGGATATTCGAGCCGCGCCGCCTCAATCGCTGTCGGATGCTCGCGCCGTCGGTCTCCATTCCGCTGCAGCTCTTTTCCGCCAACCATCGAGCAACAAAAAGTATACCCGGCCACCGATGTCCAAACTTTTCACCTCCTTAGAGCTCTCGCCCGAGAATTTCCTACACCTACAAGCCGCAGCCAAAGGATATATGCTTGACGACGCACATCCAGAGCGACGGGAATGCGTCGGACAGCGCGGAAGAGGCGACACGGAGATGGTCAAACTAAGGCTATGGAACTGTGTGCGCCATTTTCTGGAGTCCGAGGGCCATGGCGAGCGATTCTTTGGTGAAAATGTTGTCAACGAGGACATGGGTCCAAGAACTTACATATGGCCTCGTGACCAACAGAAGATTATCTCTCTGGTCATACCTTTGTTGAGGCGAATGGTCACTAATGAACGTCAACGGCAATATGCTGTCGAGACGCGAAAAGGTGGGACGGAAGAGCGCAGGCGACGGAAGACGGAGGATAGTATTCAGAACTTTAATAGCGCCAGTCCTCCTCGATTCCCTGTGGAAGAACAATTGCAGATGCATACGCAATCTCATCTTCCCGAGGGATACACATCCACACAGGCCCCAATGTCGGCAACGCAACCCGTGGGATCCACCTCACAGCAAGTAGACTTGGGATTAACAGATCTATTCCTCGATGGATACACGACAGACTGGAATGAGATCTCTAAAGCATACGACCTGTACAATCAGAATTATGAGCTCGACAATCTGTGGTATCTTTCCGGCCTTCAGCAACCAGATTGGCGCGGCCTAGTGGCGGCTGTTGACAGCCACTATCAAGTCATCCACAACGGTGACTGTGACTGTCCAACCTCATGTGAGGATGAGAATGTCAGTCGTATACTGGATGCGAACACTACGTCTGATTTGCGATGGCGAATTGGCGGCAGTCAGAATCAGCCTGCCAGAAATGAATTGTACGCTTCACCTCCCATATATCCTATCCTGCTTTTGCATACGAGATGTGGTATACTGACATGGCTTTTCCTATAGTGCAAGCAGCATCACGCGTGATGTTTCACGCGTTATTCGCGACAGCTTAGGTGGCAAGCAATCGGAACATCCTACTGGCAATCATCAAGCACCAGTCCCTCAGCCTCAACCCCTCCCGCCACCCAACTTCCCTCCCATGGCTGGAGTCGCAAACAACGAGCACTCTGGAACGACCGGCCCTCAGGCTCCTCTTTCGATTCGCGTCAATATCCTGCAAGAAGGAAAACGTGTCCTTCCTCGTCTTGACTTGCCCGCGGGACAAACTCCAGATCTCGAGACTCTCAAACAACTCATTGCCCGTCGCTTCCCTGGAGAGTTACCAGGTATTCCCTCTGAATCCGCCTTAGATCCCAACGCAGGTAATTGGAACTCCTCTGTTCATTGGAAGTTCAAGGTCTTTCTTCCTGAAGGACTCACACCCGTGCACAATGACGGTGAATGGACGATTGCTCTCTTATCCGCTGGCAACGTCGACTGGATGGACGGAGATTTGAAGGTTCTTGTTGAACTAGAAAGCTCCTGATTTCCACTCTTACTTCCTTTCTTCACATGTATGGGTGTGTACCAGTGTGTATTTTTTACAAATCTCACCTTGGCGTTTCTATAAATGGTTTCTTCTCTTCTGCTATTTTGTGGGTTTTTTTTTTCTTTTGATGTCAAAAGTCTCCTAGGGCATGACTGCTCCTGCATATACTGGGTTTTCTTCTTTTCTTCTTCTATCTTACTGTATCGCATCCCCATATCTCCTTCTTTTTCTTCCCCCTCTTCTTACAATTTGTTCCCTTATTTCCACTTTTGTCATTATCTAGGATTGCTTCTTTTCTGATCATACCCCTTTGTACCAAATCCAGAAACGAAGTTGCTACCCCACGAGATACAATGCACGTGCATGTTAATTCAGGTGAAGGACTTATGGAAACCTTAATCAGATACTTAGTTTAATCAGGGCTATTAATGAGATGATCTAGTCGATTTATTTAAATCATGCAGTTCAAAATGATAGATTTCGATTCATTTCTTCTCCAAACTGAAGGTTCCAGGTGATAAATGGCGTGGAAGTTCAAAGTAGCAGTACCTATCCGCCTGACAACATATATTTTGAGTCACCCGGGCTTTAGATCAACACATGACCAGTTTCCTTGATCATTGCATGAAGTGTGGAAAAGATTCTTCACAAATAGATAGATTGTGCCTGGCTATTGTTTTGTCTTCATTATTTAGGATATTGATTTACTATTCGTGGATGTACAGGACAAAGACTTGATTAACTAGGGCTGAGTCGGGATTGACTAGACCTCGCGACCACTGATAAAGCTTGGAACTTCCCGCTCTCCCGTGTGCCACCTTTTCAATTCTTTATTTATGTCTCAGTATTGAAGCTAAAAGTAAAGATTCGACTTGCTCAGCCCTATCGGGCCACGATCGTCCTAAGATCCTCGGTTGCCTACCGACCCGTTGGCTGTCAGATGGCCCCTCGTTTGTCTGGATGTAACCCTCATCTATCAAGGTTCCATTTCATTTTTGTGCCTGTCTCAAATGATATCCCGAGGACTCTGTCCAATGCCTAGGTATATGGATGGCATGATTGTTCCTTTGAAGGATCATTTGCCTCATTCCAGCTTTTGGTTTGACTTCCGAATGACATCTTCGACACGGCTTGTGCTGGACATGACTCTTGCTGACACGGTGACTCTGGCCAGATTGTTGGACTGAGTCTCCGCCCAGACCACGGGACAACCAGTCTCAATTGGGCTCATGGGGCCGGGTGAGACGCTTCAAGACATATCGCATAAACGAGAGCCTCGTGTAGCGCCTCCCAGGTTCAGCGTTGCCGACCACTGCATGTCGGTGGAGACCCAAAGCCCAAGGCTGCCCAAAGCTCTGTAAATTGATATACCGCAGAGGTTGTATCGTTTCCCGATTAACCCTTGGCAGCTGCCCCCGTGTCACTACTGTCTCCACTGACCACATTCAATCGCGCTTTTGTGGCCCTGCGTTTTATCTCACGCTTGGAAAGGGGCTTCTCCGCCTCAACCGTCTCGGACCCGACGGATGCCTTCCTTTTCAAACTGTCCGCGTTACCATGTCCCTCGGTGTTGTTTTTGGGTTTGGACGCGGCTTTCTTCTGACCGATTACTGGGGTGTCGGATTTGGGCTTGGGTTTTTGCCCCCCGTCCACAACGTCGACAATGCCGCGCCAGCTGGTCCGCTTCAGTTTGGCTAGAGCGGTCACTTTCCTGGCTTCCTCGCAGATGGCTTCTTTCCCACGCTCCTGTGACAGCCCCCAAACACAAGCGAGGTTGATCACATCCCACGGTGCCCGTACGCCCAAAGCTCTCCTAGCTTCACTGGAGATGATGATGCCCCTCCCGCGTGTAGCCCGGATCAATGACATGGAATTGCCGATAAGGTTGCGTCGAGCATCGGTGCCGCTTCCTGTGACGCCAGGGCCGTAGCAAATTTCAATCCGTATACCACGTGCGATAGCGGCAGAGAGCATTTTGAACTTAAAATGGTACGGTTGTCGAACCGAGAAGTCCACAGATATCACATCGCATTCAAGGTTGGTGCACGCGTTCAGTAGCGCCTTCTCATTGGTGGGTCGCAGCGCAACGAGATCATACACTTGAGAGAGACTGGCCAGGCGTTGATTCTGTGCGGGGTCGGAGAGGGTCAGGTTCAAGCGGTTGAGCAGCGTCAGGCCCTCGGGAACGTTCTTGGGAACAGGCGGGGGAGTAGGATTCGAAGGGAGCTTTCCGGTAACGGTCTGCGAGAGAGCGACGGTTGTGTAACCGACTGATTAGTAGGTCAGGTTAGTTCTTCATGTGGCCAGCATAGTGCATGCAAATCACCCCCGCGGTAGTCGGGTCGTGTGCCAGAAATAAAGGCATGACGTACGTTCTGCAAGAAAGCTTAAGGTAGGCGAGATCTCGGGATCATCGGGGCTGTATGGAACATTGAGGTCATAAAACATCTTGGCTATATTAAAAGCCGCCGGGAACGCGCTTTTAGAGTCCTTGCGAGCCGAGTCGATCTGCTTGTCTTTTCGAACGATCTGAAGCTCCGAGAAAGGCAAGTAGAAAATCATCCCGGCGCATCAATGAGTTTCTCCGCGCCGAGTACAGTCTAACCGCATCAGGGCAGCACCTCATCCGCCCGAGTCCCGTGACCGCAAAGGCGGAGCGAAACGCTCTTATCCATTCTGATCATCGCCTAATAGACATCTCTCGTCCCCATCAATACCCCAGGGCGATAGCACGGCTGCACCGTTTGGACGAGCTTACCTGCTCCTGGTTTTGCAGCTGTTGTTGTCTGTCCTCTCGGCCTCAATTCTACTGTCGCGACTCTCTTTTCCTTCTTGCCAGCCTTCCCTGCCCCCTCTCTACCCCGCCGCATTTTATCTTCGATATCCGATTGTGGGCTGACCCTAAGCCTGCTTTCCGGCCGCCATCATCATGGCGCGCGTCTACGCTGATGTCAACGAGCATATGCCTCGGTCGTACTGGGACTATGATAGCGTCAACATCTCCTGGGGCGTTCTGGAAAACTACGAGGTCGTTCGCAAGATTGGTAAGGCGGAAGAGCCATCCCTACCTGTTGCCATTGCAATGGCGTTCTTGCCGTGCGGCCGATGGATTAGCTTTTTGTTCCGAGTACTGACAATATTTACTTTAGGTCGGGGAAAGTATTCCGAAGTCTTCGAGGGCATTAATGTCGTCAATTACCAGAAGTGTGTTATCAAGGTCCTCAAACCAGTCAAGAAGAAGAAGATTAAGCGTGAAATCAAGATTCTTCAGAACTTAGCTGGAGGTCCCAATGTGGTGGCGCTGCTGGATGTGGTCCGCGACAGTCAGAGCAAGACCCCGAGCTTGGTCTTTGAATACGTCAACAACACCGACTTCCGCACGCTGTATCCGCGATTCTCCGATTATGATGTTCGTTTCTATGTTTATGAACTGTTGAAGGCCCTCGACTTTTGTCACAGCAAGGGTATTATGCATCGCGATGTGAAGCCCCATAATGTTATGATTGATCACGAGAAGCGCAAGGTGGGTCGTGCATGCCTTTTACATTTAGTAGAACCGTTGCTGACCCGTGACTTAGCTGCGCCTTATCGACTGGGGTCTCGCCGAGTTCTACCACAAGGGCACGGAATACAACGTACGAGTTGCCTCTCGATACTTCAAGGGCCCCGAGTTGCTCGTCGACTTCCAGGAATACGATTACTCTCTAGACATGTGGTCGCTGGGAGCGATGTTCGCCTCCATGATCTTCCGCAAGGAGCCTTTCTTCCACGGAAACAGCAATTCGGACCAGCTTGTCAAGATTGCCAAGGTGCTCGGAACTGAGGAGCTCTTTGAGTACCTTGACAAGTACGAAATTGAGCTTGATCCTCAGTACGATGAAATCCTCTCTCGGTTCCCGCGCAAGGCCTGGCACTCGTTTGTCAATGCCGACAACCAGCGCTTTGTCAGTGACGAGGCTATCGATTTCCTAGACAAGCTTTTGCGATATGACCACGCTGTATGTCATCTTACCTTATGGACTGCCGAACCTTTTATCTTACATACTGACCCTTGTATATAGGAACGACTTACCGCCCAGGAGGCTATGGCTCATCCATACTTCGCTCCCATCCGCGCAGCCGAGTCGCAGGCTAGAAACAACGTCGCCTGATGACACGGAGGAGTTTCTACGAACGCTGCCCTCGGGTCTTAGCGATCCTCTTTCCGCTCAGCGTGACCTTACTGCAACTTTGATATCCCCCAATTTGGTCCGAATTTTGAGTCGATTCTGGGACTAAAACAGAAAATCTGATATAAGACCAAATAACTTCACGAAAACCGAAAACAACAAAAAAAGATGAAGGGCATGCCATGAGTTCCGTCATCCCACGTTGGCATGGGCCGCAGTATACTCCGTGGGAGCGATGAACTATGGCGTATGGATGGGGAGACGACCATGATGACCAGATGACAATACACCTAATACGTTTGGGCAACGAGCCCATCTCAGCTCAATCCTTTTGGCGTATCCAGCGAGTGAAATTGACCAAATGAGGTTGACGCAATTCCACTCCGTTTTCTTTTTCTTTCACTTTCCTCTTCATGCCTCTCTACCAACTCATCCATGTTCCTGCACCATTTCTTCCTTCCTAGGCTGTTGGATTGATATTCATGGGGTTTCTTTTCTCACTCTACGTGTTTTCCCGCTCTCCTCTTTCTCCTCTCGAAACCACATTTCTATCTGCACGTCATCGGTATTTGATGCGTCATTGACAGGCGTGAGGGGCTACATAGTTTGGTGCTTATATGATTCTCTCTGGGCTTTCGTTTCAATTAATGATTTTCCCCCCTTCCTTCACCCCAATGGTTATGCAGATCATATAGATGAAGTTTTCCGCTACCAACATAGATGAGTATTATCTGCCAGATAAATTTGCGTAGAATCCGGAGTGTTTTAGAGGTTCCATGAGAGGTATTTCTCGCATCGTAGTCCAGTGTTGCTGGTATCAAGACTCATTGTACATGGACGATCGATCACGTGATGTGACTCATTTGGCCTCAAAATTTTTGTCGCGGAGACTTCAGATTCCGGTCAAGGCAGCGAATAGGACCCGGGCAGCCCATACCTAGAATTGAGGCTTGACACGAAGAGTCATACCTGCTTATATATCACACGAGGCCATACTGACCCGGACTAGGGAATCGACCTCCACCGCGATTCTCCACTGCCAGCCTTTCTTTGGGCCCCGCACTACCAATTCTCTGATTCGTTCCATTCTTTGCTCTGCGCGCCAGGAAATTTAATTGCCCGCCGCACAACGACCCCTCCCCCTCCTTGCTCTCTATCGCCGTTGGAGTCACCGGTGGTCAAGATACTTATCCGGCAGTTCGTGGCGCGATCGGCGCCCTGGAGACTTACTCCTCCATTATCTCGATCATTTTCCAGGATGTCTGCCCCCCAGAATCCCGGTGAGTTGCTTGTTGCTTTCTTGAACCTCGTCCTCCCCCCTCTACTATGACTCAGTAGTTCGAGTGTGGTCAAAAGGCGCAAAAGGCTAACAGTGCTTTCGGTGCTTGGTTATAGCTGGCGAGCCTGCGGCTCCCAAGATTGATACCCCCGCTCAAGCCGATGAGCAAACGAGAAACCAAGACCCCTCCGCTGCCGCCGCGCCTCCCAAGGTGAAGTCCGAGAAAGAGTGTATGGTTCCTCCCGTTCCCCGTTCCTCCGTGCCCCGCGGGGTCTAGATACACCGTGGCTGGTCTTGGGTATGATGTGATCTGACAAGGGCATGATATTCTTTAGTGGAGCGTGAGCGCAAGAAGGCCGAGAAAGCGAAGAAGTTTGCCGAAAAGCAGGCGAAGGCCGCTGCGGCCAAGCCCGCTGCGGCCAAGGCGGACAAGAAGGCTGGCAAGATTGAGAAGGAGAAGACTACCGATGCCTACGATCCCAAGGTCATCGAGCCCGGTCGCCTCGACTGGTGGGAGGAGAAGGGTCTCTTCAAGCCCGAGTTTGGCCCCGACAACAAGGTCAAGCCTGAGGGTTACTTCGTCATCCCTATCCCTCCCCCCAACGTCACTGGTTCTCTTCACATGGGCCATGCCCTCACCAATGCTCTCCAGGATACTATGATCCGTTGGCAGCGCATGAAGGGCAAGACCACTCTGTGGCTTCCTGGTATGGATCACGCCGGTATCTCCACCCAGAGTGTCGTCGAGAAGATGCTCTGGAAGAAGGAGAAGAAGACTCGCCATGACCTCGGCCGTGAGGCGTTCACGGAGAGAGTGTGGGAGTGGAAACACGAGTACCACGCCAACATCAAGAATGCTCTGCGCAGAGTCGGTGGTTCGTTCGATTGGTCCCGTGAGGCTTTCACCATGGACCCCAACCTCTCCGCGGCTGTCACGGAGACTTTCGTCCGTCTGCACGAGGAGGGCATCATCTACCGTGCCAACCGCCTGGTCAACTGGTGTGTGGCCCTGAACACCTCTCTGTCCAACCTGGAGGTCGAGAACAAGGAAGTCGAGGGTCGCACCCTGCTCGACGTCCCTGGCTATGAGAAGAAGGTTGAGTTCGGTGTTTTGACTCACTTCTGCTATGAGATGGACGGCACCAAGGAGAGAATCGAGATCGCCACCACTCGTCCGGAAACCATGATCGGTGATACCGGTATTGCCGTCCACCCCGACGACAAGCGCTATCAGCATTTGATTGGCAAATTCGCCAAGCACCCCTTCGTGGACCGTCTGCTTCCCATCGTGGCCGACCCCGAAGTCGACCCCGAGTTCGGTACTGGTGCTGTCAAGATCACCCCCGCTCACGATTTCAACGACTTCAACCGCGGAAAGGCTCACAACCTTGAGTTCATCTCTGTCATGAACGACGACGGTACCTTCAACAAGAAGGGAGGTCCTTTCGCCGGCATGAAGCGCTTTGATGCTCGTTACAAGGTTATTGAGCTCCTGAAGGAGCAGGGACTGTACGTGAAGTGGGAGCACAACCCCATGAAGATCCCCCGCTGCGCTAAGTCCAACGATGTCATCGAGCCTATCCTGAAGCCCCAGTGGTGGATGAAGATGGAGAGCCTTGCGGAGCCCGCCATCAAGGCTGTCGAGGATGGCGACATTCTCATCCGTCCCGAATCCGCCTCGAAGAGCTACTTCCGCTGGATGCGGAACATTAACGACTGGTGTTTGTCCCGACAGCTCTGGTGGGGCCACCAGGCTCCCGCTTACTTCGTCAAGATTGAGGGTGACGAGGGTGACAACAGTGACGGTGAACTGTGGGTGACCGGCCGAACCCAGGAGGAAGCCCAGAAGAAGGCTGAGGCCAAGTTCCCCGGCAAGAAGTTTGTCCTGGAGAGAGACCCTGATGTGCTTGACACGTGGTTCTCGTCTGGCCTTTGGCCCTTTTCTACCCTGGGCTGGCCTAACAAGACCCATGACCTGGAGAACCTGTACCCCACATCTGTCCTGGAGACTGGCTGGGATATCCTCTTCTTCTGGGTCGCTAGAATGATCATGCTTGGTATTAAGATGACAGGCAAGGTCCCCTTCAAGGAGGTGTACTGCCACTCTTTGATCCGTGACTCCGAGGGTCGCAAAATGTCCAAGTCTTTGGGTAACGTCATTGATCCCATCGACGTTATGGAGGGTATTGAGCTCAATGATCTCCATGCGAAGCTGCTCCTTGGTAACTTGGCCGACAAGGAGGTCGCCACTGCTACCAAGTACCAGAAGAAGGCATTCCCCAAGGGTATTCCCGAGTGCGGTGCCGACGCCCTGCGTTTTGCGCTCGTCTCCTACACTACCGGTGGTAAGTGATCACTGTATATCCCACTTATAATTTGACTATTGGTTCTAACTCGCCCAGGTGGTGATATCGCCTTCGACATCCAGGTTATCCACGCCTATCGCCGTTTCTGCAACAAGATCTACCAGGCTACCAAGTTCGTCCTTGGCAAGCTGGGCGATGACTTCAAGCCTCAGGCTACTCCTTCCAAGACTGGCCGGGAGTCCCTCTCTGAACGCTGGATCTTGCACAAGTTCAACGCTGCCGCCAAGGAGATGAACGACACTCTGGAGCAGCGTGAGTTCTCTGTTGCCGCCATCGCCATCTACCAGTACTGGTACAGCCAGCTGTGCGACGTGTTCATCGAGAACTCCAAGTCTTTGCTGAACCCCGACGCTCCTGCCGAGGTGCAGCAGTCCGCCAAGGAGACCCTCTACACCACTCTTGAGGGTGCCCTGACCATGATCCATCCCATCATGCCCTTCGTTACAGAACACCTGTGGCAACGTCTGCCTCGCCGTGCCGGCGACAAGAACATCTCCATCATGACGGCGCGTTACCCCGAGTACAAGCCTGAGTTCGACGACACCGTCGCCGAGACCGCCTACGAGCTCATCCTGAACACCTCCAAGGCCGTCCGGTCGATCATCGCCCAGTACGAGCTTAAGGTCAAGGGCGACGTCATCATCCAGACCTACGACGCCACCAGCCACCAGACCATTTCGGACGAGATCGCCAGCATCAAGTCTCTGGGTGGTAAGTTCTTGGGCGAACTCAGTGTGCAGGGCCCCGAGAACACCGCTCGCCCGGCCGGCTGTGTCGTGACTCCCGTCGGCTCCTCGGCCGCTGTTTACCTCCGTGTCTCTAAGGAGGTGGCCCTCGAGCAGGAAGAGAAGGCCAAGGCAAGCCACCAGCGATCTCAGGAGATCGTGCGCCGTCAGCAGCAGCTCACGAGCTCTCCCGCGTGGCAGGAGAAGGCCAAGCCTGAGGTTCGCGAATCGGAAGAGAAGAAGCTTCGGGATGCCGAGAGCGAGTTGGCTCGCTTGGAGGAGCAGATTCGTGAGTTTGAAAAGCTGCGGCTAGAGTAGATTAAATAGCAGCTACGTACATTCTCTTTTCTTAGTTAAAATACAAAGATCTGTTCTTTTTTTATTGGTCCCATCCCATATTTTATAGGGGTAAGTCATTGGAATTCGTGCAGCGAGTATTGTTTTGATTTCGGCAGGGCCAGTGTAAAATCTATACAAAAGCTCGCCGCGGAGGTGTCGATCGCCACTAGGCCCCGTGCACTGGGAATCGAACGTTTGCCAGACTCCTCCTTGAATCGTTTCGGGGAACTAGCTGCCTCATCCCGGGAGAGCTCACGAGCTGCTGCTGACGGCGCACGACCTCCTGAGATCGCTGGTGACTGGCCGTGGCCTTCTCTTCCTGCTGGAGAGCCATATTGAAGACACGGAGGTAGACAGCAGTCGAGGAGCTGATAGGAGCTACGGGTAGCTAGACTTGCCCTTCTCCTCTTATATGAAAGCCACCTGGAGGTAGACAGCCGAAGAGCCGACAGGAGTCACGACCCAGCCGGCCAAGCGGCGTTCTGGAGGCCCTGCACGCTGAGCTCGCCCAAAAGCTTACCACCCAGAGACTTGATGCTGGAGATCTCGTCCGAGATGGTCTGGTGGCTTGGTCCAAGTACTTGCCCCCCAGATGCAGGCTCCAATATCTCTGGCTCGACGAGATCAGGCTTCATCACTGGCTCCGAAGGCACTCGGGCCCTTGATATCAACGGGCTATCATTGGGATTATCGTAAAGAAAGAGTTATCATCCATTTCGGCGCCTTGACTGGGCCATACTGCATAAAGATCAAAATTCTGTGTTATACTCTGTGTGAGACTATAAGAAAGACCATGTGAGCGAAATTGACAGAAGTCTCTACTACACTTGGTATAGAGATAGTAAAGGAGAGGAACTATACTCTGTAAATTCTCTTGCTAAGTTGAATGCTCTCCTATTTGGCACCGGGAATATAGGCCCCTCCGATGTGATACCCTGTAGGAATGGTGGCTGCGAGAATCACCCGCTACACTTTGTCATAGACGGAAGGACTGTTGTTCGAGCGGTTGTCGAGGCGATCCTCAATAAGCTTATCGATAAGCGGCGCCAAGACAAAATTTCCGCCAAAACTTTTCGCTCCGCTTTTTCTTTTTGGATTTTGCCAGTCCAGCAACCTCATCAACTCTTTTCTCCAGAGAGCAGACTGCCTTCGTCATGATGCTCAGAGAAGTGTAAGTGCGATTCTTTTTATTGATCCCTACTGTAATTTGCAGCATGACCAGGTTCACCTCGCTGACTGACGAAATTTTTCCGCGACAGAAAACCCAAGAACCCGCGCACGGCGCGCATTCTGAAGGCCAAAGAGCCTCAACTCATCGAACCTCCCAAGAAAACTCTTTTGATGCACGGCTCGAAATGTCCGATGCCCCTGCACACCGTTCTCAAGACCTTCCACTCCCTGACCCGGCCAAACTCCGTCCTCTTCCACAAGAAGAATGAGAACATCCACCCGTTCGAGAGCACCGAGAACCTCGAGTTTCTGGCCAACAAGAACGAGTGCGGTATGGTCGTGTTCGGCAGCAGCAACAAGAAGCGTCCCAACTGCGTGACCCTGGCCCGCATGTTCGATTCCAAGCTCCTCGACATGTGCGAGCTGATGCTCCTCCCCAACCCCGACGGCGAGGATATCCCAGCCATGAACAACCTTACGATGCATGTCGGTGTCGGGCTACGACCCTTGATGCTGTTCTCCGGTAGCGCCTGGGATGACTCTACGTCGACACCGCACGTCCTGCTCAAGAGCATGTTTGTGGATATGTTCAAGGGCGAGACCTCGGATAAGATCGATGTCGAGGGACTGCAGTATGCCCTGATGCTGGGTGCCGATGAGCCTACCGACGGTCTGGCTCCCGTTATTCACCTGCGCTGGTACAAAATCCGGACAAAGCGCAGCGGACACAAGCTCCCCCGCGTGGAACTGGACGAGATAGGCCCCAAGTTCGATTTCAAGGTGGGCCGCGTCCAGGAGGCGCCGCGGGACGCCATGAAGGAGGCCATGAAGCAGGGCAAGCGACCCAACGAGGAGATTAAGCTGAAGAAGAACATCGGCCTGGACTCCATCGGTGACAAGATCGGTCGTGTGCACTTGGCCAAGCAAGACCTGGGTGGATTGCAGACGAGGAAGATGAAGGGTCTGAAGCGACGGGCTGGTATGGAATCCGACGAGGAGCAAGGGGATGATGACATGATGGATGTGGATGAGATCTCGGAGGATGAGGGCCACAAGAGGGCCAAGGTAGCATAGAAGGATTGACGCTGCGACGCATAATTTCTGTTTTATCTATTCTTTCCGTTTCGCACCCCGGCGTTTTCGGTGGATTTGGTCGACTGACACCTCGTTGAGAGATATGAATCTGTTTGTTGAGTTGATGTTGATGTGTATAGACACTACTACCATATAAAAAGTTGATCATACAATATACCAAGTCTATCCCCATGTTACTACCACTCTACTATGTGTCTGTTGAAGTGCGGAGTTGACTAAGCAGTTGCGGTAAGGCGATCATCGCCTTGCTCGGCAGCGAAATTGCGGTATTGCGCATTCTGCAATATTGCAATATGAAGCTATAGAATAGCGGTCAAATAAGCGATTCTAGCATTATAAATAGACCTCTTAGATAGCCGGAAAGGAGGTCTTCAACACCTTCAATCTACTCGTTGGATATAACCAATTCAATTGCTTCATTCAATCGTTTTTTAGTGGTCCAATCTATCCGGATCCTTAGTCATTCTGCTTGCCAAGCCTTCGCCCTTCCACAGTTATGAATCCGGTGACCCTCTAGATCTAGAGATACGATCATTTCATCTTTATATTCGTCAAAGGACCTCTCTGAGCAGTATTCCAGCGAATCAGAGGACCATGGCTAACGGAATCGATACGGATAGCGCCGTGAAAATGAAAATCGTCCTCAACGGACCGGACAATTGGCGCAATTGAATCAAAAAAATAGAAACGTACGCATATCGTCTCGCAATATGGGATCACTTCGATCCTGATCGAAAGGAATACCCAGAGGAACCAGAACGTCCTAAGAACCTGACTGAATTTGATGATAAGTCCTATAAGAAATGGCAATATCAGCTTCAGAATTGAAAGAATAAGACGAACGCTATAGCAAAGATAGAAAAAGCAATTAGATCTTCCATACCGATCCGGGCAAGACCGATAATTGAAAACACAAAAAAGAGAAAAATGATCAAAACACTAAAGGAGCAATTCAAGCCGAGCGAAAGATATCTTGACAATAAAATTTTTAAGCTATACAATACGATCAGCAAGAGATTCCCCAGAAAGGACAAGATAGAGACATGATTGAATGAATTTATCTTTGCGTATGCAGCGATCAAGAAACAAGGCCTTCCAGAAAGCCAGAATAGACATGTGAAAAGGATATTCTTGCAGACGATTGGACCTATATCGCTCATATTCAGTGATCTGCAGTTGCAGACAATTGATGACGACGAACGCGAAGACAAGACATTTTATAAACTGCTCGCGCGATATAGAAATTATTTTATGAGCCGGCAGTATCAGGAATCAAAGAACCAATTCACAATGATTTCATTAAACGGCCATTCGGACGAGAAATCGAACGAAAATCAAGATAAAAGAAAGAATTCTCAGGATTGCATATGTGAAGAAATCCACCGATTCGCGGAATGCGCATATCTCAACCTATCGAAAAGGACTGCTTCATTCAAGACAGATGAAGCAATTATCAAGAAGATCAGAGACTTAACATCGCGAAAGATCAAGTTCGATGCAGTGATCAGGGACTACATCGATCGGAACTGGAAGGACGAATTATTTCAACTCCTCTATATAATGACGCTTGTATTCAACGCAGAGACCATCTCACTTCTAAAAAACTGCTTTATTCTTGACTCAGGAGCGTCCACGCATGTATACAACGATATTTTACGATTTGAATCACTGGACGAGAACGCGATAGGAAATCTGCGAGCAGACAATTCAATTATCAAGATCCTAGGCACTGAAACTGTCAGGATTCGTTCTAACTGCGAAGGCGATAAAGGCAAAAAAACAATCATTTTACAGAATGTGGCATACGTTTCCGGTCTGCATACCAATATTCTAAGCGCCAGAAAGGTCCAACAAGCAGAATACGAATGAGATTTTGGCCGCAATCGCATCACGAGAAACGACAAAGTTGTGTTCCGACTAGAGGATCATTCCACAGGATTATGGATTATCGAGAAATCGGAAGGATTGAGTGAGGATTTACATGTACACGCGATTTCTATACAGACGACCAAGAAGTCAGAAAAACTGTTCATCTTGAAAAAAAGAATGGAAAATTGACACCGCCGAATGGGCCACGTTCACCGAGATGCAATCAAGCGCTTATTTGAAACCGCTACGGATGTCGAAATCATCGATTGAAATGATCACAATAGAAATCAACAAATATATGAATCATATAAGATCTCATGGGCTCTTCAACAGATATCTAGGCGCCCTGAGATGAAGGCGACCTTGTTATTTGAGAGGATACATTTTGATCTCATACAGATGAGACCAGCATTCAATGAAGACCAGTGGATTTTGCATTTTTATGACGAATACTCACATTCTCACGCAATGAATACGCACCCGCAAAAAAATGATTGCGTCAACACTATCAAGACTTTTGTCAATCAGAGGGAAAATCTCTTCAAAATACGGATTAAATTTATAAAAAACGATCAAGAACAAACGCTCGAAAATGAGATCAAGGAGTTTGAACATCTCAAAGAGATCGTACACGAATATTCGATAGTCGAAATTCCGAATCAAAACGGTCCAACAAAGCGTGTAGGATCCATACTAATCTTGAAGACGAGAAAAATGATCTTTGGAGCAAGATTACTCTAAGATCTATGACCATGGATCTTCGCATCAACTGCAGAAATAACAAATCGGACATCTACTGCCAATATTCAATGGAAGATATCTTTTGAATTGTTTCACGAAAAAAAATCAGATCTTGCGACACATCATACAATCGGCTGCATTGCCTACACGCGACAAGATCAAAATCGAAGTGATAAGATGGCTCCACGCGCGTATCGCGGAATATTGCTTGGACCAGTTGCATCGAATATATGGCATATCTGGAATCCGAAAAAGCAATCAGTAGAGATCGCGAGGAATGTGCAATTTGACAAAAGCAGGTTTTATGACCCTAACGAGCCATTTCTTGAAGATCTGTTTCGCGAGACTTCCCCAATACCGTTGCCAGAGATCGCGATTTCACTGCAGGAAAGAACGGACCTTCATCAATCGAATGACTCGACCGATCTCGCGGAAAGAGATAGCCAGTCCAGAAATGACATTTCTGACGAATTGAATGAGGCTTTTACTGATCAAAATGATCAATATTTGACTGAAAAAAAACCCATTGAATCGAGCGAGTTAAACCGACAACCTAGTAAGGAAGTTAGATATCAGATGACCACCCTGGATCGCATGCGCATCGCAGGACCTCCAACATCTTAGTCAACGCCTCAACATTGCAGCCAGGATCATCAGCAAGAGACAGAGAGATCATTATTTCGTATGTCGGGAGGATTTGACGATGAATCACCGCCTTCTACACCCGTACATCCGCGGCAGAAAACCCCAGATAACTTTTTAGCGAGATCATTACAAAAAGCAGCAGAAAATAAAAATCAAATCTCTACTACCCACGAAGATTCTAACGAAGAAGACACGCCTACCAGTACAGATGATCCCGATTCGTACATTTTATCGAGATCAGGGGATAAAAGATTAGAAAATGAAAAACCAAAAAAATGAAGATTTCAAAATAATGGGACCCGTTCCGAGAATATCATTCAAGGCACAAGATCACAAAAAGTACGATTTGACCCGCAGTATATCACTCATTCGATCATACAAGATCTCTCAATCATCGAAACGCCGAATCGAATAAAATATATTTTCTCGATTGCTCTCGATTCAGCAAAAATCAATAAAAAACGATAACATCAAAATGATCTTTCCCTGCCATCAAAAACGTATGCAGAAATGCTACAACACCCATTAAAAAACGAATTTATCTCTGCTACCCGTGTAAAGATAGGAAACCTTGAATCGATGGAAGCATACAATCTCGCATATTACGAAGAAGCGAAAAATGCGCAGATCCTACCACTGAAATGGATCTTCACATACAAATTTGATGAAAATGGACAATTTCTAAAGGCTAAGACAAAAATCTGTGTACACAATAATCTGAAAGAAGACTCTATATCTACTAATTATGCAGCAACCACGTCCGTGAAAGCATTCAGAGCAGTTATGACACTTGTGACAGCATTCGACCTCGATACGGACCAACGCGATGCTGTTAACGCATTCCTGAATGCACTGCTTGACGAAACTATATACACAAGATGTCCGGACGGATTCAAAATCAAAAAAAGAATTTAAAAGCTTAGAAAAACACTATACAGATTGAAAAAATCGGAACATCTTTGACAGAAAGATCTGGCGATAACACTACTTGAATTTGGCCTTGTCCCCGTCCCGGAGAAAAAATGCCTCTATTCCAACACCTACATGATCGTCTTTATATACATCGACAATATTATCATTATCAACCTACCTACGAAGACCGCACGCGAAGCAACTGACCGATTCAAGCGCGCCCTCGCGAAAAAATATGAATTACACAACATGAAAGAAATAAAGTGATTTCTAAAAGTCAGAATCATTCAAAATAGATCCCAGCGAAAGGTCTGACTCTGTCAAGACACTTACCTCGAAAATCTCGCTGCGAAATTCCATCTTAACAATCTGAAGACCTGGCCAGCGACTTCTTATTCAAGCGCCTATAACCTGTCCTTATACACGGAGCAGGCGCCGCCCCAAAAGATCAAGAAATACAAAATGAAAATAAGATCGATCCAATATCTCACTGTGACCACCCGCGCTGACGTTGCCTATATGATAAACCGTCTATCTGAAGCACTGAAGAACCCGTCTCCGGACCATATTCTTGCTGCGAATTGGGTTATTGTCTATCTCTACGCTACGCGTTTTCTAGCAATCGAATACTCAGGAAACCAAGAGACCAAAAAAGTGGCAATAATCGCTTCAGATGCAGCATTTGCAGATCGATACGATCGATCAAGCTCTGCAGGATTCATCTAGAAACTATACGGAGGCCCCATTGAATGAAAATCAGGCAAACAACGTGCAATTACTACCTTTACCACTGAAGCCGAATACCTTGTGCTTTCTAAAACAGCAAAAGCAACATACTGATAAAGAAGAGTTTTCAACACCATGAAATTTGATCCTGACCACGATTTAATCGTACACTGCAATAATTAACAAACTATTCGCTTAACCATTTCAGCAGACGTTGAGCAGAGATCTAAACTATGTCATGTCGATATTCATCGATTCTGGCTCCGTCAGGAGATTCAGCAGGAACGCCTACGCGTTGCATGGGTCCCTACCAACGAGATGATTGCAGATGGCCTCACGAAGGCACTCCCCGCTCAGAGACACCGCGAATTCGTCAGGATGCTCAACCTAGTCAATATCAAGGACCTCATCATCGATATAGAAGAATGTTGACCTTCACAAGGCGATGAAGGGGTGTGTTGAAGTGCGGAGTTGACTAAGCAGTTGCGATAAGGCGATCATCGCCTTGCTCGGCAGCGAAATTGCGGTATTGCGCATTCTGCAATATTGCAATATGAAGCTATAGAATAGCGGTCAAAATAAGCGATTCTAGCATTATAAATAGACCTCTTAGATAGCCGGAAAGGAGGTCTTCAACATCTTCAATCTACTCGTTGGATATAGCCAATTCAATTGCTTCATTCAATCGTTTTTTAGTGGTCCAATCTATCCGGATCCTTAGTCATTCTGCTTGCCAAGCCTTCGCCCTTCCACAGTGTCAGTCCGGAGTCCACGTGACCATGACGTTGGCGGTTCTCACATGCCGAGGAACTTTTGGCGGATGCTGCGATGCCCTTAAATGCCGACCTCCCCACCCTCTCTTCTTCAGGCCGATCGCCCTTTTCTCGCTCGCTACCGTTCTCTCCGCCCTAATTTGTATTCTTCCAGCTCATGATTCTCACCACGTCGGGTGTTCTCCTGTCGGCGAAGTAATCTTCGACTCCTGCTGCTCCGACCGACCTACCGAGGTCCCGTGCGCGCAAAGACATCATGGATGCACTATTGGTAGGTTATGTCGGCTGTCTCGAGTACCTCGACTCACGGTCTGGTTCTGACTGCGGTGTAGACTCGTCTAGATGCTCTCGTCACAAACCCTGATTTTGCGCCGCTTTTGTCGTTAGCAAAGGGTGTTCGAAATGGCGCGGTTTACGGCGCAAAAGTGCGGTTTCCGCATGCTCTGGTGTACGTCTTGCCTTGTCTTGTCTCAATTTAGATTCCAAGCGCTGTGTCGTACTCCTGGAAGAGAATAAGCTAATATACGACTTCTTTTTGCTTAGGATGATCTTTCTCTTTCGGTCCGGAACGTAAGAAGGTCCTTATAGCCGATAAAGTTCGACCTCGGTATACTGATGTAAATCTGCAGCTTCCGCGAAAAAGCCAAGCTTGTCCTGAAAGCCACGCGCCAACACGCTCGCAACCTGGCAACTTTTGCATTTATTTACAAAAGCGCGATGATTGTGCTGCGCAATGTTAATCCGTCCGCGATCGGAAAGGAGGGCCGATATGATAGTTTCTTTGCCGGAGCGTTGGGAGGGTACGCTGTTTTTGGTCGGCGCAAGACAAGTGTTACCCAACAGGTAGGGAAATATTGCTGGACAGAATTGATGCTTCTTGGAGACCACTCGCTAATTGCATGGACTTGTAGATTGTCATCTATGTCTTTGCTCGTGTGCTACTCGCCATGGCAAAGCTCTCTGTGGAGCCAGGCATGCACCCTCTCTCCTCCCTCATTACCCCTGAATCGCGATCCGAAATCCAGAAGAACGCATGGCCTGTCTTTGCCAGTCTCAGCTGGGCTTTCGTCATGTATATTTTCCGCTGGTACCCCGAGACCCTGATGTCGAGTCTGCGGAGCAGTATGGTGTACATGTAAGTGCTGGTACCAGCTTCCTTTGCTATCCTCAGCTAATTCGGTCATAGTTACGCCGATTCGGACCATTGGGACTCGTTCCGCAATCTCCTGATACACAACAAGTAGATTCCTTCCGGTTCGGTGTTTTGCACCATCTTATTGTCTTTTCAACGGTCGGGGGGGTGTTCATATTTTGCTTTTTCTAGGACAATGGCGTATAGAGTCGGGTGCATACATATCTATTCTTTCTGCTTTCTTCTACCTTCACTTCTTGTGTATCACGATTAATTGATCCAGTTGATACCTGATTGCACGATATCATTATGGCGTTTCTGGCCAATCCGAACCATGGAATACCTTAGGAGCGACCAACCCTCGAATAGGAGGCACTTCCGGGAGCAGTTTGAGTTGCCGCCGGAAACCTCTTAAGCCAGAGCCTTGTCTTCTTCATTCACAAATACTCATCGTCCGGAATCCCACACACTCGCCATGAAGGTGGATTACTACCAGAATCATGAGCGTCATGAACGCCATCGGGAATATTGCCGCGCCCGCTGGAAGAATGCCAACCGTCGCATTCGCCAACGAGGGTTTGAACCACCTTATCCCCCTGGTGGACGGCCATTACCAGAGATGCCATCATTGGCCATGTGGAACACCCTAGCTTTCTTCAATTTGCTTGTTCTTCGCTACGGAGACCGGCTCTCCTTTCCAGTCTCCTGCATCCTTCGATATGCTGTCTCGTTTTGGAATATGGCGGTAGGACTATGTGTCGTTTTCCATATTGTGAATTATATCAAGAGAAAAACGTACAAACGAGACCACGCAAACAAAGTGATCCCGCCTCTGGAGGAATCTGTGGTGGCGCGTCCCAAAACGCTCAGCGATGACTCGGACAAAGATACTATGAACGAGACCGAAATAGAGCTCGATGCGATTCACGAGGAACTGGCAGACCAGGCCGAGAAAATGGCGGTAGGCTCGACAAGCAGACAATTGAAACCGAAATACAGTCTATGAGGGAGGTGGTCATTGATCCCACAGGGGACGTTACTCTTGTCGTCTCACCTCCGGAAAAGGCACCTGCCTATGCCCCAGGCACTGCCACGACGGCTACCACCCAACCCCAACGCTTCCGCGTGTCGTCCCACAACCTGATCGCAGGATCCAAGTTCTTCGAAACATTGCTGACGATCCCCGGCTCGGAGGGCGAGGGGCTCCGCGTGGATGGCACAACGGTCCTCCGCATCCCCGATACCGCCCCGAGCATGTTTACGATCCTGCTGGTCCTCTTGTACTCCCCGCCACGTGAGGTGGCTCAGCCGATGGACCTCGAGTCAATCACCCTTCTCGCTGTCCAGGCATACTACTTCCAATGCGAGAAGGTCTTACAGCATCCTTCCGCGCAACGGTCCCTTCACCGCCTGTTGGAACTACTCTACAAAAACGCGATGGATCCGCGCGGGCTCTTCGTGGCCTGGATGTATCGGAACGCGGAGAAGTTTAAGGAATTTACCTACTCCCACCTGCGCCATGGTCAAGGGGACCTTGAAACTCGCCAGCTCCCGTTTCCAAAAAATATAGTGTGTAAGTAAGGACTTGCGTACAGTTCCTACCTACCTGGTCCCCCAGCATGTCCTTTCCCTTTCCCTGGAAAACCCATCTACCTCATTCTAACGGTTTTCATCTTCATAGTCACGATAAATCATTACAGAAGAGGCGCTATCTTGCGTATCATGCGAGCCTTGTGCAGCCGTGTGCATAAGCTACAAGATAACACCCTTTGCTGTTACATGTGCGACTCGTTCCAGCTGGGCGTGCTGGTCCGGGAGCTGGATACTCTGCGCCTCTGTCCGGCGTGCATACGGGGCGAAGATCTCCCTTATCAGACACATTCAATTGACCAGCTTCTCAAGTTTCTCGATCGGCTCAAGAATCAACCGTGTATTCGTCGTGACGCTAATGGAGCCTTATCTAACCCGTCTGGGGTCTGTGCGGCTCATTGGAACCAGTCTGAGATCGAGGAGCTCCTTTCGCAGGAAAGGTCTAATCTGAAAGGACTGGAACTGGAGTGGTTTGAGGGTAGTTATGCATGGTGATGGTGATGGTGATAGTGATAGTGATGGCTTTCTGTTTTCCTGGGAGTAAAGCTGCTCACGTGTGTATTTCTGCTCTATCTCTCTTTTCCTTCTCTAGCTAGTGACACTAAATTGTTCGGGCTTCTTATAGTTTGCTCTTCGGTTCCGTTAATCTTTCCACCTCTACGAATTTGTAATAGAAGTCTAAGCTCTGGGGGTTCAGCAGCGTTCCTGACGCCTTGATCTTCCTCCCAGACACAATTTGCTTCACCGGTAACTCGACCTTTTTCAGGTTCACCGTCGTCTGTATCATCGCGTCAGTTCGATCACCAAGCCCATGGCCCCACTCCATGTAGAACTAGAGGTCTCGAGAAAAACGTACCGGAATCTCAGGCGTCTCAAACACAAACTTCGGCACATGTCTTGCGCTCAACGCCTTCCGAATCGCTTCTTTGACCCGTCCCACCAACTCCCCCGTGCACTGGAAACCCGGTCTCATGAGCAAAAACAGCATCACGGACTCGTCGCTGTCTTGGGGTCGGCGTTGTCCGACGCAGATCGAATCCGCGACTTCGGTTGAGAACTGCGTGTCGATCACGTTGTAGATCTCGCTGGATCCGAACCGGATTCCGGATGGGTTTAGGACGCCGTCGGAGCGGCCGAGGAAGAAGATCTGCTTCGTGATGGGGTGGATGCTGATGAAGTCGCCGTGGGTCCAGACGTCTGTGTTTGGTGTTTGGTTGGTTAGTATGATGGATGATGAGGCGGATGGGGTGGTGTGGGTGAGGTGAGAGTGAGAGATGGGTGAGGCAGGGAGGAGTGACATACTGTCAAATCGCGCAAAGTATGAATCGAAATATTTCTGGGCCCCATCGTCACCGAGGAACTTCACCGGCATGGTAGGAAATGCCGCGGTGGCTACGATCTCCCCCGGTGTCCCGTCCGGGACTTCAGTGCCTTTGACACCCGAGGCACCCTCCTCGGCTTGATCGAAGACTGCGATGGGAATGCCTAAGCTGGGACCTTGACAGCCGCCGACATACAGTGGTGTCAGTGGGTTCTCGAGCCCGAAACATGCGGCCAGGTCCGTGCCGCCGGAGATATTGGCCAGCTGCGCGTGCGTGGGGAATCCGTCGTCGTAGAACCATTCGAACAGGGACTCGGATAGCACCATGCCGGTGCTGGTCACGATTGACAAGTGGCTTAGGTCGGCGATTTCCCGCGGTCTGATTTTATTCTTGCGTAGCTCGTGGAGGTATCGTGGGGAAGTGCCGAAATGGGTCACTTTGTGCTCGCCCAGGAGCTGGATGAGGAACTTGACGTCGGGGAGGAACGGGCTGCCATCATATAGGATTGACTTGCCGCCGTATGTCAAGCCCGCGATGGCAGAGAGGTACATGATCCAGCCGGTGGTGGTGTATTGGAGGACGGTGGAATTAGGCCCGTGGTTCCGGTTCAGTCGCGCTTCTTTGCTCGCGTTGAGAAGATATCCGCCGACGCCGTGCACAATGGGTTTGGGTTTTCCTGTTGTCCCGGACGAGTAGACGACCAGGAAGGGCTCGCGGAATCCGATGCGCACAAACTCCAGTTTATCGGAGGCTGCCCTGGCCAGGAATTGAGACAGGGGCTGGGTCTTGAGCAATCCGCTCACGTCTGCTGGCTGCTCTGTGAAGCGAGGGATAGAGATGACGCCTTCGAACTCCTGGACGTCTCGAAGACCGTCGACGATATCCTTGATCTTGGAGCGGAGGTCGATCCGTTTCCCGTTATAGACGGCGGCATCGTCCACGAAGACCCTTTTCGGCTTCAACTGGAGCAAGCGGTCGAGGATCCCTTTGATGCCCGTATCCGTCGATGCAGATGAGAAGAGCGCACCGAGTGCCGTGGTCGCCAGGAAAACGACGAGCGTGTCGATGCTGTTGCTGGCTACCACGGCTACTCGATCACCCTTAGCGACCCCGGCTGCCTTCAGCGCCTGAATCAGTTTTCCTGTTTTCGCCCGAAGTTCACCCCAGGTGAAATTGACGGATGGCTCCGACCCTCCCTCGCGAATCTGCGTTAGGGCAATCTTCCCGTCTTCCTTGTTGAGCGTAGTGATCGTCGAGTGGCCGTTGGCTGATTTCTCCCCGGTGAACAACATGTTTTCGGCGAAATTGGTACGGATGCCATTGAACCAGTCGGGAATACTGTCAATTCGGGCTGACTCGTCTACGACGCAGGTATATGTGCCCTCGTGGATTATGTTGAAGTAGTTCCAGGCAAAGTCCCAGAAGGCCGCTCGATTGCGGACGGACCACCTGTAGAGATCATCATAGGTCTGGGGAAATTTAGTACACTTCTACTTGATCGTTGAAGAGACGCACTGAGAAACCTAGGCCCTTCTGCTCTTCCAGGGATTTCTTGAATGCCCACATCTGCGTGGACTGCGGATTCGGATGCTCCCATAGTTTCCGGGGGAGTGTTGATGGGGAAGTCATGATTTGGAATTGCGTTGATTTGCTTCAAGCTATAGATTTAGGGTGTGTAATAGTCTAGAATCTGGAGATAAGAAGGTAGAGGATCTAGATACAAGAAGAGAGGAACCTCGGCTATCCCCGCCATCCGCAGTGCGGGGAAAAGCGAGCACTCCACGATGGCTCTTCTTTCTCTTCGATCTCCGCGCCTTGACGCATCTGTATCATCATCACTTCTTGATCTGAACTGGACCTTTTTCCTTCGACGGGCCTATTCCCCAAACACGGGCATTCATCATCTGACCGCTGTACGAGGTCTCACTTCGGGTTTTCATGTTGAAGGGAAGGAGGTAAGGCTCATTCATGTCTGCAGTAAACGGTATCGGAAACCCTCTATCCTTCTCGCAGCAGGCACAGGCCGGTGTGCAGTGACCCGGAGCGCCTCTGTGAAAAATGCGTGGCATCTTGCAGCAACCGCAATTTCTCAAACAACATCCGCGTTTCATTTTACACTCCCACACCAAGAAGGGTGTATCCCACGGTATCGTAATGCTCGCAGTAGCCCGCAACGCCCGTACAAACGGGCCATCCCATTGACGCAGGTCAGTGTCCCAGCACCATCGCATTGAACTATGATGCTCCATATTCAGCGCTTCCAATTTCCTCCGGATTTCTTCCAACTCGGCGGGGTCCTTTTCGGCGTCAGTGGATTCGCCGCGTGTTATTTGCCACTGTCGTTTCTCAAGGGCCATCCGCCGCTGGGCCACCAAACGCAGTCGATAGGTGCTCTGAAGATATTCATGAAACGCTTGCCACTTGTCCTCGGACATTCCGAGTATCTTATGCTGATGCTTCCGTAGCTTCTGCGCGTCTGCCCATCGTCCTGAAGCCTCTAGTCTGTCTTCTCTCTCTTTGAGCAGAGGCAGTATGGGGCGTGCGAGTGCCCATTTGACTTGCGTCAGCATCGTCGAGGTTGTACGAGGCAGGAAACCTTTGCACTGGTGTGTGTGTTTAGTTCAGGTTTACGGATGCACTGTTGCTTGAATGTAAGTAATAATCCTGGAGGGGTGGGAAAATCTTTTATGAATCGTCATCATTTAACCTTCAATCCCTCCGCATTCCGTCAGTATGACCATTGCTACGAGTCACCTTATGGGCCAACATCCTTTCATCTCTAGCTCACTTTGAACTCACTTCGAGATCAGTATAACTCTGATGACCCTTTGTCACTTGACTTGATTTTGGGAATTTGTAGGTATTGCGTAATGCCTGGAGTTTGCCCTTGCAAGTTGTGTATGTACACACATACACACACATAAAAGGAAAGAATTTTCGGTCGAATCACAACTCTCTGGAATCCGTAAAGATACAGTTGCAAAACCACAACAATGACCATTGAATATTGTTGAACTACATTTCTTCTATAGATCGAGGCAATCCGTAGACCAATCAGAAGAGCCAAAATGGGCTGCGGCCTTAGGCTCCGAGGCCGCAGATCGATGCAAACGGAACAAACATGAGGAGTCACAGACAGGATCGGAGACAGCAGATTTATTCGTCTGGGTCGATTGAGATTTAATTCTAGGCCGATCCCGAGTGACTTGGCTCATTCCCCTTATTTCTCCTTTCTGCTGGACTGAGAAAGTGACTGTCCGGCAAAATGGCACCTTCAGGACATCACGTCAACGTCAGTCGCTGCGAGACACACGATTCAGGGCCTCAGGCGCCCCAAACGGCAATCTCTGATCCGTTCGGAGAGAATATGCGCGGAGGGGAAGATATGAGCTTCAGTGAGCCCGAAAGAGGAGACAGCGCGCATGGGAATCACTCTATAATGGGTTCAGAAAAAAATCGCAGTCGTTGGAAAATTTTCCTCACGATGATCGCCCTTTCGGTACGTTTATTGCATAGCATTCCAATAAAAGCCCGAAAGAGGAAGTAGATGAAAGTCTGTCCGAACGAAAAGGGGGAAAGGAGCAAGAAAATTCAAAAATAAAAATGAAAATGAAAATAACTGACTTGATTCTAGCTCAGTCTGTTCATCTCTGCTCTGGATCAAACGATCGTGGCCACCGCAACGCCCACAATCTCTGCCGAGCTGCACTCGGGCACGGGCTACGTATGGATCGGAGGTGCATATCTCATTGCCAATGCTGCCAGCACGAACATCTGGGCCAATCTGTCCGACATTTGGGGTCGCAAGCCGATTCTCCTGTCGGCGGTGGCCTTGTTCTTCGGCGCCTCGATTATCTGCGCCAAGGCAGTTGATATGCCAATGTTGATCGCGGGTCGCAGTGTCCAGGGCATAGCAGGTGGTGGATTGCTTCAATTGATTACGATCACCATCTCCGATCTCTTCAGTGTCAGGTATGATCAATCAACCGATGTAGAACTCGCCCCGGAACCGACTGACTAACTATGTGCCTAGACTCCGCAGCTTGTTCCTCGGACTCATCGAGTTTATTTGGGCGATCGCCGGTGCTCTAGGGCCACTTGTCGGTGGTTCCTTCACCGAGTCCATCTCCTGGAGATGGATATTCTGGATTAATTTGCCTATCTGCGGCACCGCCTTCGTTCTCCTGTTTCTGTTCTTGGATATTCACAACCCGAGGACTGGGGTTCTAGATGGTCTCAAGGCCGTTGATTGGTTTGGCAGCTTCTCCATCCTAGGCTTGACGGTCATGGTGCTCCTCGGCCTGGACTTTGGCGGGGACATCTTCCCCTGGGATTCGCCCAAGGTCATCTGTCTGATTGTCTTCGGATGCTTGATGACGCTGGTTTTCATCTACTGCGAGAAGCGCCTGGCAAAGTATCCGCTTATGCCACTGGGTATATTCGGGAAGCGATCGAACGTTGCCTGTTTTCTCGTGGCCTTTACACATGGCTTTGTGAGTGTCAAACAACCCGATTTAGATGTACATCCGCCTCTAACAACTACGCGTGCAGGCATTCCTCGGGGCTGAATACTACCTTCCGCTGTACTTCCAGTCCGCCCAAGAGGCTAGCCCCTTCCGCTCGGGTCTATTGATCTTGCCCTTCGTTCTAACCGAGGCTACCCTGAGTCTGGCAGCCGGTCTCATCATCCACAGTACTGGCCGATATCTCGAAGTCGTCTGGGCCGGCACAACACTGGTCCTTCTCGGAACCGGCCTGTTCATCGACTACGACGCCACCTCATCCCTTGGCAAGATCGTGGGCTACCAGATCGCAACCGGCATGGGATGCGGACTTCTCTTCTTCCCGCCCCTCCTGGCCCTCCAGAGTAACGTGCGTCAAGACGAAACCGCCTCAGCGACCGCGACCTTCGGCTTCATCCGGAACATGGCCATGGCGATGTCCGTGGTGATCGGGGGCGTGGTCTTCCAGAACAGCATGGACCAACGCAAGTCTGCGCTTCTGGCCTCGGGGCTCTCGCCGACAATGATGGAGGAGCTGACGGGATCCGAGGCTGCAGCCAACGTGATGCTCATTCGCTCGCTGGATGACCCGCAGCAGCGCCGGGCGGTCAAAGATGCATATGCATGGAGTATGCGCAACATCTGGATTCTCTATGCGTGCTTGGCGGCCGTGGGGTTCCTGGCCAGCGCGTTCATCACCAAGCAGCATCTTAGCCAGGAACACGTCGAGACGAAGACGGGACTCAGGGAGAAACAGGCGCCGGCTGAGCGTCAACCGGAAACTCCGTTGACCGAACTCTGAATGGGGACGAGGCTGAACATTTTAGACTTACAGACCATCTAGACATATACATATCGAGACATATGTACGGCATACATAATTGAATTCTCGGGCATAATATGAAGAAGACGAGGTCTTGCTGTTACTCGATGGAAACGGTCGAGGTTAGTCATTATCGGCCTCTTCCGGATCGGACTGCACCGATCATGTGACGGAGCTCTTAGGAGCTTTCGAGGTGGAGAATCGCATCTTCTTATCTTACTTGCTCAATATCTTAGCTCTCTACGGAGTAGTCTTAGTTCATTTCACAATTCTATTCGGCGTTGGCACTTAATCTTGGCACTCTGACTCCGGCTCCACGGCGACTCCCGACGGACCTACTTTCCTTTAGCAATGTTCTCCTGTTCTTTAAAACCCAACTAGTACTCACCTCACAAGGCCGGTCCTTGTCTTCTCTTTCTACAATCTCCTCTCAGTTTCAAATCACCTCCTACCCTTACAGTCCAACTACCACCAAAACAATGGCCCCAACTCTCCCCTCCAACCCAACCCTCCATCTCACCCCCGAACCACTCACCCCAGAGTCCTTCGCCCCATTCGGCACCGCCATCGTCTCGCCTCTCCCCCGCCATCTCTCCGCAGCACCAGCAGACCTCTCCTCTCTCCCACCTCACCACCCCTCCCCAGAACTCGCCAACCAGTCCTCCGCCCTCAAATACAGCCCCGTGTCCCCGCTCCTGGACCAATATGCCGGCGCATGTCCCAGCGGCCGCGCCGCCTCCGCTCGCATGAGCATGTTCTGCTGTTTTCCGCGACAGCTGCGCACGATTGAATCTGCTCGACATGGGACGAAGACGCAATCGCAGTCGCAATCGCCAAAAACACCCGTTTTCGACGTGCGCATCCTCGAACGCCACCCCTTCACGACGCAGACATTCATCCCGATCGATTTATCCAGCCAGCCCAGCACCAGATCTAGTGCTGAAGGACCCCTATGGCGGGCGAACGAGGGAAAAGAAGAAGAAGAACCGTATTACCTCGTCATCGTAGCGCCCACGCTCAAGGGCCAGACCGTCACGGCGACGACGGATTCGGGCTCCACGACCATTCGCGACCCGCCGGATCTGCAGAATCTGAGGGCGTTTGTGGCGCGTGGCGGACAGGCCGTTACCTATGGGGCTGGGACGTGGCATGCGCCGATGGTGGTGGTGGGGAAGCGGAGGGTGGATTTTGTTGTGGCGCAGTTTGTGAACGGTGTTGGGGATGAGGATTGTCAGGAAGCGGCGTTTGGGGAGGGCGTGGTAGTGGAGTTGGGGAGGGATGCGGTGTTGGGGTCGTTGAGGGGTGGGGTGGTTAAGGCGAAGCTTTAGGGGAGGCCGTGCGGTGATGGGAAGTGGAAAAAGAAGCAAGGGTATCTATCAACGAGGATGTTGAGGGATTGAAATGGGAAACGGAATTGAATTGAGTGGTATCTTGAACAGTGGAAACAGATGCTATTGTACATACAGGAATACATACATACGTGGATACGAATGATCCAACAACACGCATGTCTGCTTTCATGACGCAGGCTCCCCATTGACATTCACCTCTTTCTGGATGCTCTGCCGAACAGCATGGGCCATGTCGATAGTCTCCGAAGGCAGCCCGGCCAGCTGGGCTACCTTCAAGGCGTGAGACTCACGGTTAACTCCCTTGCGGAGTCGGTGGACGAAGGAGAACGAACCCGAAGCCGTTTCCTTAACATCTGTGCAGTATCGCCCGAGCGCTCCAAAGTCCTGTGTCATATCTGCAAGGGCGTGAAAATGGGTCGCGAACAGCGTCCGGCATTGGTTGCGATAATGCAGGTGATGCAGGCACGCGAAGCTGACCGCCGTTCCGTCCTCCGGCGTCGTCCCTCGCCCAACCTCGTCCATGATCACGAAAGAGCGAGGGGTGGCCTGCTTCAAGATAGTCGCGGTCTCTAGCATCTCCACCATGAAAGTCGACTGGTCCCGGAAGAGGTCGTCGGCGGCCCCGATCCGACTGAAGATTTGGTCGACCATTCCAATCTCCGCATACTCGGCGGGCACGAAGGATCCAATCTGCGCAAGAATCGTGATCAACGCGTTCTGGCGGAGAAATGTGCTTTTACCGGCCATGTTAGGCCCGGTGACGAGCCAGATGCGTTCAGACCCTCCTAAAAAGCAGTCGTTGCTGACGAAGCGTCGCCCCTGCTCTTCAAGCCCAAGTTTGACCGTCGGGTGTCGTCCGCCCACAATCTTGTGGCTGGTTCCCTGCGTGAGAATAGGACGGGTGAGATGCTGCTCTTCTGCCAGCGTCGCAAAGGAGCACCCAACGTCAAGCTCGTCCATTACCGCCGCGTTGCGTCGAATTTTCACAAGGTTCAAAATCACCTCCCGGCGTAGATTTTCGAAAATTGCCTGCTCCTCTTGTCGGATCTGGAGCTTGACCTGATCGATTCGTCCGCCGAGCTCCGTCCAGGCAGGGAGGTAAAAAGATCGTGTGGACTTGGTTGACGAAACATTTCGCGTGACCCCCAATTCCTCTAATGCCTGCTGTGAAACCTTAGGTCCCTTGACATGGCAAATGTGTCCTAGGCCAGGTGTCCATTTGAGAGACAACGCGGACGACCCGACCGCGTCACGGAGTGTCTGAGTCAGAGTAACTTTCTCATCCTGCAAGCTCGCCAATGATTGATGAAGCTTGTGGAGTGCCGGGCTTGCATCGCGCCTCATGATCCAGGACTCAACATCCGAAAGCTCGTCGGTCGCGGCGTTCGATCGATCGCTATTCTTTGCTCTAACTTTCTTCGGCAGCGCCTCCAGATCCGACGGCACGCCCTCATTCGTAGCCACCTCTTGTGCCAGGGTGGCCGCCTCTGCAGCCGTGTCATCGTCGATTCGCTGCTTCTGCTGCAGACCCTCTTCGTCAATGGCTGCCAGAATCCTGTCTGCCAGCGCTGATGGCCCGTCGAGATGCAATCGATTAATCATCGCCACTAGGCTGGAGGCATAAGGGCTAGTGTGTCCCTGGTGAGTAGAAACGGACATAACCCTTCTAATCTCTTTCGATGCCTCTATAGCCCGAGACAAACATATCAGATCATCGGGATCCCCTCGGCCCAGGGTAAACTTCTGAACTAAGCGTTGAGAATCATAGCTCCGTTTCAGTAGCTGTATTACGCTATCACGTAGTTCATAATCGGTGATAAAGAGTGAAACGAGATCCAACCGCTCGTTAATTACCTCTAAAGAAGTAGACGGAGATGTAAGACGATCTCTCAAAAGGCGTGCTCCACTCTTAGTCGACGTGCGGCGAACTGCATGCAACAGACTGCCTTTCCCAAACCCATCACGGGCTGATTCGAGAATCTCTAAGCCTCGTAGACTGTTACGGTCAATGTTCATTGATTCATCCAAGTGCCGACGGCGCGGGGGCTGAAGTTTCATGTTTGAACCTTGAAGTTGTTCTCTGATATACTCCAAGAGGCTAGAACCGGCAGCCACTTCCTCTCGGGTGAATGAGTCCATTGCCTTTGCATTGATGGGCGCTTCTAACATGGAACCCCACTGAGACATTGGCAAGATATCCCCACGAAACTGGAAAAGGGTCATCAGGCGCTGGTCGTGCCCGATGAGCGATTGCAACTCCTGCCCGATCAGATCCTGGAGACCTTGATCAACCACTATCTCACGCGCGCCGATCCTCGCAATAGCCGAGGGGAGCATTTGCGCCGTGGTAAGCTGGGTAAAGAAGTCGCCCGTTGAGAGATCTAGCCAGGATAGGCCTACATGCTGCGATGCAGACGACAGAATATGTTGATATGAGGATCCGTCCTGTTGTTGTTCCAGTTGTGCTTGCAACGCCGGAATATCAATGTATATAGCCAGCAAGAAGTTGTTCTCTGAAGGATCCATGAACTTCTCATCGATCAATGTCCCAGGAGTGATGATTCTGGTCACTTTCCGATCAAACAAAAGGCCGGTCGAGCGTGTCCTGTCATCCGTGCTAGGGGCGAACTCCTCGCTAATCGCTACGTACTTGTTGAGATCCTGCACCAGTGTCTTTAAGAAGCGATCTAATTGAAAAAACGGAAATCCGGCCATGGGCACGGGGCCTGCACTGGTCTTCTTCGAAGCAACCTTCAGGTTTAGTAAAGGGCCCAGCTCTTCGGCTTGCTCAAAGTAAAGCTGGAATCTGGTCAGGCATTTACTTCATGTCACCTCTTTGAAACCCCTAGGCCGTATCGGCATTGTCATCCGTACCTCGTAGAAGCCTCCTACTCTGGTCAAAATCACACAGTTCTTAAATTTCTGCATGTTGTTCTTGTGCCCTTGCACGACTGTTGGATATCTTGGTGCATCGTCAACGGTATCGGTATATGGCTCCAATTTAAGCGCTCCCTGTGGTAGGTCCTTCAGCTTCACGGTTGATTTCGTTTTTGCACCTCTCCTGAATGTCAAGTGTGATGTCGGTATAGGCGTCGCGACGCGCAGCGATGGGCGGGCTGCACCCTGACTGATCGTGGGACACGCATGGCAGCGATTTAAACGGGAGACATTGATCTTGGCAGTCGAGCAAAAGCGTCGCGAGGTCAGACGAGCGATGGAAGGGCCATTGAGGCGCATGGTCCCCAAACGAGAGTTGTCGCGGAGAGTTTGGAGAGGGTCTGGATTGTTCGTGTTCCTGGCAGGACCAAAGCCGCGGGAGTAATGTATACCTCAGGCTGCCACTCGCCAAACCTTCCCGCTTCGCCACCGAAATCTGCGGACAGAACTTCCCGACGCTCGACGCAACTCTTCACAACCACGCAACAATCTCAGGCAGCTTGCGATCCTACACCACCAAGTGAGCTTGCCTGCTGCAGGAGGATGCTTCAGGTTTGTGAAGCCTATCAGAAGATTTTTACTCATTCCAGAATTCATTTCTTGTCGCAGGAGTCTCGACGCGCCGGTTGATCCCAGAGCTCCCCCGAGCCTTCCCCGGCCGACTCGAACAAGTCGTGACACGATTCTCTCTTTCTTTTTTCTTCATTTGTGGAACTGTTAATTGCATTACATCTTAATCAAAATGGCGGACCAAAATATTTCACAGTACAAATACTCGGCGATGTCCAACCTGGTTCTCCAGGCGGACCGTCGTTTTATTTCTCGCGTCAACGATGAACCGACCGGAGACCCGGAATCCCTCGCAAGTCGCATCAGCATCCGGGAGATGGGTAGCAACGTCGCACGCGACAATGCGCCGAAGTCGAAAAAGAAAGCTGTGGAGCCAACAGATATCGAGCGGGGCGCCATCCGAGAGGGAGAAGATGTGCTCGCCCGAGAGCAGAAGAAACGCCAACGAGGCCAGCCGGCTCAACTACGGGGTCAGGGCATTCTGTCCGCTGCTGATGCTTTGGTTGAAGGCCTGAAGTATCGCCCTCGCACACCTGCCACTCGCGCTACCTACGATCTCATCCTCACAACGACCGCCGGCCATCTTGGCGATGTTCCGCACGAAGTCGTTCGAAGTGCCGCCGATGCCGTCCTGGAACTTCTTAAAGATGAAGAAATGAAGGAGTTTGATAAGAAGAAGGAGGTAGATGATCTGCTTGGAAGCTCGATGGACCCCAAGGAATTTAATGAGCTCATGAACCTGAGCAAGAAGATCACCGACTACGATGCACAGGACGACGACGAAGACATGGACGGCGGCGTCGAGGGCGAAGGCGGTGAAGAGCTTGATGAGCGACAAGGTGTCGCCGTTGTCTTCGACGAAGAGGATGAAGACGACGAGCGCATGGGTACCGTTGATGAAGTCCGTGATGAAGACTCGGATGAAGAAGAGGCGGACCAGCAAGACGTACCTGGTGTTGATGAAACAACGACCGAGAAGGCGGATCTTGAGAACCTAGATGGTACTGAGGAAATGATCATTGATGGTGGTTTGTCTCGCGGTGAGGATCGCCGCGACAAGGGTCTTCACGTCCCCGCCCGGGAGATTGATGCCTACTGGCTCCAGCGCCAGATCGGAAACGCTTACTCGGATGCCCATATTCAACAAGAGAAGGCCACCGGGGCCCTTGAGATTCTTGGTGGCAAGGGAGAAGACGGCGCAGAGAAGCCGCTGCGAGACGTCGAAAACGACCTCATGGACTTGTTCGATTACGACCACCCCGATCTTGTCGCCAAACTAGTAACCAACCGCGATAAGATTGTTTGGGCAACTCGCTGGCGTCGGGTAGCCGAAGATGCGGATGCGCGCAATCTCGTCGAAGTCGAAATGGTGGAGGCTGGACATCGTGCTATTTTGGATGAAATCCGTGGGAAGACAGCCCGTGAAGAAGAGACAGGACGGCCTGAGAAGAAGATCAAGCTTGATCTGATGGACGTCGATGTACCCAGCGCGCCTGCTCCCGAGCAAAAGCCGGCAGATGGTGGTGTTGTTGGTGGTCTCCAACCCAAGAGACTGATCAACCTGGAGAACCTTGTGTTCCACCAGGGCAACCATCTTATGACGAACCCCAACGTCAAACTACCCCAGGGCTCCACCAAGCGTACGTTCAAGGGTTACGAAGAAATTCACGTACCGCCCCCGAAGGCCAAGAGAGATCCTGGCGAGAAAAACATCCCGACCACGGAGCTGCCCGAATGGGCTCGCGTCGGTTTCGGGAGCTCCAAGGAACTCAATCGCATTCAAACCAAATGTTATCCCACAGCCTTCCACGACGATGGAAACATGCTTGTTTGCGCACCCACGGGGTCCGGAAAGACCAACGTCGCCATGCTCACGATTCTACGAGAGATCGGGAAGAATCGAAACCCGGAAACTGGAGAGATCATGCTTGACGACTTCAAGATTGTCTATATCTCTCCTCTGAAAGCTCTGGTCCAAGAGCAAGTCGGCAACCTTGGCAAGCGTCTTGAGCCTTACGGCATTAGGGTTGCTGAGCTTACGGGAGATCGCCAGCTTACGAAGCAGCAAATCGCCGAGACCCAGATCATTGTCACGACCCCCGAAAAGTTCGATGTCATCACGAGAAAGGCGTCTGAAACCAGCTACACGAAACTTGTGCGCCTGGTTATTATCGACGAAATCCATCTGCTTCACGATGACCGTGGTCCCGTGATTGAGAGCATCGTGAGCAGGTCCATTCGCAAGGGCGAGCAGACTGGCGATCCAGCACGTATCGTCGGTCTTAGTGCCACTCTTCCCAACTACCGGGATGTCGGAAGCTTCTTGCGTGTGGACCCTGTTAAGGGCTTGTTCCACTTCGATGGGTCCTACAGGCCGTGCCCGCTGAAGCAGGAATTCATCGGTGTTACTGACAAGAAGGCCATCAAGCAACTGAAAACCATGAACGACATCTGCTACAACAAAGTTCTCGAGCAGGTCGGCCAGCGCCGAAACCAAATGTTGATTTTCGTTCACTCCCGGAAGGAAACGGCCAAGACCGCCAAGTACATCAGAGACAAGGCTCTTGAGATGGAGACGATAGGTCAAATTCTGCGGAGCGATGCTGCTAGCAGGGCCATTCTGTCGGAAGAAGCTGAATCAGTTGATGACGCATCGCTCAAGGACCTGATGCCATATGGTTTTGGTATCCACCATGCTGGTCTGAGTCTTGCTGATCGTGATTCGGTTCAGGCCCTCTTCGCCGATGGCAGCATTCAGGTCTTGGTTTGCACGTCCACTCTTGCGTGGGGTGTCAACCTTCCTGCCCACACCGTCATCATCAAGGGTACGCAGATCTACTCGCCAGAGAAGGGTAGCTGGGTCGAGCTCAGTCCCCAGGATGTGCTGCAGATGCTGGGTCGAGCTGGTCGTCCTCAATATGACACGTTTGGTGAAGGTATTATCATCACATCCCAGACCGAGATTCAGTACTACCTTTCCCTCATGAACCAGCAACTGCCCATTGAGAGTCAGCTCATGAGCAAACTCGCCGACAACATGAATGCGGAGATTGTTCTTGGAAACATCCGAACGCGGGATGAGGCCGTTGATTGGTTAGGTTACACTTACCTCTTTGTGCGGATGCTTCGCTCTCCTGGATTGTACAGTGTTGGAGCGGATTACGAGAACGACGATGCATTGGAACAGAAGCGTGTTGATCTCGTTCACTCTGCGGCGACCATCTTGGAACGGGCTGGTCTTGTTAAGTATGAGAAGAAGGCTGGTCGTTTGCAATCCACCGAGCTGGGTCGGATTGCCTCGCATTATTACATCGGCCACAACTCCATGTTGACATACTCGCAACACATCCAGCCATCGATCACCACCATTGAGCTTTTCCGCCTCTTCGCTCTTAGTGACGAGTTCAAGTACATCCCCGTTCGCCAGGATGAGAAACTCGAGCTGGCGAAACTTCTAGGCCGTGTCCCTGTTCCTGTCAAAGAAGGCATCGATGAGCCCCATTCCAAGATCAATGTCCTTTTGCAGGCATACATTTCAAGACTCAAACTCGACGGTCTCGCTTTGATGGCAGACATGGTCTACGTCACCCAGTCTGCCGGACGTATCCTGCGGGCATTGTTCGAAATCACCCTGAAGAAAGGCTGGTCTTCCGTGGCGAAGACTGCTCTTGATCTTTGCAAGATGGCAGAGAAGCGGATGTGGCCGACCATGACGCCGCTGCGCCAGTTCCCTACTTGTCCCCGGGATATCATGCAGAAGGCTGAGCGGATCGACGTGCCCTGGTCCAGCTACTTCGATCTTGACCCTCCGCGCATGGGTGAGCTATTGGGTATGCCCAAGGCCGGTCGAGTTGTCTGTGACCTCGTTGCCAAGTTCCCCCGCTTGGAGGTGCAAGCTCAGGTTCAACCCATCACTCGCTCCATGCTCCGTGTTGAGCTAACCATCACGCCTAACTTCGTGTGGGACGAGGGCGTGCACGGTACTGCTCAGGACTTCTGGATCTTGGTTGAAGACTGCGACGGCGAGGACATTCTTTTCCATGATCAGTTTGTCCTGCGAAAAGCCTACGCTGAGGCGGAGATGAACGAACACCTTGTGGAGTTCACCGTCCCTATTACCGAGCCCATGCCTCCCAACTACTTCATTTCGCTTGTGTCGGACCGTTGGATGCATTCGGAAACGAAGATCGCCGTGTCTTTCCAAAAGCTTATTCTCCCCGAGCGTTTCCCGCCGCATACGCCTCTGTTGGATATGCAGCGGGCTCCCGTCAAGGCGCTCAAGCGCGAGGATTACCAGCAACTGTATCCCAATTGGCAGTACTTCAACAAGGTCCAGACGCAGACCTTCAAGTCCTTGTTCGACACGGATGACAATGTCTTCGTCGGTGCCCCTACTGGCAGCGGCAAGACGGTTTGTGCCGAGCTTGCTTTGCTTCGACACTGGTCTACGGAGGATGCCGGCCGGGCTGTTTACATCAGCCCGTTCCAAGAACTTGTTGATCAGCGACTTGCTGACTGGGAGAAGCGATTGGCTAATGTTGCCGGTGGCAAGAATATTGTGAAACTCACCGGTGAAACAACGGCTGATCTGAAGCTCTTGGAGCAGGCGGACCTGGTCCTCGCTACACCTACTCAGTGGGACGTTCTCTCCAGGCAGTGGCAAAGACGTAAGAACGTCCAGACCGTTCAACTGTTTATTGCAGACGAGCTTCACATGCTGGGAGGCTACGGCGGCTACGTGTACGAGGTAGTGGTCTCCCGTATGCACTCCATTGCCCTGCAGCTCGAGAACGGTCTGCGCCTTGTTGGATTGAGTGTGCCCTTGGCCAATGCTCGTGACATTGGCGAGTGGATTGGCGCCAACAAGCACACCATTTACAATTTTAGCCCTCACGCTCGCCCGGTCCCTCTTGAGCTCCACCTTCAATCCTTTACCATCCCTCACTTCCCCTCCCTCATGCTCGCGATGGCGCGACCCGCATATCTCTCCATCTTGCAGCTGTCTCCGGACAAGCCCGCGCTGGTCTTCGTGCCGAACCGGAAGCAGACACGTTCGACGGCAATGGATATGCTGGCTGCTTGTGCCATCGATGACGATGAAGATCGGTTCCTGAACGCCGATGTCAACGAACTGGCCCCTCTTTTGAACCGTGTTCAAGAGCGAACCCTCGCCGAGTCGCTGTCTCACGGTATCGGATATTACCACGAGGCGTTGAGTCCCACTGACAAGCGTATTGTCTCCCACCTTTTCACGATCGGTGCCATCCAGGTGCTTCTTGCCTCGCGCGATGTTTGCTGGGAGCTCAATCTCACTGCACACCTGGTTATTGTCATGGGAACACAGTTCTTCGAAGGTCGGGAGCATCGGTACATTGACTATCCTATCAGCGAGATTCTGCAAATGTTCGGCAAGGCTTCCCGGCCCGGAGAGGATAAGATCGGGCGTGGTGTCTTGATGGTTCCGGCCGTGAAGCGTGATTACTACAAAAAGTTCCTCAACGAAGCTCTGCCCGTCGAGAGTCACCTGCAGGCCTACCTCCACGACGCTTTCGTGACCGAGGCTAGTACTCGGACCATCACATCAACGCAGGATGCCGTTGACTGGATGACGCATACCTACTTCTACCGCCGTTTGTTTGCTAATCCTAGTTTCTACGGACTCAGCGATGTCAGCCACGAGGGCCTCAGTACTTTCCTATCCGAACTCGTGGAGAACACGCTGAAGGAGCTTACCGAAGCCAAGATCATCGATCTGGACGAAGAGGATGACAGCGTTTCTCCCTTGAACGCGGCGATGATCGGCGCGTACTACAACATCTCGTTCATTACCATGCAGACCTTCCTCCTCTCGCTGTCTGCCCGCACGAAGCTCAAGGGTATTCTCGAGATTGTCACCTCTGCCACGGAATTCGAGTCCATCCAAATGCGCCGTCATGAGGAGCACATTCTGCGCCGTGTTTACGACCGCGTGCCCGTGAAGATGTCCGAGGCAGCGTACGACTCTCCTCACTTCAAGGCTTTCGTGCTGCTGCAGGCGCACTTCTCGCGCATGCAGCTGCCCATTGACCTTGCCAAGGACCAGGAAGTCATTGTTAGCAAGATCCTCAACCTGCTCAGCGCATGTGTGGACGTTCTCTCGTCGGAGGGACACCTGAATGCCATGAACGCCATGGAGATGTCACAGATGGTGGTCCAGGCCATGTGGGATCGCGATAGCCCCTTGAAGCAGATCCCCCACTTTGGTCCGGAGGTTATCAAGGTTGCCAACGAATACAAGTATGTCCCTCATTCCTCTCTCTCAGCCACGTTTCGCAGCGATACTAACCCGGCCCCTTCGCGCAGCATCAATGACATTTTCGAGTTCATGGAGTCCATGGACCCCTCCGAGAACAAGGACTATCCCACTCTCATCAAGCGTCTCGGGCTGGACAACAAGCAGCTGGCCCAGGCCGCCGCCTTCACCAACGAGAAATACCCCAACATCGACCTGGACTTCCAGGTGGAGGACCCCGAGAACGTCACCTCTGGCGAACCGGCCTACCTCAAGGTCAAGATCGAACGAGAAATCGAAGAGGACGAGGAGCCGGACACGACGGTGCACGCGCCCTTCTACCCCAACAAGAAGATGGAGAACTGGTGGCTGGTGGTGGGAGACGAGAAGACCAAGAACCTGCTCGCTATCAAGCGTGTCACTATTGGTCACAAACTCGAGCTGCGTCTGGAGTACATCGTGCCTACGCCGGGTGAACATGAACTGACGCTGTACTTGATGAGCGACAGCTACGTGGGTGTGGATCAAGCGCCTACATTCACTGTGACGGCTGCAGAGGGTATGGAGGAGGATGAGAGCGAAGAGGAGGAAGAGTAAATGATGTGTATTGTTACCTATTTTTTTGATCTCATTTATACTCCCAAAATTATTTATGTTGACTCGTTTGGTTCATGGAGTGGGTCTGTTGGTTTGTTGTAATTATATGAAATCATGTTAGACAAAGATGAGTTCAAGTTTACTGTATTCTTCCGTTCTATTCACTTGCAACGGTGCGGTAGTCGTCAGAATGCGAATGTAGGAACGCTCAGTACAATAACCGCTCCTTGAGACGCATGGGGACAACTACCCGCTGGGATCAAGGTCCGAACAGGGCCCCGGAACCTGCAACAGGGAGCGGGCCTGATCCCCGATCTTGTCGAGCCAGAGGGACCCCCCGTGTACCCGTTCCGGGGAAGGATGTTGGGGATAGTACGGAGTAGAGCGGCGGCGCGATCCAAGCACGTGTCGTTCACCACCAGGCGCCGTGCATATGGATATGAACCCTTGCCATACAAACTTGGAGCGAGCTCACCCACCTCTCGACCTTCACGGTGGCCAGTTGAGACGAACCAGCCCCTTATTATTCATTCCTAACCACGGAAGGCGCTGGAAGGGTATTTTGGTGAACGGTAAAAGAAAGTACAGTGATGGATACCTGGGCCGTTATCCTATGCTATATATTAGAAATGCGTGGTAGTTAGGTCTTCGCAATAATCCAGAAAGGATTAAACTGGTAAGGGTTCGATTCTATGTGTACAGCGCCTGTCGACAATCGATACCTTTTCGACGGCGGGTTTTATATGGATTCCACTCGGAACTTAGCTTAGGACCCTACCGGGATTAAAAACAATTTTCGCTGTAGCCGGCAGAAAGCGAAATTGATTAAAGCCATCATTGACCTCGTGACTAAAGTACAGTTTCATAGAAGAACGATAACACAACTCAACTCAGTTCAAAGCTAAAATACAGAAGAGAAAAAACATCTTGAGTTGGTCTCAGGCGGGTATTAAACAAGCGGGTATCAATCATCTTCGATTAAGCGCACTTAGTATCTCTAACGCTGGGCACCCACAGGACAAGAGCCATCCAGATCAGAGTCCACTCTGGGGTCCACCTTGTTAGCGACATCGCTGTCATAGGGCCCGGCAGTGTGCGAGGCACTGCCGTTGCCAGGGGTATTGTAGCTGCTGCCCGCTGCCGAAGAAGAGTGGATCTGAGGAGCAGCAGCATGAGCGCCGCCGCTGGTGTCACCGCCAGGGAGACAGGCATGGGGATCAAAGGTCTTGGTGGTGGTCGGGCCATTGCTTCCCGACGCATGGATGATGCCGGCACCGCCGATGCTTCCCTTGTGTACCTCATCGTAGAACCGGCTGGTGTCTTCCTTCGCCTTGGCGCTTGATAAGTCGCTGTCCACGCGCGGGTCTGCTTTGTTGGCCACATTGCTGGAGTGAGGTCCGGCGGTGGATGAGGCGGGACCGGTGCTGTAGTCTTGGGTGGCCGGTGCGTCGTAGGCGTTGGTGTTGGTGTTGACGGTGCTGGTTCGCGGGGAGATGCCGTCGGAGTCGCCGGTCCAGGCCCTGTTGTAGGTGGGCTTGTCGTTGGGACTGCCTGCGCCGTGAAGGTAAGGGCCGGAGGAGGAGGTGGTGGTGGTGGTATGGTTGGCACCGCGTCCGTCGAGGTCGCTGTCTACACGCGGGTCGGCTTTGTTGGCGACGTTACTGGAGTGAGGGCCTTGAGTTTGGGTGGTAGTGGGGGTTTCGGCGTGGCCTTTGTTACCCTTGTGCGAGGTATCATGGTGATGATGATGGGTCACAGCCTCCTTGACCTTGTGTAGAATGCCAGACATGTTAAGTAGTGGTTATAGATATACAGTAGTGCGAACTTGGGTGGGTAGACTTAGTGCAGTAGCAAAGTGGAGTGTGGAGTGTGGAGGTGGGGAGGAAGGGACGGATCTGCCATGAATATATACCTAGACCGTAGAGCCCCTCCTCCTCGGAAATGCGGCGTGACGCCATCGTAGGGCGTGGATGCCCAGTGAGTGCAGCGTCAATAGCACGGAGTCCTCCATCCGAAGGGATGAAAAGGTGGCACAAACTACAAAGAAAGCAGTCGATGACGTTGGCAGATCGGAGTGGAGGCTTGAGCACGTGGGGAATCCCTCCGACGTCATCGCTCCATCCCGTCTTCTCTACTCCGGTGTACTTTCTCTCCCTTCTCTCCGCTCGCCAAGTCTTCGAGGCATATTCTCTCAAAGTTACTATTGATCTGTTGAATCCCGTCTATTGGAAATGCCTGTCGGGCTCACTTCTTACATCATTATCAAAGCCAAGACGAATCATATGAAGTATGGTTGGACCAGTGTAGGACCGTGTTCAACTCTAACGATTCTATTTGTGAACCCGTCACTACGGATGATTTATGAATGTCTAAACGGCCAGTGTAAAGAAACCTAGTGTTAACCTTCTCGGACTCCAATTCGAGGCCACAAGATGGTTCAGAACTGTAGGTGTTGTGAATGCCTGAGGTTGCAAATTTGTCTACCTCTACTTCGTGAATGCAGGAGTCCCTCTTCTTCCTTATTAATCGTCTCCTAGTCATTTCATCTAACGCTTAGTTAAATTAGTTCAACTCTCTACCTCGTAGAACGTTTATAAAAACATGGATCACTCTGATGTATATATCGCCAGCATCAAGGGTGCAAACTGTATGCATTCTCGCAAGTTCAGCTCAACGCAACGCAACCGAGTGTAGTGTGTACCCGGAGTATACAGAGTGGAAAACCGGTCTGATTCCAAACACTCTACACTACCGGAGTACACAGTGTGCCACCGATAAGTTGAAGTTGATGGACTCGAGGACCCTCGAGGCGACGGGCGGACCGGAGTATCCACAGACTTCCCAATCGGGCCGCCCGGTGTCACGGGGCCACCGACTAGCGGCTGATCGCGCTAAACCCGACTGGGCGCCGTGGTGTGATAAGGAAGAAAGGGACGGGCTGCTGCTTCTCCGCATCTGCTGGAGCTCACCTCTTCTTCTCTTCTCTCCTTCTCATTCTTCTCATTCTTCATCCAATCTTCCCCTACCTTGACAGTTATTTGGACTAGACGTTTTTCGGTATTTTTATTCCAGTTCTGTAACAGCTTTGACATGACCATTCGATCAATGAAGTTCAACCCAGAGTAAGTTGCTACTAGCTGCGGGGAAACCGGCGGTTCCTGTAACTCTGCCTACAGAGGACTCCCTTTTGCCTCCAAAATGGTTACACGCTAATTCATAATTGATTTCTCTAGGGTCCTTCTCGGAGCTCCTCGCCGCTCAGGCGCTGTCCCCAATTCCTCCGGCACCCTCGCCGTCTATACTCAGACCTCCTACTCGTTTGAATCCCATACGAAGACCAGTGAGATCCGAGTGCTAGACATTACCACGGGACGCTCTGCCCTAGTCACCAATGATCCCGGGGCGAGCTCACCGCAGTGGCTGGACAATTCCGATCAGATCGTGTGGTTGAAATCAAAGGCCAATGGCAACACGAGCTTCATCATCGGCGATGCCCGCGAGATAAACAAAACGTACACGGCAGGAACCGTCCCAGGGCCCGTGTCCGATCTGAAGGTCACGATCGTCGAGCCGGGCAAGATTGGTTTTGCGGTGAGCGGCAAAGCGAATCCCGACGGGTCGCTGTTCAACCCCCATGATGCCAAGAAGCCTCTCAGCACGGGCAAGCTCTATACTTCTCTGTTTGTCAGACACTGGGACTCGTACATCGAGCCCCAGAGGAATGCCATTTGGTATGGCTTGCTTCAGCGCGCCCCGCTGTCCCCTGCCACCAGACATGCCGGCAAGTATTCCGTTTCGGGGCTGACCAACCTGATATCGGTGTCCGGCTTGGCTGGCGTTGAATCGCCCATCCCACCGTTTGGGGGATCCAGTGACTTTGACATTAGCCCCAGTGCAATTGTCTTCGTGGCAAAGGACCCGAGTTTGAACCCGGCCACGCACACCTCGTGCTCATGCTACTACTGCCCGATGTTTTCCTGGACCAGCATGGAAGCATCGCAGTCTAAAATCTGTGCCGTGAAAGGTCTGGAAGGTGCTATGTCATCTCCGGTCCTCTCATCGGACGGTAGTTCGATTGCTCTGTTGGCGATGCGCGAGGATGGCTACGAGTCGGACAAGAACCGCATACTATACGTACCGAACCCGTGGAATGGTGAGATGATCGAAGCGTTTGGGACGTCGGGTGGCGAAGGGCTGTGGAAGCTGAGCCCATCCGCGTTGACTTTCGCGAACGACGACAAGTCGCTGTTCGTTCAAGTTGAGGAGAATGGGCGCGGAGTGCTTTACCAGTTTCCCCTCGCCAATATCCGCAACTCAACTCCTGATGTGCTCAAGAAAATTACTTCCTCAGGCTACGTTACAGAGGTCTACCCGGTATCGTCTCAGTCGTCCAGCCTGCTTGTTTCTAGTAACAGCCTCGTCGATAATAGCGTCTGGAGCATTGTTGATCCCGCTTCTCCCGATAACACTCGCGTTATTTCATCCATTGGCCGGGGCGGCGCAAGCTTCGGACTTTCTGCCTCTCAGGTCGACGAGATCTGGTTCAAGGGAGACGAAGACCACCCTGTCCATGCCTGGGTGGTGAAGCCGTCTCACTTCAAACCGGGAAATAAATATCCACTGGCCTACCTGGTGCACGGCGGACCGCAAGGGGCATGGAATGATCAATGGAGCACGCGTTGGAACCCCGCTGTCTTTGCCGAGCAGGGGTATGTTGTCGTCACCCCCAATCCCACCGGAAGTACTGGTTACGGACAGGCATTCACCGATGCGATCCGCGGAAACTGGGGCGGACGACCCTACGTTGACCTGGAGAAAGGCCTTGACTACATTGAAAGGAACCTGGACTACGTGGACACCACCCGGGCGGTGGCTCTTGGAGCGTCGTATGGCGGGTACATGATGAACTGGATCCAAGGCCATCCTTTGGGGCGTCGATTTAAGGCTCTGGTAACCCACGACGGGGTCTTCTCGGTGCGCTCACTGCTTAGTACCGAGGAGATGTACTTCCCCGTGCACGACCTCGAGGGGCCCATCTGGAAGGTGCCCGAGAACTGGGACAAGTGGGATCCGTCTCGACACACTGACAAGTGGCAGACGCCGCACCTGATCATCCACAATGAGTTGGATTATCGGCTGACCATTGCCGAGGGACTGGCGGCCTTCAACATTCTGCAAATCCGCGGCGTGGACAGTCAGTTCCTGACGTTCCCAGACGAGAATCATTGGGTGCTGAACCCGGAGAACTCTCTGCTGTGGCATAACACTGTTCTCAACTGGATCAATAAGTATGTCGGACTTCCTCCGGCTAGCAATCCGCCCACGGAGAATACGTCGAACAAAAGAAACTCGCTGGAAAAGGGGTTGAGTAAAATGGCGCTTTCACAACCACGTTTTACTTAGCCCGGGATTCGCTCTCCATCGGGACGGGGCTTCAATATAATGATCTTTATGTTAGCTGCAATTTGACTATTTCATTATGCTCGAACAATGGTGATTTAATCCACTATCGCTTTGCTATAAACTCTGAGACAAGGCTGCACAATGGACGCGGTTTCAATGGGGATTGACAAAGACCCAGTTTGGGAGTCACTATGTCCTAACAAAGACGAACTCCTTTCAACGATTCCTTTCTCTAGGCGCCTCCAACAACATTTAAGTCACTGTCATCCACCTGGTCTGCTCACCACGTTCAATTCATTCAACTCCTGTGCATTTGCAGAAATCCTCTTCGCTGACGGATATAGTGTCTCCCCCTGCCCAGGGTAAAATCTAGGTTTTATAATATAGCCAGCTTCCCAATTGAACCTGTCGAAGATGAAGGGCAATCGTTCGACTCCTCCGCCCCGTCTCTCAGTCGGTCCCCCGACTCCTAAGTCTACCGACGTTCAGTATGTCTATTCACCCACCAGTACGTCGAACTGCACGACGTCGTCGGTTGACAGTCGCTTTACCTCCCAGATAAACCCGCTCTTCTACTCGGTCGTGAATCACCTTCAAACGACCCTCTGTCCGCTCGTCTCCAGCACCACGGGCCTTCAACATCCCGAGTTTCCCTGCAGTATTCTTGCCTATCATCTGTTAACCTCACGTCAGCTGGATGACCTGGCGCGTCACTACCATCAAGTCTACCCCCCGGTGGCCGCTACATCCTACTACCCCGTCACCATCCCCCCTTGGGTGGGAACCTCCGACGAGAGTGGCGTAGATCTCGACACGAAGCGACGGCGCTTCGGCCGATTCATTGGGCTCCGCGGCTGCGAGTCGCCTGTTCCCGGGGACAACTTCGACGAAGACGACGACTATGATGACGATATGATGGATACCTCACCGGACTACGTCATCCCCTCTGGTGCGCCACCTCCCCCGCCGCCAGCCCAGCCAGCAGCACCGCCGGAAGAAACCGAGGCGGAGATGCTGGCCCGGATGGATCGCGAGTGGCAGGAGTGTCTGTTGCATGCGCGACAGGACTCGGACGCCGCGATGCGGTTGAAGATGAATGGATACTGACAGTTCGGATAAGTGTATCTTTAATTATCCAGATCTGTTCCCAGTTTGTTTTTATTAGCCTTTAAGCAAGCAGTTTTGTTATACACACGATACCTTGTCGATCTTTTGATCTACTGTTACCGTCTAGGATTCAAGAATGAGCCAATCAGCCAATTAGCCCTATAGGCGCATACTAACTCCTTAGGGAGAACGTCCTGGTGAGAACACCCTGTAGACAATTCCTCCGTTTAGCCGTGATAGTCTGTCCTGCCGCGGGGTAAATTCTTGGTCTTCAACTACGACGGCGTCTTTAGCCGACGCGGCGGATAAAACAGCGCCATCTTGACTATATAACTCCGCACCCCGTAGTACTTCCCCATAAACCCCAACCCAGCCCATCCGATCCAATCCAATCCAATTCAATTCAATTCCCCACAAAATCAAAACAAGAACAAGAACAAGATAAACACAATCAAAATGTCATCCTCAACCTCACCACCCCCCCTCATCACCCACATCTACACAGCAGACCCCTCCGCACACGTCTTCAACGACAAGATCTACATCTACCCCTCCCACGACATCGAATCCAACGTCCCCTTCAACGACAACGGCGACCAATACGCCATGGCAGACTACCACGTCTTCTCCCTCGATGACCCAGACACCCCCAGCCCCGTCGTGACCGACCACGGCGTCGTCCTCGCCACCGCCGACGTCCCCTGGGCGTCCAAGCAGCTGTGGGCCCCCGACGCGGCCTTCCGCAATGGGAAGTACTATTTGTATTTCCCGGCGAGGGACCAAGAGGGCGTGTTTCGAATTGGGGTGGCCAGTGGGGAGAGGCCCGAGGGGCCGTTTAAGGCGGAGGAGGGGTATATCCAGGGGAGTTATAGTATTGACCCGGCGGCGTTTGTGGATGAGGTGAAGGGTGGTGGGGATGGGAGGGGGTATTTGTATTTCGGGGGCATTTGGGGTGGGCAGTTGCAGTGTTGGTCGAAGGCCAAGGGAGATGGAGGAGAAGGGGAATGGGTCTTCGACGCGACCAAGACCGGACCACAGGAGCCGTCTGGGGAGGGCGAACGAGCCCTTTTCCCTCGCGTGGCGCGACTCAGCGAAGATATGCTCTCGTTTGACACGCCGGTACAGGAACTTCAGATTCTTGACGGCGAGACGGGCAAGCCCATTGCGGCGGACGATCACGAGAGACGGTTCTTCGAGGCTGCGTGGATGCACAAGTACAATGGCACTTACTACTTTAGCTACTCGACGGGCGATACGCATTACCTGGCGTACGCGACGGGCGAGAGTCCCTGGGGTCCGTTCACGTATCGGGGCCGTATCTTGGAGCCGGTGATCGGGTGGACGACGCATCATTCTATTGTGGAGTTCCGCGGGAAGTGGTATTTGTTTTATCATGATTGTGAGCTGTCGAAGGGGGTGAGTCATTTGAGGAATGTGAAGATGAGGGAGATTGGGTATGATGAGGAGGGGAAAATTTATTTGAAGTAGTGGTGGAGTTTGAGAGAAGGAATCGATGGAGAGATGAAAGGATGATAGTCATCTTTGGGTGTATGTTATGTTCTTCCTTCTGTGGATGAGTAAATTTAGAAAGGTGTTCACTATATTCAATGGCTCATCCCCTTCTCCCAGTTCTCTATCACCAACTTCCAGTACTTCTCGCGGCTGCGGGTTCGAAACGTCTTACCCCATCGGATCATCACTAGGAAGACGGCCGAACAGGTCATGCCGATGAAAGCGGCTGATATGAAACAGTTCTGGTACCCGAGGTTGTTGATCCAAGGGGTGATTCTGTCAATCGAAGGTCGCGACGTTAGCATGTCCACATGCCCACGAGAGGAAGTCAACGCACCCATAGCCAATGGCAAACGACATCGTGTTCCGTACCAAGATGATACTGGACATGGCGTCGCCACTCAGTTCCCGGTAGCTGTCGACTAGGTAGTTGACGCTGAGCGTGATCCCGCATGTATTGGCCATGGCGAGAATACACATGGCAACTAACAGTCCGAACCAGTGGACGTGGTGCGCTGCGCCTACGCCCCAGAGGATCAAAGACCCCGGGACTATGATCAGACAGATCGTGAAGGGCCAGAGACGTTGCTCCGCCTCCATGATGCCGTTGTTGCGTCGGGCAAGCCGAATGGTCAACCAGTCGCTGAAGCGGCCGGTGAAAAGGGATCTGCCATACTGGTCATTCTGTTGCTCACAATGTTTTGAGGGAAAGAGGTAAGAAAGAGGTAAGAAAGAGGTGAGGAGCATACCCAAGAACAACCCCGATGCAACATGCAACGTAGCTAAGACCAACCATGGAAGAACTTCATTGGGTCAGTCATGCTCTCAGAGTCTTGAATGATTGAAATATACCTAAAGTTATACGGCGCGGAGCCCAAGATTATCGAGGCAGTACCATTCAACACGTTGAACCATACCAGGTACGACCCGTATGAGAAACCCGCGTAGAAGATAACCGGCCACGACAGATAGTACAGTGTGTGGTAGAATCGCCGCAGCATGTTGTTCTTGGGCTGCCGAGGCCCCCACAGGGACAGTTTCTGAATGTACGTCTTCTTCGTGTAGATCGTGCCGTATGCCGTATCCCCTCGCGAGGCAACCGGCGCCGCCTTTTCTTGATCTCCATGCTCCGAAGTCGTGGTCGGCTCGACAGGATCCTCCGCCGTCGCGGGATGGGAGTCGCCTCGTGAATAGTTTGTCTCTTCCATGAAGAAGAACAGAAACACAATGGCACCGGCGCAGAAGATAGCCGGCCAATAGAACACCCATTGCCAGCCATGGTACTCGGCGATGAACCCACAGATCACCGGCGCAAAGTAGTTGCTTCCTGCGAGAAAGAAGGCGTATAGAGCCATGTATGTTCCCCGCTCGTGTGTAAAATACTGATTTCGTAAGCGAACAGACTCTTGGGGAAGAGAAAGGGAAAAGTCTCACCACGTCCGTGACAGATACCTCTGGAAGAGCTTCAATTGGGGCCGTGAAGAATCCAGCAAGGATGCTACGGCCAATCCATTGTCCGTTGCTTGTTACATATGGACTGTTTCTTGTCAGCCTCGTTGCTATAATGTGGATTTGCGTAACTCTTACCCCCAAATCAAAGCGCACTATTTGTTCAAATCATCTTGGTCAGCTACTGTCTCACAATACTGGTTGAAATACACCTCACCGCTGCTCCAACCAGAGAGACAATATAAGTCAACCGCTTGCCGTACTGCAGCGCAAACGGTTGCCAGAACAAGAGCCCCCAACCGGCCAGCAGAAACAGATACCCCGTACCCTCGTTCAACGTACTGACGCTGACGCCCGTGGCCTCGGAAAGAGGAACCAAGACCGAATAGACGACAGAGCATGCAATTCCATTGAACAGGGTATACCTAGACAGATCTTAGCGAATTGTATTCCCGATATCTAAATTTCACTCGACCCACACGCTCACGCAGACCGTAGACATCAGCTTCCGTCTTGGAGACCAATTCAGCGGATCATCCGGATCATTGGACGGTTGAGGTACGAGAACGATATCGCTATTTCCTCGATCCAAATGCCGACTCGCCATGACATGTTCCAAATCCACTAGAGTGAACGTGCCCGGGATGGCGTCCCGGTCCACAGAAGGTGCCATATTGTGTGTAGGTGGGTAGGAAGTTAACGGTCAGAGGAGCGAGAACTGGTTCAACTGGCGGGATGACGTTAATGAGAGAAAGAGGAATCCTGGATGAATTGTCGAATAACCCCGGAATATAAACTCTGTCCGGCGTCGAATCAGCAGTCCGCGACAAGTCCAATCCCTTGCATTCCAGTAGTTGATATCGACCACTTCGGTCCCGTCCCACCATTGGATTCTGTGACACCTCTCTCCACCTTTTGATGGCTGATAAGCAGGTCGGAGAAGAGTCCGCCATGCCGAAGGATCCAATCATGATGATGAGGATGATCTCCGAGGTGACATCGGCCTGTTATCGAGAAGGGAGGAAGCGATGGTTGATAAGTTGGAGAGGAGGCGGGGATGCATGTTGCCGCTGGCCAATGGAGCCCGTCGTCCTCGTGCGGAGTCACCTGTTAGTGTCTTGGAGGAGCAGATCGAGGAGCTTAGCTGGAGGCTATCGGGGAGTCTACAGGAAAAACCAATTCTTGTCCACGTCTGCAGAAAGCCCGCTGCAGTCGATGCAAATGCAATTGTGAGATAACAAAATGTAATCTGAAACTAGCCTGCCGCCAGGAGACCAGAGGGAGAAGATATGTTCAGGATTAGGCACATATAATACAATCCGGTCGGCCCCGGATAACGCCAGACGCGTGAGAAAAGTAATACAAGAGCAGCAATGTCAACGTTGAACGTAAAGTCAGGCAGAAGCTTGAGTGGCTCTCTCAGCTCGAGCTACCGGCCATGTTGTCATCGTCCCCGAGTTCTGTGATGACATCCTTCAGAATCTGAATCAGTTCGTCGATGTCCGGGCGCTCCGCCGGCTCCACCTGCAGACATTTGCGGACAACCTCCTTGACGGCCGGGCTGATCGAGGTGGCGCCGTCCTTGGGTGCTTCCTCGCCAGCTTTGCCTTTGCCCTTGCCAGTGCTCGGTTTTTCGTCGGGGAACCTCCAGTCTCCACCCAGCACGCACATGCTCAGACTACCACCGGTCTCTTCGCTGCGAGCCTCGAAGGGGCTTTTTCCCACCAAGCACGCGTACAGCGTGCATCCTAGCGACCAGATATCCACCTTGGTGTCGATGACGGACCCGGTCTTGACGTCGAAAAGTTCGGGCGCTCGGTAGGGCATCGTACTGTGCTCGGCGGCGGTGTCTTGCACCGCCAGCGCCAACGAACGCGAGGTAATGGCGATGGGACTGGGGGCGAGCGAGCCAAGATCCATCAGAATCGGGGTTTGTCCGTCGTCGTCGATCATGATGTTGCCTGCAAGCATCCGTTAGTCCTGCCATTTACGTTGGGTGGTCTTTCAGGATCAGGGTACGCCGTACCAGGCTTGATATCGCGATGCGCATACGGGCGCAAATCGCCGTCCTGGATACCTTCCTGGCTTCTCGTGACCTCGTCATCCATCAAGGGTTCATTCTCCTCGTCGTCCTCATCCATCTTCTGGCTGGCGCGTCGTTTCGGTTTCGGCATGCGCATGCCGACCTCCGCATCCGCCTCCTCACCCTCGCGTCTCACAGCCTTCGCTTTACGAGTGGTTCCGGCGCCACTCTTCACGCGGTACTGGTGCATCGATCGTAGGGCGGTAGCGACTCCCAGCATCAACACCATGAGTCGCTTTTCGGGGAATCGGGTGTGATTGACCAGGTTAGCGTTAATAGAGTCTTGGAGGTTTCCGCGTTGGTAGTACGGCAGCAGGATGTAAACGGTCTTGGAACCGGGGTCGCCCCCGTCCGATCGGAATTTCGAGCCCGGCTCAGTCGAAACGCAATGGTCTATCGAATGGATGATGTTGGTCTGATTCGTGAATAGGTTGTAGGCCTCCACCTCTTTCAGCGCCTGGGAGACGGATTCCTGGCCGAACGGACATCGGATTTTCTTGAGCGCAAACAGCTCTGACGTCGACTTGTCTTGCACGAGGTAGACATACGAAAAACCACCCTGATCGAGTGCGCGGAGTATTAGCTAGCAATCTTTTGGGATGGTGCACAACAGACCATAGACAAGAAATTAGGTAATGATAAACAAGACAGAAGGTATCACTGACTTCACCGAGAAGGCGCAGCAGTTTGAAGCTGCGGTTGTTGATTTTCAGTTGCGGCGTGCTGGGGAAACAGCACATGCAATCCGTGATGTTATATAGAAGGTCGAAAAAGTATTGAGCCATGGCGATGATGGATCAGGTGGTCTGATGGATCATAGAAATTTCCAGGAAGCGACCGAACAAAGCCGGGGGAGGGAGAGAAAGGGAAGGGGAGGAAGAGAGAAAGCCCGTGGGCAAAGCGCCAGACCAGCAGATCGTGGGTGACGGATGAGCTCCACCGTTAAGGCGTATGCAAACGGGGAAAATGGATTTTGGAGTAAGGGAGAGTGAGAGGGAGGGAAAGAAGAGAGACAGACAAGTGGCCGGAAGAAGGAAAGAAAGGTAAGGGGACAAGTGAAAGCCAAGAAGGCCGAGTCAGCGATGGATTGGAGGATTGGAGGATTGAATTGGGTTCAGGATGGTTTTAATTGAGAAAATATTCTTATGACTATGGATTCTATAATTAATCCTGTATCTTTCCCAATCTCTATCTCTCAATTGAATCTTAATTAGTATAGAAGACTAAATTCAATTGGGATCATGAAGAATACCTCAGGCCATACAATGGGAGACTGAGGCAGCGATATGACATAATCTGTCTTGTACCCAACTAGGTAGGTATGCAGTCACGGGATATCCTATTCCCAAAGAAACTACTCCGGAGTAAAAAAACATAACAAAAGAACGGTCAACGGCTGGATGAAACCCTGAGAACAAGGGCATTGCAGCCGTTAAGATTGCAGGGCCAGCCTGCTGCACCGCGTACTGTACTGTACATCTTTCACTCTCCTGCCGACCGAAAAGTGGATTCTCCTCTCCCCGCCGGTTGCCCTTTCGCTGCCCAACTGAGCAGGCCGTTCATCCAGAGACCAGAAACAATCCTCCGAGCAGGACGAACTAGTAGCTCGATTTCTCGACACTATGAGCCCGCGTCTATGATCGGTCACTCTTTCCCCCCCTCTCGTTCCCTTCTTTCTGCCTTTCTTGACTATTTCCTCCTCGCTTGATTCCTTCTTTTTCTTCTTTAATTTCTTTCTTTTCTTGTTTTTCTTCTGACCTGTCCGCCTTTCTGCCGTCCTCCCTTTTCTCCTACCTATATTAAATCCCACTGACGTCCTCTTCCTCTCTTCCACCCCCCCGTTGTGGGCCTCTCTCTCTCTTAGTCGGTGTCGCCGCCCAACACATTCCCTTGCAAAATGGCGCCCCTCGACGACGTCCAGATCGGGGATCTGGTGAACGTCCCCGGGGGTATGCACGGCACCGTGAAATACCTGGGTGGCGTGGCCGGGAAACCAGGCAAATTTGCGGGCATTGAACTGGCTGCGGAACATGCCAGGAGGGGAAAGAACAGTGGCGATGTTGAAGGCAAGAAGTACTTCAACACCTCCGTGCCAGGTTCCGGAATCTTCGTGCCCATGAACAACAACAAATACGTCACGAAGCGATCTTCCGGTCCGGCCTCCGTCACCGTCAACCCCCCGACGCCGTCTCGGCCCGTGAACTTCAGCAAATCCGTCGGCCCCAGCTCGTCGGTGCGACCCCCGCGTATGAGACGGCCCTCGCTGCCACGCCCCGAATCCCCTCGTGGCCCTCCGCCCTCTAAGCTCACTCTGGCCGGCCTCCGCACCCCCTCCGCCGCCTCGAGAACCGGGCCCAGTCCCAACGGCTACCCGCGCAGTCCCGTCAAGCCGCCGTCCCGTGCCTCCGACCGTCCTCCCTCTCGCCTGAGTGCCGACGATGAGGTGTCGTCTACGCGGACCTCTGACTTCCATCGCAACAATGTGATGGTGGCGGAGATGCAGGAGTTGCGGGACCAGGTGAAGAGCTTGGAGAAGCAACTGCTGGACCGTGATAAGCAGCTGGACGAACAAACCCATACGCTTGCTGACTTTCAGCGGACGTTGGAGGAACTGGAGGGATCCGATGCGCTATCCATCCGGGCTCAGCTGCGCGAGAAGAACGAGAGAATTGCCCAGTTGACGGCGGAGTTTGACTTGCACCGGGCCGATTTCCGAAGTACCTTGGACACGCTGGAAGTGGCTGCGTCGGAGACCGAACGTGTCTACGAACAGCGCCTGGATGAACTACTGCAAGCGAACAAGGAGCTACAGGATCGGGGCGAGGATGTGGAGGAGGTCGCCCGCCAGCTCAAGCAACTGGAGGAGTTAGTCTCGGAATTGGAGGAAGGTCTGGAGGATGCTCGGCGCGGCGAGGCTGAAGCCCGCGCGGAAGTCGAATTCCTGCGAGGAGAGGTGGAAAGGACGAAACTGGAGTTGAAAAAGGAGCGCGACAACTCCAGCGCCACGCTGCAGGAGGCCCACGACGGCCAGCAGCACTCCCGGGAATTAGACCAGAAGGACGATGAAATCCGCGGGCTCAAAGCGATCATCCATTCCCTGAGCCGAGGCGACCCTAGTTTGCCTGCACTCCAGAATGGCTACGCAACGAACGGCGGCCCGGAGCACGATCCAGATCACGTCTCTGACCTGGAACAACGCGTGCAAGAATTTGAGCAGATCACGGAGCGGAAGACCATCCGTATTGAAGAGCTCGAGCGTGAGCTTCAGCAGTTGCAGCTCAACGGCACCGGTCGGGCTCGCAGTTCAACCGTCACGGCCGCACCTACCCAGCATAAACCGTCGAGCTCGACGGGGAAGATCGGAGGTGCCAATACGATCAACCATGCGCACCGGCTGTCAGATCGCACCGTGGTACCAAGCGACTGGCATGACCAGCCTCAGCACGAGGAACAGCAGTACCAGGCCTACCCCGGCCCTCTTCGCCGGCCGTCGGACTCGTCCCGCCATCGCCTAGAGACCATGCACGAGTCCGATGGTCGCTCTGATGACGGCGGTTCGTTGTGGTGCGAGATCTGCGAAACCGGCGGTCACGACATCCTCACCTGCACGAACATGTTCGGCGCCGACAACAAGAGCAAAGCCCCTTCCTCTAAGGAGGAGGAGTCCCACAACGAGGTGTCTGCCGACGAGAAACCCACCCCTAGCACCTCCACGGATATAGACACTGCCTCCTCGAGCAACGAAGAGACTGCCGCACCTCAGAAAACCGGGCGGGACGTGGTCATGCAGGGGCTGAAGGGAGTGGGAGGTTTGCCACCTTCCTCCTCCATGGACGCAGTCGCCGGCAAGTCCAGCGGGGTCGTGGATGACTCGAAGTGGTGTGCTCTCTGCGAGAAGGATGGTCACGAAAGCATCGATTGCCCGTTTGATGATTGAACGGGACTCGCTGCTCTAAATGTCTATTAATGAGACACTGTCATTGATGACCTCTGTCTTTTTTTCTTTTTCTACAACCTTCTCTGATACTCGTCGCCTAGGTGCTGTAAGACGGCAGTTCTTGAGCGGGTTTGTTTCTCGACCAAATTGGTGATGGTGATTTGTTTATTGCCTTTAATCTTGCGTTATTATGTCTTCTCTTCTTCGATTGCGCTTCCGGGGGTTACTGATCCTCTTAGAGCCTTTCAGAATCTTGTTTTATTTTTCGGCTGCTGGCTGTTGTCCTGATTCATATTTGATATCCAATCTCTCTTTCAGTTGGGCGATTTCATAGAATGCCTGCCCAGGTCAGCATATTGGCCGGTCCACCTGTATTGCATATCCATGTTTATAGCCTTCGATATCCGTGTCTTTCCCTCTATTTCTCCCCAGACCACCCTGTCATCTAACCCTGGTTTTCTCTCCCAGACCGCTTTCTTCTCTCCTTATACATACACTAGACTTGATCTAGACTAATTCAGATAATCACAAGACTACATTGCTGTATATTCCCCTCTTGTTCGATAATTATATATGGATTTGATAAGACCTGCGAGGTGAAGAGTCGCGGACGCGCGCAGGTGCCGAATGGTCCCATCTCTGACGGGGCCCGCATGCCCAAAGACGATCAATGTCAGTGTGCGCTGTGAGAAACGGCAGGGCAAGGTGAAGCAGTTGGAGGGACAAGAGGGCTGGCGGAAAAATTGGTGCGCAGTGGGATGAGCGGAACGATCAACTGGATGGTTACGTGGGCGTTGAAGGATTCTATGGTTTGTTTGGCACTTTGTATGGCTTGGTTACTGCTTCATCTAGTCCTGTATCGGCCGATCGGCCGTTGCGACTCGGGAAGAGCCCCAACAAGGAGCTGATATTCGAGTATATTGCAATCATCATCATCATCATCATCATCATCACCATATGGATTTGATAATATCAATAGAGCGTGATATTCAAAGGAATCTGCATCGTCATAACATCATACTATCGGGCCTGCCACACCGAGTCGCTTCGTCACATAACCTCGTAAATTAAATACGTAGATAGAGAATATCCCTCAACTCCACTCAACCCTCCTCCAAATTGGAAAACCCCCCTACTCCGGGAACCTCGGCGGCTGCACAACCTCCCCTTCCTTGTATTTGCTCTCCGCAAGGGCGCCGCACGCCTTGCAGGTCCGCTTCTGCTCATCACCCGCAAACTCCTCCACCACCTCCTTGACCTGCGTGCCCAGATCCGTGCATACGAACTGCTTCTCCCACACCACCTGCCCGCAACCCCGACAGTACCACCGCATCACGTCCACCGCGCCCTTCGCCCTCGGCTGCTCCATCACGACCCCGACCGTGTCGCGGAACCGCACGGGGCTATGCGGCGTGTTCGCCGGCAGCAGGAACAGGGATCCCTCGTGGATGGGGATGTCCTGGAAAACGGGGGGTGTGACGGAGGTGTCGACGGTCTTGAGAAGCATCGAGCCGCGGTGCTGGTAGAAGAACTCCGGCGTCGAGTTGATGTGGTAGTCGGTTCGCGCGTTCGGGCCCCCGACGATCATCACGGTGTAGCCGGAGGTGGCGGGCGAGGATGGGTGGTACACGCAATAGTTGTTAACGGGGGGTTGGAGGAGATGTGAGTTCGACTCGAGCCTGTTGGGGTTGGCATCAGTGGGGTTCTCATGCGGTCGTGGAATGTGGAATGTCTCTCGCGCAGAAAAGTACTGCGGGGGAGGGGCAGAGTAGAAATTGCGGACTGATGAGCTTGTATTACCATTTCGGGATGTTGAGAGCTGGTGGAAGCATTGTGACGGCTACAGATTTGTGAGAGATCCGTTCAGATGTAAGCGTCACTCGTTGCGATACACAATAGAGTCGAGGGAAGAGGTCTGATTCATAATCATAAGATAACAACGGAGTAGATGATGCGCATCTTCCGCGCGGAGATAATCGCGGGCTAAACTCCGACCTCGGAACGGAAGAACATGTGCCCGATCATTTTTCCTGCGGCCGCATTTTTTTCTTTCTCGGAGATCCAATAGCGGTCCAAAGCATCACCACCGTCTAACTCTTCCATCACGGGGATCCGGAGTCTCCCATTCCGTCAAGATGTCGTCGACCTCGCAGACCCCCCTCCGGTTCACTTCCCATAAGAATTTCGTGTATCGCCTGGTTTTCGCGACCTTGACTGGCCGAACCGTTCATATCTCTCAGATCCGCCCTTCATCTGATAACCCCGGTCTGACGCCGTACGAAATTTCATTCCTCCGCCTGCTGGAGGCCGTCACTAATGGATCGCAAATGGAAATCTCCTACACCGGAACAATTCTTGTTTATAAGCCGGGTCTAATCACGGGCAGCGCGACCGGTACCGGTGCCAACAGCAGTGGTGTCATCAAGCATGAGCTCCCGGCTGGGTGCACTCGCGGTGTCAGCTACTATCTTCTGCCTCTTTGCCTTCTGGCGCCCTTTTCCAAGGCTCCTATGAGAGTGCTTTTTACGGGTCCTGGTGTGATTACGTCGTCTACGCCAACTGGCGATATGTCGGTGGACAGCGTGCGCACGGCCATCCTACCTCTCTACAACCAATTCGGGATCTTCAACAACATCGAGCTTCGGGTGCTTCGACGATCCAATCCGGGTCTGCATGGTCGCGGTGGTGGTGGAGAAGTTCAGTTGGTCTTTGGTCACCAAGTCCGCCTGCCGAAGACCCTGCACCTGATGAATGCCGGCAAAATCAAGAGGGTTCGCGGCGTGGCTTATTCCGTCGGCGTTTCAGGCTCCAACAACGCACGAATGATCGAAACTGCTCGTGGGATCCTGAACCCTTTGTCGCCGGACACCTACATCTTCTCTGATATGTCACCCGCGCCACTTGTGCCTGCTCCCGAGAAGAACAACGCGTCGGCGAAAAAGAAGGTTGGGCTTGGATTTGGGTTGTCGCTAGTGGCCGAATCATCAACAGGCTGTCTATTTTCCGCGGATGTCGCGTCTCCGCCTTCGGGTGGCCAACCGCCTGAGGACATCGGAAAACAGTGCGCCTATCAGTTGCTGGAGGTTATCTCCAAAGGCGGCTGCGTCGCCCCGGCCGCCGTTCCCACGATGTTGGGCCTGATGACGATGGGATCGGAGGACGTCGGCCGCATTCAAGTCGGTCGCGACGTGATTGCCGACGAGAGCACCATTCAGCTGGCCCGCGATCTGTCCAAATTTGGTGCGCCTGGTTGGGGACTTCGCGATGCTGCCGGAGAAAACGAGAATGGCGACGTCATTATCAGCGTGGTCGGACGAGGAATTGGCAACGTCGGACGTAAAGTCGCCTGATCGCCGACGATCCGAAGAGGGCTTCACCACCATTGGCTGCCCCCTGTTTGTCTTCTCGAGAATTTGATATCGTGGTTACAGCGGTGTTTCAGAATGCAGCCAGCTTGCAAGGGACCCGTCGATGCATCCGACTTCTCAGAGAGGGTCCGTGTGGAACCCGTTAGCGGAGGGGGGAGAGAAGTGGTTTCAGATTTGCACGAACGACGAACGACCCGAACACCACGTAAGTGAAGTGAGATTATATATACCTGCCTAACTCTGGACGGTCGGGCTTAACTCGAAGGCGAGGGACACCACGTATGCAGCCAGACGTTTCACCGCTCCGATCATTGGCTCCGAGCCACGTGGCGGCGTTCACGCCAAGCGGACAACAAAACTCGCTTCGCCTGCAAGGGAGCGCAATTGAGGGTGAAACATTGTCACCGCTGATGGAGAAATGGTAATGGGCCGTGGCATTGGAATGGGAATGGACAGTTCGGGGAGTTTTTTTGTTGGCAGTTGGGCCTCATGACCGGGGGTGGGATCGGTGTGCACTCGCTCCTGGCCCCTTGGCTATTTTTGTATATAACAACTATCACGCGCAATTCACAGAGGGAATCTTTCTTTTTTACGCCTTTCCATCTCTCTATTTCTCCCGGAATCTCCCTGATTCTCTCTGACGAACGAAACGGAACCCCCCGGCCGCCGTCCATCGCGACTTCCCAATCCGACAGGTACGACGTCACGCTTTCGCGCTCCTTCCTTCACCGGCAGTTTCCATTACTCTTGCCTATATCTTCCCCTCTGCTGCTGCCTGCTGCCTTCTTCCCTCCTTCTCTCCTCCACTGCTCTCCTCCTTCCCTGCCTGCCCTCTCCTTCTCACGTCCCCCACTGCTTCACAGTCCCAGACACGACATGACCGGTTACGCCTGCCATCTAGAACAGCTTCATCATGCTAGCTAGTCCCGATTTATGTTCTAGATGGCCGTTCACACCAGTAAGTCCTTCCTCCAGGCTGCTGCTGATCTGTGATCTCTCTTAGGCACCCACGTTCCATGCCAGACTTGACTTCGTGGTGGTTCTACCACGCGAGATGATACTAACGCTTGGCTCTTGAGCTTCTCAGGGTCACTTGAGATGGACTTCGGTTCATTTGCAGCTTTGCAGTTAACATCCTCCTGCCAGAGCATCTAGCCTCGCATCGTGGCAGGCCCAGTAAGTGACAGTGCTTGTGAGTCACATCTGCTCCTTCCAACTTGGATCCTCGCACTGACAAACGCAATAGGCTGGCTAAACAAATGCCCGTCCACACCGCAGGCCAGCTCCCTCAAGGGACATGCTCAGGTGAGAAGACGGCATTCTCCCTTGCTCTCGCTGCATGCATGGTTCTAATCCGGCATAGGCCTCCACTTCCGCACGGCGCATTCCGACCCCACGCTCATCTTCACGCCTCCATCGAAACCTTGCCCCTCTCTTTCTCAAATTGGCCTGGCACCGTGGGCAAGCCCAGTAAGTGACAGAGCTTGTAAGTCACCCAAGGCCCTGTCTTCTGGATGAGTGGTTGCTCATAATCATCAGGCTGGCTAAAAAACATCGTCCACACCGCGGGCCTAGCGACATCTTGTCCGAGAAAGCGTGAGTAGCTGTTCTATGTATATGGCCCCTGATTATTGACCTTGGTTGCAGATACCATCTGCTGCCAGAATACAACGTCATTCGACCTTGCCTCTCTCTCTATCTCAATTGGCCTGGCACCGTGGGCAAGCCCAGTAAGTGACAGAGCTTGTAAGTTACCCAAGGCCCCGTCTCCTGCTTGAGCGGTTGCTAACGATCGTCAGGCTGGCTAAAAAACATCGTCCACACCGCGGGCCTAGCGACATCTTGGCCAATAATACGTGGGTAGCTATGTTATGTATGCAACTTCTGTTGATTGACATTGATTGCAGGATGCCAAGACGCAACGGCATTCGGTCGACAGACAAAAGAAACTCCCCCTCTACAGTAGCTGCCCCGTGGGCCAGCCCAGTAAGTGACAGAGCTTGTAAGTGCATCACTCCCTCATGCCTGCGGATCCCAACTGACATCATCTAGGCTGGTTAAAAATACTCCGCCCACATCGCAGCGAAGCGAATGACATTTCGTGGCAGCGTAAGTGGACCGTGCAGTCAAGGCAAGGTTTGTCTAACGAGTGATACAGCATTTTATCATCCAGGCAACATATCGTTGGAGAGCGAGGAGTTTGGGGTTGGTTGAACTGGGTGGAAATTGGTCTTCCTGTACTCACAAATCATGTACTTATCATCCATGTCCTGGTCAAGGTTTTTTCACCTTGGGGGGTTTTCCCTTGACCTAGCGGCCAACTCTCGCGACCCGAATGGGGGGACAGATCTTCGTTACGCACAATCAAAAACAGTAACAAGACGAACAGATGATCCAGTAGGAATAGTTAGTATTTCGTATGATAATTTTCCAATCCATCAATATCTCTGGAGACATTTCAACCGAGCCCTTGGAAGCCACTGCACAGCCGCAGACGTAAATAGAAGCTGCAGGAGTGTGACATAGAAAGACACCCTGACGCAAGCACGATGCGTGTGGAAGCCACGGCACCTCGGACCTGACTAGATACCTAAGGCATGTATCTACCGCATCGGCCAGATCCCCAAGGCGACCAATGGTCTGAGCTGAACTAGCCCTAGGCAACTCCGTCAGTTCAAGCGCCTCTACATGTTAGATTGACCATATACAGGCATGCATTACTGTTCACCGATTGAGGTGTCCATCGAAGGCGAGAGGAGGGATATGAATAGGGTCTAGTAACAGGAAGGAAAGGGAAGAGAAAAGGGGAAAGAAGATAAGGACAGGTCATGCAGTTAAACGTTGTTCATCTATTTCTAATTTCCTTCTATCATCTAGTTTTTGGCTGTCCGGGAAAAGACAGAGACATAACATAATGTCAAACATATATATAAAGAATGCAAACGAAAATTTCGGAGGGATGTGAGGGTGAAGATGAGGGCTAATGTGAATGCAAAGTGAAAGGTGATGTGGGAGGTATATGATGAAGAAAAGAAGAAATCAGAAAGCAAAACCCTGAACGCCATGCCAATACCAAGTCAGCCCTTCTTTTTTAGTTCGGCTGAAGAAGAACAAGACCAGACAAATAGATGAAGTGAGGAGGAACTAGAGATAGGAGAGGCAGAGATGCCGGTTGTTGAATCAAGTTCAACGGGGTATAGAGGCAACAGGAAAATCGGACAGGGAGGGAAAAGAAAGCAAGACATGTGCGTCGGGAAAATGGCCAAATGAACATCATAAAAACCAGCAAATCAAAACGTAGAAAACTGAAAGTAACAGAAGATCAACGAGTAAGAGAGGGATGGTAAAGTTTATTCCGATACATCCTCGTCTTTGCCTGGGAACATGATGTCCTTTCGAATAACAGCTCGAACATTGCTGACGAGGACAAAGAGGAACATGCAGACGATGCAGATCGACATGGCCGTGCCAAACCACCTGATGCCGGGGCTGTTCAGTGCGTTTGCAAGAGTGATGGTCGCCAGGGTGAAACCGGTGTTAGGGAAGACCATGGCCCACCAGTTGAGATGGAAGGCCTTGGGCGGAGAGCGAAGGACAGCCACGATGGCAATGCAGAAGAACCAGAGGCTGAGCGCCCAGAGGAATACTCCGCAGATGATGGCTAGTAGCTCGATAACGTGTGCCTCTTCGATGGGATATTGCTCTTCCAACACTCGGAACTCCTCCGGTAGACCCTTGGCCATGCCGACGAGCGCCAGAGCCGTGAAAGCCGGAGGACCAACACAGATAAACATACCGGGCCGGTGCTCACTGCTGGGCAAACCACTTTCCATTAATCGACCAATATAGTGCGCATACATCATGAAACTGATAGAGAAGCCTAGCCCCTGGAAGGTAATGCCGGCGAGGATCATAGGGATAGCGGAGCGGGGAGGTTGTTGTTCGGCGATGACGGAAGCGATGGTGCCGCTGAGCATGATAGGGAAAGCCGGAAGGATCCAAGAAGGCATCATGCTTTGGAGGCCATACTTGTGCGAGGAGAAAACGAACGAGTATTGAATCACTGCTGTTGCGAGAGTGCATACGCAGTAAATCCAGAACAGTACTTCGAGGGCAGTTATGAACGACTGGTCAGCTCCTTCGCCGAAGTAGCGGTATAGACCGGTAATCATGGTGGCAATAGATAGCCAGAAGGTCGGGAAGAAGAGACCCTCACGGTCATGACGCAGAGAATCGAGAAATCCACCGTGGAGGATGAACCTCGTGGCCATCGTAGAACAAACCCCAGCAAAGAATAGAAGATTGATGATATAGACTGCCAGTCCAATCTCTTTCAGGCCAGTGAAAGAGTTGGGTTGACTGACAATGAGAAGTGCCAGTCCACCCGCGCTCATAGTCAAGGTGTACCAGGCCCAGGTGAAATGACGAAGCCGATCCCGGATGCTTACCGGACCCGGTTTTTCAATCTCGGGCTCAATAATGGCAGCATCGGAGCGGGATGATGATGGAGGGATGTAATTGTCCAACATGATGCAGTCACGTTGTGATGTTTCGAACTTCAAAGACTGGATAAGGCAAATTGGAAGGAGGAAAATAGCCTATAGAATAAGGATTGGATATATCCGAGAGAGGACAGGTGTCAGAGGAGGAAAACAACAGCAAGGGTTAGAGAGAAGGCTATTGTTGGTGTAGAAATGTGTGAAGGAGATCTGCTCGTCTACCTCCAGAAGAGGAATTGCCCGTCAACTTATATCCCGATGTAGCCTGTTGTTTCTCCAAGGAGAGGGGAGACAAGAGAATGATCAAAAAAAAAACAACAAGGCCCTCTACTGCAGCCGAAACGCTGTATGCAACGAAGTGGACACAAAAAAGAAAAATGTGAATGAGAGTGGGACTGAGAGTGGGAAAACGAAGGGACAACAAGCCAAGGGAGAGGATGAAAAAAGAGTGCAATTGGTCAAAAGTAAGATCTATCACAAACGACATGCATTGGTGCGAAGGCCTATACATATAAGGGCGTCGCAACAGCCACCCCCATGATGCACATGGGTCAAAGAATAGGGCATCATAGCCTTCAGGCTGCTATCAATCGGCCGCGCATAGTCGAGGATCAGAGTGCACGCCAAGACACGGACAAGACCAGCAAGAACGGACACATCAACATTGGTTGGCTCGGTCTAACCATGAAACCTGTAGATTCAACCTTCATGGGTCCCAAAAAGGGTCATCCGAATCCACCACGGGGCGGGAGGCGTGGGCAACGTTCACGCCTGTGCATATCAGGGGGTGGAAGGGCTCCAGTGGACCATGGCAAAGGGGGTAACAGAGGAAGATCCTCGAGGTAAAAGGGTCTAGTCCTGGTATGGAAGAGCGGGTATCGATGCCTAGGAAGACGAAATTGGTTCATGATCTTCAGTGGGATGGTGCATCCAGAACTTCAATCTGCCAAGAGCACATAGTTCTGGCGCCGGTGGGTCACGGTGCAGGTAAAACGTCAACAAGTATGTACTATGCATACGTTTGACCCGACAGCAGGAATGAAAGCGTCTTCCCTGTAGTCTACGCGATATTTGGCAAGCGCAGGGCGGCTCCAACGACGTCAGTGGCAGGCGCGTATGAGTGGCGCGGCAACGATGAAAATATCATCGGGAATTTAAAGAAAGAGGCTAGGTTTGACAGAAAAGTTCATTATGGAATCCGGATGGAAACAAGATGACGAATTTTTTCGACCGCTGCGTTCCCTGGGTCGAAGCCGAATCGAGCGGCGAAGAATGGACGATCACCCGTGAGCTCCAATGGCCACCCCAAATTTGATCTGGAACTTGCTCCCTTACTTTAATTTGTTTTTCCGCGTCCCATCCTTCCTGACAAAGAAAGAGTCGGGCCGAAAAGGCCGTGCCAGCTCGTTAGCAAGAAAAGAAAAGAAGACGGGACTTATAATCAGGGAGTCGGCAATCAAGCGGAAACCCGAGAGCGGTTCAAAGATAGTACGAAAGTTAAAAAATAAGCGCCAAGGGACAGGATCCCGGTTGCGAATCCGATAAAGAGAGCTCCGAGTGTCGAATCAGAAGGATGAGAAACGTCGTCCGCTGGAGCTAGGGGTAGCAAGAGTATCAACGTGCGCGGACGTAACCAACCCGTTTCGCCCACGGAGGGACGGCCAAGCCAGAGATCGACAGCGCATCATCGACGGGGAGGTCCGCTGCCAAGCTTTGTCAGTGGCTGTGGTTGCTGGGAGAGGCTAGAGCCACAAAGCCAAATCAGCGTTCAGAGATAAGGAAAGGGGGGGAGAGAAGGATGCGATTAGCCGTGGAAATTAGTGATGGAATGGTCAATGGTTTGATCAAAAAGATGGATCTACAAGAACGAAAGGCTCGGGCGATCTTTGATTTGATGAAACCACCGCAAGAGAATGGTTATAGATAGTTCAGGATCCTCATTTGTGTTGATAACAATTGCGCGACAATTCGATATGTCATTCCTGGTGCCGATGACACAGGCATGCAGAGACGAGCATTCCGACCCGAACGACGATGATGCTGATGATGGTGCCGATGATGCTGGCGATGACGAGGATGGGAGGAGCAGGTGAAGCGAGGGAGAAGAAGCACGAAAGTCTTGGCAGGAGGCGAAAAGTCACGGGCTTGGCAGGTGATCGCATTTCCTCGCGGCTGCTGCTGCTTCCTCTTCTTCTTCAACAGGTCGACTTAACAATGCTGCCTACCTGCCTCTGGTCTTTTTTTGCTATACATAGTACATGGAACCTTCGATTTTCCCGACGTGCAGCTTATCGTCAGGGTCATCCTGGCTCCTCATCCAACCATCGCCTCCCGATCTACGTCGAGCCAAGAAAGGCTGTGTATCTACTATCCTGAGCCGATGTGATGATGAACCTCTCCGGGGCACACCATTGAAAACTAAACAATCTAGGGGGTACCGAGGAGATAGACGTCTCATGGAATTGGATCTTCTCCTTTCCTCTGGAGATATTCTCTCCTCCAGTTCCCCAGTTCTCCGTACATTCCTGGAGCGCAGGAGGAATCTTCCATGAGCCGTTAGTAGTTACGCAGTCTGGCATCTGCCAAGACCCTCGAGAGTCTCCAGCCAAGAGGAACCTTGGTTGATCACTTCTCCACCGAGTGTCCCTCTTTTTTCCCTTCTCTTAGACTCTTACTCTCTCCTAGTGTGTGTGCTAATTGCGGACTACAGAGGTTGGGTACTGATATTTGTTAGGACGACAATGATGACAATTACCGTGGCCCTCAACTTGCGACATTCTTGGCGTTATCAAATTCCAGCCAACTCATTTTGGGTCTCGACGGTCTAGGGGCTCTCGGCATCGCTCTCTCGTCATCAATCCCCATCAATCGCACACGGTGCATGTGAACCTACAGCAGGAACAACAGACTCATGATCTCTTTGTCTATCTTCTTCTCCTGATGCCGAAAATCAGAAAGCGGGTAAATCGGCTTACTTTCACATCCTCCTGTCTGTCTACTTCCTATACACTTCCTCCGCCCCCTTGCAAAGGGCAATTTCCTTTCCCCCCACCCCCCACGCTCTTTTTTCTTCGCGAAATTAATAGTCGGCCTTTTGTGCTGTGCTGTTATGTGCACTAATCTAGCCTGCATCCGCTACCTGCTTTACAGCCTTGAAACCTACGCGAGAGCCCCTCATCAGTCCTCCGTAGTACTCCGCCCGAATGATATGGACGTGACGTCTGAGCTACCCGGTCATTACCGGTCTGATGCACCCACTCTGAGGATCTACATTGAAGAAACATCCGGCATAACGTTCACCCTGAGACGGCCCGGCTGTCTATACTTCTTTCTTGTTTACCCCTGCTCCTGCAGACCGGGCCCTCCCCTTGTCGGACGGGATAAGCAATTAACCAGATATTAACCCGGGCCGAATCGGGGAAGTAGGACGAATCATGTGTGAATGACGCCTGCTGCCTGGCTTGAAACGCAATTCTCCTACGCAGGATCAGCGTCCTGCAGCCACAAAAGCTAATTCGTGCAGACTGTTGCGGCAGATATGAGCATTATTATGGTCTATAATGGGCAGGGTTACGGTGGCGGCATCGTCGCAATGTTTGGAAATTCATGAATGAAGATCTTAATAATAGAAAAGGAATACAATGAACTTTGAAACACATCGTTGGCTCTCATTTCAAATTTATAAGGAAATTCGTTATTCTCGTAGACCGGTGTATGCATTGGCCCTTGTCTGCAGGCCGACTCCACAGCTTCAAAACGGATTCCGCGGTAGTCCGCTCCAACCGTGTGTTCTGTGTTCCCTTTCATGCATCTACACGCACCGTGCCGAGCGGTGGCTATGCATCGGTAGCCATATATAAACTCAAAGATATATAGAAGGGTTGAAGAAACGGGAGCACATTGAATTAGATTAGAAAGGGGGGAGGAAGTGAGGGTAAAGTGAGAGAAGGGTGAGGCAGAGGGAACGCAAATGTGAAAGTTTAATGAGGAAAGAAGCAGACAAGGAAAGGAAAACAAGAAAGTCGTTTCACATCATCCGATAGACCAAATCGGAAGCCAGTTCGGGGGTCGTATCCATCAACGCTCGCAACCCGCGCGCCGACGGCTTCTCCGGGTAGCTCGAAGGAGAACCCACCGTCGGTTCGGTTGGCGGACAATATCTGGCCAGGTCGCGCACTTTGCATGCCGCATAATGGATCACCAGCTTGCGTAGTTCGTTGTCTCGAAGCTGAGTGGCAGAGGTGGGTGAGATGGGCTCGAGACGAGTGGTCTTGGTATAGGTGTAGTGGAGCAGGTCGAGGACCATTCGGGCCTTCAGAGTTATTAGTCCGTCATCCTGACTATCGGGCTGGGCATCGTCAGGGAATGCCAAAAGTAGAAGGTCCCTATGTAGCTTGCGCAGGCATAATTGGGCCAGCGCCGGAATCAAATAGCGCGTCGCAAAGACGTACAGCTTGGCGTGAAAGATGAGATACGGCAACCCTGATCGGCTTGACTGAGTGGAGAGGGCACTGGGAGGTCTGGTACCTTCCAATGCGCGAGGGTCGATATAGTCCATGGCGGAAAACTCATCCCACAGGCTGAAGCCAGACTCGTGGTGGCTATTGAAGTGCTGTTTGGCGAAGGAGTTGTCGATCATGGGCCCCGTCTCGGCCCCCTGTTCGTAGTCCTGGCTCGTCTCCTCTTTCTCATCTGTCTTGTTCTGTTCCTCTTCCGGTGGAGTCGGAGCAGTATACTCCCAGCTCTCAGCCATCCCGGACGGAGCATTGTTGGCGGGATCCGCGGGCTCCAGACCCCATCCATCTTGCTCTTCAGTGGCCTCAGGAGGGTCCTGTTGCAGGTGCTCGGGAGGAGGGGTAGACGGTGGGGTGGTCAGACTGGTAGTTGGCTCCTCAGTCGATGTGGCCTTCTGTTTATTCTTGCCCTTCTTGTTTTTCTTGCCCTTTTTGGCCGCGGATGCGCCTGCATTGGAGTCCCACGGGTCCCCTTGCTCTGCAGCTGGAGGGATAGGTTGCTGTTTTACTTCCTCTTCGGAGGAAGCTGCTTGGTCTGGATTCGGGGGTGCTAACGAGTCACCTCCAGGATAAGTTGTGTTTTCACCATAGCTGTCAATAGGATGTGCCGCGTGAGGCGCTTTCTCGCCATGAGGTGGATCATAGCCACCCGGCCCATCATATCCTTGAGCTTGGGGAGCTTCGTTATATCTCGTTGATGGAACATGTGGCGAAATAGGAGAAACGGGCTCTTCAGAGAACACGCCCTTGAAGGGATTGTTGACCGGCTTCTGTTCCTGCACCTCCTCGCGAGATCCCGGGGGAGGTACACGGTAGTCCCCAGTGTATGCATACTCGCAGAAGGCCACAAAGGTCTCGACATCCTCTTCCTCCAAAACGGCAATATGGTGCTTGGACTCACGAGTCTCGCCACTGCTCATGAGATGATCTAACGGTTTGGAGACATGGCGGGCAAGACCGGACTGAACGGTCAGCTGCGTGTGATTGGCACCGACAAGAAAAGTAAACGGCGGTGAATGAATGATGCTGTATTCCAATAAATTGGAAGAGTCAGTGGTAACGCTGCAATGGTCGGCATAAGGAAAGGATTTGCATACAAGTCTGATGGCGCTCGAGGTGGGTGGAGGAGAGAGAAGGGAATGGAAAGAGACCAAACACGAAGAGTAGAAGTCACTTGACTCACCTGCTGAAATCCCGTCCTGCCTCCATTGATAACACTTCCTACTGACCTCGGATGGAAAAAGGAAGGGCGAGAAGAAAAGCAATTTGAGTGTAAGTCATTTGTGAATTCTTGGGCCTATACTCATTAAATAATGTCTAGCAGACAGGGTTCCTCCACCGAAATTCCCCTTTTGCGCCCTCCAAGTTCCTCCCAGACTAAACAAAGAGAGCCCCTCGTTCAAAGCCGTTTCAAGCGCGAAAGCCGACCTAACTGGGGCAGAATGATATAGTTGGCTACGTGTGCAGTGCTGAGGGGGTTTCTCAAGGGGGGCGAATTGACCGCCAGCTTTTCTTTCCAATACGATAGAGAGGCCCCTCTTATCGTGACATTCAGAAATCGCCAGCCAGTGGTCTTTCAGGGCGAATGAATCCAACCCAAAGGAGATCGTCCAGTTGCAGTTAATTCTGTTTGAAGAATGAGGAGCTGCAGCCCCCCCCCCCCCCAGAGAGAGGAAAGGAGAATAAACGTGAGCACGTTAGTTTCTCGCAGTTCGGCGTGGTTGAATTGGTCCTTCACGACGCACGATTGATTTAAATCCCGACACACTGGCAGGATATCACGACAGCGCAACAGTCCGACGAGGCCACGCTACTGCGTCGTACTGCGGGGGAGTCCCAGTCGGTCTAAGATGGATTCCGTGTGGATCGTTGGGTGATGTTTGTTGCCCGATGGATCCTGTCGTGCGGACCCAACGGGGGGCGATCTCGCGTGATGGAGCCCGGCTGACTATAGTTCCTCAGAGTTGTTGCGCTCGTATGATACTCTCCTGTACTCGAGCAGACAAGTTGAATGCTGAATTCAAAAGAGGCATTTGATGGTCGCTAATGAAGGGGGCTTGGTGCGAATCTGATCTAGCGGTCAGTCCGTTGGATTCACAATGGATCCTTCGTCCCATTTCCAGGAACACGGATTATGCATGGAAAAAGGAAGGCGGAAAATGAGATAACATGAACTGAAAATCGATCAGTCAATTTCCGCCCTGCAGCTTCAAAGTCTATCTTAACCATCGACTGGCGAACCTTGATGTCTATCCCTGTCCGAACGGAGCGGTCTACTACTTGAACAATGCGGTCAATCCTCACGCTATCTATCATCTTTATGATCGCACCGCCAAATCTTCTCTTATATGAGCATTCAGGATCTGCAAAGAGTATACTCTTACCTTGTCATGCATTGTTCAATCCCTCCACTCGCAATGATCCGTCCGCTGCGCAAATTAGAACCATTCTGATAGGCATCATTCAACAAAAATTCTCATGATATGGCATACCCAGTCAACGCTGCCACAACTCTGTGTCAGTATCTCCTGCTCAACATGAAAAATGGGATAGTAACCTCTCGGATAACCCGAATCTCATCCCCGGAATCTCCAATGCACGAAGAACCGATGAATGTCCACATGCCGAACCATCCATTTATTAATAGACACTCTTCCGCAGCATGGACTCCACTTCAAGTATTGCGTACTATCCCACAGTACCCACCGGCTCTAACCCGCCATGCATATCCTCGGTATCGCCAATGGGTCCCTCGACGGCAATTCGGAAATACTTCTTAAGGCGGCTCTGACAAGTGCCTCGCAGCACGACCCATCCATCACATCGTCCTGGCTGCATGCCCCGTCCGTCCAGGTTCCTCGCAACCCTGCTCCGCTGCAAGGAGCCCAGGACGTCTCGGCCGGCACAAATGCCGTGATGCGCAGCACAGAGCCAGGAACCGAAGCGGACATCGACGACCGGGCCGCCGTCTTGAACGCAATCCTCGACGCCGATGCGCTGATTATATCCACCCCGATCTATAGCCACCAGCCCGCAGGGATGCTCAAGGCGCTGGTAGATCGCATCTTAGGACCCTTTGTGGATGTCGCGTTGGCGAGGAAGACGATGGAGGGTCAAAGATCAGGGGATCCACGATTCAAGGGCAAAGAAGTGGATCCGAGGTTGTTGAAACCTAGGGTGGTGGGCTTCATGGCAGTCGGGGGATCTACCATGTCGGATCAGATCACCATGGCGCTGCCGACGCTGCATAATCTAGTGTACTCACTTCATGCGAAGGTAGTCGATCAGGTGGTGTTTCAGGGCTATGGTGCCCCGGGCTCGGTGTTGGTGATCGGGGCAGAGGATGCGCCGGTACGAGCGCAGCAGTTGGGCAAGAACGTTGCAAGTCAGCTGGGGAAAACCTTTGACGAGGCTGAGTATCTGGGACCGTTGACAGAAGGGGCGTGTCCTTTCTGCCATCTAGCCAAGATCGATCTATTTTGCACAAGAGACAACGCTGTCGGATGCGTGACCTGCGGAGCAGAGGGAAAGTTGGAGGTGGGCAACGACGGAGTGATCCGTCCAAGGTGGAACGAAGATAGCTCGATTTCCAGTATCACCATGGCAGGCAAGGAGAGGCATATCGAGGATGTGATGAGAACAGGAAAGCAGGAGATTCAGAGACTGCAGTCCGATTCGGCCCTCCTGCGCAAGCAAGAATATTGGCGCGAAGTCCGGATCCCTGGCGTGGCTCTTCCGAGTAATCGCATGTAGTTAGTTATTGATATGGATGAGTCCGGCAGGTCCAGCAGTGGCAGGTATTGTCCAGATGCTCCTTCCCTCGAGATGAGTTCCTCTCGATGTAGGTAAGACCTGTGCACCCTTCAACACTTTTCAAGACGCTCGCTCTTCGACGCATACCATACTATCGTATCAATCATTTGTATCAACAGATCATTCTTTGTCTAAGCCAGGAATTCGACTCCCTGTTTCTCTTCGTTCAACTACTTTCCTGTCCTCACCGCATTGGAAGCCACGTCTATCACTAAAGCAAATTCACTATCGCCAGTGCTCCAACATGGACCCCGGCAATCAAGCATCAAGCCAAAGTCCCTCGGTCCCTCAAAGCCAAGCATCCATCCTGTTTCAGCCCCTAATCCGTTATCCGAACTGGAGTTTCGATGACATTCAGGTCCCTTATGGCATATGCATTTATCTCGCTCTGACCGGCTTTATGACCCACCCCGTAACTCGTCACTACCCGCCTGACCCAGGTAGCTGCGTCGTTGCAATCAGCGGCGCAAGTACTTCACGACGCTCTGACATGACGCAACCAGCTTCGTCGTATGCGATCTTCTACGGGAATTATAATCCCAGGAATCATGTTGCCAAAGGAGATGAAAAACAAAACGACCGTCATGTCCTCAAAGCTGCTGAAATAGAAGCTTGCATATACGCATTGGACGACGCCATCATATCACGGGAATTCCTTAGAGATGGCCAAATGTTTGCTCGGTTAGTAATCAAATTCAGTTCATCAGGGCTGAGGCAAGCATTGACCGAGTCGATGCCGACATGGAGAAACAATAACTGGAATCTCCCCAAATCCGGCCGCAAGTTTTTCCATCTTGTCAAGGATCTTTGCGAGCATATCGAAAAACTTGAAAGGACTGGCGCCGAGGTCAAGTTCTGGTATGTGCCAAGAAAGGAAACTAAGGAGGCCAGAGAAATGGCTGAATCGTTCCTGCTATCCATTCAACCCCGATAGACATTTTCGTTCAGGCAAAGAGTGATCGGGCATAATTATTTGTATACTACCGGCAGTTTAGGCGAACGTTCCAGTAGTCGTTCTATGGGATTAGTCACATCATGCATGATTTCTAATATACTCTATATCAATCCCTCATACCAAACAACGTTAAGCCCCTATATTTATCCCCCTCTGCCCAAATCAATGAACCAGCCTCAACTCCGTCATCCCCGGCTCCCACTCCTTCAGCGCCTCTCCAACATTATACCAAAACCGCAAGCGCACGCACTCCGACCTCGCCGTCTCGATATCCCCACGATCAAACGCCCCCGCCAGCGCCCTGACCCCGGTCTCCACGCGCACGGCATTCTCCTTCTTCAGCTCCGCAATCTTGGCCTCCGCGTCCGGATCCCCGCTCACCTCCTCAATCGTCTCCTGCACCTCCATCACCTCCATCAGCGTCTGCGGGTCGAGCGCATGCTTCGCCGCCCCGTCCTCCGCCGTGACGTCGATGCCGTGCATCTCGCGGAGGAGGTACTGCGCGCGCAGCAGCGGGTCCGCCAGCGTGCGGTACGCCTCGTTGATCAGCGTCGAAAAGGCCTCTGCGCGGCGCTTCGCCATCCCCGGCGCGTACTTGTCCGGGTGGCTGACGTTCTGGAGTTGGAGGAACTCGCGCCGTAGGTCGCCCAGCGAGATGTCGAATGGTGACCCCGGTGGGGGTCCGTTGGGGAGCGTTTGCCGGAAGATTGTGTAGTGGTTTGTGATGTCCGGCGCGACGCCGCGGCTTTCCGGGCCTTCGTCGCTATCATTGTGCGTGGGTGATGTCGTGGCAAAACGACGCTGCAGAGGAAGCGTGGTGTGCTGGGTCTTATGGAGGGAGGATGTAGGTCTGCTGGCGCTCTGCGTTTGGAATCGCAGTTGACAGGCGATGCATGCTCCGCGAACAGCGCTTGCGGTGCGCGGTCTCGTCGTGGGCCCGGAGAGAGAGAGCTGCTGGAGCAATCTCTGCGATCGGATTGATGTAGTCATGTTCGCTTATATGATAGGTGATTGTAAACGATGTCTCAAGATATGAAAAAGGACTTGTCTTTTTCCCCCGGTCAAGTCGCCTTCGTTGGAGATATTAGGGCGATTAGTCATCCAATCGGCGTCGGGAAACACGCGGATCTCCGAGCATCTACGTCATAAGTCCGCGGAAAGTCCGAGGTTCAGTCCGAAGTCGTTTAGTTTCTTCATCTTCATTTTAGGGTATTATTGGCCTTCTAGCGAAACTATAAATGACCATGCAAGCTAAATAAACACCAAATAGTACATGTTCTGCGCTCGAAGAGCTATCGAGTCTTCTCCCATCTTGGCAAGCTGCTAGGTCTGCTAGGCCACCATCATTGGGAGGGCCGGGCATGTTATGTTATATCTCATTACCGTCGCTGGGTGATGACGCCAGGTGAGCATTCTTTCATCCAGCTCGTCCGAAGTGGTGTTCTTATGCTTTATCTGCAACAATCGAGGGCCGAAGCTGTTCACAGCGGACAACCAGAGTCAGAGAGCAGGATACTCTAACTTGGTCCCGTAGTGTCAAAGTTTCATTCAATGCCCCAAAGCTTGACTGTGCGATCATGTCCGCAGCTAGCAATCCATTTCGCATCGTCGCTGATATCAGTGCTGAGAACATTGCCCGCGTGTCCACTCAGCGACTTCACTAGCGACCAGTCATCCGCGCTGAAGATGTTGACGTTCTTATCGAATCCACTAGTCACGAAGAACGTGCCCGACTTGCGCGGTTGCACGGGTGCTGTCGGCGCATCACTCGAGGTCATCGTGGCACCGTCGACCTCCATGCGGCCGTTCTGTCCGTCCACCGACGGCAGGTAGGATGCCGCTGATTCCGTCCCCTTGTACCATCGCACGTCGGAAACGACGCTCTTGTGCGCTCCAATACCCCCCGTGTTTCGTACTTGACGCAGATCCCAGCATTTAACCCATCCGTCGCCGGAGCCCGACAGCACTCGGTATCCGTCAACACCCCAGTCCAGGCCGTAGATTTCGCGAATATGGCCCTCGAGAATCATCACCGTCCGACCCGTCCGCAGATCCCAGATCCGTCCGATGCTGTCCAGTCCACCACTGGCCATTAGAGAGCCATCGTTGTTGAAGGCGCAAGTGTAAACCTCTCGGGAATGACCTTCCTGTAGCAGTAACTCGGCTGTCGTTTCCACGTCCCACAGGCGCCATGTTGTATCATAAGAAGCGGAGGCGACGTACCGACCTGAGGGGTGAAACTCCGTCCGACACACACGGCCTGAGTGACCGGAGAGAGTCGCCAACGGTTCATTCTTATCGAGAGACCAAAGGCACACGTTGCCTTCTCCGCCGCCGGAGACCAGGTTGACGGTCGACGGGGATACATCTGAAGTGGGTAACGTAGCGCCGGGGAACCACGATAGACCTCCCACCCGATCCGAATGCGCCTTGAATGACCGTTTCTCCTCCAGATTCGGCACCGTCAGCAAGCTAATCCCACCGCCCCAGTTTCCAGTCGCAATGGTCTGTCCATCCGGCGAGAATCGGCAAATACTGACGGGACGTTCACCGGCAATCTGAGACCCGTAGAGATCGAATCCGTGTAGCTTCTCTTTGATTGCTTTGCGATGTTTGATATGTGTTCTTAGTGGGATCGTCGACTCTTCTCGCAAACGGTCGACGCGCGTTTTCGCACGGGGCAAAGAGAAACGCGCGATTGCTTTGCGGGCGTTCAAGAGATCTTCCGACCCCTCCGTGTAGAACTCCTCCTGCTGCTCTGCTTCCTCTTCTTCCTCGTCCTCCAATGCCTCCGCCATGTCCACATCTCCATCGCCCTGTCTCTCCGCCAGATCCGTCAGAAGCTCTCGCAATCGATCTCGTCGGTCCGCCGGTCCTTCGCCAAACAGTGTGATGGGCTCTCCGATCTCTCGCAGTCGCGCGCGCACTCGCGTATCGTCGGTCGGCACGGCCATGGCGGCGGCCTTTCGCTTTCGTTCGAATTGGGACAGAATGGCGGAGGCTCGTTCAGGCGGGATGCCAGCCGCCGCAGAGGGGAGTTCATAATCGCGGTCGACAGCTAGAATAGTGAGCACGTTAGACAGTGGTGATTTGACGGATTGTAGGTATGGAGTGCGACCACTTACGCAGATTAGCCAAGTCAATGCCCATGTCGGTATCCTGCAATTTCAGGGGAAATTAGACATTTGGGAATACATGTAAGCCACAGAAAGTTGTTATCCTTACCACGGCCTCCTCCACGTACGCCTGTCTCGAAGGGTGCATCATGGTGGGCAAGAGGGTCGACTAAGTCGCGACAATTCCTGGAGCTCGAAGTGAAGGGTGAGATTAATTCGGAACAAAGACGAATGGTCGAAATGGGGAGTCGCAGGTCAAAAAGATGGGATCGACAGAATGGTTGCGACGAGCAGAAGGCGGGACAAAGAACTGGAAAGGAATTCGATATTTCGGTGGAAAATTAGCGTCGGAAAACGACAGTAAAGACCGTGCAAATGCAGGTCCCCAGCAAACACCAGACCGAGTCTAAAATCCTCGTTTTTGGCAGACTTCGAGAGCCAGAGAAGAAGAGAAGAAAGAGGAAGAAGATGGAGATGAGATAAGAAAGAATGATGAATTTAATCCCGTGGGCGGTCAACCGCCTTGCGTTCTTGCGGCGGCCGTCAAAATAATTTTTCTACTTCTTGAAACTCTCATCCTTTCCCTCTTCCCTCCAAGTGGTGGGTTGGATATATACAATACCCTTTCTTTGTTCATATCTATATAATCTATCGCCATGTTGCTCTCCCCCGGAAGAGCCTGCAGCTCGGTCTGCAGGACCACAGCGGTCGCCGATCGATTGTCCTTCTTTTTCTTATCGTCCACCTCTTCCGCTCACCTCCCTTTCCATTCGACCTCTCGATCCAGGTCCTTCCACTCAACTCCTCGTCGCCGCTTTGACGCCCCTCGAATTTCCTACCGCGTTGCCGCCTCTTCCTCCGGTAAGGGCCGTCGATTCCACCCGAACAAGAATGCCTACAATTTCACCCCCGATCTGTCCGCCGTGGGTGTAACCACGGACACGACCGATCCCGCGATCCGGCGCAAGCGGAGACCCGACAGCGGCGAGGACGCCTTTTTCGTCAGTCGCATCGGCCATGAGGATCCCCGGCCTGTCGCGTTCGCAGTCGCGGACGGTGTCGGCGGCTGGGCCGAGTCCAAGGTCGACCCGGCCGACTTCTCGCACGCCCTCTGCGGCTACATGGCCCAGTCGGCGCTGGACTGGGAGCAGCCGGCGGAGCAGCTGCGCGCGAAGAACCTCCTCCAGGCGGGCTACGACCAAGTCGTCGCGGACGATTCAATCCGCGCCGGCGGTTGCACGGCGTCCGTGGGCCTCGGGTTACCAGACGGACGCGTTGAACTGGCCAATCTAGGAGACTCGGGGTCCGTCCTATTGCGACTCGCCGCTGTACACCACTACTCCATCCCGCAGACCCACGGCTTCAACACTCCCTATCAGCTCAGCATCATCCCGCCGCGCATGCGCAAGCAGGCATCCATCTTCGGCGGCGCCTACCTCGAGGACTTCCCGCGCGACGCGGCCGTCACGAACCTTCACATGCAGCACGGCGACGTGCTGCTGCTTGCGACGGACGGCGTCTTCGACAACCTCAACAACCAGGACATTCTGAAGCTTGTCACCAGCCGCATGGTGCTGACGGGGGCATGGACGGCCACGAGCACCACAGGCATCAAACCCGCCGATGACCTCGACATCCTCACTAGTCCAGGGGGGCTGGCGTCGTTGGCTCCTCCGCCTTCTTCTTCCTCGGCAGACAAACCTGTCAAGAAACAAGAAGACCAACCTTACACCCTCCAATCCCTCATTGCGTCCACCATCGCGGGAGAAGCCAAGATCGCTAGCCAGGATTTCCGACGTGACGGTCCCTTCGCCAAAGAAGCCCAACGGTATTATCCCGGAGACTGGTACCGCGGCGGCAAGGTTGACGACATTGCGGTCGTGGCCGTGGTAGCCGTGGATGAGGGAATTGATGCATCGTCCTCCTCATCTTAAAAGCACGCCACAATTCCTTCCTTGTCTCAACACTCTTTCTTATATATACCTTCTTCTTTATCTTTTTCTTTATCTTTTTCTTTGCGAGATCACTATATAAACCAACGATATGATACACGGCGGAGATTCTGAACGGCGCATTGTACTCTGCATTTGAACGGTTCATATAAAATAATAGGCTTTTTCTAGTTTTCTTTTCTGGTTCGTCTTTCTGGGTCGGTCTTGGAGTGTTCTTCTTTCCCTATTGTTATTCGTTTTCTTATAGAATTGGGCGGATCTGACTGTTCTACTTTAACTTCTTTTTGGCTTGGCTAGTGGTTTACGGATGGGCATGGAGAAAAGAATCTGGGTATTCCTTTCATATTATAGACGATAGACGGTCGTTCCCCTTACATTAGAGGAGATACACCACACCTACTGGCACCTACAACTACGGTGTCATCAAAATCCGAAAGAAGAAAAAAAATCAACATTTCAATAGAACAGACTGTGAATGCTTCCTACTCGATCGTGTACTGTGCATGTGCAATCAAAATGCCTGGCGAGTGGATTCAACACCCAAAAAGTAAGAATGAAGTGAAGAAATCACATCGGAGGCATAATCAAAAGCTGGCAAATAAACATTCTTGAGGAGAGAACGACGCAGGGGGAAATAATAAAAAAGCACCAAGGTAAAGAAACGGGGTGAAGCGATCCAGGAGACCCCTGTTTGTCAAGCATGCTTACAACAACTTTCAACAAGAAAGTAAAAATGATAACAAGGGGGATAGGGGAAACATCAGGTTGACAGCGAATATGACATGACTTGCACCTGAGCTGTGTTTTGATTGAAACCACCGAACTCCCATCTTCTTACATTGTGCAGGGCTCAGAGAATGAAAAGAAGGCGTACAGAGGACAAGATAGATAGAAGCTGATGAGCAGGGGTTTAGAGGTCGCAAAACAAGAGTTTAAAGGACTTTTTCTTGAATTGGTGAGATTCTCGGCTTCAATTGCTCAATCCCAAAAAGGGGGGAGGAAAGGAATTAAAAAAACAGGAAGAGATACACAAACACTGGCGACACAAAACCAAGATAAGAGAAACAAGAAAAGCGGAAAGACGCAAATTAGACTGCATGCCAGTACGGGGAGATAAAATGGAAAACAAACAACCATAAACAAAGAGAGACAACCGAAAGCAGGCAAGCCACTCATATCTATGCAGCAGCTACCGCAGTCTTATCCTCGGATTTCTCCTCGGTGGGTTTCTCCTCGGTGGGTTTCTCCTCGGTGGATTTATCTTCATTTGTCTTGTCTGCCGTGGGTGCGTCATCCTTGGTGGCCGGCTTGTCAGAGTCTTCCTTAGCTGGCTCAGGAGCTTCCGACTTCTCTGCAGCATCGGCATCGACCATCGGCTCATCCTGAGGCTCAGCGGTATCTTGCTTGCTCTTGGTCTCGTCTTCCTTCTCCCCCTCAGTGTCGGCCTTGGTAGGGGTGTCTACACTGTCTTCCTTGCTCACGCCGTTAGCCTTCAGTCTGTCGTCCTTGTCTTTCTCATCGGTGATGGCAGCCGGGGTGTCCGCATCAAGCACGGTCTTCCACTTGGACAAAAGGTCCATGGCACGGCGTCGGAATTGGAATTCCTCGTCCCGAGGGATGGAGCTGAGCTTCACGATCATTTTCAACACCTTGTTGATCTTGGTGGCACGTATGATGGCAACCTCCAAGTCGCCGTAGTTCTCCAGCTTGGTGAAGTAGCCCGACATGGTGGTCATTTCTTCCTCCTTCGGGGGCTGGTCGCGTGAAATGAAGCCCTTTTGGAGCTTGTGGCGGACGAAAAGGACTAGGCTGGATCAGCAAACAAAGTTCGGGTGTCTCAACGCGGTCAGGGGCACACCATACTCTCTTTCTCCTTCTTATCCTTGGCCTCCTCGGGGTTCACCTTCTTCTCGGGCTCCTTGGATGCCGCAGGGGTTCCCTCTTCAGCCTCCTCGCTGGCCTTGCTGGCTTTCTTGCTGCTAGCAGCCTGCTTGGCCTTGTTTGAAGCGGGGGCCTTCTTCTCGCTGGCCGGGGTCTTCGGGGTGGTAAGCTTCAACTTGGTACCGGTCTTGGGTGTCTTAGCGGGCTAGATGAGAGCGATCCAAAGTCAGTTCATCGACTACATGCAAAAGCTCGACAAGTTTCATGGGCAAACTCACCTTCTCCTCAGCCTCGGTTTCAGCATCCTTCTTGCGCTTCTTGGAGCTTTTCGACTTCTTCGCTCCCTCGCCTGCGTCTTCCATATCCACATCCTCATCATCGATGATTTCCATACTCTTGCGCTTGTTCTTCTTGGCCTCTCGCTCGGCCTTAGCAGCAGCCTTTGCGGCCGCCTGAGCTTCGCGCTCTTCCTCCTCCTGCTCTATGGCACGCTGGTGGTCCGCCAAAAGGTTCTTGAAATACGCAAGGTCGTTACCCTCGCTGGCAACGGCGTAGGCGGCGAGAAGCAATTTCGACTTGCCCTTCTCCGATACTTGCTTGCAGGTTTCGGGGTCAATGGGGCTCAGATCAGTGTTGGGAATCCAGGCGCTAGCATAATCATTAGCCAATCTGCCCGACGTACTTCAAATGAGAAGTAATTGGTATGGTCCACTCACAACTCATTGGTCTCGAAGAACATGATGGGGAAAGTTCTCTCGTGGGCGCGCTTGCCTCCGTCGGCGTAGTCCTCCCTGTAGCTACCGTCGGGTCGGCGAGCAGTCACGGGTCGCGAGCTCAAGAGAGTCTGAGGCAGGATCTCTTCGTCGCAAATGATAGACGGCCATGGGGGAAAGCTTCGAAGACGCGCGAGATAGTACTCGCCCGGTTTCGCGTCCAGGTGGGTGACGCGAACCTGCGACTTCCTCCTGTTGAGCTTGGACTTGTGTTCCGGGACGGTACCCGTGGATTTACGCTTGGAGCCGCCGGACTTCTTGGCCGATGCCGGAGTTCCGTTGGCTTCTGAAGTCACAGCAGCTTCAGGCTCGGTCGCGGCAGCAGCGCCCTCTTCCGACTTCTTCGCGTCAGTTGACTCGGCGGGCGCGCTGGGCTGCTCAGCCGAAGCTTCGGATGATTGTTTCTTCTCATTAGAGGCGGTCGCATCGTCTAGTAGGGAGATCCGAGGAAGTTCAAGTCAGCGGCCCATGTCCAAAAACAACACGCACGCGCTCTTCTCCAAGACACGCGATGGATCCCAAACGGAGAGGTTCTCTGGGAGGTGCTTACCAGATGGCTTTTCTTCCGATCCATTAGCATCCTCTGCCTTGTCCTCCTTGGAAGGTTCGGATGTCGCTTCCGTGACACCGGTCTTGGGCTCAGCAGGAGCGCGCTCAACCGACGACTCAGCAGCGGGTGCTGCGGCAGGAGTGTCCTCAGCCATGATGCGCAGCTCGATGAAAAGTAATATCAGGCGATAAGAGATACCGGGGCTTTTTCAATGGGGTGGAGGGAGGATGGTGGGGAGGATGATGGGGGAGGGGGGAAAGAAGGAGAGGAAGGGAAGAAGAGAGCGAAAGAGAAGTGGTGGAGAAGGTCGCGACGGGAGGCGGGAAGTTCGAACAACGCGTGCGGCTACCAAAGGGGGAACCGTCACCGCAAATGACGCAACGTTCTGTTCCAACAGAATCAAATCTAAAGAAATATCCAGGAAGATGTCAACCACGATGCCGAATAGCTCGGTAACGTTTCACTCGTCTTTCGACCAAGTAGTCCGTCGTTCGAGAGTGACGTGCAGCAGTCCCCAGACGCCAAGGACTCTCTAGTAGACAATCACGGCCACCAAAGAAAAGGGTCGACAACGCCCTGATCGGTGTATCCGAGCGAGAGAGAGGAGAACGTCAGATCACACCCCGCGCGGTGATATCCGCGATAATCGCGCCGGGCAGAGACGATGGAGATGAACAGCCGTTGACAGTCTCGCAGTGATCAACGTAGAGTAGCTACTGCAAAGAGTAGAGTCACAGTTTTTGTGTCCTCAGACAAAGCGACAGAGCAAAGATGAATATTCCTGGGGATCATGTTCAGCGAAATCATTGGAAATGTTTCGAGGGAAGCAAAAGCGACTCACCTGGTGGCACAAGCAATGGTTGATGTCAACAGTGACACCCGAACGGAGAGCGACAAGGAAAGCCCCACGATCGCAAAGGTCGGTCGATGCACGAAGATACAGGGGGCAATTGAAGGGAAGCGTATTCAATTTAAGCCGGAACTGGAGGGGGTGAAATAGAGGAGAGAGGGAGGGAGGAGGAGAGAAGTTTGGAATCGAGTTAATTACTGGGGATCTCCATATTATTATTCATTCTCGCCCTTCCCCTTCTGCTTTCCCGCCTCGCATTCACTCTCCGTTCACCCTCGACAGAGCGGAGTATAGTAGATACTGGAATATTTCTTATCTACGTGGTTCGACGAATTTATAAAATATCAAGCAAATGAACCAGACCCTGAATGTCTACGCCATACCTATACAATTCTCTGCTCTGATCAAATACGACTAACATGCAGGCAAAACGATAACCCTCTGAACCCGCCGCAACTGGCGCATGCCAACCGTCCCGACCAGACAGAACGAGACCAGCAGTCCAAACGCCCAGCTCTTCTTCTCCCAGTAGTTCGGCACGTTCATGCCACAGAGACCCGCCACCAGCGTCGCCGCCGCAAGCCCGAGCATGCAGATCTCGACCTTCGCCTCAAGCACCATGATCTGGTTCCTCCGCACGTCCAGAATCGACTGAATTGTCGCCTTCGTCTGCTGGATATTCCACATCAGACTCCCCGTCTCCTGCACCACCCGGTCACTCGCCTTATAATACGCCTCCAGCAGATACTCCAACGTCTACATGCGGTGCGATATCCAAAAAACCTAATGGCCAGCAGATGGAGTAAATCTCCTGAAAGTCAAGCACACAAGAAAAAAGTAGAGAGAAAAGGTCACTTCAACCATCGCAACAGTGTCAGTTGGGAATAATGAATCATTAATTGGGCCTCCCCTCGAAGGAGGTGTATATATACATGCGTTCCTGATAAGAATAAAAAAGTCGGGCGTCGTCCAAGGGTAAGTAGGAAGCGGAAAGATAGTGTAGAAACGTGAATTCTCAGGGATAGACTCGAGATAGGGCAACCTATTCCAGACTCTCGTCATCGGACCAGCCATCGGCGTTCCCAAAGCCCTCCGTCGGCTCCGATTTGTGTATACGGACCACCCACAAGAAGTAGTCCTCCAATGGTAGCAGATACAGGAGGATTCCGTTAAACCTCCATCCCAGAGCACAGACGACTGCCCCGGCAATAGCGTCGAGAATGAAGTGGTTCGCCGTGGCAACGATTGCCGCCAAAATAATGAATGGGTACGAGAAGCCCAGAAGCAGACAAGCCAGTCGGCGCCATGACGGGATTCGCAGTCCAAAGTACCGAGTCAGTCCGATAGAACGGCGATGATGAGCAGGTAACGGGATAGTCATGATTGTCAGTCCGATCATCAGAGAGTATCCAAAATGCAACGAAGGCATGGCGGCTTCATCGTGATTTCCGTTAGCCGAGAAGACGATATCGAGAGGTGCGGCGAAGAAAAAGCCTCTTACCATATTGATTACAGAACCTATTCTCCGTCCACACGCTGCCTGCGCCGTTCTCCCCGTGTACCGTGTCTACGAAACCGTAGGTGCGTCCCAGCTCTCCATCGGGGCCCTCCGCGGTCTTATCGCTCAGCAGGCGAGGTGGCATGCAGGGCCACAAGGTAAACACCACGAAGGCAAGAAGATTGCACACTGCCAGTGTCCGTCTCCGAGCCTGATAAAGAAGCGGGCCCGCCGGGGACCCGCTCTTCACGCCTCGAGGCTTTCCGGGTTGCGACTCGTCGGACCTATTGCGGGTGGTGGTGTAATAGTAAAGCCAGACAAGGAATGCAATGGTGCCGGGTATGTGAATGAAGGAGTATATCCAATTGGTCCATGTCATAAGCTTAACGTGCCGGAGGAAGAATTGCTGGATCGGAACCTCCCAGAAGATCCCGAGGGCTTCCTCGATACGAATCAACTGCAGTGCATGCTTTCTCGCCACGTCTACAGTTCCCTCCCGGAGCGTGACGGCAGTGAATGCTCGACCCAGCTGGTACGTCTGCGTTGTTATTTCCGGTCAGTTTTCCATCTTGCTTCCGGGCGCCTCTCCACGGCACCGGTGGTCTGGTGATCGATGAAGTAACGGCAGAAAATAATCAGGAAGATGGGGGGATTCGCACCCAGTATACCAAGGCCCAGTACCAGCATTCGGCGAGGAATGGAAGTTTTCGAAGCAGACGACTCAAGAAGCGATCCTGAAAGATGACGGTGTTTGGCGAAGTCACCTCGAACGAGTACGAAAATAGACTGATTCGCCTCCGGTGCCACGAGCTCGGCTCGGGCTGCAAGAGGGACGGCGAGGCAGAGCGACGGTCCAATAGGCCATCTTTTGCGGTTGGCGTGGAAAGGCCTGATTCTACCAGGTCTGGAGATTCGTCACGAGGCCAGGCGCCTGACCGGCGTCGAGTCCGACGCGTCGCGGAAAAAGAACCGGCGCTGCGATTTATCCAAGTGCCGCCAAAGAGAAGCACGATAACCACCAAGGGTTCCAAAATTGCACCGGCGCCCATGTCGAGACCGTAGCGATGGTGGGGAACGAGAAGGGAGAGGGGGGAAAGAGATAGCCTGCTTAGGGCGAAGTCGCGGGGAGAGGAAGAATAGCGAAGGGTATCGAATACTGTCGGGATGCTGATTGCCTATCTATACAGGGGTAGGGCCAACAGGAGGGTTATAGAAAGAGAAAAAGAAAGCTCGTCATCCTAGCCATGCACTAGAATGGCGAAGAGGAAACGAGTTGGAGCAAGGAAAAGGGAAAGTGAAAGGGAAAGAGAAGAGGGAGAGCGGACGTAAAACGAAGGTCAGGCAGTACTAAGTACTATAGTCGGTCCGTTGCCACGCTTTTTTTTTGGCGGAGGACAAGCGATTATTATTGTCGTTGCTTGAAATTATGCACAATCATTTGGGGTGGGGGCAAGTACATACATTTACAACCCATAAGGTAACAGGTACGGAGTGTGAGGGCTTGTATCCGAGCCAACTTCTTCGTATTTGGCCAGGGGAGAAGGGCATTATTCGCTGGCACGGATGGACCCAGCCAAGAGCACGAGACTTTTCTTTTTTGGTCTTGCTCTTCCTTGCTTATCAATGCAGATGAACCCCCCCCCCGGACGGAGGACTATAAGATACACCAGCGGCTGGAAGGAGCGACGAGTCCGCCCTACGTAGGATCACGGACCTACTAGCGGCTTGGTAAAACCAACGAGCAATTTAATAGCTCGGAGGTGGGACGGGTCGGATTTCATCTTTGGCCGGTTCTGATTAATATTTAGCGCTGCCAGTGCCAGCTCACCAAACAAAACACGGTAAGCTGCCACTTGAGCATTTGCCTCTTCCGTTGCTGATTGCGGGAATGTGTCCATCTGTCCAGGGAGGATCAATAAGAACACTACCCAGTACCCCCAGTACTCTGCAGGATGTAGTACTCTGAGCACCACTCCGTCACTTAGCGAATTGTTGGTTGTTGGTAACTTGGTTGTTGGTTAGTGGATCAGCCCTGTCGGAGTGGAACTACTTACCCAATCTAAGAGTTGGTACTAGTGGAACACCTGCAAGGCCAAGCATGAAGCAGGAATTGTGAATCTCCTTCATAAAAGTCGGGCCAAAACTCCGAAAACGAGAGCGAATGCCAAGATGCTCAGACTTATAAAGTACTGAGCACTTCGTACAGTCCGCTGTTTCGACGATATATATTAACGCTCTCTCGCCCCGGAGATGCTCTTCATTGACGGGACCTGATAGCTTGAGTCCATTCAAAGATTGCCCATCCCTGCCACTATCGTGTACTCTTCTGACACACTGCTGCTCATCAATCATTGGGACCAAATTAATCCGATCAGATCCGTCCTGAATCTACAGAATAGCTTCCTTCCATTGCCGTGACCATCGGAGGCGGAACCCCTTCGGTGCCGACCATTTCCGTTACCTCCGATGATTTAATGCTGAAATTATGCAGGGGATATACGCCGACGCACAAAAAAATTTAGAGGAAGGCTGGACTCCGTAGATGATGACCAAAATGATGGACGCATCTATTTGTGATGATCCCGAGGAAGGTTGTAGAGGAAGACAAGAGGACTTCTCGGGTGTGGCAGACATGGAAATGCTTGGCATGTTGAAACCTCAGGCATCTCCACTTCCACTGTCTCGAGTGTCCACTGTCCAGTGACCCCCCTGACTACACCGAACTGTCGCTGTGACCAGGCATGGAAGACTTATCCGGATCCCGATGATCAAGTTTGGCTCTGTCTCGGGCTCTGAACGGTTTCGCTCTTCGCTCTACTCAGTACCGCGCGAACTACGATGACGTCATCCGGATGCACTGTCGCCATGTTGACTTCATCGCCTTCAATTCCCAGTTGAACATTACTGTATGGGGTAGCCATGGGGTACGCTCGTTGTGCTTCTGTTAACCATGACTGGCGACTTGTTCCAAAAGTGAGTTAACCTTTACGTCAGTCAAGCTCACACCACAGCTGGCGACCGATATCCGAATTCTCCCCAATCTGCCCCAATTGATACTATATATCGATAGCTACGATCTGACAATACAAGTGCAGTTGGTCATATCAATCAATGAAAGCTATTCACAACCCATAAATTGAGTCATCCATTGAAAGTCTTTAGCTACCTTCTATATCCCCGTTAGTAAAAGGTTCTTCCATCGCCACGATGTTGTCGGTGCCTCAAACCGCCGTCGCTGCTAGGAACATGCTCGGTCTCGCCTCACGGCAGTTCCCCAAGGTCGCCGCATCAACAGTGCCGTCTGCGCGAAGCTTGTCGACTAAGAAGAATGTAGACAACGATGTGACTTTGCTCCAAGACAAGAACGGGTTTGGATTCGCTCGATCGAACCCCAGACCCCCCAAGCCAAGGAGCAAGGGTGTCACAGAAATCAGAGGTCCCTACTACTCGGTATGTCCCACTCGATTGACTCGTGTATAGACCCCGGAGAAGACGTATCAAACTAAATGATGGTTTCCAGGTAATGGGTAAGAGATATCTTGCCGATGTGCTGGAAACGTAAGTTAGCGTCGACCATAGGTATGAACGAGTGTTAACAATACATGCAGCATGGGAACGCATGTGGATGGATTGAAGTTTGCAGGTGGCTCGTTCTCTCTCTTTCAAGAGAAGCCTCTGAGAGAGCTGATCGAGCTGGCTCATGAGCATGGAGTTTATGTATCAACGGTGAGCATTTCACATCAGCTTGAGCAACGATCGATGGGTTCTAATCGCTATACGGCACCACATAGGGCGGCTGGGCCGAGCATCTTCTCACGCACCCGGATCCGAACGCTGTATTCGACAAGTATCTTACCAAGTGCAAAGATCTTGGGTACGCTGATTCCCCCAGGAACCCTCGTCTTCCATTGGGTACATTTCTAACTTGTCCGTATATAGATTCGACGTGATCGAACTATCATCCGGCTTCTTGTCGTTCCCGGAAGATGACTGGCTCCGTCTGGTCGACAAGGTCCATTCTTACAAGTTGAAAGCGAAACCTGAGTTGGGAATTCAGTTCGGTGCTGGCGGCGACACCCCGGCTTCTGGTCTCGAGGCAATTGGCACTTCCGACCCGGGCAAGCTCGTTAACCTGGGCCAGAAGTTCCTGAATGCCGGCGTTGAGCGCCTGATGATCGAATCCGAGGGTATCACAGAGAACGTGGAGTCGTGGCGGACCGACGTGGTGTCTAAGATCATGAAGGAGCTTCCATCTGAGCGCGTCATGTTCGAGGCAGCGGATCCCAAGTTATACAATTGGTATATCCGTGAGTTTGGCATTGATGTCAACCTGTTTGTCGACCACAGCCAGATTGTGCAATTGTCGTGTCTGCGCCACGGAATCTGGGGCACTGCCGATACCTGGGGAAAGATCGTATCGTTCCGGCCCTGAGCTCTGGGTATTAGTCTGATGTACTGTAGATCATGCACTCTGCAGGATAATTTTATGATTAATGTATATGTATTCCATCCAAGTACTACTCAGTAGGCTGCGATGCGGAATGGAGCAAGAGGGCGCCTTAGTCAGCCGCGGAAGCTGCTCCGCGGCGAGTCCGGGGAAAGCAGCGCAAACCTTCCTTTCTTAACTTAACCTTCAACTTCCAACCTCCAACCGTCCGTCGCGTCTCGTTGCTTTGATTCGTTTGATCCCGTTGGAAGAGATGTTAAACACCGGCCTCGGCTAGTCTGGCTGGGGTTCCGTTTCGTTCGTCCGGTTATCCGCAACAGCACGGCCCCGCGATTCGATAACCTTGATCTCCTCCGAATCCGACCTGCCTTTCCTTGAACAATATTGAATCCTTCGTGTACCATCATGCCAAAAGCTATCACTAATCCCGGGGCTAGACTGCGGTGCAGAAGAGCATGCGACAGCTGCAAGCGGAGAAAGCAGAAATGCAACGGAGAACAACCATGTACAATCTGCGTCCAGCGCCACAAGGAATCAGAATGTCACTTCTCGGACAAACCAGCCCGCCTGCTCAGGCCTAGTAGCCAGTCGAAGGAGACGATGCTGCTCAGTGAGCATATGGTGTCGACACCACAGAGGCAGACGGCCATGGACCGCTTGTTGAATTCGTTGGAAGACCACAGTGCCAACCTCGAACAACAGGCTGCAGATGATAAGGAAGGTGCAGCCCCGGTCCCGAAGGTCGCCAGGCTGCTTCGCGACGGTCAAGGGAAGTTCATGTACATCGGAGACTCTGCGAGTTTATCCTTCCTACAGAGTGTGCGCCGCATTGTCTCTTCCTCAATTGGCAATTGCGAGTTTACGGAGGATACGTCGCGCCATTCAATGCTCGAAGCTTTCCAGAGTAGCTTCACTACCCAGACTGGGCCGTTAGTTCCGCCTCCCAGTAATGAAGAGGCCCAGCGCCTGGCCCGTCAGTATGTTCTGGCTACAAGTCCCCTGCTGGATCTGTTTGACCTGAATGAATTCCATCCGCGGCTTGCCAACTGGGTCGAAAACCCCACGGGAGACGAGGACACCGTGAGCTCCATCTTCTACCTCGTTCTTGCGATCGGCGCACAAGTATCGGACACCAACCAGACTTTGGCCGAGCAATATTTTGTCAGCGGCCGCCAGCTGGCGTTCTCGGCTTTTACCGAAACCCCCAGCAGCTATACCATTCAATCATATGTATTGATCTCGATGTACATGTTAGGTGCTTGTCGGCGCAACGGAGCCTTTATGAATCTTGGAATTGCATTAAGGGCCGCCTATGCTGTTGGGGTTCATAGAAGAGACGCAAATGCGCTGTTCTGCACGCGAGAGCGACGGGTTAGGGAACGCGTTTGGAAAAGTCTACGCATGATGGACCTCTTCCTAAGTGCCTCCTTGGGTCGCCCTCCTGCCACATCCGACTTTGACTACGAGTCCCGCGAGGACAATTTGCCCATAGGCGAGCAACAGCGTCTCCAGCCTGGGGAGCAACTCTCCTTGACGGTGGTTTCGCTAAGTCGTATTTTCGAGCGAATCTTGACCGAGGTTTACATGAAACAAGTCGTTTCCCTCAATGTGGCCGACACGATATCAAATCAGCATCGCGCTTGGGTCCGAAACCTCCCTGCTTTCCTGCAGATGCAAACGGAGCGACTCGAAACCGACTCCCTCGAGACCACACTGGCCGCGGCCCATGTCTTCGGCTCCTACTACTGGTCCATCATTCTTCTGACTCGGCCGTTCCTTATTTTCCGGGTATCGCAGTATGTGAGAAATAAGAGCGACTCGGGCAACTTCACCGAAATCAGAACAAGCAGCTCCCGCATTGCTCTTTTTGCTGATGCATGTGTCTACTCGGCGTTGCGAGGGCTGAACATTGTTGACGGACTCTCCCGATACACATCACTGCCGCGACGACTGCCCTTTCTGATCAATTCGGTGTTCAACTCCGCCATCGTTCTGGGCGCAGCCTTCTTCGCCGACTACGACAACTTGCTTCCTCTTGAAGAAGGCATGGGCAAGGCGGAACATTTTCTCGGTCTTTTTGTCCCCCATGATCCGCACGCGTGTCGCTTCTACCAGATCATAAAATACCTCCGTGCTGCGGTGGCCGAATATGTGCGACGACGCAATCGCCAATGGATGGAGCGCCGCAGCAGACAAGTCGACCAACTCTTCGGCCAAGTCGGGCCAGCACATGAGACTGGTCCCGTAAATAATAGCGACGATGATGACGACAACAACGACAACGTTCCAATCACCCGCCCAAACGAACCTACTGTCCCCTCTCCTTTATCACCCGATAAATTCACCGGCTCTCTCCCATCCCAACCACCCGACCCGACGGCTGCCGCGACTGCACACCCCGACAACGACATCTGGGACGCTCTCTGCGGCGGAACCGAAGGCGCCGCTGCCGCTGCTGCCGCCGCCTCCCTTCCCTACGACACGGCCATCTCAACCCTCACGACCACTGGCATCCCAATCGGTTGTTCGCCAGGCGGCACCATCCCCTCCGGCTCGCACATGACCGATCGATCCGGCCTGGCGGATGCTCGCGGCCAGACCCCGTTGTCGGACGTCATGCTCCCGGATAACGGTCTCCTCTATATGGCCGAGGACCTCCCTGTGTTTGGCATATGGGAGGATACTTGATCTTATCTTTTCCCTCCACCTTGTTCCGTCTACATAACGCGTGCATATCCCTCTCTTCATCTATCTATACACATACTCCTTTCTTCTCTATCAACGGGTCTTATGCGCACATATCGTCTTGACAATCCGCATACGCGGAATTACTAACCAACCTCTTTTTCTTATTCAATGTTACCTTGATGACTATTTACTACATGACAGTTTCATGTCTGAACCCCTCTACAGATCTTGGGCAATTTTGGAGTTGAATGATTACGATTGATTCGGCAAGGCGCTGAGGGCGTTTTAACAATTTGAATCAAAGTTGAGATGTACATACATGACATACCACACACAGTTACTATTGGAAATTCTTGAACATATATCAATGTGGCTTGACTTTTGCATACATATTTGTCGGGAAAGGGAAATAAAAACACAAACACAACCTATATGTACCGTACATACATACCAAAGATAGCAAGGAAATGACAGGAGGGAAAACGAACGATGCGAAAAGGAAAGAAAGAGAGAGAAAGCCCATAATTAGAGTTAAGAGAGAAGAAAAGCTGGAATAGAAGAAGACGAGCAGACGCATGGGAAGGTGCAGAGAACAAGTCCTCCAACCAACACGACCATAATAAAGTATAGGACAGGAAGAGGGTGCAACAAAAAAGTAAGAAAAAGAAAACCGATGACATGGTAGATGAGTCTCTTCGTAAGCCAGGCAAAGGCACCGAATGGACTGATCTGAAGATGAGTAGAATAAAGGAAAAGTGACAAGAAGGGCACGTCAGAGAGCTGCCGCTGTCTTCCAAAATTACGTATTGCTTCAAAACTGGCGAAGGGGGAGGGGAAAGGGGACAAGAACATGTCTAGGTCGCTGAGGTCGCGTAAAAAAGCAAAAATGGGAGAGTGTATAGACGGAAAATGAGAAGAATTATTCTCAGGGCATTGGTTCGGAAAGTGACGATGAAGCAGGTGGGCCATGACTAGAGTTTAATACGCATTACAGCGTGAGAGAGAGAGAGGCAGAACAAAAGTAACACAACAGTTCATATCCATGTTGCGCGTGCAATTCCGCCAGCGAAATCCGAGAACGAGGTATAGTAGAAGTCATGTGCCGCAAGGGGAAAAGAGATATATACAACAGAGTTGAAATCAGAAGCCAAACGGATTCGTGGGCGCTGGTACATAAGTTAGTAAATATGACGCTGGAAAAGCACAAAGGAAGACAAGTGGGAGCTTACTAGCTTGAGAAAGATTGGCCTTGAGACCGGTTGGCTGTGGAGCAAGCTTCTTGGGAGCCTCGGGCTTGACGCCAAACCTGATCGATGGGGGCGGTCCGGTTTTTTGCGGTTGCAGCGGCGTCGCCGTAGGTTGCTGGGGAATTGGCGGGATCGGGGGCGGCGATGCATTGTAGGGCATACCACCAACGCCATTTAGACCGGTAGGTTGAGGCTGTAAGGCTGGGGGAAGGATGGAATTGATACCGGTTTGCATCGGCTGCTGCGGCTGAGGTTGAAAGCCTCCAAAGCCGGTGGGCTGGGGCATAAGTCCCTGGAACCCAGGCTGTTGCTGCTGTTGCTGCTGTTGCTGCTGGATTCCGAACTGCGACTGTGGCTGGAACCCGGTTGGTTGCGGCATCAGTCCACCTTGGAATTGGTTCTGGGGCATAAAACCGGTCTGTTGAGGCTGAAGCGTTTGCTGGAAGCGCTGTTGACTGAGCTCGGCGAGGCTTTGTCCGGGAGGCGCGATTGGCGGGCCTGTTTGAGGGATGCCTGTAAGTTGGGGCTGCAGTGGAGTGGCTCCGAAAGAGTTCTGCTGCTGAGGGAAATTCTGAGGGGCCGAAAGGGGCCGCGGAGGCGGAGGTGGCAGCAGCGAGCTCTGGCCCAAAGCCTGCGGGGCCTGGGGACGTTGTCTCGCGGCCTGCTGGAAACCGGTCGCTTGAGGGCTGAAACCTTGCATGTTGTTCTGGCCCAGTTGCGAGAAGAACCCCGGGGTGGCCCCGGTCTGCTGAGGCTGCTGTGGCGGAGGTTGAGACACGGGCACAGCGGTGGGCTGGGCTTGAATCATGGGCGGAGCCGGCGGTGATTGGGGCGCAGGAGCAGGCTGGGCAGTAGGAGTGGGCTGCAGCGGAGGATGAAGGATGGATAGATCAGCCAATGCTCCGGTCAACTGCTGCTGAGACGGGGCCTGGGTCGTGGCAGGCGAGGCCGTAGCAGGGGGCGAGCTCGTAGTAGCGGCGGGAGCAGCAGCCGGCGCAGTTGTGGCAGGCTGCTTCGGTTGCTTGACTTCCCATGCATCATCATCGAAGCCTTGCTTGACCGGCTTTTCAGCCGCAGCAGAAGCCGGGGGCGTTGCGTCCTGGTCGGAAGGTGTAGATGTGTCCTTCTGCTCAAAAGCCTTGGGATCAACGACGTCGTTGGTCTGAACGGCGGGAGCCGGTCTGCCCTTGCGAGTGTTGTTACGCAACGTGCCTCCTGGTCCAGAAAAGAGGCCACCTGAAGATCCATCCTCGCCGTTGGCGATAACTTCTTCGCCACCGAAGCTCACATTGCGCAGCTTAGACTTGCCACCAGTGCGATTGAACATCGTATCCAGATGGCGCATCACTCGCAGGATATCACCCTCCTTCAAACCAAGCGTGCGAAGAACCTCGGGTGTGATTTCCGGAAGGATAGTCTCGTCCATCGAATCCTTGATGAAGTTCTGGGAGTATCGCTCGCACTGATGAGGACCAACGCCTGCCTTTAGGAAGAAATCGAACCAGTCGTAGTCCGATTGCTGGAAGGAAGCTCCAGCTCCAGCTCGTTTGGCCTCGCCCGAGGGACGAGCGGGCTCGGGTTCGATCTTCTGAGACCGACGGCGAATATCGGATAAAGGCTTGTCCTCATCCAACGACACGCCAGTGGCCTTCTCCACGAATTCCAGATCCTCGACCGACATCTTGGTGATTGGAACCGCGATCTTGACACCGTTCATTTTATGCAGATGAATCTTGCCGTCTTGGAGGCCGATGAACTGAGCTTCGACAGTAAAAGTCTTGGTCCGGTCGGTCCAATGTCTCGTTTTGTTGGGATCAGGTTCTATGAATGGCATTAGCATGATCGACAACGGCGACAGGTGCATAATAGAAGAAAACTTACTGGATTTATGGCTGCTTCGGCTGTCGCGTTTCTGTCGTCGCAAAGCAAGCAATAATCAGTCTACCTAGCTGTCCAATATGGGGTAAATGTTAGAGAAACTCACCTCGGGGCTTCGCGTGTCCTTCGATTCGATGGTTGACTTGCGCAACGCTTCTTTGGCCAACCTGGACTCCTCGATCCGGTTCCGCTCCACATTTGACAAGCCGGAATCCAACCCGGGGGACTGACTGGCCGTAACGCCGGTAATCTCTACATAGCTGCTTGGAACAACACCCTCTTTGCCGTTCTTCAAGCGCCGTACCATCCACCACTCATCGGATTTGGTGTCGTCAAGGATGATGACATCGTCACCCTGCGCCACGGTCACTTCGTCGTCGCCCTGAGCCATGAATTCGTACACCATCTGTCCCTTCTTCTGACCGCCGCCACCAGATCCGGCCGCGATCACTTCCCTTAGACCCTCTGCGCGGTAGGCCCCCGAGATTTCGCCCAAAGCGGAAACAATTTCGCGTGCGGTATCCTTTGCTCCGGCGTGGAAATCGATACTTCTGCTAGGGCGGACCATGTCAACGAAAACATGCTTGCCCTCAATCGAGTAGTGCGACAGTTTATCTGCGGTCCATTCCTGATCCTCGCCGTCATCTTCGGGCGAAATGAAGATGGTGCCGGTGGCCGCGTTGATTCCCAGAGTTGTAGGCTTCTTCTTTCTCTTGCCCATCACCTCGACCATCTCATTGATATTGTAGATGTGATATCCAGAGGGCGAGCGCGGGGCAGGCTGCCCAACTCTGTTGTACGGGGGGGACTCCTGCACATGGCCTTTGCGATCGCTTTCCTGAATGGAAGCAACCCGGGGTCGTGGTGGCGGAGAGGGCTCCGGTGGGAGATCGAAACGCACGGGGGATGAAATCTGTTCCGACGGGGGACGACGGGGCAAGGCTGGGGGCGGCGGCGAAGGTTCGCTTCGGTAGCTTTCTTCGGGCTCGTAGGTTGGCTGAGGCTGAGGCGTAGGGGGCACAGCTCGGGGGGCCTCTGGCTGCGTGGGAGATGCATGTTGCTGGTGAATGATGTTCGCAATTGCGGCGGCAGCCGGATTTTGGGGCGTGTCGACGGGAGGGCTGGTAACGGGCTCCGGGGCTTCTTCCTCTGCCGGCACCGCCGCCGGCCGTTGCGGAAGACTGGGAGGAGCGGGCTCGGCTGGGGGGGACGAGATGGCAGGTGTCGTTGGGGTATGAGCGGACTGCGCTTCTATTTCGATGTAGTTTGCAGGGGCAAAGCCGAAGTCCGAACCAACACCAACTAAGGTCCAATCCGGATCCGCCGTGTCATACACCATCAGCTCCTGATCTTCCGAAAAGGATACCTCCTCGTCGGTTTGGCGCGTGTAGTCGTAAAGCGCTTTGGCCGCGTGAACTGGTTGAGCCTATAGATGAGAATGGACACCGTCCCCGGTCAGCAAATGCAAGTTCCCCTATACCCCGGTGTTTCCTGTCCCTCCAACCAACTACCCCTGAGCGAGAACAGCCACAAACAGATTCAACCAGCCTCTCCCAGAGAACTCTGACAACCAGGCCCATTCTCCGCGCGAACCGACCAGCCGAATGGAAACTTCAAACGGGTGTTCTTACCTCCTCGACATAGTTGTTCGGCACTAGACCTTCAGGCTCGTCCTCGTCATCTCGTTCCGCCTTCTTCTTGGCCTTCCACCAAGCATCCTCTTCGCTTTTCTCCAGAATATACAGTAGATCTCCTTCGCGAAGCTCTAATTCCCCCTGCGCCTGGGGATGGTAGTCGTAAATGGCCGAATATACACCTAGGAAACCCATCTTGGGCAGCAATCGCTAGCAAAGCGGCGACAAGATTTAAGCAGCTGCGGGAGGGGGTGGGCTGCTGCAGGCAGCGTTCCGAAACGAACAGGTGTCACAGAGCGGAGTGTTGAATTCCAGTCTGTTTGGGGGTCGAGTGCACGGTAAACCCGGAGGTTGAGAGGAAGTGGATGGGCCGGTCGGGGGGAATGGGGAGGATAGTCGAGGGTGAGTGGAGGACACCGATAGGCTTGGCAATTCCCAGGTACTCGAACGAGTTAATTAAAGACTAGTTCTCGATCTAGTCCCGGAGGGATGGCGATGGATGTAGGAAAAACCAGGAACCCGTGTAGATCGGAGAGGGGAGGGAAGAGAGGGAAAGAGTAAAGAGAGGGAGAGGGAGGGTAAAGAGTGGGGAGAGGAAAGAAGAGCGTGCGTAATTAGGGAGAGAGAGGAGGTTCTCCAAGAAGGCGGTCACGTCACGTTTTCTGCACCCTCCAGGCTTCAATTCTGGGGAAGAATTGCAAAATTAACCTGTTCCTGCAAGAGAAGTCTCTACCGTATACTTTCAATTATTTTGGTGTTGTGTTCGGCGTTCATTTTACTTGCACTAAATCTGTCGCTGTGTTTAACCTCCGATCGACGGGAACGCGGGCCTGAGAGTGAACAGGTGGTCGCTGAGGCTGATATCATCGTATACAATTCTAATTGATAATGATAATATAACAGTGTAACAATACTCAATCAATCAATTTATTTACCTGAATCATGCATCTACTATGCTCAGAGACACAACAGGATGCATATGCATTATGAACAGCGACGGTGGATATCAAAAAAGTGCAAAAGAAATACATGAAAGCATCATCTCTACGTCCTCAATCAAATCACCATGTAAAATTGCTCCATCTGGAGTTCATCATCCTCGCTCTCGCCAGTCTCTCCCTCGAGATTCTGCTCCGTACTACCTTGGCCATCCCCTGACGCGGTCTTTTGCCTCTCACCGGTTGCACCCTGCTGTCCTGCCTGCTCAGCAGACTTTGCCTGTGCCTGGGGCTTGCCCGTCTTATCGGCCGTCTCGGTCTGCTCGCTGTCGGTGTCCACGATCCCGCGCAGCCCCCGTTCTCCGTTGGCTAAGACGACCTCCAGCGTCCAGTCCTTGCCCTTGGCCCATTCTTCCATTTGCCGCTTGAGCTCCTCGACCTTCTCGGGGTCAAGATCGTATTTCTTCAGCTCCTCGCGCGACAATCGCTGGATTTGACCGTTCTCGCGCTTGGCCAGAGTATCGACCTTCTCTTCCCCGGCAGAGGCCACACGGCCCTTTTCAATGACCTTGCCCTCTGTCCCGACCAATTTCTGGGCTCCCACCAGGATGTCCCCGACAATGGGGAATTCTAGAGTCTCTGCGGCCTCGACCAGTCGCTGGGAATGATGGTACTCCTGCATTGCCTCCCATTCGGGCACCTCGTCCGGAGTGAGGATCTCTCGGCATTCGATCGAATGTACCTGTTCCTGCTGCGGGGGCAGAAAAGCAACGTCATTGCACAGGCGCGGGGTATAGATCACCATCAGGTAAGAGCAGGTGGTGGGTTCCTTGATCCAGCCGATGCGGTCCGTGGATTGGGGGTGACAGTGGAACTGGACCTCGATCTTCCGGTTTCTTCCCGTCAGATCACAGCGCGTCCCTCCGTCGAGACGCTGCACGAGATAGCGCGAGCCGCCCTTCGTTTGCAGTTCGGCGAGGGCCGTGGTGGTCTTCTTGCTCTCCGTTTCCTCCGTCCCCTCGTCACCGCCCACGGACCGCGGGAACCGGCCAAGGATGAAGGAATGCGTGGTGGGATCCTCCATGGGAGGGTAGCTGGGGATTCCGCTCCCTGATGGCAGCGCGTGAAACTGCTTCACCTGGTTCATGTAGCAGAAAGAATAGGACCACCACCCCGATACGTAGTACATGCATTTGCCTTCCATCTCGCGCAAGAGCTCCATCCCGCGATCCGTCGCCCGGGCCAATTCGCGTTTCTCTTCCGCTTCGTTCGATTCCTGCGTGCCGTTGGATTTGCTCTGGTCTTCCCTCTCGACGTGGGGAATGCGACATAGGTATCGCTGACCTTCAAGGTCCATTTCTTCATAGGTGACCAGATCCCCTTCCTCTCGTCGCAGTCTCCCGCCCTTGCTTCCATGAGCACCACCGTTCAGGGCGACTTGTGCCTGATTCTGGCCTACGTATGTTGGTTCGTTGTCGAAGGCATTGTATTCGACATGTTCGTCTTGTTGGGAGTAGAGTAGTTCTCGTGCATGTGATTCGAGGAGATAGCCGTCCGGAAATAGCACTTGGTACTAGAGTCAGGGTTCGCATTAGTGAACGGCCCATTCTGGGTAACATCTATGGATTTCATTACTTGAGGGTACGCGAGAAGATCGTCATAAATATTAAAGACCTTCTTGCTGGCCCAGGCAGTGGAGCTGGCACATGCCAGCACCAGTAGCGGCGTCACTATCCGCGAGCGTCGGGCCATCCTGATGTCACGCAATGAGCAGACGATGGATGAGAATGAGACCGAGAGCAAGAGTGGGGCCCTACACAGAGACGCGAAAGCACACGAGAGTGATTCTAGCAGGACAAGACCATCGTAATCCGGGGTAAAGAGGAGACGCCGCGAGGAGAAAAGGCAACGCTGGCCGCAGCCACGCCTTATCGCTTATCGCCACGTGATCTCTGGCCTACACTGACGATGTTCTTAGTCAGCCCTTGTCACACATTTTAGTTACTCTTACACTGTCCTCATGAATTGATCAGATTAGTCTAATCTCTGTCAGATCTACTCTGTAGGACCTCTCCAGAGCAATTCATTAGAATAAGCTGAATCATCAGAGCGACTGAACCAGTGCGGAACCGTAGATTGCCAATAACCGCCGCAAAGGGCTTAGCGGCTGCTGACGGGAGTCTTGGTCAGCGTCAATAATCTTTAGAATCCACCTTCCAGAACGCTTCATGATTATTTGACTCCTTATAAGACGTGACAAACTTCGCCTAATAATGGCTCTAGTCTTTTCTACCAAGTTCCCGCTACACTCCCGCTCCCGTATAAAGAGTCGCTCGTCGCGTCCATGAGGCCCTTTCTGTCTTTTTTCATCGGCATCACAGCTATCTTCCTTCCACTGTTCTATACTTATAGATCCACCTTTACTCCATTTCATCCGGACAACGTCCACTCTCTAGTTTCCACTCTATTGCAGCGTCTCCAGACTCCTCCTATCACCACCGACAACATCCAGTCGCACGATCTCTATCCAGTCGTCTTTCCAGTCACCGAAATGGCCATTCCTCGAGCAATCCGACAGGTCTTCCTGGCCATCGAGCAAGCAGAGGGCGCCGGCGCGCGGGTCCGCCGCTCCATCGGCACCCCCAAGCTGCGCAACTTCAGCCCCTTCCTGATGCTCGACCACTTCACGATCGGGCGCGGGGCCGGGTTTCCCGACCACCCGCATCGCGGCCAGGAGACCATCACCTACCTGCTCTCTGGCGGGGTCGACCACGAGGACTTCGCCGGCAACAAGGGCACCATCGGACCGGGTGACCTGCAGTTCATGACCGCCGGCCGCGGCATCATGCACGCCGAGATGCCGCATGAGAATCCCGACGGCTCCCCTAACGTCGGCATGCAGCTGTGGGTCGATCTGCCCAAGCACCTGAAGATGTGCGAGCCGCGGTACCGCGACCTCCGCGCCACCGAGATCCCCACTGCCCGCGTCGACGACGGCCGCGTTACCGTCAAGGTCATCTCGGGCCAGTCGCATGGTGTCGACTCCGTGCGCGACCTCGCCTACACCCCCGTCTGGCTGCTGGACGTCACCATCCAGCCCGGCGGCCGCATCGCCCAGCCCCTGCCACAGGGCTGGAACGCCTTTGCCTACACGCTGGGCGGCACCACCGTGTTCGGATCCAACGACTCCACTCAACTGGTCAAGGAATTCCACAACGTCGTCTTCGACCAACCCGGCGACTACGTCGAGGCGTCCGTGCCCGACAACGCCGAGTCTGAAGCTCGCTTCATGCTGGTCGCCGGTCAGCCGCTAGACCAGAAGGTCGTGCAGTACGGACCCTTCGTCCTGACGAGCCAGGAGGAGGTCTACCAGGCCATGATGGACTACCAGACCGCGTCGAACGGGTTCGAAAGGACTCGCGGGTGGGAGAGTGAGATCGGCAAGAGAATGGCCTTCTAAGGAAGCTGCGAAATGGTGATCGAACTTGTTTCTTTTGTTTTCTTGTTATGATATGATATGATACTCCTGTTAGGCGTTACTCTGTGTTGTTTTTATTCAGTCAATTAGCACTGTACACTATATTTATTTGATCCTTGCAAATTTTATCTCTAAGTGCTGCAATTACTTCTTCTTTCTACTCCCGTAGCTAGTCAGCCATTTTACTCTGAAAGAATGAATTTACAAGACCAAGCATGTCACAGAAACACCTATAGGATCTGCTAGGAGCGCCTTGATTTGATCGAGGGCTTGCGTAGGTATACACAGGACTACCTACGATGCAGTTATCATACACCGCAGACGACCCGCTACATTAAACAGGCCTACTTCGGCAATTCCAGTTTGCTCAGCTGAGTAAGGCGGACAATTATCTACTTACTGCATTGTGGGTTTATATAGCGTACGGACACGAGATTCTGCTTCAATCGATGAGGCGCCTGCGTAGCCTAGCGTTTTAATTAATCGGCTTCATCAGGGTAATGGAATTTTTATTGATTGATTGTAGGATATGCAAAAGAAAACGCTATTTTGAGTCTTTCAGGTTAGTGAAACATTGTTATCGAAACAGGACAAGATGCAACAGGAAAAAGAAATGAGATAAAATGAAAAATATGCTAGGAGAAAACGGATCCTCGCTCTAGTCCACTTGAACAATCCCATATGCCCCCAAAACTCCACTTGGGATAACAGTCAGGGATCTTATTAAGAAGACATAACCCCTTCCACTCGTGATTGTAAATCAATGTAGTCCCGGTGCATTATCGACGAGACGAGCCCCTCCGAATTCCCACCAAGAAACATCATAACTATAGGCCAAACAAAGGGAAGACCTGCTCATAAGCACGAATATAATCTACAAGGCGGGTGAGCGCCTACACCCGAGGGGAGACAGGAAGAGCCAATCCTGGGTGCGTTTGTTTTGTTTCTTGTCGCTGTCAATGGACAGCAACGCTGGCCGTTGCGGATCGTGATGTTTATTTAGCGAAATGCAGATCGTAGCCCAGCCATCTGCGTGCGTTCACACCGTCGACATCCAAACCGGGGGTACCGTACGTCAAAGGAGCGTAGAAGCAGAATCCCCAGAAAGTGGCTCCCAAGATGACCAAGGTTGCAATCCACCCAGCAACGAAGGACTTGGTGCCCATGCGCTCCTTGGCGGTAACGAAGTGGCGCACAGAAGTGGAGGCCTTGGCCTTGCCTGAAGGGTCGTCTTCGCCGTCGGTCGAGCCCTGTCCCACGGAGACCGGCTGGAGGTTGAAGATAAATTCAACCAACGCGCCCGTCACCAGCGCCGAGGCGAGGTGAGCGGGCAGGTAGTGGTGTAGGAAACGCTGACGACCCATCAGCCAGAAGGGGAAGTAGTGAGCTGCCCAGCAGAGGAACAGGAAACCAGTGCTGTTGTACAGACGAGATCGTGCTCCAGGACCCCAAACTGAAAAAAAAAAAAAAACAAATGTTAGTTTCGTGAACTAGAGGGGTGTTTCATTATCAAGGCTATTACTCACTTTCTTCGACGGCATCCACTCCACGACGAAGGGACAGCTGGTCAGCACCAATGACACCAGCAAACACCGCCAACAGACTGCTGGCAATCCACCATCCGATGGGGTTACCCAAGAAATAGATTTGCTCCCGGGTATCATTCTTGGTCCAGAAGCTGACACCGCGCAAGAGGAAGGGCCACTGGAAGGGCTCGCTAGCGTAAGGGTGGCTACTGGTCAGAGCATTGTTATGGAAGAACATCGCACGCTGAAGTTCCAGGTACTTCCGCAAGAAGGGGAGCTGCTTCACTTTGCGCTCTTCCTTGTGTTTGCGAGGGCTGTCTTCTTCCAGCGACTCGATGGAGTCCGCGAACCACAAGTTGCTGCTCTGAAGAACATTCTTGTTCCCGTTGATCTCCGCCTGCTTGAATCCCCACTCCGGCAAGGGAGTGGTGTGAGTCCACATCGCCACGCGAGTAGGGACATGGATCAACTTGAAGTGACTCGAAAGGGTTCGGAACTCCTGCTTAGCCTTGCCGTTTTCGATCTTGATTTCGAACAGGGTGTCGTTGCGTCGATCACCATTGGCCGCCTCCTGGGAGACGGTGGTAAATTCCTGGTTGGTAGGGTAGTAGGGAGAGGCAACGTCGTGAGTCAGGAGGAAGGTGTCAGTGCCAAGGTGACGGAGCTGAACAACGTCGCCGTTGCGCACATTGTGGCCCTCGCCTTCATTAAGCTCCAAGGGAATGGTTGGGATAATCTCCCACTGGTTGTTGGTGTCGTTGTAAGGATATCCGGTCACCTGTTGGCCCTGGCTAGAGATACGACCATCGTCATAGCGGAGAGGATAGGTCTCCCAGTGACTGTGCAGGAGCACCTTGGTGTCCTTGTGACGGATGGTGATGGCATCGTGGTACTGGATGTTGACTGACTGCGCGGAAAGGGCGTTGTCGCTGAGGGTTTCCTGGAAAGCAGGGGTCATGAAGTCGTCGCCAGGGCCGGAACGGGTGAGAATGGCGAAATGGACCTGGAACCAAAACAAATAGAAGAAGAAAGGAACAACGATGAGGGCAAATCCGCGGGCCACAAAGTGCTTGGTCCACTCGATCATGCTCAACGCACCGTTGGCACGGCGGATGTCCAGCAAGTTCCACAAGTCGACCAAGACGGCGGCTCCAATGGTGACGAAAGTGAACACTCCGACGTACTTGGTGGAGATAACGCAGCTGAGAGAAACACCGGTCATCAGGAGCCACTTCCACCACTTTCGCCCGAAAGCCTGGTGGCGCAGCTTGTAGAAGCGGATGTAGCAGAGAATGCTCAGTGCCATGGTAAGCACCAAGCTGGCATCCAGGAGAATGAGCCGATCTTCACCAATGTGCGCATTGTCGAACAGAACAAGGCCAGCAGACAGAACACAGGCAGGCAGCGAATATCCAGACTCCCACATGATCAAGAACACCACCGGGACGGTCAGGGCGCCGAGAGTTGCGGGCATGGCACGGAGAGCCACGTAAGGGACATTGTGCTCGGTGTACGAGTCGCCGATGTTATCAAACAGAAAGTGACCGTCATAGCCGACCAACCAGCCCATGAAAGCGAAGAGAAGCTTGCCGAACGGAGGGTGCACATCGAAGAAGTAGGTACGTTGTAGATAATAGGATGCGAACTGAACGAACCACGTCAGAGGATATATCCCGGGGAGCACAAGCTGAATCAGAGTAACCCAGGTCTTACCTTGCCGAAGTGTACTTCATCAAACACTACTTCCGCGGGGTATGAGATCTTATAGAATCGGGTGATGAATGCCAGCACGGTCAGAACGGTTATGGCCAGCCGATAATCCCATTCTGACTGAGGCTTGGGGGTTGCGGATTGCGACAAAGGAGAGGCACCGCCGTCCAACGGCGCGGGAGAAGCCTCCTTCTTTCCGCCTCTCTTACGGAGAGAGGGCGAAGGAGACGAAGACATGATAGCGGGTAAAGATTGGATAACGATTGGAGACCAGCTAGAAGTACTGGAGGGAGGACGCGGTAAGGGTCAGCATAAACAATTCCAAACAAACCCAAGTGAATAAGGCGGAGGTGAACCACTCACAATGATTACGAAGAGAACATTATAGAAAAGGAGAGGCGTGTCTTTTGTTTTTTCTCTCTCTCACTTCGGGGAAGGGGAGGACGATGGTGATGGGGCCAGATTGCGTGTCTCCGTCAGTCCAGCGCGGAACGGAACAAGGCGTGGGTCCGAGCATCAGAACATGTGAAGTTGTGAACAGGAAATGCCATTGTCAAGCAAGGAACTGTGTGGTATTCTTCAATTTCTATATGACGGTGTACTATTCAAAATGAAGCTACAATCCGGTCAAAAGCAAAAGATACAGCAAATCAACTCCTGACGCTCCCAACGGCCCCCAATGCCAGTATGAGTATGTACAGAGAAAGGGCCATCTATTTGACCGAACACCTTGGGGGTGGAAAAAAAGATGTCCAAAGAAGCAAAAAGAAGCAAAGTAGACCAGATGGGTTTTCAATATTTAGTCGCGGTCGGTTACCTCCAAAAGGTCCAGTTCGGTTTTCACCAGTGATTGGAATTCGGCTCGAGAGATCCCCGTAGCTTTCGCCAAGCGGAATAAACTCTTGATATTCGAGCCAATATGCTGCTTGACTCCAATCTCGCACGCGGACTGACTTTCGGCCTCTCTTTCCAACTTGGCGACGGCGTCAGAGCTCCCAGACGAGATGGACGACGGTCGAGGGTGGTTCAAGGGCATGGCACTGTGCCCGTTGAGACCATCGCCATTGGGAGGTGCCGGTTCCCCCGTCTCCGAATCATTGATTTGGCGCCGAAGAAGACTAGCGAGCATGTCACCATTCAAGGACGAATCTCCCGGCGCTTGTTGCTCCTCCTCCGGGTCATGGTTATCCATCGCAGGCTGCACTTCGGCATACCGAGAAAAGTATGCCGCTTCGGAGGTCTCTCGCTGCGAGTTGGGAGCCGGCGTCTTGACCTTGGGAGTTCTGCCGGGCGTAGCGTCGTACTGGGCCCAGTAATCATCATCGTCGTCTTCCTCTTCTGCCGTTTGAGCAGCGGCTTGTTCATGCTTCTCGGCGGATCTGAGAGCATCCTCCATCAACTGCTCCTTCGCCTGCGCATTTGCCTCCCCGATGGAAATCGACCACTCCTTGTCGTCTTCGGCCTCGCCTTTCTCGGGGAGCAACTCTGCGACTCGCCATCCGGGTCCTCCACCTTCTTGATCGGTCGGACACCACAGGTAAACCACACTTAGACTGTAGTCGGCCAGTAGCATCCGGGACTGCAGAGTTTCTTCATCGATCCGTTTGTACGTCACCGGGATTTCCCCGGGTAACTCAATTTCGCCCGACACGGGATGGGGCTCAAAGTTTGTGCCGTCCACCAGTGCCTGCAGACGCTCGGCCTTCCCGACATTCCAGCACAGGAGCTGGAGCCATGATTCGGTCGGAGAGGCGGAAACGGAGCTGAAGACTTGTACTCGTTGACGGAGGATGGGCGATAGAAGCGACAGGAGAGCTGGGGGAGGACGAGGCGACACGAAGGCTGTGGGGAGACAGGCCAAGAGCGGAGGGAGAAGGTCTCGGGGATCGGGGGGAGGAATAAGTTCGACCATCGTGAAACGTGGAGATTGTAAGCAGGTGGCAGTGGCAGGATACGCTGTAACTGATGGGCGATGAAGAGGACTGGAAATCGACAGGGTTGGCGGTGAAAATGAATGGAACGTCAGGGACACGGTAACTACACCGTAGCGAGATCAGACCCAGAGAGTCAAGAGTTACAGTTGCAAAGTGTCATCGCCCCCTTAATTAAAAGGACGCATTCGCAGACATGCAACGCTGCTTTGCTCCCTTCGTCCGGACTGACGGGCGGAGAAGTTGCGGGGTTGCTTTCTTCCCCTCTCGTCGATTAGGGATTCTTGCTTATCCTCCGACAGGCCACTTTCGAGTTTCGCATTTCAACTACTTTCACTTAGTTTACGGGGTTTGCGCCGTCGCCAGCAACAGGCGATTATGGCCAGAATCACCGCTAGCACCAATGCGCCCCCAATCCCGGCGCTCAGCCCGATAACCAACGGCCGATGCGCGTCCACCCACGATCGGGCGCTGTCATCCTCACTTCCGCTTCCTCCTCCGGCCCGAGACCGCGCGCATTCCTCCCCTCCCCGCCACTGACACGTCATGCTATCGCAGCACCGGGCGTCGCGCTCGTTGCATGCATTCCCTCCGCAGTCGCATGCCTCTCCCGCTTCAACGATCCCATTTCCGCATTGGCCATTCGGGACGCCGGTTGAGTTGCCGCCGTTGTCGGCGTCGCTGGCGCTCACAAGACACTGGGTGTTGGTACGGCGGGACCCAAACCGGGAGCAGACGTTTCCGATGGTGCACGGGGAGAATCGCGTCATGCCCCTGTTCGACGACGGGTTCATGATGTATTCTCCATCTGCGTCGCAGGTGGAGGAGGACCGAGGACAGCACTGCGAGTCGTTGTCCGCGCCCGCCTGGCAGGTGCTAGAGTCGCAGTCATGAACGGCGCCAAATGTATGCGCCGACTCGTGTCTAGATGTTCATATACACGTCAGTCATTCCACACAGGTAAAAGAAGGATAGGGTGGTGGCTCGTACGCAAAAACCTGCCATTCACTTTGAGACCGGGCGATCACGTTGGCTCCAGGTGTAGAACTGCGGGATCCCGATGCGCCCGTGTTGCATAACTCTCCAACCCAGGAGATCCCCACGGCACCGGTATTTGGACAGCCCGTTAGCAGCGACCAGTAGGCATTGTCATCGTCGATAGAGCTTCGCCAAGACGAGAACCGGTCGAGGCGCCAGTTCAAGTTCCCGCTAGAACAAGGCGCGTTCCACGGCGACGAGCGGGAGGCGCTGTCGGGACAATCGGCATCACTGATCGTTATGTTCCGGAGCCCTAGCGAAACGTTGAAGCTGTTCTCGAAAACCACCGATGCGGTGTTGACCACGTTTATGATGTTCCGACGCACGGCATCAGTAGAGTTGAATTCCCCTGAATAAGTACAGTCCGTCACAACGCCAATATACGCGATCCGTCTAGATGTTGGACAGCCAGAGGTGCTCCCGACTGTGTCCGCCAGGTTCTCCTCCGCCGAGTCACCGTCCCATCCCAACTGTCGACGATCCAAGATAGCCATTGAAGGGGATGCGCAGGTTTGCTGAAGTGACGAATCGTCCTGGCCTGATATCGAGGGCGCCGACGCCGGATAGACCAGCATGTAGCCTGTCTGGAGATCCGACAAGCCATCACTGCGATCCTGCTCCAGTTGGATTCTGTATTGTTCCGATGAGATAGCGAACGTCCCCTCGAACAAAGGCTTGGTCGTATCTTCTAACACCGTAATTCTTGCCCAACCGACTTTCACCCACGGTCTGCCTGCAGACCGCATCCATACCGACCCTTTCGTAACATGATATGTTGACTGCGTGGATGGCTCAACACTCCTGACATTTCCATGTACATCTATATACTGAACGTATGCATCTTGCGCAGTAAACTCTCGGTTTGTCTCCAGCACGAAGGCTAGAGAGTTCCGGCTCCCTTCGACATCGGCAGTGATGTTAAAATGGGGCGACGAGTGACTGTCATGAGAGGCGGGATTGGAGGTCGAGTTCACCAGGCGCAACGGGGTCTCGGCAAAACGCGCTATGATATCAGTACCGGTTAGCCCGGAGTTATCCCCAACTGGCCTCTCCCAGGCAGACTACAGTGTATGTATTGCTCGTGACTTGATAGACAGTAGACACTCACCTGTCACATTGGAAGCCCATGACAAAAGTGCAGCTGAAGCAGCTAGAAGGTTGCGTATCTTCATACCAGACGATTGTTTGTTTGATGTTCTGGGGCGGATCCGTCTTAAGTACTCCGTAGGGCCCCGTCTTGGTACTAGATTAGGGGTTTAATTAGTTCATGGGGCCGTGGAGGGCTGATCGTCCAAGGCATATTTATAACCGCCGTTTGTCGCACGGGCAGGGCTGATGAATCTCTCCGTTCGAGCAGGCATTGAATAATCGGGACCAGCTATCAAACCAGGCAAAAAGAAAAAAAAAAGGTTTCGGTAGGTACGGAGTCCATTGTCGGTGCATGCATGCGTTGAATCGTCGTCGTCATCGGTGCTGGGCATAACCTGGAGTTCTGCACGCTAAAGTTTCGAGGGAACATGACAACTACACACATCTACCGATGTGATCATCTCTGGCAGAAAGAACCGATCGCACAGCCACCTGGTCCGGTGGATTGGGAGTGAGATGAGCCGCCGAGTCCCGAACAGACTGTGGAATTTCTCGGAGATAGGAAGAGCAAGAGCATGCCAAGTGCAAGATCCAGGGCTCCACGATGTCAGCAACGGCCAGTACGAGGCTTGGCAGATGCGATTTGAAGACAGAACCTCATGGTCATCGGTTCTCCAGACACTTGGCAACGTGTAAAAGGGGCCTCCCATGTCATCAATTGCCATGGATGGGCATGCTATCGCCAGCGATAGTAGGACTGGGGACTGTGACGACATGGAACCATATGGTTGTTCTCCAAGGATTGGAGACTTTCTGGAAATCTCCACTGTGCCCGCTCTTGGCTCGCCAGACGGTCAGCAAGTTGCATGAGTAGAGACTGGGGAATCTTGCTGCCTTCTTCAACCAACACTCCGGAGCCATCGGCTTACACAGGGCTGTTGGAAAATTATTAAAGGAATCAACTGACACGAATCAGTAGTGCAATCATGAACCACCTGCTCTGTGTCGATTGGATAACGGAATTGGCTGATCCTGCCATGATGCCCACTCTTGCACAGCCATGCGAGCGATCGACATCGGACCGGAGTAAGGGGTTCGTAGTCCGCAGAATGAAAGAGTGAATAATGATAAGCTTGCGCTGACAGTGTTATTGTTATATATCTCGGAGATCCCTCCAATGTCCGGATTGAATGCTAAGCAGAAGCCGGAAGACTCGTTGCTGTGGGCATGGTATTCACTGAAGACCATCAGCATTGGAGGTGAAGGCCATGAAACCTGAGAAGACGCCGACTGACCTTTAAGTGAATAATATATCATCGCACAAAAGTCCCCGATCTCTGGATGACCTTGCCGGTCGGTAACTAGTACAGATGGGTGCTGAGCTGTCGTGGGCAAGCAGATGGCGGGGGTACAAATGAATTACCCGATCACTGATCAGAAGGACTGAGCTTATGCTTCTTAATCGCCAGAAGGCCGAGGACGAGCATGGATCGGGGTTGATCTGCCGGGCCGAATCGAGCCAATGTGATCTTGAAGAAGTCTCAGCCGGGCGGGGGAGGCCTGACCTGTTCGCTACTAGTCGTTATCGTGACTTTCGGTGACTTTCCATTTCCTGCCAAACAGCCGTGACTCCAACTCTTCGTCATTCCCTTCGCTCGCGCCATGGATTGATCGCACTCAACCAACAACGCAATTCAAGGGGCAATATACAATCCCTCATTTTTCACCATGACGGAGAAAACCCCTCGTCTCATGGCCGACGAGCCTGGTTTGCGGCCCGGTTTGACAGATACAGACCTTCAAGAGGAATTTCTTCCAGAAGAGTTGAAGGAGCTGGAGAAGAGAATTCGATGGAAAGTTGACGTGCGACTCTGTACAATCGCCGGGATTCTGTGCAGCCTCAATCTGCTCGACTCGGGCATTCTCTCGTCTGCTTCGGTGACGAGCATGCTAACGGATCTCAACCTGCAGGGGACGCGCTACTCCGTCTCCATCTTCATCTTCACTATCGCCAGTGTTGTATTTCAACTACCGTGTACGGTCGCAGTGCGCTGGATCGGACCCCGAATTTGGTTCTCAGCCATCACCTTCTGCTTCGGGCTGATCACCCTGTGCACCGCGTTCATTCACAACTGGCAGCAAATGATCGCCCTGCGTGTCCTCCTTGGCATGGTTATGTCCGGTATCTACCCGGGCTTGACCTACCTGGTCAGTACCTGGTATACCCGGCGTGAGCAACAGCTTCGTTTCGCGTTCCTCCAGTCAGGCGAGGTTACCGTGCTGGCCACCGGCAATATCGTCAACTACGCGCTGAACCTGCTTGATGGCCGCGCAGGCTTGGCAGGATGGCGCTGGATGTACCTTGTGCAGGGGCTCATCACTTGCGTTCTTGGTGCCTTAACGTACTGGTGGATGGTGGACTTTCCCGAACGGGCTGGCAACAGCTTTTACTTCCTTTCGGAGACAGAGGCTCGAGTCGCTGTGCGACGTATTCAGCTGGACCGTGGCGACGTCGTGCCAGAGCCCTTCACCTGGCGCAAGATCGGTGTGAACTTCCTTGATCCTAAGTTATACGGATTCGCCTGCATGTTCTTTCTATTGAATCTGGTGTCGACAGCGCTGAGTTACTTTCTGCCCATTATATTGCAGTCTGGAATGGGGTTCTCCAGTAATGATTCAATTCTTCTTTCCACGCCAGTAAGTTATCTGCTTGTCTTCTTTAACGCAAAGATCTCTGATCGCTTGCGATTAGCCGTACTATTGGTCCGTTGTTCCCGTTCTATTCACTTCCTTCATCGGCGACACGTATCGCAAACGCGGTCCATTGATCATTTTCAATGCGCTTTGCCTGGTGGCTGGGTTTTTAATGTTCGGCCTCCCAGCCTCGACTCAGGTCACGGTGCGGTACATTGGCACCTTCCTGGCCACCGGCGCATACGTCTCCAACTGGGCCGCATTGAATGCGTTCATGGCCAACAACGTGGTCGGGCAATGGAAACGCGCCACCACGGCGGCGGCCGTCGCGGCCTGCAACGGCTTGGGTGGTGTAGCAGGCAGCTATATCGTACGACAGCAGGAGGCGCCGCAGTATGCAACGGCCGTGTGGGTATCTGTTGGGTGAGTATGACGGCTTCCAGGCGCCACAAGATCTACGGATTAACGGCTATGGGCTAACGTTTTGGTACAGATCGCACATTCTTATGATCGCCATCGTCGGGGTATTCACAGTGTGTTTTTATATCTGCAATAGACGATATGACCGGAATGAGCGGGCGCCCCAGAACATGCAGGTCGGCTTCCGATATACATACTGAGTGAGTTGGGGTCGTAGAATTGCATGCTGGTGCTGAACATGCTCTATGATGAACTGAGGCGAACTGGGATGGTACAATGAACCTCGCTATAGCGATGTAATTGTGGACAGTAATAGATTCGTAATATAGAGGAATTCTATATTTGAGGCCGGATGGCTTATCTTGTGCAAGGGGGCAACCCCGAGAGCTCGACCGACAGTGTGAGCATAATAATTACTATTGAACCCCACCTATCCTCGCGACACAGCAATACCAGAGATATGTACTTAGACTGAGGCATGCACATACATACCATCCTGAGGTGTTAGGGCTTTTCGCCCAGATCGCTGTAGCCATGAAGGCTCTTTCCCAAGGTTCCGTGTAGCGCTCCTTCAAGTCCTCTGCTTAGTACTTCTCGTGGTTTTGATGCTTTTTGAGTGCTGCAAGAGTTTCCTGTATAGAACCTCATGGAAAAGGAATGTCAGATTTCTCTATTTTCGATCTCGCATCTTGCAATTGAAGGATCGTAAGTATTCGAGAGATATCTTTCCAATCACCTGGACCTTTCTATTACTCCTTCACATAATATTGAAGTTGTTGATATTAATCTTTTTGTGATGAAATGCATGTGGAGTTTTTTGCAGTATGAAGAATTAGCGCTCATTTAGCCTAATTGATGCGAACTCTTCTTGCGGGCCATTCGGCATCCAGCGTTCTCCGGTGGCGTGGCTGGATCCACTTGATCTTGATCGAAGTGGGTCTGCAATCTATAATTCCGGGTCAAAGGCAGCCGAAAGCCTGAAACTGGAGGTACGTATGGTGTACTCCGTAGAACGCTGAAAGCCTGAAAGCTGAAAGAATGGAGCTCTGACTCGCAAGTGGTTCGAAGTACGGACTACTCCGTCGATGACCTCGGCTGTGGAAGCTGACCTGACCTACTGTGTACAGTCCTACACAGTAGTAGTCCCACATGGGAACCTTGGCAGGTCCGAGTCTAACCCGATAGTGAGACTGAGACATTTAGATCTCGCGATTCGCATGGTCACGATCTAATCTAGGATGGGTCCAACTGTTTCATGGTCCCATCCTCCCTTGGTTGCACTCCCTTCGCTTAAGTCAGAAATTCAAACTGTGAGCGCCTCAGGGGTCCTTCCTTCCCAAGTGTGGTGAGCGTTGGGTGGTATCGCTGTCCTGGTCTCGTACGCTATGCATCGTCAGAAAATGTATGGGCTCCATGACATTGAGATCATGTATCGTGATATAGTATAGGTCTGGACGATTCGCTAAATTATGCTCCTCGATGCTTATTCACGCTCCGCATAGAGATGCTCTCTGGATGATCATCCGTAGGCACGCTTTGAGTTTCTAGTGATGATGGATCCACGTCTAGAGTTTTATCGGTCTCGGCACTGTCGCCCAATCGGGTGAATCCAATGACTCCTTTGGCCTTCGGTTGACTGGTCGTGTGTCGATGCCGTTGCGGTTGCCGATTTTTAGATGAATGCTTGCTCATCAACTGGTTGGGCAGGATTCGTACGATCAATGGCCAGATCGAAGGCAGGCACGCGGCGATGATGATAATACCCCCTTCCAAAACGGTCCAGATACCTAGGTTAACCGATGCCCCTGTTGAGATGGTTAATCATCGCCCATGATCGATCAATTAGGTTGACCGGGAGAACATACAAGTTGGATCGGTCAGGGCATTCTCCTGGAAAAAGACAGTCATGCGTAGAATACTCGCCACGGTGCCCCTGCGGTACTGGTCAGCCTGAAAGAGCGCACTGATGGGTTTCTATTTTCGCGAGGCACACTCACAATCCTCCGAGCAAAAAGACCCCTGTCAACGCCAACTTTTGTCCCATCGGAGTATGGAGCTTCCAGACAAACGGCAGAGGCATCACGAGAATCAAAACGTCGGTTAGAATGTTCGGGGGCGAGACATATCGGTAGAACGCTTGCTGATCAAAGCATGTTCCCCCTGGGATGGTCGTATCCCAGGTATATGCGATCGGAGAGCATTGGAAGATGGCGGCAAAGAGAACACCAATGCCGTGACCAAGGACGATAAAGCCAACGGCATAGGCAAACATTCGGAACTTGAAGGTATTGAAAATGCGGACGTAAAATAGGAGGACTGATATCTTTGCTGGCGTTACGGTAAACGGAAAATCGATGATTTGGTTTACATACAATCCCTGCGCAACGTCAGCAGTGCGAATGCCTCAAGGGATCATGTGAAACAACCTTTTCCAGGGAAACCAATTTTTGTGGTGTCTGCAAGACATACTCCATGTGATATCCCAGACCCGCAACCTTGAGCACTGAACGCAAGACACGCCTATTAGTCTGGTATACGCGACAGGGCTGGCTTGGTACGTACAAACAATATATAAGGCCGATTGCCCAAGACTCGCCACCTACATGCAAGAAAAGAATCAGCACAGTCGAATACATCCAGACGGCGGGAGATCCGTACCAGGGCTGGCACGATTAGATAGTCATCCAGAGCGCATGCCACTCTCTGCATGTATCGTGTGTAGAATCGAGCGGCCACAATCACGATCTGGACAACAGCAATGGCGATGGCCACGCCCATGAGCGAGTCACCGCAGTAGGAATCATCGACAGTCTGACCGTTCATCTTCCCCGGAGAGCGAGGGACCCGATGCGTAGAGGTCCGGGGAACAGGAAACCAACATCTTTATGAATTTTTTTGATTCTCTCCGGCTGTTTGCCATGGGCATTACATAATTTCACGCTCAAAAGGTTAGAATTGGGACCATGGCTCACGATGGAATGGATGGAGATCCGATCTTTGGTTCGCAGCGAGAGGGCCTTCTAATCTCCGCCTCTCTCCACATGTTTGATTGTCCTTCAGCCAACCACGGTCCATGTTCTTGAACGCTCAATTTTGCAATTTTTGTAGCAGTGAAAGCTTCGGACAGCCCGGATTCCGGACTAGAAGCCTTGAGTGTGCGTAAGCCGCAGGTAAAGGGCTAAAGGTGGTTGAGTGCTCCACCACGGAGTATGCGCCTGTCCTGGCTGTCGAGTGCCTGTCAGTGTTGGAGTCCGATTAATCCCTAGGTTCCACTTTAAATAATAGTTCATTTGGATTCGGTTTGCATTGGGCTGAAGCCAGTCCAAGCGATCCTCGACATTGTCCTTCTCTGCCTCTCTGCTTCTCTGCCTCTCTCTTCACTATTTTCTTGCCTCTTGTTGGCAAATTCCCAGTACCGTACACTCTCAATTTGTTTTCAAAGATGAGTGAAGACAAAATTGGCGCTAGCGCTTCGTCCCTAGAGGCGCAAATCGAAGCTTTGACACAAACCGTACAATCTAACGAGGAAAGCATCGACGATACTACTCGTTCCAAAGCCATCAAGGCGGCCCGGGGGCTACTGGGTGCTTTGGTACCTCCGCCGGAAACGGTGATCCAAGATGTCGCTCTGGTACGTTGAGAAGACATGTGTTCTTGATTTCACATTCCGTTATAATTTTCTGACGATATTCAATTCCATAAGAATTGCGCATTACCAATGGCAATCCGCATGGGAGTTCAGCTGGGGGCATTCAAAATGATTGCTGCTAGCCATAGTCAAGGAACAACATCGCAGCAGATCGCGAGTGAGTCCGGTGCCAGCGTAATTCTTGTCGGTATGTCAAGGCCCCAATTCAATCTCTTTTGCATGCGAGATCGGTGTCTACCCCGGGTCCAAAAAATAAGTCGTGGAGATGGATTGACTTTACCATATCCTTGAGACGCCATGGTCCCACTCAGACCTTGTCGATCATCGAAGATCTTCTTTGCATCTTGAGCCTTCTCATGTCATGGAGCTTATTTTGTGCTGATCAATCCGGTTTGGCGAAGACCAGATTATGCGAGTTATCACCGCTGCTGGATACGCGCTTGAGAAAGATGTACAAACATACATGCCTTCTCCCCTTACAATGATCATGGCAGACTCCACTATCGAGGCAACAACCAGAGTCTGGTAGGTCCCCATCGATGTCTTTCGTAAAGTACTTCTTATCTGACTCCAAGGTTTTTTTAGTTTTGATGTCGGCCATTTCTGTACCACCAGTGCCCCGGGGTTTTTCCGTAGAAACAATAACCAATATCCTAGCTCTGCTGTGGATACGCCCTTCCAAGCGGGCTTGAACACCGAGCTCAGCTATTTCGATTGGCTTGGCCAGAATCCGGAAGTGGCCAAGGATTTCCAACAATGGATGACTTTGAAACAGCAGGCGACTCCTAATTGGGTTGACTGGTATGACCTGCAAGGCAGTATTGTGAAAGGCTTCCGAAGCGAGCCCGCAGATAATATCTTGCTGGTGGATATTGGCGGTGGTGAAGGCCATTATTTGCATGCGCTGAACGATAAATATCAAGATCTCCCAGGACGTCTGGTCCTGCAGGATCTGCCTCAGGTTATCTCGAGCATTCGGGATCCGCCTAAGCGAACCGAGCTGATGCCTCACGACTTCTTTACCGCGCAGCCCGTGAAAGGTACGTCATCTATTGACAGTCCCCTGTTTGTGCAGGTTTTCTGGCTCTGGATACCTTCGACCAAACTGACTTATCTTGTGGTACAGGTGCTCGAACATATTACATGCACTGGATCTTGCATGACTGGCCCGAGGAGCAGGCCCGTGCCATCCTGAGCAACATCGTCGATGCCATGGAGCCTGGCTATTCTCGCCTCATTATTAACGAGCAAATAATCCCTGATAGAGACTGCGATCTGCCAACGGCTTGCATAAGTGTAATGATGATGGTCCAGGTGGCCGCCTTCGAGCGGACGGAGAAGCAATGGCGTGAGCTCCTGACATCAGTGGGACTGAAGAAAATTTTCTTCCATCAAGCCCCTGGAGGAGGTGAGGGTATTATTGAGGCTATCAAATAGAGAGGGACAAAAGGAAAGAAGAGATGAAGAATCCTATGTAGTGATTAGCATAGAGGGCTGGCATTTGCTTGGTATGTACTTGCGAATCTTCGTGTGCAACGACACTGTCGTAATCTTTAGACCGGTATATGTGAAGATAATCTTGGCTGCTAGACAACAATAGATGCTGTGGAGCAAGGAGTATCTGAGCAAGAAAGAAAGAGAGGAATGATCAAGTCCCCGCCGTACGGCTCCGGCCTTCATATCACCTGACACTAATAAAGTCGGGCCTTCTCGCATGTACATATCCGGGATATAATATCTAAACTTGTCTGTAGGTCTTTCTTGCACTACATAAATGTATACATACATCAACCAAGGTGCCCAAGGGGTATATGATAAGCTAAACAGAGGCGCCACTCAAAGAAATGTTGATACATATTGGAGCAGAGTTGAATCGAGCAAGAAGCTCCTCCTGGAAATGTGATCCAACGATAAAGTTGCCGAAAAAGTGAATAAAAGGGCCAATTGCTGTGTTCGTTCCACGATAGCATCTCGGGCCAGTTCAGTTCATTCGATCATTCTGCTCCAACTTTCCAATCAACCGTTTCATCCCTGCCCATTCCTCGTTGGGCACGTCCTCAGGAGTGCCACTAAGGCCCTTTCCAACCTCGAATACCGTTACGACACCGTCAAGACCACCAGTAGCTATACGTTTGCCCTCACGCTCTTCCCATGCAACCTTGTTGAGGCTCTGTGTCAAAATGCCACCGCGGCCCGGGGTGGGTGTCGTTTTCGCCACTGGCACCTCGCTGTCCGTGTAGAGATCCCAGACCTCGAGGTTTCCAGCACCGTCGACGAGAGAGAATACACCCGGGCGGTGAGGGGACCACCGCGCGTCGTACACGACATCTTCCCGGTTGATATCAAGGATTGGGGTGACAACCTGCGCTGTAGCCGAAGTTGCGGGCGCAGTTGTTGCTGGCGCGCGGATACGCCATAGTTTCACACTCCAGTCTAAGCTCGAACTCAACATCAGATCACCTAGATCGACGGGCCCCCGGGCCGGATGGAAAGCGGTTGACATTATGGGGGCCGCATGGCCGCGGTAGGCAAGACGGTGATCTGTACCCGCCTTCGCGCCTGCTCGATCATACCGGTGGCATGGATATATGCCTCCTTCTTCGGTGCCGACAATGAAGAACGTGGGGTCTGATTGCGGGAATGACATGGTAGTGGGTGCGAGATCTTCAGTTTTCGAGGGTGGAGGTGTGGACAGCTCGAGATATTCTTGAGGCTGGGAAAGCATGTCGACTGTCCAGCCGCAAACCACACCGTCTGTGGATGCTGTCAAGATATTGTGCGCGTTCTGTGTGCCGATGATAGAGATGCTGTAGACTGGATGGGTGTGTCCAGACCCAGTCAATGGCGTTTTTTGCACAGGCGCACCCCCACCAGCGCGAGACGAACGGGTATCCCAAAGCAAGACTTGTCCGGAGTAAGAGCCACCAACAATAAGATTGGGATGGAATGGGGAGAACTTGGCAGTCAGGATATCGGAGGTTGAATGAAAAACGTACTCCGGGCGAGACTGGAGATGTTGGTTCCAAACCTGCACCAGACCGTCTGGCTCATGCGGCGCAGAAGGGTTCTTGGTGTACGCAGCTAGAACAAGCTCTGGGAACTAAAAGCAGGGCATTAGACATCCACGGATAGATAGGTGGACTGGATCGTAGCTGTGGCTTACCTTTGGAGAGAAGCTCACGTCGCTGATCATACGCTTCTTACTCCATCGCTCGTCCCAGAACTGGCAAACCTCCTTGATAGTCTTCTTTTTCTTTCCGTGTTCATCGTCATCCTCCAGCTCGCCATCAATACCCCCAAGCTCGTAGTCTGCCAGTACGTCATATTCTTCATCCAGCGCGCGCTCGATCACCTTTGCGGATCGCTCAACAAAGTCTAAGAAATCGTCGGAAGAAGTGACAGCCTTGAGTTCGTCATCCTCAAGCGTACGCAACGGATACCGCAAATGCGAAGCTTCGGACGTAGCATTCTCTTGGGTTTGCTGCTGAGTGGCTTGGATCTCATCCTCGATCTCCTTGCGAAGCTTTTTGCGAATCTCCTCGTCCCGTTCGCGATCTTTCTTGCTCAAACGTTTGCCGGAACCCGCAGGGTCCTGATCCTCCCCTTCTGAATCAACCGACGAGGAATCTTGCTGATATTGCTTCAAATCATCTGTCTGCACGGCTTTGCTGTAGGTGACGATCTCCGGTTTGGGTTCAGGGGGCGGGGGTGCTTCAGGACCGGAGGGATAAGGCTCCGCTCCAACTGTCTGGACGGCAATTGATTGAGAAACGGGTCGCGTGGGGGGACTGAAAGCTTCGGTGTTATCGCCGCTGAGTTGACTGGCACTCAACACTGAATTGGGTCTGCTTCCTTTTCGCGAGGGGCCATCGGCGTGGCTCACGGAGGCCGACCCCGGACGGTCCACAAGACGAGAAATCAGGTCATCGAGCTCTGCTCTGCTATCAGACCGGCTGGGAACAGGCGAAACAATCTACAGGGGGTCACAAGTTAGCAACGGTGAACTTCGAGAAAAGGGCGATCGACCGGTTCTGTACCTCAGACGCATCCCCGGTGTTAGCGCGTGTTTGGGAGAACTCTTTCTGGCGCAACTCCCTTTGTCGCTTGAGTTCGGCGAGTTTGGCCCTTTTGGCCAGGATCTCCGCCTTTCGTTGCTGCATGGAAGCCATGGTGACGTGGAGTGCTCTGGAAGGGGATGGCAGAGTCCCATCTAAGAGCTAAGAGGAGTGTAGACTAGGTACGTATTCTTTATTTACCCCGTCGGCGCTAGTTCAACTTGCCCTTCCCTTCCCCGTCCCGCGCCGCAGACTCCGGGTCGGCGGATGACATAAGCACAGGAGAGCCGGCCGGAAAAACTCGCGACAGGAACTTCGTCTCGACAAGCTTCTGAAGCATCCCCGATTGCCAGCCATTGACATCTGATCCCCCTGCAAACGGTCGCTCGGAATCCGGCTCTTCTACCCCCTCAATTCTCTGTCCTTTTCGATTGCCGCTCCGGAGTCCAGGGTTTTCTCAAAATGGCTTCCACACAAGGTGTCAATGTGAGTGTCCGCATGGGGCTCCCTCCCCCCCGGTTTGATAATGGTCCCTTGATAGGTGACTGACATGCTGCCTACCCACCATGTAGGTTCTGCGCTATTCGGCTCTCGTAGCCGGTCTCGTCTACGGTGTCTACCACCAGTCCTCGATCACATCCACTGCTAAGCGTGCGGAGGCCGACCGTGAATACGCTCGCCAGGAGCGCCTGATCGAGCAGGCCAAGGCGGAGTGGAAGAAGAAGACGGCACCCCAGGACTCCAAGACCAGCGGAGGTATGTCACGGTTATCTTTTGATCGCATTTTGTTCAATGCCGGCTGCGTATCCGGACAAGGTGGCGTCATTCGCGATCCGACGCTAATTGGTACTTTCCTATAGTCATCACGGATCCCGAGGACAGCCGATTCGACCTGGAAGCCTTCCTGAAGTTGAAGGCCGGAGAGAACTAGAGTATACGATTGGATATGCAGCATGAGCAGAAAGATGGTTCGGCATTGTTTTAGGTACGAAGATCGTGCCTCCTAGGGTACAAGAAAGAAGGATGGTTCGGGGTCCCCCCGATTATGTATTATTGTTTGGTCTAATTTCCCAGAATCGTGTCCTTGCGAGCGAAAGGAATGATGTTTTTTCTTTTTATTCTTCTCTTTTTACTACGTTTAGAGATTCTTTCCGAGTCTTGTACATACCCTGGGCTGTCGTGCATCTGTACTCTACAGTTGGACCAGAAGAGCAAGTGATTCTGTTGTATGCTTCGGTGTCTTTGCTGAACACATTGTTCCGTGCACGCCCTTGAAACATAACACCCTTTGCCCCACTTGTAGCGTTGTAACTCAAAGTCATTGGGGGTCCTGCCGGGTGACTGGGGCTATTCTTCAGAGGTACCGAGTCTTTGGCTAGTATGTTGGCGCCGGTTCCTTAATTCACCATTAGATTATCGATTATCGTTGTCTGGATTTTGAACGAATATCATAGCGTCATAAATATTATCCGCTTTAACTCGCATGCTTGGCGATTAACGCCATGATTTGGCCCAGCCCATTTTGTAGGTCGTGGTCTGTTTCGGGGGCGGTAGGAAGAGGTTTGGGGTGTAGGAGCATAGTGCTTTCATCCCATGTCCATCCACGGGTTGTGAACTTCTGGATTATTGCCGGATCTCCCTTCTCCGCCGAGTCCGGGTCAAGGCCGAGGTAGCTAGCAGCCGCAGCCGGTCGAATCGCCTCGTAGGCCCCGCTGACCTCTTTGAGCGTTTTTTCTTGGAAGTGAGCTAGAACGAAGGTCAGATAGGCGTTACTTGCAAGTAGCAAGGCTTACTGACTCTCAAAGCTGTTTACCACGGGTTTTAGTGGCTCTGGCCACGGTAGCTGTCGGAGAATCCTGTAGACCTGCTCATAATCCCGCTGCCAGACGGCACGTAGTAGAACCAAGCAGTTCTGTAGGGAAGGATCGTTCTGGGATAGGTTCGGGGGCATTCGTTGCGTCATGGCGCGCGCTTCGTATCTATGCCCCAGAATAACGAGGGGATGTCAGTCATCCTGCCGCGATGTACGTATGTATCGAGAGGTGTATGGCATGACGGGTTGACAGAACGTACGTTTGATCCGTTAGAAGATGTGCAAAGAAGAATGTCGAGTAGAAGAAAGATAGGAGGTCTGAGTTATTCCCCTGCTTCGAGGAGGCGAGTAATAGAGCATCGCCTTCATACTGGGCGAGGGTCTCGTAGAGGTCGGAGGGGGAGCGAGCAGAGGTGAAGATGGTTGAGATGCGTTCGGTCGACAGGGGGGTATTCATGGTGTAAGACATTAGACGGATAGACTTGTCGGTCGAAACGAAAGCCAGAGGGGGAGTCGAAGATGAAGCCGCAGCTGTGATGCGGGGGAGAGTCGGAGGTTTCCCCAAAAACAGTACCGTCATAGTGGTAATTACGGTACCTGGCGCCAAGCCGAAAGAGACCACCTTGCGCAGCTCCTCCATCGACCTCATCGATCTCAGTTTCACCTCCCTCCTCGCAGGCTTAACGACTCGACGGGAGCCATCTACTACCGTCCTTCTCCCCAATTGAATCTTTTGTTCTTTTGGACCCCTGGCCATCATGGCCGAAGCGCCCGTCGATGTCCTCCTAAAGGGCAATTCCGGCAGGAACACCCGCGGTCTGCTGCGGATTATCATCCTGGCTACTATCGCCGCTGCCGCCGTGTCCAGTCGATTGTTCAGTGTTATCCGTATGTGCTCATGTGTCATCCGTTTATGATGGTTGTTCCCGGTGTTATCGAAACTCATGTCACTGGTGATCCATCAATTGACCTCAATGCTAACTCCTGCCCACTAGGATTCGAAAGTATCATCCACGAATGTATGTTTCATGTCAACCAATCGACCCGTCCCTGATATGTGTGCTGGACTCTCGCCTGAACATACCCGGAATACCATCATTGCGTCTCGATATTCCGCGTTAACTTATCTCAACCTTCGCAGTCGACCCTTGGTTCAACTTCCGAGCCACGAAATACCTGGTTCAACATGGCTTCCATAGCTTCTGGGATTGGTTCGATGACCGTACGTGGCCCTTGGGCGTACAAATTAATTCCCTGCTTGCACAACAAGCCGTCGCGGGCTGGCCTGGCTGCTGATCTAGGAATTCTTACTGATCGATGATATCTGCATAGGAACATGGCATCCTCTGGGACGTGTCACTGGTGGCACGCTATACCCCGGTCTCATGGTGACCAGTGGTGTCATTTACCACGTCCTGCGATTCCTGACCATTCCCGTCGACATTCGCAATATCTGTGTTCTGCTGGCTCCTGCCTTCTCCGGTCTTACGGCGTACGCAATGTATTTGCTGACTTGTGAGATGTCTACGTCTCCTTCTGCGGGACTTCTTGCCGCTGCCTTCATGGGTATTGTCCCCGGATACATCTCCCGATCGGTCGCAGGCAGCTACGATAACGAAGCCATTGCGATCTTCCTTCTTGTCTTTACCTTTTTCCTGTGGATCAAGGCTCTCAAGAATGGTTCGATCATGTGGGGCGCATTGGCTGCTCTCTTTTACGGCTACATGGTTTCGGCTTGGGGTGGATATGTCTTCATCACCAACCTGATCCCGTTGCATGTCTTTGTCCTTCTCTGCATGGGAAGATACAGCTCCCGGATATATATCAGTTACACCACGTGGTACGCCCTGGGTACTCTGGCCAGCATGCAAATTCCCTTTGTCGGATTCCTGCCTATTCGGAACAGTGACCACATGGCGGCTTTGGGTAAGTCGGTCCTCGATGAGTTATTGGGAGCCATGCTGATTTTGGGCCAGGTGTCTTTGGCTTGCTCCAGCTTGTGGCATTCGCCGACTTTGTCCGCGGCTTTATTCCTGGCAAGCAGTTCCAGCGACTCCTTACCGCCATGATCATCATCGTCTTTGGTCTTGCTTTTGCGGGGCTTGTCGTGCTCACCGTGTCTGGGGTCATCGCCCCATGGAGTGGTCGGTTCTATTCTTTGTGGGATACCGGCTATGCAAAGATTCACATCCCCATCATTGCGTCGGTGTCGGAGCACCAGCCTACCGCCTGGCCGGCATTCTTCTTTGATCTCAACTTCTTGATCTGGCTGTTCCCTGCCGGCGTCTACATGTGTTTCCGCGAACTCAGAGACGAGCATGTATTCGTCATTATCTACTCCGTGCTTGCCAGTTACTTCGCCGGTGTCATGGTCCGACTCATGTTGACCCTGACTCCCATCGTGTGTGTTGCCGCTGCGCTGGTGCTCTCCTCTATCCTGGACACTTACGTGTTTGCGCCCGCCGGACCCAACCCTCGGGCGAAGGCCAGTGAGGAAGCCTCTTCGGATGGTCTCCGCTCTGCAAGGACCCCAACCGTCGGAATCGCCTCGTATCTCTCCAAGGGTATTGTTACGTCCTCGGTCGTCGTCTATCTGCTTCTGTTTGTGGCCCACTGTACCTGGGTTACCTCTAACGCCTACTCCTCGCCCTCTGTCGTTCTGGCGAGCCGAATGCCCGATGGTAGCCAGTTTATCATCGATGATTACCGTGAGGCGTACTATTGGCTTCGCCAGAACACCCCCCAGGACGCCAAGATCATGTCCTGGTGGGATTACGGATACCAGATCGGTGGCATGGCTGACCGCCCGACTCTCGTGGACAACAACACATGGAACAATACCCACATTGCCACTGTCGGCAAGGCCATGAGCTCGCGCGAAGAGGTCAGCTATCCCATTCTCCGCCAGCACGACGTTGATTACGTCCTGGTGGTCTTTGGCGGACTGCTCGGCTACTCCGGCGACGACATCAACAAGTTCCTGTGGATGGTCCGTATCGCCGAGGGCATCTGGCCCGACGAGGTCAAGGAACGAGACTTCTTCACCGCGCGAGGTGAATACCGCGTGGACGACGAGGCAACCCCCACCATGCGCAACAGCTTGATGTAAGAATTCCCCGTTACTAACTGACAAATGATATCTGGTGCGCGTGCTCACGATAATTGTAGGTACAAAATGTCTTACCACAACTTCAACTCTCTGTTCCAGCACGGCCAGGCCGTGGACCGTGTCCGCGGCTCCCGTCTCCCCGCCGAAGGACCCCAACTGTCGACGCTCGAAGAAGCGTTCACTAGCGAGAACTGGATCATCCGTCTCTACAAGGTCAAGGATCTGGATAACCTGGGTCGTGATCATGGTAGCGCCATGGCTTTTGACCGGGGTCAGAAGCGCAAGCGGGCGACCAAGAAGAGAGGCCCTCGCGTCTTGCGAACTGAATGAAGAGCGGGATCTGTGATTCCCTTCCAGCTTGATGGGGCTTCCCGAAAATAAAGAAGCCCCTCCAGTTTATTCAGCACGCTGTATCTTATCCTACCATCAATTCCATGTTTCTTGTATTTGTGACCATCGATTTAGACGGTTGTGTAGCTTTTGGTCCCCACGCAATCTTGTGGGAATGCAACCCATTGAACAAATCCAAAGATAGCTACGTAGACATTTGCCAATGCTTCGCGCGATTAGAGCAGGGTGGTGGTATCTTCGCTTATTCAAAAGGAGTTAATATACAGACGATGCCCGGACAAACAACATAGGCGGAGACGAGTTCCATGAACAAGCAGCATGACGGCAACTCGCCGTATGCGCTCCCAACTGCGCACTTCCTTGAAGCAGTCGCGCTCCGGGAATAGCGTACCTGGTTTCCTGACTGCGATAACCTGGGAGTGGAGATTGCCAATAGCCCGCTCCATGCCACGCAGAAGCGCAAACCGAAAGATGAATTCAAGGTCCTCCATTATATTCCATATTCATGTGACACTGTAGTCGAGATAGCATTTTGACAAGATCTCCGTTGCAATTGTCTAGAGTGGATAACCGGGTGATGGCGGCATGTTTATTGCTTCTTGGCGGGGGGTTCGGGGACTTTCACGTCGGAGAACTCATCCTGACCGACGGCGCTAATCGTGTAGGCATCTTTCGGACCCTATCGTTAGCAGCGGTTCAACGATCTCCAGAGATCATGAAGGGTAGAAGGCCGGATTGGATTGTAAACGTACAGACTCCAATGGTGAAAGCGACGAGGGCAACTCCGGTGGCGGCGTTCTTGAAGAGATAAGGACGACGGGCCCGCAGAAGAGCGGCACCGGGGTTAGAGTCCCGGTTGTAGTAGGTAGAGTTGAAGCTGAAGAAGTCCAAATGACATGGTTAATTGATGCTGATCCGGCCATACATGCGGGATAGAAAGAGAGCACAAGAGGGGCATCAGAGGGTCGAGCAACTCAATCAGTCACTCATCAATTTGAACGTACATTCCACTAGCCATTGTGAAGTCGAGGTTAGTGATTCACCTTATTCGAGGGTGAGGAGGGAGCGAAGACGAGGACAAGGACGAGAACGAGGACGAAGGCGAAAGGCGAAAGGAATCCATCGGGCAAGATGGATACGGTACGATACGGACGGTACGGTAATCCGCCGGGACTCGGGCAAACTGCGGCTCCGGGGGGTCTCGTCTTCCGTCGTCCATCATCGCCCGTTCGTTCATTCATACTTTCATTCATTCATCCGTTCCATAAACACCGTAGTCTTGTCTCTTCATCCTTCTCTCTTTGTTGCTCGCTTATCTTCCGGGGCCTTTTCAGGTCCCCCATCTACCCCCCTTCTTCGTTCTCTCTCGTCTTTATTCCTTGTCGCTTCCTCGGACCTCTCTTGACCTGTGTATATGACCGGTGCTTTGTCGCACCCTCTTAGACGCCGGCCTCGTTTGCCTTGCTTGTGAACACTAAGTCCTTATCAGCCGTAGTCGACCTTTGGCCAGATACACTCCGCCCTCAGTTGACTCTTTGCGCCTCCCCAATCCTGCGATCTCCGATTCCATTCCACCTTTCCGCGTCGACGAACGGGGTCTTGCCATGGCCCAGGCCGAAAATCACCTGGTCGACCAGATTGCCCAGCTCAATGCCGCCCGCAATCTGGTCCTCGGGGATGCCGCCTTCTATCCTCAGATCGTGAACGGTATCCTTCCGATCATCGGTGCGCGTGCGCGGTTGGAGTTGCGACGATGGGGGGCCGAGTTCTTAGCGGAAACGTTCGCCAGTCCGGCGCTGGCTACGGATCAGAAGGAACTGTTGGCCGCAGATGTGCTACAATCGTTGCGGGAAACATTGCTGCTGCCGGAAGAGGATCAATTGGCGTTGACACATATAGTGCAGACCGCTGCCAGCTTGTATCCGCTGGTGTTTAGGCATATGTAGGTCAAACCAGTGCTTGTGCTTCTGTTCGCTCCGGGGAGCTTTCGTAGATGTCTACCGTCAGACGCAGGCGATGGCTTCTGGGCGATGTACCCGTTGGAATGGGCCCTGCAGCTGCTAACGCATGATCTATCACAGCATTAATCATCCAGAGGACCGAGAAGCCTGGGAGAACATGACCGCGATCAAGCAGGACATCCTGCGCAGATGGGACACATTCCCTTACCCGGTGAAACTTTGCTGCATAAAGTTCGTGCAGCGCGTTGTTCAAGTGCAGACCCACGGCTCAATATCGGACCCAAGGGTACGTACAAAGGATGCTCTGGACCCGTGTAGAAAAGATATTGACATAGACGCTCCCTAGCGACCGGACCAAAACGAAACATCCCTAGCCATCGTTCCTAGGAATCATGCGATCCTGTCTCTGCCCAATCTGGAGGCCGAGGCCTCTGGTTTGCTGGACCGTCTTTTGGCCGTGTTTCAGGAGGAGTCGAGGTAACACTGGCGCTTCTGTTGGATAGAATGGGAATGCGGTGCTAACAGTTTTTGTCTAGTGACCCCCTCCTGGTGAATGCGACCCTGAATAGTCTTTCGGTTCTCGTTCGAACGCGACAGTCCGTGGGCAACAAGATCATCAACGCCGTCCTCAATTTCTTCCCCTCGAAGCAAGTCCGCTCTCCGATAACTCCCACGGTCCGGGTCGGCGTGAAGTCGATGGAACGAACCGCCAGAGCATTGATGATTAATATATTAAAAAGGTGAGGGAGAATGACGGTTCCGAGGTGGCCATGCGATGTTAATCTCCTTTACAGAAACCCCAGTCACCCGCTTGCGGGGAAGATGCAGCACTACATGGATCGATTGATGCAGTCGCGTCTTGAGCCTGTAGACGATACTTCACGAAAGCGCACGTCACCGTCTGAGCCCACGGATGGCCTAGACAATGCCAAACGTGCGAGACTCGATGCTGAAACACCACCCTTGTTGAAGATACCCCCTATGCCCCCCGGCCCAAACAGTTATGCGCAACTCTTTACCCTCACCGAAGATGCCGGGCTATCATCTTTTGATGTCACGCAGCTGCCCGCCGATCTGCTCGTCAAGATTGTCATTCCCCTACTTGGTCGTGTCGACCAATCGTTGTTGAACCAAGCTGTCGATGTAGGTTAAACTTGCAGTAGACGCCGCAGCCTCTTTCATTCTAACGTACTCGCAGGCCGTACGGACGCGATATCAGACGCTTCAGAAACAGCAATCAACGCAGCCTGCTGCGGAAGAAGACGACGACTACGAGCCCGAGTATCAACCGATGGATGTGCCCGAAACGGCACCTGCGCAGCCCGACGCCTCAGCGCCAGAAGCAGACTATGAGCCCGACCTCGTTTCCCTGGGCCCATTTGTCTTGCCCCAACCTCCCCCGTTAAGTGAAGACGAAGCGGCTGAGGTGGGACGCAGTGCGGTAGGGAGGGTCTTTGGTATGCTGGCCTCTAGCGATACAGCACTGAACACCACGAAAGGGAAGACCCAGCAGCAATTAGGGTTTGCAAGACTAGCGGGTAGTACCTTTGACCGAGACGCCTGGGTCACATTGCTCACGCGACTCGCGACAAGGTCGCCTGCTGGTCTGGAGGTGCAAGGCAAGAAGGAGGATGCCTCGAAAAAGAAGCCTACGATATCGGATTCCATTCGGGAAACGTTATACCGGTACATCCTGGAGGATTTCAGGGCCCGGGTCAACGTCGGTATCATGTGGGTGAACGAGGAATGGTACAATGATCGTGTTCAGATGAAGTTCGCCGCCTCTCAGCGGACCGAAGACGACGAGACGTCGGTTCCATTGCACTACGACCACTGGGTTCTACGACTCCTGGATGGTATCCTGCCTTATCTAGATTCGCGAGATACCAAGATCTTCATTCGCTTTCTGAGCGAGATCCCCGAAGTGACCATCCCCATCACACAACGCGTGGCCAGCCTGGCCAAGGATCCCGAGAGAGTCAATCTCTGCGTCCATTCCCTGCAGTTCGTCCCCTCCCTGGCCCTTCTCTGTGTCCACTTGTGTCGGTGACCCACTAACTTTCGAATCAGATACCTAATTCTCTTCCGACCCCCCGCCCGAGAAATGTGCCTTTCGACCCTAGAAGAAGTCTACCAAACCTGTACGTCTCCTAATTCCTGCCTTTGTTTGGAACCATGCATAACTAATCCCCCCAACTCAGACGAGGAATCTCGACCAGCAGCCGGCAAAGTCCTAGCCAAATGGCGTCCGCAGAAGACCGACCAACAACCAGGTCAACAATCCACCCTCACGAGCCGTCCAGTCCCACCGGAAACCAGCAACAGCACAGAGAACACCGCGCAGCAATAATCCAACTCTGCCCTTTCTCAACCCTGCTCCTCCTTTTCCCTGCCGTAACACGCAGCCGCGAATGATGATACCTTTCCAGTGGATGTTTTAAATTCTAATCTAACCTATCTGTCGTTCTCGTATCACGATGAACCAATTGAATCATGTACTTTATCTTCAACAGACTTGGTTGATGAATGATACCAACTTACCTATCCATCATCAATATTCTCATTTTCGTTATCCTGGATTGCTGGCTTGCTCGCTCATTGATTTGCAAGGGATTGATTACCTGAAGGGAAGGAACTACAGGCCTGGAGTTATGTGAACGTGAATGCTTGTATGTATGTGTATTTGGAATAGGACCGGTTCTCCTATTATCATAGCATGATTTCCAGAGGATTCGAAATATCAAGGGACTGATTGATATACGAAGCAAGTTGTAAACAAGCAAAGCCTCCTTTGACTTCGGTAGTGTATGAAATGAACCCCCAAATTCTATTCTAAGCCCTCCTATGCAAACCCATCGAAGAAGAGACAAAGAAAACGGATTAGACAGGATAGAGACATCATGTCAGGTAAATATGTATCATGGTTCGAGAGACAAAAAACAAAAACAAATAAAAGATAAACACCATAGTTGATGGGTAGTTAGTTGTTGAATCAAAAAGAAAACAAAAGAAGAAAGTAGCTCCAATGCATCCCGTTCGCCCATATTCACACATATCTCAAAAGACACACAAAAAGACTAGCTTTATTCATCTCTGTTTCCAGTCATACATGCCAAGCCGTACATACATTAGAAAAAGAAAAGCGCCAAAGGCTTCTACAACACCTGATTGGACCCAATACAGGGAGAAAATGAAGATAACCCATCCCTAAGATAAAAAGGAGCAAAGAAGAAGTGGTAAAGGACGTTCTGTATAGGGGTATTGTTATCGGGCTGCCATCGAATTCGAGCCTGACCCGCCTAGTATTCCTGCTGATTGATGCATGGAATTGACCGGTTTTGATGACAAAGGAGGCGACGAGTTCGGACCCGCTGAATGGAAGAGACCAAGTCGTGCCGGGGGTGGTGAATATGCATTTCGCGAAGCACCTTGAGGCGACCGATGATCGATCGTGCCACTGTATGCAGACGGGTGCGGTTTTCGTACGTCAAGCGGCGAGGAGCTGAGCGATCGGAATCCAGTCCGTCGGTCCGGATCATACTCGGGATTCCCAAATGGCCCGAGTTTTTGGTGCGGCGGTTCCTGCTCTGTGCCGTAGGGGGTATTGTTCGTTGAGGAATTGGCAGCCGACAAGTTCTCTGCAATTGTGGATGCCGATCCATTGGGCGCATTGATGTCCACGACCCGCTTCTGGGCAGCTGGGGTTGTGTACGCTGGGGCCCTGGAGTCCTCGAAAACTCGACTCTGTGGCCGTTGGGGTATTTGCTGGTGCTGGTGCTGGTGCTGTTGATGATGGTGGTGGTGGTGGTGATGAATTGGGTGCTGCGGGTTCGCCCAAGGAGTCTGTTCCAAGAACGCTTCCTCGGCGGTGCGAAATGCATTCGAGGACATGGCCGATATCGTCCCGCGTGGAGGGGCACTTGTCTGAGGGTGGGTGATAGGAATCCTCGTTTCAATAGAAATCTGCGCACATGGTCAGACCCAGTTCGCCAGTCCTAGGGCCGGGGGATAATAAACTTACGCCCATCTTTTCCAAGTCATCATCGAGCTCAGTGGGTCGCGCGGCTGGTAACGAAGGCGCCGCCGGAAAGCCGACGTATTTTGCGACACCGGCCATGACTGAGACCTCTTGGTTGTATGCAGTCTGCTGCGCGATTTGCTGCGAGCGTCGAGTGGGGAAGGGAATGTAATGCTGAGGGCTGACCTCGTCGGTCTTGAATCGATCATGTTGAATGGAGTAGAACTGCTTGCTGATGGAGCTTGAGTGTCTTTCGCGGATATCGCGAGCTCTTTGGAAGTAACTGCTGTGCGATTGGGCCCGCTCTGCTAAGCTCTTATTTAAGAGAGCCTTTATTCGGTACTGGAACAGTGTGTGTTCGTATTTGATTTTAGCATCCCTATATCGCTGAACACACTCAAGCTGTCGCAAGAATTCCGGATGTGTTGGGTTGGGCCCGCTAAGCATCTCCAATTCGCGATTTAGTTTGGAGATCCTTTCGTCATAGATCCTAAAAGAATTGTTAGTGATCCGAGATTCATTCGACAAAACCAAGATCCTATTACTTACTTGTCGCGTAGCGTTGCAAATTCACGTTCCAGAACCGCCAGCGATTCCATAGCAGACATTTTCTTCGCCGCTGTGTAACAACGTCAGCAGACGTGCTTGAGGTAAGGGACAAGCGCCACGACTTACATTCTTCTTCGAGCTTGGCGGCTGCCTCGCCATCGTCTGCTTCTTCACCACGCTCCACATCATCATCTCCAAGGTTGTCATCGCCGCCACCTTCCGCGCCGGTTTCAGCGGCACCGTCAACATCTTCATCAGCATCCCTGGTCTTCCGTGTTTTTCGTTTGCCTTTCTTAGCCTTTTTGCCTTTGGCGGGAGGTGCGGGCAAGTCTGATTCCGGTACGTCATCAGCGGGTGTATCATCCTCGTGAGGTTTCGTAGCTTCTTCCACGGGTTCGGGGGACAAGACAATGTCCTCCGCCGGTGGATCGCTTAACTCGCTCTTCACAGAGCCGCGACGCTTCTGAGGGGGTTCATCTTCTTCGTCAATCTCAGCGCTCACGTCGTCCCCGGATTCGAGCCGTTTCCGTTTCTTATTAAAGCTTTCCGAAAGAGCGGATTCTTCCACGCTTGGGATTTCGTCGGCGGTGTCGGTGACCCGATTGTTTTTCGAGCGAGGCTTGCTGGGAGAATCATCGGCCACCTGGTCGTCATCGTCTTCGACGTCATCGTACGTGGTCGATTGAGCCAATTTGCTGGGACTGGGCCCGTAATTGCTTGCGCTGGCGCTCACAACAATGTTTGTTCTGGAGCGAAGATTGTTGGGAGAATCCTCAATCCGCTCGGTTTCCGCCTCAGAGTCGTTGTCCGGGGCTACTTTCTCGGGCTTGGGAGACTCATAATCTGACGGAATGTTCTCGGAGAGGTCATCAATTTCACTGAGACTACTCGATCTTCCGTCATCATCAATGAGCGAATCATCGAGGTAAGGATTGTGGTCGCCATTGGTAGCGGCAGAGTCGGCCCCAGTTGGCGGACCAACGGAAGTGGCTTCTCTGCTCTCGGCCACCTCCATGAGGATTGAAGAGTGGTGCGCAGGAAATTGGGAGGGTTATAAGGAAAAAAGGTAGAGGAGGAAGGGAGAGTATGAAGGAATAGGCGGGGGGTTGATCGACTTGGGAGGGAAAATCAACGGTTAAGGTGAGAGGGTATGATCGGATCAAAACCTAAGTTAATCAAAGAGCGAGTTAATGACGATCTACCAAACATGAACAAAGGCATTCGAAAGGGGTTGGGGCGGAATGGGGTGAGTGAAGGAGAGCCATATGGGAAAGTTCGAATGGGAGAAAAAAAAAATCAACATTCAATGCAGGGGAAAAAACGACGACCGGCGTTGAGCATGGCGAGGCGCGAGAAGCAGCAGAAGGCGGTGCGGAGATTTGATCACACCCCAGACTCAATCAATCGTTCACGGGTTATCGCTCCCGGCTTGGGCGCTGCGAACTGCGCCGGCCCAACTCTCGCTCGCTCGCCGATGTCTTCATGACTCAGGTGGCACGGGATAATCGCGTATAGATCGGATGGATCCATACTCTATCTTGAAGACCGGAAAAGACGTACCATTCAACAATGCGCCAACCACAGAAAAACTAGCGATGAATACAGCGACCAGGACTGGTTGTGGTAGCCACCGCGGTCGCAGAGACGACGCTCAAAATCGATCGGGAGCGTATAATTAGGCCAGACAGCCCTCGTAGTATCACAGTATCAGCTGACCTCCTCTGGTATAACTATACCGACAAGCCCTATCGTGGGAGGATCGAGGGAGGAGCGACGAGGGAGGTGGAGGAGGTGGACTTCACGAAGCGGGTAATACGACGAAAGCACTGCGGGAGACGGGCGGCATGGGCGTGAAAGGTGTTGACGTCAGGAGGGATAGGAAATTAACAAGCGACGTTGAGCAGGTCGTGCTCAGAGGGAGTCTCGACGATGAGAAAGACGAGGAACAAGCATGCGGGCTTCAGCGCAGCCAGTTGCAGAGGGGAAGGAGAGGGAGGAAGAGCCAAAGCCGAGAGCGAGCGAGCGAGCGAGCGAGAGAGGAAGAGAGAGACTGCCCGAGCGTCACGCGGTATTCCGCCCGTATCAGTTCTGCCGGCTTTATTCCCACCGCCTGGGCACCTGGGGACTCGGTCCTGCTGCTCGGTTCGCGCTCTCCTCAGCCTTTAGGGGGCACATTCACGTCGCGATAATTAAAAAATATGAATATCACAATCCATAGTCCATGCGACTGTAAATCCCTGTGGATTTGAGCTCTTTTGGCGGAGACACAATGTGAGGGCCTCGTGACATGTCAAATGGCATCCGTCGCATTTTCCACGTGACCGCCCTCAGCTCCCGTCGCCAAGATCCAAAAAAAGAAAAAAACGAAAAAAAAAGTACAACCAGGACGAAGAGAAAAGGTAACGTCTCCCCCCTTCGCATTCCCTCTTTGATTGTCTTTTTCCTGGATAGCAAGTCCTGACGGCATAGAAAGCTTCTTCCATATCATCATACACAATGGGCAAGAAATCCAAGTCCCAGTCGGAGAAAACTCCGCAAACCAGCAAGCCGGAGGCCTCTTTTCCTCTCCTGGGCGGAAATGCCTCCGTTGATCCCACTTTGGCCTCGCTGTTCGAAAAGAGTGTACGTTCAAGTCTGCTCCTTATCTGTCGCTCTCATTGACTAATCTTGCGATTGCTTTAGGCGGGTCCAGTGAAAGTCCCCGAGGTTGTTGCAACCCAGGCTGTCGACGATGAAAGCGCAGAAAACGAGGAAGCGTCGGGCTTGGAGCCAGACTCGGCCGACGACGACAAAATCATGCAGGAAGCCTCCGAGCCCGCCGATGAAGCCGCGAAGGAAGCATCCGAAGCTCCCAACCGGAAGCGCAAGAGGACAAACGGAGAAGATCTCGAAGAGACATACATGCGTCGCTTAGTGAAGGAAGAAGAAAAGGAAGAGAAAAAGCGTCGCTCGGAGAAGGCCAAGCGACAGAAGGTTGATGAAGAGGCAGAGGAAGAAAACGACGAGGATGAATCGTCTTCGGAGCAATCCGAAGAAGAAGCAGAGAGCTCCGACGAGGACGGGGCCAAAATTGCACTTCCCAAGCATGAAAGCCAAACCGGGGATGCTGGCTCTCAGGAGATCGAGAAGTCCAATCGGACGGTCTTTTTAGGCAATGTCTCGAACCAGGCCATCAAGTCTAAGTCCGCCAAGAAGACCCTTTTGAAACAGGTCGGATCATTCCTCTCGTCGCTTCCTGAATCTACGGGTCCCCATAAGGTCGAATCGATCCGATTCCGCTCCACGGCCTTTGCGAGTGGCGGACATATCCCCAAGCGGGCCTCATACACCAGACAGGAACTCTTGGATGACACCACGCCCAGCACCAACGCCTACGTTGTCTACAGCACCCTACAGGCTGCGCGCAAGGCACCCGCAGCCCTGAACGGCACCGTGGTTCTCGACCGACATCTGCGTGTCGACAGCGTTGCCCATCCCTCGCAGACCGATCATAAACGGTGCGTGTTCGTCGGTAACCTCGATTTCGTCGACCACGAAAACAACCCCGATGACGAGGAGAAAAAGAAGAAGAGAAAGGCACCGGCAGATGTCGAGGAGGGCCTGTGGCGGACGTTCAACGCCCATACGACCGGTTCCAAGGAGAAGGATGCCAGAGGCAACGTCGAGTCCGTTCGGGTGATTCGTGACCGTGCCACCCGCGTGGGCAAAGGCTTCGCCTATGTCCAATTTTACGACGGGAACTGCGTGGAGGAGGCTCTTCTCCTAGATGGAAAGCAATTCCCGCCCATGCTCCCTCGGAAACTCCGAGTATCGCGAGCCAAGAAGATGGGGAAGAAACGCGACGACAACAGCGCCCAATCCGGTAAGCTTCGGGATTCCGATAAGACGCTTCAGGGCCGTGCTGGCCGGCTGTTCGGCAAGGCCGGCGCCGCCAAGGTGAAGGAAAATGCAACGAAATCGATTTCGCAGAACTCGTTAGTGTTCGAAGGTCACCGCGCGACTGACGACGGCTCGTCGCGCATTCGGGTCAAGACCAAGAGCCGTGGCTCTAAAGGCAAGCCGAAGAACCGCAGCAGCCAGCGGGCAGCGGCCTACAAAGCGGCCGGAGGGAGAAAGGGCAAAATCGAGGGCAAGCGGGATTAATGTAGCTAATTTTGTTTTCTGTATGTATTTTTCAGTCAAAAGTATTGAGCGCCTAGGACACCAACAAGACCTACAGACTAGAAGATTCAGCGCGTAAATGATCAATCGTATCTGCTCTCCTAAAGTGACGCCTTGGTACTTTCGAAGGACGATCTAGAGAATGACGTCATTAGTGTAACGCGCAGAGGGGCCAAACAATGAATGGAAATGGTGACATTGAACGTAACCATTATCGCCTCCTTACCCAGGGCATATCATCTAGACCAACTGGCCGTTTCGTGATCTCTCCACACTTCTAAGCCGATAGGCAACCATCTCAGCAAGCGTTCTTCAGCCACCATTGATTCCCACCCGCGTGGCGGGCGGAAACCTTCAAATAGCCTCGATCTCTCAACCCCACTCATCCTTACATTCTATGACTCTACACTGTACACAGTTACCCACACCTTATTCTTCGTATCCAGTGAATCTGTCAAACAAATAGCAGGTCCACGAGGTCGTGATTCTCGAGTCAGCACATTCATCGCGCCGGCAGGGTCTTGGTAACGCTTCATAACACAAACGTGGCCCAAAGCTCTGGTGGCATAGTTTGAACGTCGTCCATCGCAAGTAGATGATGCTCCCTGTAGTATCATCGGCTATGAATCGGTTTCGCGCCCCCAGGAGGACACCTCCCGAAGATCCTCCGTCCGATGCTGAGCCACATACCACCGAGCCGGAGACTGAAGAGCCGTATTATCCCGACCTCTACGATGTACTCAAAACTCGACATATCCTGCGATGGAAGATTGTTCCCGAAGGATTGCCTCTGGAGATCGTGGATCTGATTGTGGATGCGGCTGAGTATTGGGCTTCGGTGGAATCAAAGATGCAAGGGCAGCGTATCATCCGGCAAGACGGGGATCAGGTACTTGTGCGAACGAGTCCGTTATGCTATAATGAGAAGGTAGGCGAACCTCCCGCTAGACCCAGGCCAACTTCGCTCTCCCCCGCCGTTTCACAGAGTGTACAGTCGAGTGGAGTCTATCTTCCTTTCCGCGTATGCTATATCTAACATCGGTTCAGACGCTGGGTAGCCCGTCACCAAAACTGCTGCCGCATCGAACGATCCACCCATGTCGGAAGATTGTCTTTTCCATCGCCTCTCACGATCAGGGCTGGGGTGGTCGTCGTCGACAAGATCGCAGTCCGTTCGAGGGGTCCAATACCTGGTTTGACTTTGAAGTGGTTCACTCTGCGCACCAGGGCACCCCGGCAGAAACCTCGACGCTTCCAGAAGTAGGGGAGAATGGGATTCGACTGAGGGCCGGTCATCCTCTCCTCAACCCCAGTAGACAGAAGCTACAATCGAATCGGACATACGACAGGCAAACCCATCACTATACCATCACCTGGCACCATCTCGACCGTGTCCCAGCAGATTCGGAGGAGGCCGAGGAGATCGAGCGTGCTCAGGGTCGGGGCCGAGCCACGCTGGATGGCAACCAGATCCGCACTCTGGGACTAGGCGATGCGATTTCCATCTGGGGACGCGCTCGATATGGGGGATGGTCGAACCATGTGGAAGAAGTGGCGGTGCGAGTGTTCTGGGCGGTATGAAGGGCGGGATGTCAGTACGTAGTACAGACACCTAAGACAGAGAACAGTGGAAGCCAGACAGAGGTAGACAGCAGAGCATAAAGAAGACATGCAGTATGACAAGGACCTCCACAGGAGTAAAGATTAGGGCAGCGACAGGATTACCGCATCGGGAAGGGCCGTAGCGGCCTGGAGGTTCAGGCGCTCGAAATCACGCAATTTCGCCAAGACCGCCCGATCGCCGAATATAAGGATTAAGAGGCCCGTCGTCTTCGATGCCATCAGCTTCTCTGCTTTTTGCTCACGAACAAAGACAATACTATGTGATCCTCGACGGCTGACGGAGCACATCCGTCGTTTGATCCAGCATCTACTCTATCCGTCCCCATCCCCTTCATCCCCTCAGCATGTTGGTGTTCGTTCCTCGTCATGCCCCCAAGAGCGGCCAGAAGCAGCCCAAATGATCCCCGACGGAAAGCGCACGAGGGATTTTCCCAGGCCTCTGCGAGTGGGGCAGCATGCGTCGGTTGCGCAACAGTCGGTCTAGCAACGATGGACGAGACCTGGATGGCTATCGCCTGACCTGGAAGAAAGGGCGGTTTATCCTGCGCTCTCGCCCTTTCTCTCGCCCGAGTGCGCGCACGGCTTGCCCGACTTGCCCGCACGACTTGCCCGCACGACGGTCATTCGCTCCGTTCCATCCGCCTGGTCGACTTCTCGTTCTGCCCCTCCCGTCCAGGCGAGCACAATGACGCTCATTAGCCTGTTTCGCCGAGAATTACGCCGTGCTTTTGCTGCAACGCCCCTGTGTGCATCTCTTGGCTACCATTCAAATCCCCAGCGATGTCCGCCCCCGTCAGCGGTGTTTTCACCGCTTCAGCTCGGCGCTCTACATTCTTGTGGCCATCATCATCTCTCGCCGTTTCGTTTCTCCATCATCCAGCCCGTTCTACGCGCCAGATCGCATCGAAAACCATGAATTCACCTCAGAATTGTGCGGCGGTTGTTGTGGGAGCCGGCCCCGCTGGCTTGGCTGTCATGGGAAATCTGCTGGAGAAGCAAATTGGGAAAATTGCCTGGATTGACCCGATCTTTCAAGGGGGGCGAGTCAACCGCAAATATCGAGAAGTTCCTAGGTGTGTTTCCTCGGTCCTGTGACATCGCAGGGCGTCAGAAGAGGAGCGCTTTCGGCTAACATGCGGTGGAACAATTTAGCAACACCAAAGTGTCACTCTTTCAAGCGTATGCCACCGCCGTTCAACCCTTCCGTTCCGTCATCAACAACACCCGCGTTCCCAATCCATTCTCAACGATGGCCAAACTCGACCAGGACAAAACCTGTCATCTGCACCACGCTGCGGATATGGTCAAAGGCCTGTCGGATGGCATTGCCAAGATGGACGAGGTGTTGGCGTGTCGAGGGGTTGTCACTGCCGCCAATTTGGCTGAAAATGTCAGTTCTAACGTACCGAATCTGGGGATTCGGTGACTATCTGTAATCGCCGTGGCTAACCGTTGCACTGTTTGTCTCTTTAGACGTCTTTGTGGACGGTACGAATTATGCGTCGGGACTCTCTCGACGAATTCGAGGTGGTGACCCCAAGACTCGTTCTATGCACAGGATCGTCGCCGTCGCAAGTCCCGATCCCCATTTCTGGACTCGATATCCAAAGACTGGACCTAGATGTAGTTCTGAAGCCCAGTGACCTTGTCACGCAGCTGCCCCACAATCTACCCCAGACCGTCGCGGTGGTCGGGGCTTCTCATAGTGCCATCCTGGCTCTCCTCAACCTGGTAGAATTGGCTCGCACCTCCCACCCCCAGCTACGAGTGAAGTGGTTCACGCGGCATCCTCTTCGGTATGCCGAGTACATGGATGGCTGGATCCTCCGAGACAACACGGGTCTCAAGGGTCTAGCGGCGGACTTTGCTCGCCAGCAATTGGAGGACGAGCGGCTACCCCAGTCGGAGGCGGGTCAGTTCATCACGAAGGTGGACTGCGGGGGAGGCCAAGAAATGGCGCAATACCAGCAGCATCTGCCATCGTGCTCGCACCTCGTCCAGGCCGTCGGGTTCACGCGGGATCCGCTGCCCGAGTTGTCCGTCGACGGAGAGTCTTTGGAGTTGGAGTTTGATTCGGAATCGGGCGGCTTCCAGGACCAGAAGGGACGACAGGTGCCCGGCCTCCACGGCGCGGGTATCGCCTTCCCTGAACGGGTGGTCGACCCATACGGCAATGTTGAGCATGCCGTCGGGTTCTGGAAATTTATGAAGTATCTCAAGCGGGTGAGTCCCCAGTGGACAGCCTCGCAATGAGGTGGTACATGTGGTTAGATGAGATGTTCCTTCCGATGTCTATATAGCATATAATCGTTTTACTTATTTGAAGTTCATTGCCATTGAACATCTATATCCGTAGCACCTTAACCTGTAGGTAATAGGTCTCCAGCTGTCAGTCGCAACGCCCCTCCCCCACCCCCACCTCCTTGCGGGCCAACATCCTCGAATGCTGAGCTGTCGCGTCAGGTCACTCGGGATTTGCCGTCGTGCAACCTGTCTGGCGTCTGCATGCATAATCCATCAGGACTCGGTGAACGGTCAGTTGGATATCGAACTCGCCCCCCCTTTTTGAAGATGACCTCCCCCTCTCCAGGTCGCTAAGCGACTACTACCTCACTAAGCAGACTAAGACGGACGTGAAAGGTTCGACGTCCGAGCCTAGTCCGCATGTGATGGATACAAAGGGAGAGAGAGAGAGAGAGAGATGGGCCCGAGCCCAGGGAAATAGACAGAACTTTACGAAGTAGACAAAGCATATTTTCCGCGGGCATTTTACTTTTTTACCTACCCCTTTTCATATGACACCGTAGATACTACCTTAGATAGTAGGTACAGTAGATAGTGATACCCCAAGAACGGAAGGTGATAAGGGCAAAAAGTCATGACTGCATCAAGTTCAACCAAGGCAGTTGTGCCGATCATCAGCCATCACCCAATGCCCCAGTTCTTGGGAGTTTATCATAATCTTACGGGGTAAGTTAGTTGTTAGTCTCTTAGTCTCTTGGTTCTTACTTCTGCGGTGTTTTTTTCTTCCTCTCCTCTACCCCCTTTAATATGTACGAGGTTACTTACTACCTACCACCTACATCGTATTCTGTACTACCTACACAGTAGAGACAAAGAAAAAAAAAGAAAAAAGGAAAAAAAGAAAAAAAAGAAAAGAATGGTAAGGTAGGCTCGTGCTCACCTACTGGATTCTCTCGAGCAGTGGTCATGAAATGATGGAAAATCCGTTATCATAATGATCCCCCTTTTTTTCCCTCTTCTTCCCCTCAGGATCATCGCAACGCTCTCCCAAGCGCACCAATTGAAATGCCCTTCCTTACCTTAGGTACCTTGACCTGTCTTGGGTACCTAAGGTATACAAGTACATACGATGTATTTTATTTATTATTTTATTATTTCTCCAATCGAATCGACTTAATTGATTCGATTTAATTTAATTTAATCTCCCTTCCCTTTCATTCCAGTGATTCCACCCGTGCACATGAATGGAGAACGTCAAATTACCCAGGATCCTCGCCCTTACTTTACCCCCGACCGGCAAGAGTCCAAGAATTGGGGCCAGAACCTCAGGCTCTTTGGTCTGTTTCTTCTGCGCCGTTTAATTTCCCGTCGGCCGGCTTGGGGGTGGATCGGGGCTAACGGCGCCCCTCGGATGCTCCAAAGGGGATCCACGTAAATAAACCGCTCTGGAAGTTATGGGGCACTTGAAAAGTGAAAAGGAAAAGTGAAGAGAAAACTAGAAAGTATCTCCACTCTCCATCATAACCTGTTACCGAGCTCACCGTCCTCTGTTGGGCTGATCTCTTCCACCGTCATCTCCGATATCGTCGTGAATGCCGATCCACTGGATGATCATCGTCATAAATTGCATGCTCGACACTAATCGTTCATTACAGAGTCCACATATCTACATAGTAGTAGTACATAGCCGTACAAAGCCGGCGGATCCATCCCCTCCAGTCCATCCGCGGCAATTCAGAAATAATAAAGAGGTAATAACAGGGAATGCAATCCAAACCGACGAATGCAATGCCCAAAACGAAGGTTTCAAAAGGAATAAAAATGCCTTCTTTCCGAGGCAAACAAATGATTCAAAGCCCGAGCAACGGCAAGACTCGTTCACTCAGGTAACGGGGGAATATGAAGCGAAAGGCTGTGGAAAAAGTAAAAGAAGAGGGGGGCATAAGAAGTGAAAACGTAGAAGCGGTATAGAAAAGACAACCGGATCATAACCATGCGATTCAGACAAACCAAACCCAAAGAGCAAGCAGCGTTATATGGAGCAAGTCTAAAAGACGGCAACGCCGGCCAACACAAGAGCCATCATGGCGCCAGAGACCCGAGTGGTCGTGCCGGCATTCGAGTTGGGCACCGTCGTTTCCGAAGCACTGGCACTAGCAGAAGCGCTGTTGGTGCTCGACGCCTGTCCGCTGGTGGTGGAGGCTGCGGCGCTGGAGGAGCCGGTGGAAGAACCGGTCGAAGTGGACGATCCCGAGCCGCTGCCAGAACCGGTGCCGGTAACAGAGCTCGAACCGGTGCCGGTGCTGGTCGCCGTCGACAACGTGGTCGGGGTCTCGGTCTTGGTCTTGGAAGCGCTGGAGGTGCTGGTGGTCTTCTCCTCGGACGAAGTAGTAGTGGAAGCTTCGGTGCTGGTGGTGGCAGATGCAGTCGACGTCGTGGAGGACTTGGTCGTGTGGACGGTGGCACCGGCGACAACGAACCGGGGGAGATAGTTGACCTCGCTGGTGTCATCGTCCGAGATGATCTCAACGGTGTAATCCGGCTGAGCGGCAAGGTCGGACGGGGGAGTCCAGGTGAAGCTGCCCGAGTTGGGAATGCTCTCTGGGAGATTTGTCAGTATATGTTACAAGCACCGGGCACAGACGCAAAACATCGAAGAGTAACTCACTAGCAATCGCGGTACCCGAGTTCGGGGTCAGGACGCCACCCCATTGCAGGCGCAGGGTCACGGTTCCCTCGGTGGTGGGCGCCCAGGTCAGAGTAGTGGGCTCGCCCGTCTTGAAAGAATATCCATCCTTGGGGATGTTGAAGGGATTGGCCTTCTCGGAAGCGGCGGCCGCGAGGGTGGCAATGGCGCTGAGGGTCAAGAAGAAGATGGAACGCATTGTTGTAGAGTGACGAAGTAATTGATTAGACGGAATGAGAATATCGAATAAGCCCGAACAAGGTATTGACAGGTGGGGATTATGATATGTTGATATACAGTCAGGTGATGAAGATAACTGTGGGAGGTGAGGTGAGGTAAGGAAGGACGTTGAATTCAATGAATTCAATAAGATCGAGCAATGATTAAAAGGAATGTAAAGGTGGGAGAATAATGTACTCGAAAGACAGACAAAGCGTAGGAACGCGGGTTGGGAGGAGAAGAGGTGACAGGGAAGGAAGGAAAGAACGAGGGAAGGGTTTTGATTTTGGGGGGGAAGGCGAGTCTATGTATACTACTCTAGGCAAGTACTAGTAGTCGGTACTACTACCTACCTCGGAGGGTCTACAGCTGCTACTGCAGGTACTAGGCAGGGCCGGAAAGGCAAAGATACTCCGTTGGGGGGGACCCCGACCCTGCAAGACGGGAGTGGAAAATCCACGAGGCCCCAGGGAATAGAATAATGGAATAGCCTCCAAATCTCCAGGTCCAATACGGTTCCCATACACACACTAGGGCAACTCCGGACCTCCAATGAACATCACCAAAGCGGGGGCAAATTAAACTAATCGGCCTAGCCGGGACTAGTGCCCTGCAAGTGGACCCCCCAATTTCGAGGGAATCCCGGCAAAAGCCCGGTCCGGACGCTCCTCTGGAGGGCAGAAAGGGTGCTAACAAACCTTAGCGCCAGCTAGTCGGGCCTGGACTATCAGTACCTACACCGGACGTACACTAACTGTGTAGGTACAGTACCTACAAATACAGTGGCGATGGAGTGCGCACGAGGCGGAGGCCCGTGACTGGGCAGAGAAAACTCGGACGAGGGCAATAGTTCCTTCTTGTGGCGCTCTCTCTGCACTTAGCGAGCAAAAGGCGACACTCTAATAATAACTCAGTACGAGTGGTGCGATCCGTTTATTTATTTATTTATTTTTTCCTTAGTTTTCTTTTAACTTTCTCTTCATTCCTCGGGTATTTTGACGGGGGATAATCACCTGCAGTTTCAACGCGGCCCTTGCGTATGGGACAAGGGGTACAGAAAACAGGTGGTACCTTATCATGCTGCCTACTTCTAAGGACTAAGGACTACCAACATGCACTAAGCTCTTAGCTAGTGGTGGCACTCCGTACTAAGCGTCTAAGCCCCTCTACGCTCTACACTCTACAAAGATAACATTAGCAGGGACTACTCTAGGCACATCCTGGTCAATACTACGGGGTACACCAGTACCGCTACCGTCACAATAATGACTTCCATCAGAATCCCTCGTGATCCTTGCGCTACTCCGGAATAGCCTATAGTCGCCCGTCCTAAGGGTGTTTGTCTGCTGGATCGGATTTCCACGGTGGGTTATTCATTTCGGCCCCCGATCTCCCTTCCGGAGTGAACCCCTACGGACTTGCTCCTTGCTACACATCACATTGGAAGACTCACAATGTCTCCGATCCAAGCGTGCGCCAGAACGGCTGCCTCAATGATGTCTTGGATTCGGGTATTTGACGGTTTTTTGCCCCATAAAACGTTGGTTGGAAATCTTACTCCGCCAACCGAGGGATTCGACGATCTGTTCCATTTTCTTACTTAGTCGCAGATCCGCGACCCAAGAATCAACATAACCGAGTCAACCGCCTCAACTGTCAACGGCAACGGAGTCGGAATACTGGAATTCAAATTCAATTGCCACCGTTTCCACCTGTCAAACTTTTCTCAACTCTGCTTGCTCGGCTGGCTGCGCCTCCATCCAACGTCATGATGGCAGCGCTGTCCAACCCTCCGTAGACCTTTCAGTCCAGACTTATACCAACTCAGTATCTGCACTTTTCCAGCAAGACAATAGTCCCAAACACTCTGCGATCATACGCATATAATCGACATAGGCGACCAAGTTATACCTCTTCCTATCAAACGCATCAATCACCAGTGTATCGACAGCATGAGAACACCTACATATGTCTTTCGTCACATAACTTGCCGCCACCCTTACCAAAAGCAGAGCACGCCACTAAACTGACAATTCCACATGCAAGTTACATCGCTTTAGTATACATACATATGATAACTATGCTTTCGCATTAATGTAGCTCCAGATTTTCAACACAACCAGCATGTTGCAACTCAAATCCGAACCTCTCCGCTTTCCGTTGTTTCGCCGATAGGAGTCCATTGGTCTATGCATCTTGACGCCGTCTCAGTCTTCTACGAGAATAGATAAGATCTTGCATACCCCAGTGCTTTTAGACTATCTTCAATAAATTTAATTTCTAAACTAGAATTGTAGCCTATGTATCTGATATATAACAGCCTTTTGAATTTTGTCTAATATATTGCTCTCAGAAAGAGACTTTGTGGTTGGATCGGCATTCGCCCCGAGTGACCGTCAGACGTGAGAATAATGAAAGGAATAAGCATCCTCGTCTGTGGGTGTCTAAGTAACCCTTTCTAATGTTTGCCCATTTCCTACCTGTGCCTTTTCCATCATGCAATCAGTTGCAGCAATTTACAGTATGCACACATGTGCAGACGTCAGCAAGGGGTGATGGTTTCGGGAGGCACTGGTGCTTCGGGTAAATATATAAAGGCCATGAACATATAGATCGAGACAATTCGAACACTTGTTATACAGCATTAATCCAAAAACTGATCGGTTTTGTTTGGCCACTCGAGTACACAACTTCGAAATGAATTATTACTTGATGTCGCAAGAACGTCGCAAAATCAACCTTGATTCTCGTAGAATGATGCTGGTATTCATTAAGGCAAGCGTCTAAATACAATCCGTCGCATCATGTATGTACATGAGCGGCTAAGCGATAGCGATATACAAATGCAGTACCCAGCTCTGCGGAGACTTATCGGGACGAACGCGCTGACAGCAGGTTGGAGTTGTCCAGATACGCCGTGGTCATCTAAGCAGTGGATGCACTGCCATCTATCGCCTCCTCTGGCACTGGTGCACCCGATACACCTGTTTTCTGAGTGACATCTTCAGCGGCATCCCCTTCGTCCGTCTTCTGTACAGGGTTTTCTGAAGCCCGTGGAGCTTCTAGATGGCCATTCTCACCCAACCACATGATTGCCTCCATGACTTTTCGATCATCCTCCTCTTTTTGGCGGCCGAGAAGCTGTGATTTAGTCACGTTAGTAAAAATACTTGTAAGTGGAACGGGAAAAAGCAGTCGGTACTCACAGCTTGCAGCAATCCTTTGCGTCCCTTTTTCTCCACAGGCTTCGCCTTGGCTGGGCGTTGGGGCGCCTCGTGTAGAAATTTGCACTGATCCCCGCGTAGGCAGCGTCCGTTGCGGGCAAAGTGCCGACAGATCTTCCTCTTCACTTCGCGGGGCGGCGGAGGCACTCGCTCAGGCCCTTCGCGCCGCGAAGATATTTCTTCGGGGGCCGAGTCATCGTCATCATCACTGTCGTCGGAATCGGAGTCAGAAGATTCTGATCCACTCGATGACGTCCAGTCGCTGCTATCAGAGGCATCGGAAACCGACTTGACAGATTCTGATAACTCTGTCTGGCTTTGAGTCGTGTTCGAAACACCGAGAGTGCTAGCACCCTCGACCGTTTCGGGATCTTTATCGGGGACCTCACTATGCTCAGAAGGAATGGCTGGAAGATCCGGTGCCGTGTCCTGAGCCGTGTCGGTATTGCCTTGAGCCTGTTGGAGGGATGATCCTGCTTCCCCGCTAGCACCTGTTGTTCCTTTCTGTAGTTGCTCAACTTTCATCCGAGCCCGCTCGGCGTCGGCCTCCGCCTTTTCCACTCGTTTTTGTTCTTTCATGAGCTTGCGCCGTAGTTTGTCGGCCTTCTGTTTCGCCTTCGCTGCTGCATCAACCGGATCGGCGGAACTTGTAGACTGTTCCTTCTGACTGCGAGCGTCTTTTTGGGGCCGCTTGGATTCTTGTTTCCGCGACTCCTTCTGCCGCAGGGCCTCATCCCGTGCTTTCTTTGCCTCCTCCAAGGCCTTCTTTTTCTCTTCAACTCTCGATTGAGTCGGGAACCGCTTCTTTCGTTCCGCAATCCAAGCCGCGATTTCTGCAGGTGTTTGTAGCGTAGCCGTGCGACCTTTATAGGTAAATTGCAATGGCGCCACGGCTCCGGCCCCGGCGGGTGCTAACCTCGCCTCCTCATCCACATCATCTTCCTCCTCGCTAGACTCATGTTCGTCGGTCTTCGGCGTCAAGCCCAATTGGTTGTGCTTTCTCTTTTTCTTCTTCGGCTTCTTGCTATTATCCACTGGCGGAGGTGGTTTCGACGGCAAAGGGTTACCGAAACTTGGCACGGGAGGCGGCGCAGGCACCCGCGGGCCCGTTGACCGAGGTTTTCCGAAAGCTGAGTTATGGTCACGCTTGTTTGGATGGTGGGGTGGCCCAGAGCCTTGAGGGGCCTGGTGATTATTATGATTATTGTTATAGGTGTTGAACGAGCGCCCTCCTCGCTGGTTGCCGTGATGAGGCGCCGGGTACCCCCCGGCGGGAGATCCTGCATTTTCGAAGCCCCAGCGCATGGGGGGACCCATCATTGGCGGCGGTGCCGAGGCTGCGGTATGTTGGGGGGTAGGCATCACGGGGGGATACATAGGCGCGGATTGAGTAGTCGAGGGAGCGTAGGCTGCATCGTAGCTCGGGCGACGTTGGTAGGATGAGCCGTGAGCCGCATGAGGCTGCGAATACGGCTGCTGAGAGGGGAAAGCGGGGGCATTGTGATGATTCTGGAAGTTTTGAGACTGTGCCGGGGTAAACTGCGGCGTTGGCATAGGCTGCTGGGTAGCCGCCACCGGTTGGGAAGCGAAACCCGCATAGTTCATCGGAGCGTAGCCAACAGAGGGCATGTTCGTCGAGACAGGCATGTAATGTCCGCCGCGACCTCCCCCTCCCCCCCCTCTATTCCCATATCCTCTTCCGCGACCTCTGTGGTTACCTCCACCGCCCCGGCCACCTCGTTGGCCATACTGGTTCTGTCCGTATTGTGAAGGATAAGCCGCATGTTGCTGATTATATGGTTGCTGCTGCGTTTGCTGCCGAGAGGGAGGCGGCGGCGGCGGCGGCGGGAAAGAGAATCCCTGGGGATTCATTGCGCGAAGATCTCTGTCGATCTTCAAAGGTAAAGGGCATAAACGCCATTCTCACAGCATGCTGGCAGACTGGATGAGATGCCTCGTCGGTCTTTTTTCCGCGGCAGGAAACTAATGCTCTGCTGCTCCCAAGCGGAAAGTTTTCCCGTCCCGAAACAAGGCGGAAGATGTAATATCACGTGATAAGGTATATGTCCGGCAGAAAAATAAAATGTCAGGCGGATCGGCGGTCTGCTACTGGCCGGAGCAATTCATGAAATCGCTTTTCGCAACCAGCCTTCATCGAATATTCAGTCGCAATTGTTGTCATGCACTCCGGACCGTCAAAGGCTTGAACCGGACGGCCTGGGTGAATTATCTGGCAGCGAACTGGTTTCTGAACATGGAACTCATCCTTCGTACTCTCTTCTACCGTGTGACAGTATTGCGATAGAAGACCCTTCATCTACCTTGGCGTGGTGCCTGAGCCCACCATGTTTGTTCTTGTCAGTGACAAAAATCTCCTAGTACTGATGTCATAGTCTGACCGATCACCGTGCAGACAACGATCTCAGATCTAATCCAGATCTCGCCCGAGGACTTCTCTAAATATAGTTCCGTGGCCATTGAAGATAACATCAACGAGAAATACGCCAATAAAGTATGTAGTTTATTGGATTGATTGGAGGAGTGCTGGCTAACAACTCTATGCAAAGGTCATCCAAAAGATTGGTCTCTGCATTGGCTTCTATGATCTGTTAGAATCATCCGATGGATTAATTGGCCACGGCACTGGCCTGGTTAATGTCAATGGTAGGTGATGTCTTTCCCAACTGTTCGCTAGAAATTGCGCCGGCTGGAATTTGGTTTCTAGAGAATTTGCGGAAAGAACACGATACTAATGATGTCACAGTTAAATTTCGCCTAATTGTGTTCCGGCCATTTAAAGGCGAGATCATGCTGGGGAAGATCGCCAGTGCTACGGAATTCGGAATCAAAAGTATGTGTATTCGGGTACCGACTGCACCAGTCATATGGTTACTTACTTTGCGCAGTTGGTGTCGAGTTTTTCAATGATATACTTGTGCCCCCGAACCTTCTGTTAGACGGAGCAAGATTGTAAGCGAGGCCACCATGAGTCAGAACGCTCAGCCTGCATCGCTAACACGACACAGTGACTACGCGGATCAGGTCTGGATCTGGGAGAATGAAGACGGCTCGACCTTTTACTTTGACGTGGGAGAAGTCGTTCGATTCCGCGTGGAGACGGAAGAATGGCATGACCAGATTCCCAATGCTCCAGATCTCGGTGATAGTACCGCGAACGAGCGGAAACCACCTTACTCGATAATTGTAAGTCAATATAGATTCTCTTTTGTCCGCAGGGGGCGCAAAGGGGAAGAAATCAAACGATTGCTAATCTGACTACAGGGCTCGATGCAAATGGCTGGACTGGGACCCATTTCCTGGTGGTAAAACAGAGCGTCTTCTTTTCAGACTTCAGGCATGGATCGAGAGTGCGAGAGGGGGTCCTTGGCAGGCATATGCACTCCGCTTTTTTGTTTCCTGGTGATCATCCGGGGCAGTAATTGACGGCGCCGAAGGACCACTTGAGTTGTACTCCGACTCTCCGACTCTCCGAATAGGTACTCCGTAGGGCGTAGACATGGATATTGTCGGCATGCACCCCCGGGCAAGACGTTTATGGTATGGTATATAGCATGATTATAGATCGCTATGGCGACAATGAATAACGAAAAGATTGGTCAGAACGCCGACGGATGACGACATCCCACGCCATTTCCCCCGGAATGCAGGGACTGTGCTCCTCCACTGATCTGTAATCCCTAGGCCGATTCAAGAAGCATCTTGATTCTTGACTATTTGTCCGGTTGCAAGTTGCAAGTCAACTTCCATCACCAACGGCAAGTCGGTTAGGGCCGGAGACGCGATGACACTCGGTGGGGACCCGCCTGGGCGCTATTCTGGAACTGCTCCACGATGGTCCTCGGGTTCTTCGCAATGCGCTGAGGCAAAACGTAACAAAAATCAGAAGAAAAGAATTTTTTTTTTCTCTGTTCGCGATTCAGATTGATAATTCTGCATTATTTATTTTTTTAAATTCTTCAGCGACATTTGGTCTCACCGGACGTCCGTCGCTTCTAGGAGAAAAAAATTACCCCACTTACAAATCAGTCCCTCCCTTGGGTGAGATCGATATAAATATACATCTTTGTACTTCAATTCCTCCGGAACCTTTTCTATTTCTTGATTATTTTGTTTTTAATTCTTTTGCTACTTCACCGCAGGAGTTCCGACGGAGAACGGAAACGGCTACCCATTAGACCTTGGATCTTTTCTTCTGCCTTCCTCTTTAATTTCTCCTTCTATTCCCTCCTCTAAATTTCCCGAATTCCTCCCTTTCTTCAGACAATCCCCGACACAATGACCGCCGGAACGAATTTCTCCAACGGCGAACCCGCGCAGGATCGCCGCTTCGGTACTCTCGCCGTTCACGCCGGTGCCCCTCACGATCCCATCACCGGCGCTGTTATCGCTCCCGTTAGTCGATCTTGATTTTTTTTTCCCTGGACGGTCGCAATGCTGACTAGAACCTCTAGATCTCTCTTTCCACTACCTACGCGCAGACGAGCGTTGGCAATCCTGTCGGCGTCTACGAGTACACCCGGAGCTCCAACCCCAACCGGTGAGTAGCGCAGAGGAGAAAGAAAGAAAGAACGAGAGTCGGCGCTGTGTTCAGGGTACTAACTCTCAATCAGTGACAACTTTGAGCAGGCTGTTGCGGCCCTCGAGCATGCGAAATACGCCCTGGCCTTTTCCTCCGGTTCTGCCGCTACGGCGAATATCCTCCAGTCCCTCGCCGCGGGCTCGCACGTCGTCTCGGTCTCCGATGTGTACGGTGGCACACACAGATACTTCACCAAGGTCGCGTCCGCCCACGGCGTGCATGTGACGTTCTCGCCGACGATCGAATTGGACGTGGAGGAGCTGATCCGACCCAACGAGACCAAGTTGGTGTGGATCGAGACCCCTTCGAACCCGACTCTGGGCTTGGTTGATATTCGCAAGGTCGCGGACATTGCGCATCGCCATGGCATCTTGGTGGTGGTGGACAACACCTTCATGAGCCCTTACATCCAGAACCCCTTGGACCACGGTGCCGATATCGTGGTGCACTCGGTGACCAAGTATATCAACGGACACTCTGTATGCGACCCCCCCTTCTTCTTTTCATTCTCTCTCTGTAAATCGATTTGCTGACTGTAATTCAGGATGTCCTCATGGGTGTCGCCGCCTTCAACTCGGAGAGCTTGAAGGAGCGCCTCACTTTCCTCCAGAACGCCATTGGAGCCGTTCCCTCTGCGTTCGACTGCTGGCTGGCTCACCGTGGTCTGAAGACTCTCCACCTTCGTGCGCGTGAGGCCACGACCAACGCCACCGCTGTGGCCAAGGCGCTTGAAGCCTCCCCTCACGTCCTGTCCGTCAACTACCCTGGCATCGACTCTCACCCCCACCGCGCCATCGCTATCAAGCAGCACCGCCAGGGAATGGGCGGTGGTATGCTGAGCTTCCGTCTCAAGGGCGGCCAGAAGGCTGCTCACCTCTTCTGCCAGTACACCAAGGTTTTCACGCTGGCCGAAAGTCTGGGAGGTGTCGAGAGTCTTTGCGAGGTTCCCTCCAGCATGACTCACGCTGGTATCCCCAAGGACCAGCGGGAGGCCGCTGGTGTGTTCGACGACCTTGTCCGCATGAGCTGCGGTGTTGAGGATGCGGAGGATCTCACGGCCGACGTGCTGCAGGCCCTTGAAAAGGCCGTGGCGGCCAGCCTGCAGGAGAACGGCACCAAATAAACGATGGACTCTGAAACAACGTTTTTCCAGGACTATGCATGAAATTTTAGAGCAATAGAATTATTTAAATATGTCTAATAGACTAAATTAATGACGATACGGAGTTACTGTTTGGCATCCAACCTCTACCTCGATCGGAGTAATTGTCGCGCTGCTAAGTCCATCAATCCATCCAGTCGTAATAATATTGATACCAGTTTCCTTGGGGTTACCAGGCGACGAGGGTTGAAATGAAGCATCACGAGCGAATGGTGCTTAGTCATCAACACGATGATGCAAAAAATCCCCAGAAAAAAAAAAAAAAAACTGGGACATTCTTCCACCGGATTGAGAACGTGGAACGGCCTGCACCAGGTATTCAGTAATCTTCGCCGGCATAAAGCATCTGGGCAAAACTTGAGACTTGAAGAACTGCGGGCTCAACGGGCTGCTTCTCCGCCGTCTGGTCATCTGTTCATCCTACAATCTATCTATAGAAACCCCGCCTTGATAGATACATTCGCTGGTAAGTATCGTGTGGACTTGATCGAGTATCGCAAAGTCGGTGTACATTTTCTGACCGTTTATTCGCAGATCCTTGAGACTTGAGGCGCTTTCAGGGCCTTGATAGTCTGTTGCACTTTTTGTCCTTGGAAGAAACGAAGCACAGAAAACAGGTGCGGGATAATGTCCGGGTTTAGTTTCGGGTTTTCCGGAGACGACATCGATATCGATGACTCGGAGCTCAATGCCGTTAACGAGGGCGATGTGTCTCTTCCCCAAGACAATCAAAATGAGCTTCCCCCTCTCGTGGAAGCTAGAAAGCACGACATGAAAGAATGGGTAAGTCCTCCCCGTGTTCCTTCAGCCAGTGCAGAGATGTACATTTTGGGATTGTAGGGTCCTTTCTTATCATTCTGTCACGCAACTGGGTGAAGAAAGGATAGAAATACTCTGCTATACAGCTTACTCTGTGATTTCGATCTGCTAGAGTCAACATGTAACCATAGTATAGGTCTCGACTCTTCCATCCCAAATATCATACAACCGGCTGGAATTGAACGGCTTGTCAAACCAGCCCCAAGGGAAATCCCTCACGATTGCTCGTCGTGAGGTGTTCGATATCCGCACGCAACTCATGGCAGAGGACACCGCGGACCACGAGAATGAGCAACTGATCGCCGGCCTTGAGAAAGGTGACATCAAGCCGCAGTTCTATGAAGGCGGATTTAAGACGTGGGAATGCGCCCTGGATCTAGCGAAGTTAGTTATCAGTGACGATCGTCTATCTGCTACCGCCGGAGAGACCTCAGAAGACCGTCACATCATCGAGGTGAGTATCTCTGTCCCGACGATCAAGGGTTCCCCCGCAAACTGATCAATTAATTCTAGCTGGGTGCTGGAACCGCAGTACCGTCTTTGGCCCTCTTTGCGCAGCTGCTCTCTGATTCCAACCCCTCGGACTCTCAACGACAATGGAATTTTACATTCGCAGATTACAACTCTGCGGTTCTTCGTCTGGTCACATTGCCGAACCTGCTCTTGACATGGAATCACATCGTCAAATCCCAGGGCCCCCCGTCGGTCGAGACCACCTCCCCCGAAGAACAACCGGAGGAAGAGGAAGAACTGGACATCACGCCAGAGCTCATTGAAAGCTTCCAGAATGACCTGGCTAGCCGAGGCATTACGATTGAGTTCATCTCTGGCGCATGGTCCCCTGCCTTTGTTGACCTTGTTCTGTCTTCACCCGGGAAGGCGAACAGTAGAACCTTGATACTTGCCAGCGAGACAATTTACTCGCCAGCGTCGTTGGGCGCCTTCTCGGAGACCCTACTGGCGTTGCTGCGTGCCGTCGAAGGCAACAAACAAAGTAGAGCGTTGATAGCGGCCAAGAAGGTCTATTTCGGGGTCGGCGGTGGCGTGGACGAGTTTTTGGAAGTGCTGAAGAGTGTTGGCGGAGGAGAAATGGAAGTGACGGAGCAGCTGAATATTGAATCCGAGGGCGTTGGCCGGGTGGTCTTGGAAATCGCAACTGGAAGCTCCCAATAGCACGAAGATTGGATCAGCCATGTTCCAGCGACCTTTTCCTCAAGCCTGGCATGCATGGAGGGATATACAAAAGTGATACAGTCAACCAACTAGAAGAGATAAAAGAAACCTTTAAGACTGCCCTGATATATGTACAAGTCACTGCTTCACACGCAAACAAACAGAAAACCGAATCGATTTTATCTAGTCATATAGAGACACGACCTTTCCGTCCTGCATCCGGGCAACGCGAGAGTCCTCCTTCTCCTTGTTTTCACGCTCGTAATGGGCAACCACATGGCTCAGGTCCACCACCGAGCCAGCAGAGACGTTGTAAGGGGGGGAGGAGTTGAAGCTGACCCTGTTATGAGAAACGATTGGCGGTTAGTCCGTATTCTTTGACCAAAGGGGGGCTAGAAGACACTCTAGCAAAGACGACGTACTCGGGCTGTTTCAACTCGTAGGCGGCCCTAGGACCCTGACTCTGGAACAAATGGCGGTCATGGGCGGCCTTCTCCATAGCCGCAGTGTGGACGGCATTTCTCTGTTCAAAGACTTTCTCCGAAGGGGTCCACTTCTCAATGAAGCTGGAGATCCACGACTGCGAGCCAGAGTCCTGGGTAGACTTGCTCATGCGGTAGAGGACGTAGCTAGAGGCGAAGGCGCCCAGGGTGACATAGAAACTGCGCTGTACGGTGCATCCACGTCAAGATTAGCGCCCGATACGTTGGGAGATCAGGAGATTGGCATCAGGGATTGGTGGGGTTGAGGTCCAATTGGAGGGGGGAAGGGGATTGAAGACGTACGCCGAAGCTTTCATTCACAGGTTCGGCATGATGAGCAGGGTGAGCGGCGTGGGAGCCAAATCGTCGAGGGGGCTGATTCCGCAGCAGCAGCCGCGCCGAAGCGACCGATCGCCTAGAGAAAGACATAGTGTGGAGGGAGACAATTGGGCGGCACCGAACAGATTCGAGATCCCGTCGTTCGGGTTTGGCGAGGTTGAATGGAGGCTCGCGGGCGGTTCGAGGCGGAGTGCACGTGACCTACAGAAGGGGCTTAGGGCAGCGACGTGGTCTTGGCGCCCGTTCTTCCCTTTCCTAAGAGTACTCCCGCTTCTCTCTTCTCTCATGACAACCCAATTACTGGCCGCATCTCCCCATCTGAAACGCCCACCCCGGGGCAAGGATTGCGGAAAAGATTCCTCTTCCATCGGAGGTTGGGATGGAACGCCGTGCATGGACCGACGCTGTTGCCTCGGCGGGTCGCTGCGTTGTCTCCTCAATGATGGCCCTCCTTCACCGCACTTGAATTGGTGCTGATGCATGACCAACTGCCTCATTTTAAGCTGGCGCTCTCCACCATCCCCCATTCGCTCGCTGCCAATTGGGCTCCCTCGTCTGCCCATTCATGCAGGCTGTCGAACGTCTGGATATCGAGGGCGACATGTCAGCGATCTGTATTTAGCGTCAACTGACCCCACATGTCCTGTCTCCTCGCCCTTTTGGCTAGGACGCCGTCTAGTGAACATGCGGTACAATACGCATAACAGGGCTATCGATTGTTTCCCTCCCTTCCCCCCCTGATTTGCCCCTCCTGTATGTGCGCGTGTCATGATTTACCCGTCATGATCTCTATCCTGCCACCTTCAAACAAAGTCGTTGATGCCCAATGCTTACTAGATCGGGACCTCATTGGGCCCTGCCTGGTTGGGGATCCAAACATTTTGATCCACACCAATTTTCCCTTGACGCGCCAAACTGTGAGTATTCTTGCTTCCGGCCTAGTTTTGAGTCCAGTCGCAATGGGTATCAATTCTTTCTCTCCTACGGATCGGACCGCTCTCCGCCTCACCAGCCCCGAGGGGGCTGGATGTAGTGCTTTCCTGGCGCGCCGGCTTCTCTTTTTGGGCGTTTATGTGACATAGACTGCTAGCTGGGCATCTTCTCGCCTCCGCCTTCTGTTCCTTATTTAATCTTATTCTTCGAAATTCAACTATTTGAATGTCTACCAGTTGATATCAATCCTATCCTTCCGAACTTGTCTGCTTGCTTAAAACAAGTATTTGACAACGGGTGTGGTGCCTTCGTGTATTCTTGCTATTTGCGCCCACTCGCGGACCTTCCCTGCTCTAGGGGATTTTCCTTTCTTGCTTCTCTCACTCTTTCTTCCGACCTTGTATTCTTCTGTGTGGCACACCACCCCCTCATTTCGTTGCTTTTCCTTGCTTTTCTTTTTTTAATTCCTGCCCAGTGGTGTGATTGAAGGCCTTACTCGCTTCTAGATCCGTCATAGTCGGGCCTCTACTGTCTGTGTCCATATCAGTTCGGAATATATCTTCTGAATCCGCTGAGGGCGCTTGCAAATGTACCGCCGTGAATCATTTATCTTGATCCAATCGAGTTGCTGCTGACGGAATATCTAGCCCACTGGAAACACGTCTTCTGTCATCCATTTAACTTGGGCACGCATCACTTTTCCCCATCATGGCCTCGTCAGGCAGGAAGGGTAAAGGCAAGGCCAGTGGTAACAAGAAGAATAAGAAGGGAAAGAACCAAGAGACGTCAGAAACCCCTGCGTCCCAACCTGAGCTTCTTGTTGAACAAGAGGAACAACAGCAAGAGCAACAACAAGATCAACAAGGTCAAGAACAACCAGAGGTTGAAACAGAGGCCACCTCTCCACTAGCAGAAGCAGAACACATCTCTAACACTCTTCCGGAATCTGCGCCGGAGCCAGAGCCAGTGTCAGAGTCGGTGCCCACGCCAGACCCAGAACTGGAGCAACCACAACCTACGGTCGAGGAAAACTCGACCTCTCCTGAAACCGAGAAACCATCCGAGCCTCCAATCAGCCCTAACGATGGTGATGGTTTCGCCCAACCCGCAACAAGCCCCGATCCGTTCAGTCAAGAACCAGGCGTGAACGATGTGCAGAAAGATTCCCTTGAAGCTCCCGCGGATTCGAACTGGGAGGAAATAGAACCATCCAAG